CAGGTTTTACAATTGTGAAATTAGATATTTCACAATACTGAAATGTTATTGAAATGTTATTGAAATGTCTAATTTCAGTAACATTTCAGTATACTGAAATTAGACGTTTATTTGCAGTGAAATGTCGGAATTTTAAAAATATTTCTATATCAAACGTGAGAGAAAAATCTGCTCATTTCAAATTTATTAAAACTTTTTTATTTGGTTAAGAATTGATAGAGATATTAGCATATAAAGATTTGTCTAATAATTAAAAAATATAACAAATTTTTGGGTATAGTCTTTTTTACTAAAAAATAAATTTAGAATCCCAATTTTTTTTGACTTCAAATTTCATTGGACAAAAATTTTATTTTTTTTTATTTTTTTGAACAAGTCATCAAATATAAGCGTGTGTTAGCTGTGTGTGTTATGATTGTAGTCGTCCTTATAACTAAGTTAATAGAAATGAACCATCATTTATTACATAATAAAGAGGTTATTCATATAAAACTAGTATGTTGAACTTCACGGCATAATATTCATTCTACATTCAGTTTTAATAATAGTCATTGTTAGTAGAATGTTCGAGCAATAATAATAATTATATACATAATTCAAACAGGATTATGACTGGTGTATTCAATTACATAATTGTTCTTGAGTGATACATATCAGATATACATTAATAATATCGAATATTGTTAAGTAATGAAATCATATACAATGATAATGATAGTAGCTCATAAATAATGGGTATCGTTGCAGCTAGACATATTCACTGAGAATTAATATTGATGTGTCGCAGTCCAATAATAATAATTCGTTGTGTTTCTAGGAACAGCGACAACTCAGGAAGAAAAAAGAAATAAAGATATATCCTATTGATCGCAGAATTATTCGGAGACAATGTTTTATGTAAAACGCTTTATTATAGTAAAACTTGCTTATCTGAATCATATTTCCATTAATAACACTTACCTTGTAAAAACATATAAATAACCCTCAATCTTTCCATGTAATTTTCGTTGTACAATTTTTGTATTATCTTTAATAAACTATACGAAGTTTTCACAGACTTGTCTTCTGTCTATTCTTCTTCCATTTTTTTCTGCTAATCAAAACAGACTTGTCTTTCTTTTTCTCTTTCCTTATCTTTATACTCAAAACAGTGTGTGATATTTCTTTTAAAATATCAAATAAAAATATTAGAAAATAAAAAAAATAATATTAAAAGAGTCAACGAGACCGAACAATAGTTCTAAAGTCGATTATTTTATTTATGAATTAAATTGTTGGGTATTTATAATAATTGTTAAAGAGGTCTCAGATAAGATGTGAATCAGAAAAATGTTAGTTACGATTGAATAAGATATATTATAGATAATGAAATCTTAGAAGCTTTAATAATATTTGACGGAGTGGATCAAGAAAGTTTCAGGAGAATATAGATAGAATTCCTTGAATAAATTTATGAACTGCATGTTTAATCAAGAAACATAACACTATAAGTCGGCTCATGACAAGCATTTATCAACAGACTAAGTATCCGCCCCAAATTTAACTTAATATAGAAGGAAGAAGGAAGGAAGGAAAAAAAGAAAAAAAAATAAATAAATAAAAAAATAAATAAATAAATAAAGGAAAAAGGAAAGGAGATAGATAGACAGATGGATAGAGAGAGAAAGGTTGAGAAAATAAAACCAGACAAGATAGAATAAGATTGCAAAGGACAGGTGAAAATAGAGGAGTAGAGTTTACTACATTGTATTGTATTATGTTATATTGTATTGTATTATAATATGTTATGATGTGATACGTTACATTATGATATGTTATATTACCTTAGAGCATATATCTATATAGTAGAATGAATAAATGAACAGTTATTATTATTAGACTAAATTACTATTAATACTGCTGCTACTGCTATTACTCATATGTATGTAATTTTTTTTTTCTGATAAATGACAGTAGTCTTTTGTAATAAAATAGCATAGCATATTTATATGTATGCTAAATATGTATTTGAGATATTATTGGAATATACTAATGAATTAATATCAATCAAAGCATAATAATACTGGTTAAAATTAGCTAAAACTAGCTAAAACTAGCTTATATGCTTATTATTAATTCTATTATATGCGTTTTATGTATTTTATGCCTTTTTAGTGAAAACATGAATTATATAGTTACCTTTATACGATATATATCTCTTACTTTATTATTATATAGTTACTATCACCTAGACAACGTTAACTTTTTTTTTTCTGATATTAATTTTAATGCTTAAAATGGTATCTAATTAGCTAAAGGCCAACGGTAGTCGTAGACAACACATATATATATTATACTATGCTATTACATCATCCTCATTTTATGATTTAATAAGGGGCAAATATATATAAATCATATAAGCCATATAAATCATATAAATCATATATAATAGAACTTGAACATTTGCTAAGGTTTAGATTGAATCAGATCAGAATAGGTCATTTACTGACAGCTCATTTCAAGTAATGGAGTGCATTTATGACTCAAATATCTCTATATTTTTATCTTTATTTTTATTGTCATTTTCTCTTTTATTGTGTATAATATTATATTGGTTCCTTATTGTTCCTGAATTATTTTAGTACCCTCTAGATTATATAATTTAATTTGCTTGTATCAGCACTGTCAAGACAAGATTGAAATACCGCACATCTAATTTAAAAAAGAAGTCAATCAATCCATACATACACATGTGTATTATTTATTCTCTCATAATATCAATAATGTAAGGAGTGTTTGTATACGTCATCTTTTCTTATCTTTATTTGTTGTTTATTTCTACTTTTTTTTTTCTTTTGTTTTTTTTTCCATAACCCCAGTTATTTAAAGAAAAAAAAAAAAAGAAATATATTTCTTTTAGCTTTATATCTTTCAACTATACATGTAAAAGATGGTATATACAGATATAATACATAAAATGAAACGATAGAGATATTATATAAAATAAAATAAAATAAAAGGGAACAGAGTGAAATAAAAGATAAAATGTACTTATACGTATTTATTTCAAATATATATATAGACATATACTAAATATATTATCCACGACAATAGGTAATGTCATCCATATTGCAGCGATCTTGCTTTCTATCGTACAACACATGCTTACCAAAATATATTATAGATTAGACTTCTGGCTTCTTCTTTTAATATTGATGCTAATGCTAAAGGTTTATTACGTCTTCTATTTCATGGTAACCCTATATTAACTGTTTTAAAATACACCACATACTATCTACTCACCACTAAATTGTTATTACTACTACTAGAATAGAGCAATACTATCCTTGTTATATCTTCCTGATGCTTATCTCTTCTTATATATACTTTACTCTTATCAAGTAGTTAGTAGTTATGTATATTTACTTATTTATCTATCCATGTGTACATATCTGCTACTTTTGATATTACCATCTTTATTATCATTATCATTATCATTATTATTCTTACTTTGTTTACACATAGACATGGCTCTCAAAAAAGAAACAAAAAATCCTAGCGTTTATCTTATGGCATGTAGTATTGGATCGGTCCTTTTATAACTACAAGATATATGAAAACTTGCTGTGACTTAGAGAATAATCAAAATAGCTTAGGAGGCGCATCGAAGATATGACTCCCTCCAGATCAATTCATACCTACCCATTGGAAACAATTTCACCTATACGGACCACCCATTCCTCACTCGCACCGCTTCCAAATGGGAATTTCATTATTCCTTAACCCAGCATTCGCATATACTAACATCTATATAGATAATTACTCGTCACCCTATTATATGCTTTGTCATATCGACAACCTTAAAATATACTGTCTATATCTTCCACCTCAGCCAATCATCGCCAAGCCTGCTACACCCGCTAGCGAAAATCTGTAGGCTTACAACGCGCAGTTTGGTGGAATAAATACAAACAAGCTGATCAAACACTAAAATCAGAAATAAAAAATGCAAGAGCCACAGCATTTTATAGCTTCTGTGATGAACTTGACAGTGACCCTATAGCAGCTATGCCCACTATCAAACGGATTATACAAGCTAAATCCCGCTCAAAACATGTCTTTAAATCAGCTCAAGACCCTCAACAAGCAGTTAATGAAGAGCACAGGTAATTTATTAACAAACAGTGTCGTTGCCAATTGTTTCATTTTTATTTTATTTTTTATTTTTTAATTTGAGTAGATGAAATTGAGATTATTGATTGTGGGAAAAACTCAAACTCAACAGAGGAAGTATCAGGTATAAACTTAAAATAACTTCTACCTATTCCAATGGTTTACTCATTCTTTATAAATACAGACAACTACTCAAAGCAGTCAATAATAAATATAGCAAAAAGCATATTCTTTAAAATTGAACTAGCAAATGTTGACCTATACCAATATGGCCACTTTGCTAATAAACAGATATATGAACAAGTACAGAAAAAGATTACCAAATCTTCACACTATATGCGCGAATTCTCAATTTGCACACTGGTTAACCAAAGAGAATGCACATTTTGGAAAAATCATAATAAAAAGAGAAAGAGAGAATAGCCTACCCGTTAAAGGTAGGTCGCTATGGTTATTTAATGAAGGTGTTAAAGGTAAAAAAAAAATTAATATTAGATTATATTCTTGTTTGTATTTATAAAGCAAAATAACTTAACGAATTTTTTTTTCTAGATCATATACGTGACTTTGATACGCGATTCAGAAAGCATGTACGGTTGGCTATGTTAGAAAATCGCCTACGATTAAACAGTAGTTTTTTATTTAAAAAATACATGACCCCATTTGAGCACAAGATGTTATTAAATATATCGAATTTGCCTGGGCTGGATCACTTTAAAGGAATAAGGAACGAAGAAACCTCTTTAGGAGCAAGAGGAAAAACGTAAAAGAAAGGAAGGGTGTGATAGATGCAATGTAAATATTATACAGGTAGTGTAGGAGAATGAGGAAGCCAATCTAAGAGACGTTGACCAGGATTGAGCGGGTTAGAAAGAAACGGCTTATTGTGTTGTAACTGGTCAAGTTCATGAAGGATAAAGCAGATGGAGGGCCATCGAATGTGCCAAGGGATGACAGAATGAGATGAGACTGGTTCCTTGGTGGGAAGTTGATTTAAAAGAAAGGACAAGGGATCTTCTATAGTTTCAGGCATCTGTAACCGACGGTGTATTTGGAGACATATGACTGCATGTCGTCGAGTGAGGCGTTGAGATGGATGAATGGGGCAGTATGAGAAAATCGCCTACAACAGAATCACATGAAACAAAAATACGTCTTTTGAATCTAATGATTACAGGGCTCAAGAAGAGATGCTTTTGTGAAAAAATATTTGCTTCATTTTCGTCAGTTTCTAATTCACCTATTATTCAGAGAGACTATGATACAAACGATATTGAATTAGAATTAATTGATTGTGCTGGAAACATTCAAATAATATTTATATACCATTAGGTGAATATAGATATCTCATATCTACTTGTATAATAGACATGCTTTCATTTTTCGTTGCCAATACAAAATTCATTCGTCTATGCGTAATTGATTAAGCTGGCCTTTCAAATGACCCTGATGATGTCTATAATACATTAAAGTATGTAAAATGAAAGGAATCACAAAATATTACAATTTTATTTTCATATTAATTTTCCATTGTAGATTATATAAGTCAGTAAAAGAAATTGTAATAGATCATGGATATAAAATTGAAGTAATTGACAGGTACAGCTTATTACATGATAAAAAGAATATATCAATCCAAAAATTTAAGAGTAGAACCGGCTGCAAGAGACGTTCTCAAACTTAATAAATTAGTAATAGTATCTTAATAAATTTAACTTCTATCACTGACTTGAGTCGAGTTATTAATTTTATATTATTTTATTATTCCTCACTTCCATTTATACCAAGTTTAGTTAACTAATTAATAAATTTGATAAATAAAAATAGTATGTTCAGTATGTTGAATACAATCTACGAATTGGGTATTTTAGAATATAACCTATTTGTAAGTGATCCCAATCTATTTGTAAGTGATCCCAATCTATTTGTAAGTGATCCCAATCTATTTGTAAGTGATCCCAATCTATTTGTAAGTGATCCCGATCTCATTTGAGTGATCCCAATCTATTTGTAAGTGATCCCAATCTATTTGTAAGTGATCCCGATCTCATTTGAGTGATCCCAATCTATTTGTAAGTGATCCCAATCTATTTGTAAGTGATCCCGATCTCATTTGAGTGATCCCAATCTATTTGTAAGTGATCCCAATCTATTTGTAAGTGATCCCAGTCTCAATTGAGTGATCCCAGTCTCAATTGAGTGATCCCAGTCTCATTTGAGTGATCATGATCTCTTTGTGAGTGATCTACATTGTATACACTTTCCTGCCCATCTTCGTAAAAGAAAGTATTTGTCATTGCAAAGTTTTAAAACAAAGGTGAAAAAAAGTTGACTTTTTTTTTTAAAAAATCTTAGAGTTTATATCATTTTTTCTAGCCAATTTGATTCAACATATTGTGACATTTCTCCTTGCTCAAAAAGACAAGTTCACTTGGCATAAATAGACAAACAGATTTTGCTTTCAATTTTCGCAAAGTGGCAATATTTACCCTCTTCTCTGTATCATTTCTACAACAAGAAGATATAGACACATAATATTTTATTTTTATATTCTAGGAATAAACATGCTATGCAAATAGGGTTGAAAATATATAATCCATGTAAATATAGTTATAGTTGATTGTTATCTAATTTTTGAACAAAGTCATAAATCATAATTATGACACGACTAAACAGAAGACATTCAAATGAAAAGTAATAATAAAATAAAAAGGCCAAGTTTTATATCTTGTTGAGTATAAATATATCAGTTAATTTATTATAAATTAAATCATGAGTAAAGTGCAATGCTTTTTTTTTTTTTTGCATTAATTATTTGCATTTTTGAATTTTATAAATTATGCGCAGACATTATGTTTTAACTGGAGCCAATCGAAGGCATAAAAAAAAAGAGTGTCAACTCAAATACCACACTAAGTGCCAACTTTTTAAATTCCGTATAGTGGAAAAAAAAATCCAGTTATAGAGAGAGGATGATACCGCAGCATTTCTATGAAAGCTTATGCAAGTCACGATACGCGTGCTTGATTGGTGAAAGTACTGCGCCTTCCAAATCTAAAAAAATTATGTATTTAAAATCACAGCAAAAATTTTATTTATTTCTTTAATCTTCAACATTGTATTAATTATAAATGGCAGTTCGTAAGTATTAATCTAGAATATAATTATGACGTTAAAAAAAAAGTATGTTGAATTTAGTTTATATTAATTTGATTTTGATTACTTTAGGTGCACAATTTGAAAATAGTAACGAGATTGGTGTATTTTCTCGTTTAACAAACAGTTATTGTTTAGTTGCCTTGGGTGGCTCTGAAAACTTTTATAGGTAAAATAAGCGTAACGATATAAAATGAATAAAAAACTTATATATTATTTCAAGTGTTTTTGAAGGTGAATTAGGTGATGTGATTCCTGTCATTCATACATCAATTGCCGGTACACGTATTGTTGGCCGTTTAACAGCCGGTAACAAACATGGTCTTCTTGTGCCCAGCACTACAACTGATCAAGAACTTCAACATTTACGTAACTCACTACCTGACAGTGTTGCAGTTCAACGTGTTGAGGAACGTCTTTCAGCATTGGGTAACGTCATTGCCTGTAACGACTATGTTGCTCTTGTTCATCCAGATATTGATCGTGAAACAGAAGAAATTATTGCGGATACCTTGCAAGTAGAAGTCTTCCGTCAGACTGTAGCTGATAATGTCTTGGTCGGATCTTATTGTGCTCTCTCTAATCAAGGTGGTCTTGTCCATCCTCGTACTTCTGTTCAAGATCAAGATGAATTAGCAGCTCTTTTGCAAGTTCCTCTTGTGGCTGGTACTGTCAATCGTGGTTCAGATGTTATTGGTGCTGGATGTGTTGTAAATGATTGGTGCGCATTTGCTGGTATGGATACAACTTCAACTGAATTAAGTGTAATTGAAAGTATCTTCAAATTACAAGACGCTCAACCCACAGCCATCGTTAACGAATTAAGAGATTCTTTAGTTGATACTTATTCTTAAATTATAGAAACAAAAAGAAAGGAAATTATATGTCCATGTAGATATTATATAAATATATATATATTAAAATTTTTACTCTTATATAATACAAAATGTATATGCATTTTTTTCATATATAAATGACAAATATGTTCCATGTATATAACAAAGAAAAATGATAAAATGTGCCTTTTTTTTTATGGACAAATTGAGTTAAAACACTGAATAAAAAAAAAAGCCTTAAATGTATACATTTTTGTTATTAATAAAATTGAAACACATCAATAAACTATATATCAAAATTGCCTGGGGAATTATTTTTTTAAGCATCACGATAGGCACACCAATCGTTGCCCTATTTTAACTTTTTGAGCCCTACTTGATTTTTTACCGAACATTCCTGCTCCAAAAAACTACCAACAGCATTTTCTTCTTGTGTTATATGTATTGAGTCTACTTGATCTAACATAAAAAAACAAAAGATCAAAAGTTATCTATACTTTGGTTAATAGTGTCAGGTTCATAACAAACACTTCTTTGTACAATGAAAGTCAATGCATTATATATCTTGGAATTAACATGCGTCTATTTTAAGTTATAGGTTTTATAATATTTACTAGCGAAGGTATTGTGTACTGATAGCGATTACTTTTCTTTTATTAGAGGAATTGTGTTGCATTTTTATTTTATGCATTATAGAAAATCATTTACAAACGGGTCAGAATAAAAAAAAAGAAAAGCATTGAGAGCAATATGACTCCATTTTACTGTTAATACTTAAAAAAAAAAAAAAGTATAGTATATAACCCGAGTCAAGGTAAGAAGTCTCCTTTGACAAACTGAATACAATTTATAATTTATCAGAGTCAAAGCAACTCTTTTAATAAGTCGTGTCAAGTATTTTGATAAAGTAGTTTCAGTCAAAATTGAAATAATGCTTTGTTGTGATAGTCAATTTGAATTGAGTTAGTTGAATTAGGGATTTAGTACAGTAAAATCATTCCTTTTCCCTATTCACCCACCCACACTTGGACCAGGGCCTTTAGTAGCCTGTTTACTTACTTTCCTCCTCTTTTTTTTTACCATACCATTGTCATAAAATGGGTTTATTTCGCTAAGATAAGGTAGATATTCAACGCAAAGGAATAACTGCTTTATGTACTTACAGGAACCAGTAAAAGAAGATGATAATATGCTAAGAAATCTAAAATAGCTTTCTCGCTTCGTCCAAAAAAAAAAAAAAAAGATAAATACAGCATCTGAATTTCAATTTCAGTTTGTTCATACAATATCCTTATTTCAAAGTAGTTACTATTATTATTATTATTCTTATTATTATTATTATTTTTTTTTTTTTTTTTTTTTTTTTTTTTTTTTTTTTATTATTATTATTATTATTCTTCTTCAACATTCATATATGTGTTTATTTTTATAAACAAAATATATTCAATTTCTTTCTCCCTTTTTTTATAGGAGAAATTCATTCTTTTTTTTTTATTTATTTATTATAGTCATTCATACATCTTCATTTCTTTCTTTTTTTCATTTCATAATAAGCAGCAATGGAGGTAACACACTGCATACACAGCCTATTTTAACTTTTTTTTTTTTCTTTCTTTCCCTCTTCCCTCCTCAACCCCAACTACTTTTATACATATAGGAAATTCAGACACGCATAAAAGAAGTTCAGTCTAAAATAGAACAAAATACACAGTTGAAAAACAAAGCAATTGAACTTCGCAAATTCCTTCAGGACCGCAATGCTCAACGCCAATGTGATACCCAAATTAGAGAATCACAACGTTACATTGACTATTTTACGGAAGAGTTAAAAAGACTAAAAATAAAGAGTAACAGAGCATCCTATATATCCATTAAAAGTCATGATAATTCACAGCAAGACAACCAATCTGTTGTAAAATCACCTATTCCGATTTCTTTTGAAGAAAAAGAAGAAGAAGAAGCAGTAACAAAAAGATTTTCAAATTTAGGTAAAACTGTCATAAGAATGATTCAATCCCTTTTCTTTTCTTTTTTTTTTCTTATTATTCTACTTGCTATCTAGATCTTTTAGAGGCAGATACACCTATTAATAGAGCCAAAGTCTCACTTAAACTTCATGAACTTGAATATAAAGTTGATGTTGAAAAGAAAGTTCAAGAGGGTATTCGAAACCTTTCAAAGACTTTGTCATCAACGACTGATCGTCGTCGTAAGCAAGAACTATCTGAAAAACAATTGGAAAGTATTGAAAAGATGGCCTTATTAGCCTATGCTGTCAAGAAATACAAGGATTTATATTTAGGTGAAGAAGAAGACGGTCATGTTGATAATGATTCTACTAACAATATAAACGAGGAGAAAGGTATGCCGGTGGCTCGTCGTCGTCCTGTAACGGGTCAGTTACAACTTAAAATCGTTAAAGCCCATGAGTTAGTTCATGCTCCTACACGCATGTTTCAAAACCCTCAAACGGCTGTGATGATCAAGATTGATGGCGCCATTCAGAATCGTACAAGACCGAGTCGTAATGACGTTTGGGGTGATCAGTTTGATTTAATTGTGGATAAGGCTACTGAAGTTGAGCTTTTGATCTATGACCAATCAGGGGATCGTACATTACCTATCGGTCTATTATGGCTTAAAATTTCAGATATCGCAGAGACATTACGAAAACAGAAGCTTGAAAATCAACCTGTAGGTATTCATGCATGGTTTGATGTAGAACCACTAGGTAAAATTTTGCTGGATCTTAACTTTATAAGAGATGTCAAGAAACGGCCAATGGATAAGCTGGGACGTGTAGGTGCTGTACGTGAACGTAAAGGGGAAATACATGAGATGAATGGACATCAATTTGTAGCCAGAAGGTTTTATCATATTATGAAATGTGCTCTTTGTGGTGATTTTATGACCAAGTTAGCATATCAATGTGAAGATTGTGGATTAGCATGTCATCGAAAATGTTATACAAAAGTAGTTACACGTTGTATATCCAGATCTAAACTTGTAAAACATCTATTTTTTTTATGTAAACGAGTAAGTTAGTTTCGTTTCGTTAACTTGTATTTTTTTTTTTTTTTTTTTTTTTTTTTTTTTTTTTTTTTTAGAAACATGATGAAGATGAGCTGAAACATCGTATTCCTCATCGATTTGAGCCACTCACTATTATTGGGGCTAATTGGTGTTGCCATTGTGGGTTTATGTTACCACTTGGATTTAGAGGAGCACAGAAATGTGCAGGTAAAAAAAAAAAAAAAAAAAAAAAGGAAAGGGGGAAAACGGAGAGTCAAGTCGTCTCACCTAGTTATAGAATGTAGTGTTGTTTGTCATACTAAATGTGCTAAATTGGTACCTGACTTTTGCGGTATGTCAATGGAAAAGGCGAATTTAATGCTAAGTGAAATGAAAGCTGCAAACCGACGACGAACCATACACGCTGATTCACTATCCCAAACAGATTTACAAAAAGTACTTCCACGTCCACTTTCTGTACATGATACAATTTCTTCATCACAAACTCTCATTAATCTCTTTAACCAACCATTTGAACCTAAGCATACAGCCATCACTACACCTGTCCAGGTGAATCGTAAAGTGGGTTTAGATGACTTCAATTTCCTTGCTGTCCTTGGACGTGGTAATTTTGGTAAAGTCATGTTAGCCGAAGAAAAGTACACAAACGAACTCTATGCAATCAAGATTCTCAAAAAGCGATTTGTGTTGGACAATGATGAAGTAGAAAGTACGCGAGCTGAAAAACGCGTCTTTCTAGCAGCCAACCGGCACCCCTTCTTGGTCAATCTTCATTCAACCTTTCAAACAGAGACACGTATCTATTATGTGATGGAGTATGTGAGTGGTGGTGACTTGATGATGCATATTCAACGAGAACTCTTTTCAGAGCAACGTGCTCGATTTTATGCATGTGAGGTCTTATTGGCCCTCGAATACTTTCACCGTCAGGGAATCATTTATCGAGATCTCAAGCTAGATAATATTATGTTAGGTCTAGATGGACATATCAAGTTGGCTGATTATGGGCTTTGTAAGGATGGTATGGTGGGTGATAAGAAGACAAATACATTTTGTGGAACACCTGAATTTATGGCACCTGAGATATTGTTAGAACACAAATATGGAAGAGCTGTAGATTGGTGGGCCTTTGGTGTATTACTTTATGAGATGTTATTAGGACAATCCCCATTTAAGGGAGAAGATGAAGATGAGATTTTTGATGCTGTATTAGAGGATAAAATTATGTATCCAAATGAGATGACAAAGGAATCAATTTCAATATGTGAAGCTTTATTAGAACGCAATCCTGAAAAACGTTTGGGCGGTGGTAAAGGAGATGCTCAAGAGATAAAAGGACATCTCTTTTTTGCGGGTGTCAATTGGGAAGATATGTTAGCCAAACGTGTCAAACCACCCTATATACCTACTGTAAATGGAAGAGCAGATACGTCCAATTTTGATGAAGAATTTACGAGAGAAATTCCAATTTTAACACCCATTAATGCTATGTTAACTGAACAAGATCAACAACCATTTATTAATTTTTCGTATGTTGCAAATTGGGCAATTGATGGCAATATAGCAAAATGATCATATCTCCTTTTATATACTCTATTTTAAAATAATATTTTTGATTATTTTTTTTTCCTTAATAATGTTTTTTTTTCCCAAAATTTAATAAAGTATTTCCAGAATAATTTGAAAAATCATGTTTAGATGAAATACTATCAATTGATAAACATATTAATTCCAGTAAGCCTTTTAGGCTTTATTTATTTAGATTTTATTACTTTCAACAAACATAGCGGTAAAGGCCTCAGTAGTAATAAACAAGATTAACTCTTTAAAAAATATATACAAGTATTTTTATTTTTTACACTAAAAATGAGTTTTTTTTTTTTTTTTTTTTTTTTTTTTTTTTTTTTTTTTGGATTCGGATTTTTATAATTCATTCCACTGTATCTAAAAAAGAAAAAAAAATTTTAATACTTTTATTTCCTCTTTTTTTTTTTTTCTTTTTCTTTTTCTTAACAAAATACATTAACATGAACAAAGGTAAAATTGATTTGTAGCGTTTAAAAGATGTATAACTCATTATAATACTCAATTATAGGCGAAAGTGTCTATAAACCTCTATCAGGCAGCAATAAACAAACAAGTTCAGTTAAAGATGTTCTTACTGAATTTATTCGTTCTACGACAGATCCAGACAAACTCATGGACACTATGCGACCTGTGTATATTGACCGTTCTCATGCATTTGTAAAAGAAGAGGAACGCAAACAACAACAAAAGAAGCTTAGACATAAACGCGATCATAAATTAACAGCAAAAGAAAAGAGAAAGCTCAAGGTATATGAGATACCCAAGGATGCTCATCAATATAAATTATTTGAGCCATTGTCTCAATTATGGCAAGGTTATATGTCTAAATTATTACAACAAGGATTAGCGAATTTTGAGCAAAAACTAATAAAGGCAGATTTTCATGGTGCTACTATGACAGGTAAATAGACGTACATACGTACGTACATACAGATATTGTTTACAAGATAGAGGCTTATTTCAATATATATATACACCGGATAGTCATTCAGAGTACAAATCCAAGTTATGTAGGTGTGTCAGGTATTGTTATCCAAGAAACAATGTCCATGTTTAAAATTATTACAAAAGAGAATAAGCTTAAGCGTAAGTGAATGAATAACAGTAAAATACAGACTAATAGCTAATGTTTAAAACCATTTTAGAGATACCCAAAAATACAAGTTATTTTAATATTTATATTCAAGAAAAAGATAAAACTTATACACTTTATGGCCCTCAGTTTGTTGCAAGACCTGCAGAGCGAGCATCAAAAAAGTTTAAGCCAAAGCCATCCATTAATTTATAAGTTTATATAAAAAATATGTGTTGTGATGATATTGGAGATTACAAAATAATACACTTCTTCTTCTTACTCTTACCAGAAGGTTTATTCATCATTAAAGCAGCACGGGTAGCATTTTCAAACACTTCACGTACACCTTCTCCAGTCTTTGCAGAACATTCAAGATACTTATAAGCGCCAATTTTTTGTGCTACACCCAAACCCTATAGTCATATCTATTTTTAGTATTATTTGTGTTTTTTTTTTTTTTTTTTTTTTTTTTTTTTTTTTTTTTAAATGTCTATCTATAATAATATCTTCTTGCATTTGTACCTCTTCAGTAGTTACAGGTCTTTGAGATGTTCTTCTGAGTTCCTCAATTTTTGCAGGGTCGTTTCTTAAATCTTTTTTACAGGCAACAAGTAAAATAGGTAGACCTTGACAAAAGTGAAGTACTTCGGAAATCCACTATATAAATATGTATATAAAAAGGGTTAAAACTCTATTTGCCAATTAGATAGACTGCATGTATACCTTTTCTTGAACGTTATCCAATGAATCAGGTGAATCAATAGAGAAACAAATCAAAATAACATGAGAATCAGGATAAGAAAGAGGACGAAGACGATCATAATCTTCTTGACCTATATAATATGATATTAAAATAAATGTTCCCTAATATTCTTCCTAATAACCTACCTGCTGTATCCCAAAGGGCTAATTCAACATTTTTTCCATCAACTTCTACATCTGCAACATAATTCTCAAAAACAGTAGGAACATATAGCTATAAAAAAATGACACAAATATTATTATTCGGTATAATATCTTTATATATCTAATATCTATTTACCTCTGGGAATGTTCCTCTTGAAAACACGATTAAAAGACAGGTTTTGCCACACGCACCATCGCCCACAATCACGAGTTTTCTTCTAATTTCAGCCATTCTATTACAAAAAAAAATACTTTAGTCTAAAAAAAATACATAAATATATAAAATTAATAAAACTGCATTTAGTATTTTTCGTTACTGATTAATGTTGTTACTTAATAACTGACAAATCTTATTAAAATGTGCAATTTAACAACTTTTTTTTTTAACAAATCAACAACAATAAAAAGGTTTTTTTTTCTTTTTTACAAATACTAAATGCAGCTTCAAATCTATTAATCAAATAATTACCTTTTGGTATAATTAAATAGATATAAGAAATAAGAAGGGTTTAATTTTAATTTTTTTTTTCTTACTTAAAAAATAGGAAAAGGGAAAAAGAAGCACGAGTTTTTTTCTTTTTAATTCAAAAAAAAAAAAAAAATATACAGATATTTATATTAAATACAGTATATCAAGCCAATTAAAATTTGAATTTACAAATGACTATAATTTTTTAAATCCATAATTCAGCTGTTGCTACAATAATACGGAACTCCTAGATGTACAAATAAATACGTTACATGAAATAGAGCATGAAGCTGAACTTCCCTCCTTCCTTTCTTTATTTGAATATTGTAAACATTAGATTTAATATTTCTTCGGTTATCAACTATTTAATTATGTTCTCAAATGGATCTACCATTGACTTGTTTGTTAATAATTTAGCAAATAAAATGGTTTCATGAACTTAAATGCTAGGTTAATTTCTTCATTAACTACCATTCATACAGATGCAAAGAACTATACTAATGGCATATATTATTATACTCTCTCATCAAAATAGATGTGAAATTTCAAAAAAAAAAATACTATACTCTAAATTATGCTATTATGAGTTGTGCTGCTGCTTGATTATTATGAATCAGTCAGGGATAAATATTTTATCCACTTATCCTAATCCTTTTTTTTTCTTTCATTATTATAAATACAAATATACATATTTTTCAATTTGTGATGTATGCGTCTACGACGCAATCTTTTCAACAAGCCGATGACTACTATCAAAATCCACCTTGGCAAAAACTTCTATGGGTAAAACAAAACTACCCAGATAATTATGTCGACAATACCTTCCTAGAAGAACTACAAAGAAACGGTAAATTGAATTACATGTTTCATTAACATCATTTAATCGATTATTTATGTATGTTTAGTCAATGTGAGAAGTTATAATTATTGGACAATGGTTTATGAATCAGGCGTAATCACACAACATATTAGTACTGTTGTGATCTTTATTGCTATTTTTGTTTATTTACAGGATCACATTCTGTCTGGCCAACATTTAATCTGGGTTGGCACTTTTTTGACAGGTTTTGGATATATTTTTTGGGACTGGATGATGGTGAAGACACAAAGTGATTACGAATTTAAAAGTGAGTACAAGTTAATGAAATGAGAACTAGACGACAAATAATGACCCATCTTGTAAAGGACAGAGAGTAGCAAAGAGTGCATTTTTCTTTTTTATCACCTTATTAGGTTTATCGCCTATTTTAAAAACATTGACAAGTCAAACGAGTGATGATACCATTTGGGCTTTAACTGTTTGTTGCTTTTTGACAAATATTTTATTTCATGACTATCATGCACCACAAGCCAACAACAGTATACAGTGAGTGAAAAAAAAAAAGAAAAAGAAAAAGAAAACATAATTAGAGCCTTACTTTAGCCATTTAGAATACCCGGCTCATTATCAACCAATGCAGCTATTTTCGCTTCAGTCTTATTAGCTTCTCGATTAGATACAAATATTGATGTATTTGGATTATTATCTTTTGCGGTAGAATGGTTTTCATTATTTCCTATTTTTAGAAGACAATTAAGGGTAATAATTCTGAGAGAAAGATTTATATAATTAGATGCTAATCAAACATAAAATAGAATTTCAGTCAATATATACAAATCGCTATGACATTAATTTTATTATTGTCTTGTATAATTTTGTTCATTTATATCTCAAAGGCAGTTGTCATTATTTATATTCTTGGATTTTCATTTATAACCATCATTTGTCCTTATTGGTTAATATTCATTCAAAAATACAAAAAGTAAAAGAAAAAAAGAGGAAAAAAAAAAAAAAAAAAGAAAAAACTAAATCTTTTTTTCTTTTTTAAATAGTGAAATTCACGGTCCTTGGGATGAAGCAAGACCACGTTTACAAAGACGACATAGAAAGAAAAATCAATCCTAATCGATTTTTATTAGAAATTTTAAGTGGACACAATAAATTTTGTTTATATAATTTTCTTTTGAGGACACGATTCCAAAGGGGAGTATTTACAAATGGGTGTTTTTGAATAGCATTATGTGACAATAACAAATACGTGAATTAGAGTCGTTATTCGATTTTGGAAATTACTATGAAAAAAAAAAAGTCAATTATGATCAATCATTAATCTATTTCACTGATAAACCTCTTCTATTAGCTGATTATCAATAACTTTTGTTAAGTCAATTTGTGCCGACCATTAATCAAAGCCCATCCATGAAAGCAGTGCTTCAAAATAAAAGCAATTTCTGGCTTTTTTTATATTAGAATTATAAAAAAGGAAAATAACTAAAATTTTTTTCTTTCCTCCATATATTAAAATTTATTTAAAAAAAAAAAATGATGTCATTATAAGAAAAAAAAAATAAGTATACAATAAAGTTTGTTCCTGGAAAAAAGATTCTACAGAACACAATAATTTAAGCTCATTTATTGGAGGAGATTTATGAATTCAATCAACAATGTATTTCAATGAGTGTTGAGCATGACCCATCGTTTTACCAGTGTTATTGATGTTTAATATTCCAACCTATACCATTTAAGAAGAGAAAATAAATTGTACTGCAACGTGTAACAATGTAGATATTAAAGAGGGACAATAATAAAGATCTCTTTTGTATTAATACAGCTTTTTACTACAGGAATAATATTCATGTCATCTTAAGGATATTTCAAGGCTATTTTTTTTCCTTTTCTGCTTTTTTAAATTACATATACCATCATGTAATTGTATTGTTGTGAAAGCAAGTTTGCTATATATTTCTTGAGATCAATACTTTCTTGTAACACAGATGATAATTTAGTAATACTTTAAAATAACTTTGATTTCTTAGTTGCTTTTTCACTTTCTCTTTTTTTTTTCTTCTTTAATTAACGGCCATAATGAGGTTTACATATCTAAAATGGCCAATTATACAATTTTTCTTTTTATTGTTAACTATGAGTATGTCTCAAGGGCAACGTGCAAATGATCCTTTATTAGTCTCAGCAATTGCTATAGAAACAGGCACATTACCTATTACTACAACATTACAACAACCAACAACAACAGCTGCTATTGAAACAAGTAAGCAGCCTATTACAACGTCAAATCCACCACTATCAACAGCTAGTAAGCCACCTATTGTAACATCAAATCCAGCACTACCAACAACAAGTAAGCCTCTTATCTCATTATCTAGTGTATCAACTTTAAATCCTACTTCTAGTTCTATTATTCCTTCTTCTTTAACCTTGATTAAACCAACAACTACTTCTGAGGTATCTATCATAACATCAGAGGCATCATCAATGACAGTTTCATCTCGTTCATCTGGTGCACCTTCTTCAACTTCTTCTTTACCTTCTTCACCTTCTCCATCTCTTCCATCTTCTTCTGATGACGATGAACCCAATAATACAACACCTATTATTATAGGTGCTGTTGTAGGCGGTGTAGGTAAATTATGGATACACAGATACATTAATTTGTGTTTAATATTAATATTATCTTTACTTAGTTGGTATTGCATTAATTGGTGGTGTAATAGCCTGTATTAGCCGTCGTGGAGGATGCACCAAACGTAGTGATAAAAAAAAGTCTGATTTTGAAGATTATGGATTAGGTGATTTTCCTCACAATAAGTCTACTATGGCTTCTGCTGCTGCTGCTGCTACTTCTGCCGCTACTGCTGCTACATCGACTACAGCAGCACCTACTATACCTAGATTGAATGAACATGGTAACTATTACCAAAATACTGCACCGACTGATGATTATTATTATCAGGGTAATGGAAATTATATGGATAATGGATATAGCATGCAGCAACCTCATCAATATTATTATAACCAGCCTTATCATCAAGATTATTATGATGATAGCTATTATTATGATAATGCATCAGGAATGGGTTATTCCGCACAAATGCAACCTCAAAGTAGTAGTCCTATTATGCAGCACACTACTAATATGCCTATGGCAACTCCTCTCCCTCCTCCTCATCAGCAACAAAATATTTATAAACCTGATGATATATCGTATAAAAGATAAAATATGATTTTCGCTATATAATAGCTTCTATAATACTTAATATCCTACTTTATTATTAAAAAAATATATAGCTGTATACATATATATATATACAAATATATATATATGTATGTGTGTGTGTGTGTATAATAAATGGCATAATATATTATAGGCATAAAATAATTAATGTATAAGACATATATAAATAATGGATATAGTAAAAATAATAGTAATAATAATAATAATAATAATTATACAGATCAAATGTAATATAAAAAGGAGTGTATGTAATTTTTTGTTTTGTTTTTTTTTTATCTTTCTTCAGAATAATCAGACTTAAATCCCATCATGCTTTGTTGTATTTCTGGCACCTCTTCTCGTGCCTCAATTGCACGCTGCCTATAAAGTTTAGCATCTTCTAAACTAACAGCTTGTCCCAAGTGTCCCCTTTCAAAGCAATCAGCAATATAATCAAGCGCTTCTGGATCATTCAGTAACTCTGCACGACGCCAATATCCAAAACTTCGTTGTATATCACAGTTTTTTTCAAAGTATCTAGCGAGTTCTTTAATCGCAGACACATTCCCATTTTGTGCCTCCTCTTCCAAAATAGCAAGACCCTTTTCAATATCATGATGTTGCAAATAATAGGACCCTAACTTGTATTTAGCTGGTTGATAACCAGCTTTCGCAGATCGTTCAAACCATTCAATTGAATTATCAAGACATCCTAATGCATATTCGGCTTCTCCATCGCTTCTACCGACAGCTCTTTCATAATACTCACGAGACTGTTCTAAATCACCTAATCTCACCAGTGCCCTTCCTAATTTTGTTGATGCTCTTTCATAATATTGCCGTGCTATCTCTAAATTGGGTACTATCCGAACCATTACTTGGTCCCCTATACGTCCTCGAAATCCTAAACGATAGATCTCACCTAAACGATAGCTTGCCTCAGGGCACTCTAAAAAATCAGCCTCTCTCAAATCCTCTAAACCTTCCTCATAGAGTCCTGTAGCTAGCTCTAATTGTGCCAACTCAAGATAAGCTTCAGCATGGTTAGCATCCGCTGCTTGACGCAGATAATAAGCAGCCCGATAGCAATGTCTAGCGCCATTCAACTGTAACTGCGTCAGTCGTATGCGGTATTTAGCGTACTGATAACAAGCGTCGGGGACATCCTTTGATTTGAGATAATTATCAGCTGTTTGTTTTGTAAGTCCCTCATGTTGATGATAATACTGAGCGAGTCGGTAAATAGCGCGTGTATCATTACGGGCTACGTTGTAAAGGAGCGGGAAGAGGTCAAGGGAGGTGTTTTGAACTAACTTGGAGAGATGGTCATAGGATTCCAATGTTTTTAACGTTTGACAGGCCTCTAACGCGTAGTCAGCATTATTCAAGTGTTGAGAGATCCGGAACTGACCATAGCCGACTGCCATGCGACCATAAAAGTCTAAGCTATGATTAGATAACTTTTGAACAAGTTCTATCAACTCTTCAAGCTGTGATGGTTTCATTTGATAATAAAGAATCATTATTTGTGCTGAGGGGTGATTAGGGAGTTCGCGTAGCCAGTTCATAGCTTGGCGTTCCATACCGTAGTTGCTATAGGTGATACCAGCAGCCAGTTTCATCTTATCAAATTCATCAGGATAATTATGAGGACGCATTTGAACCATTGATTCAGTTAACCGATTTTTAAAGGAAATAGGGGTCTCTATACTTTGATCAACAAGTTGAAAACATGTATCAGCATCATCCTCATGCGATGGTAAAGTCCCATAAAGATAACCTAACTCAAGGGTGGCGAGTATATTATTTAATGCTTGAGATTTTATCAAATAGTCTTTTGCCTTTTCTTTAGAATTCTCATCATGTAAGGAGAGTAAGCCTAAGATTATATGAGTATTTTGTAATTAATAATAATAGAATATATATATATATTGCCATACCTGAATAGTAATAAACTTCTGCTTTATATTTAGAATGACTGGTTGATTCCATAATTTTCAATTGGTCTCTTAACTTTTCATCCTCATAACTGTTATAGTACATGCGGACTAGCTTTATTCTTGTTTCAAGTTCCAAAATAATATCCTTTGATTTATGTTGTAGACTTTTTTCATAATATTCTTTGGCTAATTGTTTATCACATCCTTTACAAATCTCTTCATCATGACATTTCCCTATGAAAAAGATTTTAATTTGTGTGTGCGTGTGTGTGTATGTATTTTACCTAACAGGATTAGAGGGTAAAACAAATTTTTCCCATTAAACTGGACCATATCATTTAACCAAGTAAAGATCAAATGCTTAGCTCGACTCTTTCCACAACCATCAATCAAAACTGTTTTAGAAGCCTCAAGACGTGCGTTCCAACCCACATTGGTGGTTATGGCGTTAAACGTGGCAACTTCGATAAATTTGTTAAGAGCTGCACGTTTATGTTTACATGTCTTCAAGAACTGTCCGTATGCCAAGCTCATTCTATATATATATATGTATATATATGTATAATTGATTATGATTATTATTCTTACATATTTATCATTCTATATAATTACTTATTAGGAACTCGACTCTCAACTTGTTCAAATATTTGAATAGTCTTGAGGATATTATCTTGATTCATTCGTGAATAGGATTCACAAAGATATCGTCCAGAGGCATGATCATTTAGTAAAATGGCCTTCCACAAACAATGCAAACTAAATTGAAAACTTGAATCATCATTTACTTCTTGACGATATATTTCATCATACAGATCTCCCAATGCACCGTCACCTCTAGGTAGCTTTAAACCAGATTGAGTTACAAGTGCCAACATACGATATGAGATTGGGTCATCTTCATTCGCAGTCTTCCATAATTCTCGCATTATCTCTTCCTTATTTTCCAATTCACGACCTTTAATCAAATAATCAGCCATATACTGGATAGCCATTGGCTCTTGTAACTTGGCAGCCTTTGAGAACCATTGGAAGGCTATATCCAAATTCTTTGGGACATGACGTCCTACATAATAGTACACCCCTACTTGAGTCATGGCCAGGGGGAACCCATGGTTGGCAGCCCTCACGAAGAACTCGAAAGCTGAGGGGTGATCGTCTCTGATCTGTAGCATAAGACCTACACAATACTCGCATTCTGGACGTTCATGACGAGCACCCTTCATGAATACCTCAAATGCCTTTTCAGGTTGGTCGATGATAAGGAACCAAGCAAACCAGTAATGAGCAGCAGGATAATGAACGATATTGGAAAGATAACTCATTGTCTCGAAGCTCTCCTGAGGGTTACGTTCAATGACCCCTTCAATGCCGTTATATTGCCAAAGTGCAATACGTAGTTGACATTCATGATGTATATCTTCCTTGTCATCCGTAACAGATAAGATATGTTGAAATTCGTGATAGGCATGAGAAGGGTTTTCATTGGCTATTAGGAGAGCCCTTGAAAGGCGAGCAGCGATACTATCACCGGAGAAGAATTGCATGGCACGTGAAAGGTCTCGTTGAACACCTGTACCTGTCTGATACATTTGTCCTAATAAGATTTTGGATGCAGCGTCTCCCAGCTTAGCAGCCTGGGTAAGTAATTGAAGGGCTATGGAGGCATCTCGTTGACAACCAATACCTAATAATTTAAGAACACCTAATTTACGCAATGAAGGTGGATAACTGTTGGATATAGTGAATGCATCAATAGCTAATTTAAATTGATTTGTTTGTAAGTAAATGATGCCTCTTTGGTATTGAGCAACGTCATAGAGTGGGTGAGAATTATCTATAATATGATTACAATAGTGAAGAGCTTGTTGAAAATCGAGTTGAAGATTATAGTGGAAAGCTAATGCAAATGATGCAATAGCATGTCCCTATTCATTTATACATAAGTATTATATATGTATATGTATGTATGTATGTATGTATGTATATAAAATTGCTATACCTGATTGGATGCTTCAATTAATAAATCAATAGCTTCTTGGCTATTTTTCTTCATTTTAAATAATAAAAGTATACCATAGGCCACTTTAGCTGACTTGAGATTTTTGGCCTGATAATAAAGCTGCTGAGCTTCCTCCCATTGTCCATTTTGTTCAGCTAATTGACCTAAGCCAACTATAGCACGCAGGTTCCCATTGTGTGAGGCCATCTTCCAATAATCATAAGGATCAGATCCAACCTCCCATAACATGAGACCTGTTCTGAACTGAGCAAAGGCAACTAATGTCTTGATGCGAACATTTACCACATGTTGTTGTCCCTCAAGTGCTATGCATTCAAATAAACGATAAGCTTGGACTACATCATTATCAGACAAAGACTTGAGGGCATCCAAATAGGCGTTTGAAAGATATTGCTCCCACCATTCAGATGATTGTTGATGATGATTAGATGGTAATTTATAGTCCTCTGTTTTAGGAGGGATAGTAAAATCAGAAGCCACAGTAAACGATGAATCAAGAGTGGTAGTACTAGAGAGATGAGAGAAGAGTGCGTCTTGGAGGGAAAAATTGGATGAGGAAGCAATAGAGGAGATAGTATGGTATTCATCTGACTGTTGTGTATATATGTTAGATAAATGCTCCTGGATATCCTCATTGGATGAAAAGTCGTGGATAATGTTATCTGGTGTAAGAATTTTTTCTCGCAAGTCTAAAGATAGATGAAACTGTTCTTGTTGATTATGATGTGATATCTCTGCATCGGATGGTTTATTTACTGTAGTCTCTATTAGTCTATCACTCGATAATTTCACTACTTTGTGTACGGCTTTATCTGTCGACTTTACTATATCTCCTACAGTGTTTGCTTTGGATGTAGTGGTAGCATGAGGCTGTTTTTTACTATTATTTGTTTGTGCTTTCTTATTATTTATGGCCTTTAATTTGCTGTTCTTATTATTTTTGGACTTTCCGAATAATCGTAAAAAAAAACCATTGATCATTTATGAATAAAAAAAAAGGAGGGAATAAAAAGATAAAACAAAAAAAAAAAAAAAAAAAAAGGGCGGCAACGATTACTCAATTAACCATAGATACACATGTGTATCAGATAGTCACGGATCTATATTTAAATACAATAACAATAAGGGAACATATAATGTGATCTCATATGTGCGCACGGTTAATGTTTATATAATGTAACACTGTCTAGTAATAACAAATTATGAAATCATATACTTCCATTGCTTACGCTCTTACCAAAAATACATACGTGTATTGTACTTTAAAAATTTAGTATGTCACGATTTTACAAAAAAAACCTTTACTGTAGTAATAATAAACTTATTTAAATAAAATGTCAGTTATTGCAATCATTAAATCGCTTTACAACAGGACAATAGTAAACAAACCCTTCAAATAGATGTGTACAAGTATTATTACAACTATTGCTAACCTTTTAAGGAAATCTGTGTGCTGCTTTTTTTTTTTTTTTTTTTTTTTTTTTTTTTTTATTATTATATAAACTATTAAAAAGATGCTGCTGCAGTATTTCAAACTCTTCTAGAGTATCCCTTATTTTCCTGTTTATTTCTTTTTCATTTTTTAGTTTTCTTTCTATGCTTGCACTTATAAAACAGTTTAATTCGATTAAAATAGCTTCTGTTGAGAAATGATATAATTACAATCAACTACTCATTTACTATCCCTGAGAGAAGTTATTCATTTTCTTTTATTTAGTAGAGTCAAACAATAACTCTAGTGCTATCATTCTTTTATTTATTAAGATAGCGATAAATAATCTCGGGTCTTCTACTAGTAACTCTATGAAAGAGGACAAGAATACTGACAAGAAATAAATAATTAATCATATTAATAAAACTGTCTATTGGCATTATGGCTACTATACACCTTTAGTATCCTAAATTAAATAATAATAATAATAATAATAAAACTACATATACAAATATTTTATTTTTTTATACACAATTACTTAATATATTTTCAAGCTTTATAATAACCTATATAATGATATTAATACTATGCATATATATATATATAGTTAAAGTATATAGTGTATTTACTTGATCAATATCAGGTCTCTCTTTAGAATCAATGACTAGTAAGAACTTTATAAAGTTTTTGAATTCATCACTATATGGATCTTCAATAGGAAACTTATAATGACCATTTAAGATAGCTAAAGCTAGTGATCCTCCCATTTCATACACACTCGCTTCAAATGGATTTTGTCCATATGCTGCAGCATATAGCGTACATCCTAGACTCTATAATGAAATAAAGATCAGTATATATAGATGTATACATGTACATATATACTATATCATTGTACCCAAATATCCACTTTTTCATCTAATATTGTACCCGTCTGCACATCAAATAGCTCAGGTGCTCTATAAGGTAATGTCGACTTTTCTGCTGCAATATCCTAAATATACAACACACAAATTTAAGTCTACAAGCTCTATTTATATACTAGACTCAATTACTTGTTGAAATAGTCCATCTTGCCTTGTTAAAATAGGTATACGTGCTTTTGTAACTGATCCAAAATCCATTAGTATGGGCGTTTTACCATCATCTGATATAAGTATATTTCCTGGCTTTAAGTCACGATGCGCTAATGTTGCAACCATATGAGATAAATAAATATAATTTTGATATTTATAACTTACCAAAAGGTACAACAACATTATTTTCATCATGAAAATTATGTAATATTCTTATCGCATAACAAATTTTTAAAAAGAATGCTAATAGGTCATATTCTGGAAAACAAGTCTTATTGATATTATTTGCATTAATGCTATCCTGCAAATTGCCTCGTTTATAATATGGTAAAAAAACATAAACTGTTTCGGTACCATCGTGTTCTGTAACTATACTTGTATCCTACATTTAAGAAATAAGTTTCTAATTACCTAATACTAATTGCTGCTATTATTTTTACCAGCACAGGTATAATGTATTCACTTTTAAATAATTTATACATTTCAATTTCATGCATGGCATCAGCTAAGGCACCTTCTGGACAGCGCATCTTTTTTAAAGCATAATATTGATTATTAGATTCATCTTGAACTAAATAAACAAAAGAATATCCTCTATTATATAATTATAAAATGTTAAGAGCTTTTTTTTTTTTTTTTTTTTTTTTTTTTTTTTTACCCTTCTCCTAATAAGTTAATCACTTTATATTTCTTTCTTTTGATAGTAATAGTTGGATTTGGAAAGCAGCATGACGTTAAAGCATAAATAGTATCTCGAAATGTAGTTATTAATGACATTAATTGAAAAAAAAAAAGCTTAATTGTTTATGTGAACACAAAAAAAGGACCTTATTTGCTGTGACGACAATAATAATCATACTTAAAATTCAGACTAGGAAAAAAAATGAAATTAAGGTTAAATTAATAAAGGGAGGATTTCATCAAGTTATTTATGTATACTTCTTCATAAACTACAAAATTTCTAAAGACCTTATATAGTACTAAACATGATTCAGTCGCAACTAAAATACCTTTTCTTCTTTGACACCAGGTATAGTCTCATATAAATACACCCCATCATTTAAAATCATACTTGACTTCTAGAACTATTGTTCAATCTCGTCGACTCTAATATAAAGTTCTATAATTTTATATTCTGATATATTAATAAGAGTTATCACAAAGACGAGTATTTAAAAAGCTTAATAAAGTTCATTGTAGAATTAACTAAATACAAAAAAGAGAAAACAATTGCACCAAGGATAAAAAGTCTACCAAATTAGCAGGTTATAACACTTATACAAACAAGCAATGAGAGGATTTTATTGATAAAATGATTGAAAATTCCTGAAGAGAAAGGAAATATCACTAAATTCTCCAAAGAACTCTTGATTGACTCACGTACTGCAAGGAAGATGGTGGAAAGCATACAAAAAGACGGGAGAAGTGCCCTATAAAAAAATCAAAGAATAATAGTGGTTCAAAGAGCACTTTCACTACGAAACATGAGGACTATATTAAGAATTTGATAGATGATAATTCTCAGCTCTTTGCTGATGACATTATAGAAAAAATTGACTAAACAATTTCAGAACTTTTCTATATCAAAGTCGCAGCTTAATCATCATTTGAGGAATATTATGCAGATTACCGTCAAAAAGCCTCTTTTTGAAACCGAAGTTAGGAACTCTGTTGACAATTTAGAGACAAGATACAAGTGGTTTATGAACTTGGAAGGATAAAGGTCTGGACTATACAAAAAAATTGTGTGTTTATCGATGAAGCCAGGTTTCATATAAACATGAGAAATAACAGAGCTAGATCACCAGTTGGAACTCGCATTGTGGTTAAAACTGCAAAAAAAAAGGAGTAACCTCTCACTCGGTTATCGAAGCCATCCATTCGTCTGCAGTGCTTCATGTCGTTTTGAAAAAGCCCCCTCCCTCCCAAACCTAAATTAGATACACACTAACTGTTGCCAAAAAGAAGAGAAAGGGCAACAGTGGAAAAAAAAAGGAGGGTTTAGCTGAGACGACTAACGACAATGAAGGAACTTAAGAGGATAACATCAGTGTAGTTGATGTAAAACCAACTCCAAAAGGTACAACAACTGCTCATTTTATTAAGTTTGTCAATGAGCTTCTTAATATTATGGATGAGGATAAATCTTTAAAGGGCAGTTATTTAGTGATGGATAATGCTAGTATCCATAAGTCAAAACCAATAATTCGAAAAAATCGAAGCTGGAGGTTATAAAGTAATGTATCTTCCCCCTACCCCCGCTTAATCGCCTGAGCTAAATTCTATTGAACAGTTCTAGGCCTTAGTGAAAGGAAAAATGAAGCGCCATCGTTTGACGAAAGAAGAGACATTATCTTCTAGAATTGGTGATGCATGTAATAACGTTCGTTTTAGTGATCTTCATGGCTTTTGCCTTCGTTCCAAACATCAAATTATAAATTGCTTTAAACGAACTCCATTCTAATCCCTTCGTTGAATAAATACCTACTAACTTTAACTATAAATCAACTATAGTGTTACAAAAACTAAAGCATTATATGATTCTATTAATTAAAGTATGGTTAAGCGAAGCGTCACTATTAATTCACAGTGAATATTTCAGTTATGACAATAGTAATCATTTATAAGCTACTATTATTAAAACTCAATGTAGAATGAATATTATGCTGTGACATACAATGCACTCATTTTATTTGAATAACCTCTTTATTATAACTTATTTATATTAACTTAGATGTAAAGACGACTACAATTATAACACTTTTATTTTTATTTATATATTTTATTATATTGTTACCTATAAATCACAACAGTTCTTTGGAAAATTTAGTGATATTTCCTTTCTCTCCAGGAATTTTCAATCATTTTATCAATAAAATCCTCTCATTGCTTGTTTGTATAAGTGTTATAACCTGCTGATTTGGCAGACTTATCGTTTAAAGTTTTTGTTTCTTTAGCATCTTTCACTATACTATTCTTTTCAGCAGGTTAATCAGTTAAATAACTCTTGTAGCTCAGCTAGTTATTGTTTCAATTACAATGTTTGCGTCTAGTAATTTCTGTTAAGATATCTTCCATAGGATCATAAACTCTTTCACCATGTTTATCGAAAATGTTGTCCATTTCATCTTCGAAATAAAAAGTATTTATCATTGTAGAGATCTCAAAAGCTTGGAAAAAAGAAAGAAAAAAGAAAAAAGGATCTGCATTAACGGAAGAAATTAAATCTTGCCTTTCAACAACCATTTTTTTTAATCGACAATTTCATTTTTTTGTAACCAACAATATCCTCTAGCGGGACTGTACCTAAAATGATTGTAAAATATCTTATGTACATGTCGATTTCCATAACATATAATTCCCCCTTTTTTTTTCATGGCATATCATTACAAATTGATGAGAGAGACCTTCTACTTTATCTTTTATTAATTTACGTGTACAGAGAGGCAGCTTAAAGAAATTACCAGTTACTGAGCAGATACCATGAAAAAAGTTGTAAATGATACCAATAAGTGCTTGTCTTGAATTGGACTCATTTGCAGCATTTTTGACAGTAGCCCTGTTTAGCATTATCTATATATCGAAGCCATTTAGATGTATACATGTCTCATTTATAATGTGTATATTGACATCGTAGCAAACAAAAAATTAGATGATTGATACCATTTTTCCTCAAGAGAAGGTATAAACCTTTGTTCATGTCCCCCTTACTCTCTCTCTCTCTCTCTCTTTTTTTTTTTTTTTTTTTTTTTTTTTTTTTTTTTTGAATCCTATTGAAGAGTACTGGTCAAAAGTAAAGAGTAATATCAAAAGGAACCCACTTGATAAAGTAGGTCCTCTGACATTTCGTCTTCCTGCAGCTTGTCAATCAGTTACTATTCAGGATTGTCAAGGTTGGGTTTAAGCATGCTGAGATGTTCTGGGATAGGTGCATTGACAAAAAATTAGGTTTAAGGTAACTGTTATTCCTACATATCATTTCTACTTTACGTAGTTCTTCCAAAATAAAAAATCATTTTGTCCTAAAAGTTTACATCATTTAATCCCCCTCAAAAAAAAAAAGTAACCCGTTTCAATTTCTATTTTCAAATTATCCTAAAGAAAAAAAAAAGACAACTGTAGCAATTAAGACTAAAATCCTATATGACACATATTCGGTTGTTAAATCGGATAATGATCTTCTGTGTTCCTGAAAATTAAAAAAATAAAATGTGTCCTCTAATTTACAAAATAAATATTATAAATGCATATTTTTATTTCGTAATACAAAAACCAAAAAAAAAAAGTAAAGACATTATAAAAGTAGTTTATATACATTTATCCTTGCTGTTATTGCTGTTGGTGCTGCCATAATTTTTTAAGTATAAACCTTTTCAAATAATGCTAATGTGCTCCATTATGGGCTTCTTATCTGTTATATAATACAAAAAAGGATAGGATATATATAAAAAAAAGAGGTATTGATTCGAATCAATCCAAGTCAAGACATGCTGTATTTAAGCCATAAGAAAAATCCATAATAAGTATTTTTCGATCTTGACTTGCACTACATATACATGTATATGTATATAATATCATAAGTATCAATGACCCTTCTTTAAAAAAAAATAAGTGAAAACAACAATTATTACCTAATAATTCGTTTTTTGTCAAATTGAACATCAAATATCCAACTTTTATGACCGCTTTGAAAATTTAATAAACACGCACCCGACCTGCAGTAGGGAATAAGTTAATTTATGAATAATGATACTTGAGGAAAAGAAAAAAAAAGATTCATACTTTATATCCCATACTCGAATTGTCTCATCGTAACTTGCACTCACAATCTTATCTCCATCAAATCGCAAGTTTCTAACAAGACCTAAATGCCCTTGAAATATTCGTGTACATAAGCCTGTCTAATGAAAAAAAAAGAATAAGTGATCTATTTACAATAATGAATTTGGTATGTTTTTTTTTAAAAAAAAAAAAAAAAAAAAAAAAAAAAAAAAAAAAAAACTTACTTCAGCATCCCATACACGAATGGTATAATCATTTGAACCACTCACAATTGTTTTACCATCAAATTGAACACATGCTAATCCATATTTATGACCTGCGAATTCACGTACAAGTTCTCCTGTCTCAACATGCCATAATTTGATCATAGTGTCACTTGAGGCAGAAACAAGGTAGTTATCTTTGAGTTCAATGGCGTTTACAGGACCTCGATGTCCCATAATCATTCTTAGGGGTTGAAATGAACGACTACTCCAAATACGAATAGATCCATCCTTGGAAGAACTTATAATATGTCGATCATCAAATGAAACATCTGATACACCAGCTGTATGTCCCTATATATAAAAAACTAGTATAAACATATATTATTTATATGCAATTTTTTTTTTTTTTTACATGTAATCTTCCTCGCATACGCTTTGTTTTTATATCCCATATAATGACAGTATGATCTGACGAACCTGACACAATAACATGTTCATTATATTGTAAACAGAGCACACTACCCTGATGTCCCTCTAAGGTATCAATACATTGGTATAACTGAAGATCCCAAATCTTTATAGTACGATCACGACTTCCAGTAACAATCTTGGTATCATCAAATTGCAAACAATATACACTGTCAAGATGTCCGACTAAATAATGAGAAGCAACTTGACCTGTTCTCCATCTTATTTCCAATTGGTATTGCTGTTTAAACCAATAATACCAGCTTTGTTCTTCTGGGCTCAAAAAATAATAAGGTGGTATCTTCAATCGCCAACCACGCTGAATCATCTGAGTCTTCCAAATGTCGTCTGCATAAAATAAATTAGCCCAACTTCGGGATAATTTTGGAATACAACGTAATGTGTCAAAATCAAGAAAGGTAATTATATATATACATAATTCTAAAGGTAATTTTTTTGTAAAGTCTATATAAATATAAACATATATATAGATATATATAACTGAAGGTCAATCTTTATGTCGGTGTACTGCTGCTATTTCTTCTACTTTATTTTTATTTTATTTTATTTTTGTGTTTTTTTACCAATTTTTTTGTGATTTTTTTCGGGCTCTAAACTATGGTAATAAACAATTCGTTTCTTTGGCTTTTTTGTCTTTTTTTCAGAGGTATAATTGTGCAATGATTCTACAACATCTGTCATTTCAACATCTCTCAAGTAAGGAGTTGCAATCGGAATATTGTACATAAGCTCGCTAAACTTAAAAGAATAAAGGAGAACAAAAAAATAAATAAATAAATAAAATAAAATAAAATAAATAAAAGAGAAAGAAATAAGATTTTTTTTTTCTGAATGTTAAATCGAAAATGTTTTTAGTTAAATCCAAAATGGGTAATTTTTTTTTTTTTTTTTTTTTTTTTTTTTTTTTTTTTTGGGCACATAGCAATAGTAGTAGCAAATACACTTCAAAACGTGTCACATTATACAATGCAATGCTTGTTCTTTTCGTAGTTATTATGCGTTTTTTTTTATAAAAAAAACTAGTGAACAAAGATAATTCTATATCTTCTCCTTTTGAAAAAAAAAATATACTTTTTTATACAAACCACAGTTAATTTAATAGATATTTTGCCATTCATAAATTTGTTATAGTTTTATTGAAGCATTTAGTGTATTAGGTTGATTGACATTTTAAATCCTTAACAGGGATTAATGAGTAACCAGCTCCTTAATAAAGTACTGCCTTGTAACATATTTTTGCAAGCTCAAGTATTTTATTATTCTTAAACAAACTTATGTGTTAATAATTTCGACTGAATATAGTGATTTGCACTGTTACATTAAAAGATAACCATCCTACCTCTCTCATCTTTTTTTAAGCTATTATATTCATTTTTAGTGTGTATTGCTTCTTCTGTTAGAATCTTATTACTATCACTTATTATTTATAAATCTAAATAACTATTTAAATGCTTTTTTTTTTTTTTTTTTTTTTTTTTTTTTTTTTTTTTTTTTTTTTTTTTGCTAGTAATAACTTATTACAAATATAAGCATATGAATTAGAATATACTATTTGGACTCCTTTATATATACAAATATATACATACATATATAATATCTATAGTTTCATACGTTGAGCCTATACAAAAAGACCTTTTACTATATATATATGTATGTATATGCATGTATTGTATGTCTTGATCGATAGACTCGCAATATAGTAACGTAAAAAATTTAGTATACAAAACTCTACAAGTATAGAAAATAATCTATTCTATATGCATATCTTTTGAGCTTATTATGGTCGTAGTTGTATTTATGACTAGTCTAATAGAAATGAAACCCTGTTTTATATTATAAATAAAACTGTTATATTGAATTTCACAATATACGAATTACCTGATACACAACTTTGACGAACAGTTATTTCTACGGTTTATGAGCAAATGATAGATATGATAATATATTAGAGGGATATGACAATTACATTCAACCGTACATTCATTTTGTATGGTTATACATACGCTAATGAGGAATATGAAATAAGACTAATAATGGAGGCATGAAGTAATAGGTATGATTGTTACTAAAGAAAAAAAAAACTCTCTATAAATTGATATTGATGTGTTGTTTATCCTTATATTCAATAATACCTTTGAAAGAATATAATTGTACAGCCATTACAATATAGAACTAGCAGTGACAATCTAACTTTTAAATGCATATCATTTTAGGGATGGCAAAATTGCCCTTATAGTCTTTGAGATTGTACTGTTGTTTCTATTTCTCTATGAACCCTATTCTCTATATTATACTTGTGTAGTAAATTATTTTTCTATGGCCCTAGTAGCTTATAGTTGGTTCTGGTTGGGTGTGTTCTATAGTCACAGTGAAAAAACTTATCTTCTCCTACTAGGAAAGATATCAAAATAACCTACTTCGACTTTTTTTTTCTTCTTCTTTTTAGATAGCTAGGAATTATTAACACTTTGTTGACTCCAACGTCCGCATTTTTGTACCTTCATCCAGTATTTTAATTTATTAAATACATGTCATATTCAGCCTTATTTTCTATGTTATGTCAACTTGGATTGTACAAAAGATTACTATAATCTAAAGATGATGACATATTAATGAATAGCGGCATCATAGATATTACTTGAGCTGTTTCATATTATCATGATTTTTAACAATCCATTCAGATAATACTTCATTTTTTTTTTATGTCGAAAATGATTAATATCATCCTTTTGAAAATGAATAAAGTATCTAGAGGCTTATTTCTTTACATATAATCATACATTATACATCAAATACTATGACAGATTATATTTTGTCAAATACTCTTAATTTGGAAACAAGTCAATTGCATTCAACACTGTTTTTTTTTAAAGCGACAGATACAATCGTCTAAGGAACAACCTGCAAATTTCCAGAAGTAGTCATTGGATGTGTCTTTACCAATATTATGTAATAACATAAAATGTACGTTTTGTTTGCTGTTAGTTGTTTATACTTTTTTAAACTTCAACCATTAGTACTCGAAAGTGCTTGTATGAAAAAGGAAAAAGAAAAAAGGCATTATTTAAATAAGGCAGCCATTTGGAAATGGGAGCTTGCAATTGAATAACATTCTCTTATAGTTAATGCTCGTACAATATTGACACAGAAGGAGAGATTACATCTACGGACTAAAAATAAACTGTCGAATTACGTGTTTATATGACCACATTCGATAAAAGTAGTGGTAAAGAGGTTTGAAAAGTAATTAACGCATTATACTCATAGTAACTTGATTATCAGTCGTATATTCATGGTGATTTTAATCGGATGCAAAACTTAATTTACATTCTTATAAATGAAAAAGGGCATTATAAAAAAAAAGAAAAGAAAAAGAAAAACCTACCAAGAGGACCAGCATTTTATTCACATGTGACGATTTATTAATACTATACTTGATAGTACTCCAGATGCAAAAACTATTTGAGAATAATCATCAAGTCTCATCTCGTTAATAAGAAGAAAAAAAAAACAAGGAGTGCACAATACAGAAAAGAAAAGTTAATTTAAACAATTTCTGTCTGTCTTCTTATACCCTGTTAAATTAGTTTGGTTCTTAATATTAAACACTTCTTCTGTATTAGTAATGTAATCTATGGCTCTATTATCATTCTCCCATGTTAAATCTGCTTTGGTCATCTTCCATTAAAAAGTAAATGGATATAATTCATGCTTAAAATAAAAAAAAAAATGTAATTGCCAATTTGGAAATTAAAGTATGTTATTTGGAATTGACATTTAAAAATCCGCTGAAATCTATTGCCATTGGTTATTTTATATGTATGTATTGTGTGCCTACAGAATACCCTATTATATATGCAAGATAATGCATACATACTACCTTATGGATATTAATTTTAAACTATATGTTGTATAAGAATGCATATTGAAAATTAATAAAAAAAATAAAATAAAATATGTGGATATATATTTTTCATATATATACATAGTATGTACCCAGGAGAAATATGTATATAGATATTAAAATTCAACCGTATAGGAAATATATGTGTGTAAAAAAAAAAAGGAGAAGAATTAGACCAAAGAGCTTTGCTTTTGATTGCATGTAATACAATGATATACATTCTGTCGTATGAATATACACCAAGACAATGTGTTTGTATACCTTCTTAAATAAAGTTACATTGTATGATAAGCAATGCATATATAATTGTGTCAAGTATAATAGTACGTTATTATTTACAATAATTCAAAGCTTAATTCATTCCTCCTAAATGCATGAAATAAGAAAAGTGAATCATTTAAATAGAAGAACTTATTATATATTAGCCTGGCAATTTTTTTTTTTATTTAAATATAGCATCCACTTTAGTCTGCAGGAGATATATATGTATACATATATAATGTTGCAGGTAATAAAATTCACAAAAGACCAACTATAAAATCAACAAAATAGGTATACATTTATTCATTTTTCTACCTAATTTCATTTATCTTTTAAATAAAATGGGCCTTTTTAGTTTTAGAAAAAAGAAGCTAACAAGTCAAAAAAAATTACCTCAAGAGCCACAAATTGTAAAATATGAATTTAATCAAGATGGATCAATAATTGAACAAAGGCTTCATTCTTCACCTACATCAGATACATTTATGATGTTAGAAAGATCATCTTTATCTAATTTTACACAAAGTATATTATCAGAAGAATCGACGTCTCATAGGGAGTCATTATTATCAGGCAAAAGTTCGTATTATTCTTCTTCTGCATCCTCTGCTTCGGGTAAGTTATATCCATTTTATTTTTCTTTAAAAAAAGTAGAAGAAAATATCAAGTTTTTATATTATATGAATTTACTTTTTGTTTATAGTACTTGCTGGAAGTGATACTTCATCAAAAGGTATTCAACATTCGTTAAATTTTAAAACCAGTAGCATGAATCAAAATGACCCAAGAAAAGTAGTGCCATCATTTGAGGATAAAAAAGAATTTGAGCCAACGGCTTCTGCTTTAAGAAGATCCTATAATAAGTTGACCAATGATTACTGTAAGTCATTCACTAACAGTAACAGAGCTTCACTCATACTGAATAGCAACCATGTGGCGAATAAACATGTAAAACATGTTATTGATGATACCTCTAATTCAAGTTCTTCCTTTAATTCTTCAATCACTACATACCCTCACCCTCATTTGCTTTCTAAATCTACTCCTAGGCAACAAGAAGATGAGGATAGACCGTTAAGTGAACTATGGATGGCAAAATCTGCTACTGAAAAGATAGCAACCAATCAAAATAATGTGTCCGTTATGAATCGTATGAAAGAAAGACACCGCCAAGAATATCGACGTCGATCTATGTTCTTATGGTTACCATCACCTGAATCTGTTACGTATTCTCAAAGTGGTACAACATCTATGTTAGCCCAAAGAGCAGCTACAGTCACCGGTAAGGCCTTTCCAAAACAAGAGCAACCTTACTGTCATCCTCCTCCCGTGATAGTTCCTACAGCCTCTATCTCTACTCCTTATGCTACTAGTAGTAGACCAACACATTCAAAATATTATTCGAATACTATTTACTTTAATGATTCACTTGCGAAATCAACCCTTCTTCCTCCTCATTCCTCATCTGGACGTCATCAACGGTTAACTTTGAATACTAATAATAATGAAGAAAATAGTGCATCTTGTTCTAATACTTTACATTCCACCACTAGTAATAAAAAGAAGAGTCAACTCACAAAACCAAAAAAGAAGCAGATGATGGTAATAAAAAAAACCCAGCAATGCTATCAACAACCGCAAGCTGCTATTCATTGTAAGCAGCTATCACTCCATCATCAACCGACGAACAATTCTACTGATCAGCATTCTAGTATCAATAATAATCCTAAACAACACTCTTACTGCAGTAATCAGAACGATATTTGTTGTTGTTGTTGTTGTTATTCTTGTTGTTATTCTTGTTCGGAGGAAGATGATGAAGAGGAAAGTTGTTCTGATGAAAAAAATTGTCATTTAGATTGTCCTTCTATGCATTCAATTAGGCCACTTGTGGAAGAAAACTGTTGTACGAAAAAGGAATCCAGAATAAAGTTACCATCCACTTTTGTTGAACTAAATCAAGGCCTTTCTAAAAAGAAGAACTATCATTCGGTTCCTGATAACTTGAATCAATTATTGAAAAGAAAATCAATAGAAGAAACTATAAGGAAATTGGTTGAGCTGAAGTCCGAAAAGAGATTAGAGAAGAATTGTAGCTCTTTTCCCCCGTCCTCAGTATGAAGTTTAGACTACAACAACAACAACAACAACGTATTGTCAAAGCAATGATACTAAGATATGTAATTCATGTCATTAAGTTCCTTTTAATATGAAAAAAAACAAAACAAAACAAATCATACACACACACACACACATTACAATAGAACCCTGAATATCTTTACCCATCTTAATAAAAAAAAAGTTATTCGAATTAATGAGTATAAATCTTATGTAGAAATTACAAGCCCTCTCCCCTTTTATTTTATATGATGATCTATTCATATTCGTAAATAATTAAATATATAAATAAATATATAGATATTTATATGCATTTATTTATTTATGTATAAATATAAATATCAATACATTTATAAAGTAAAATACTTTCTTTAAATGGATTTTATTGGCTGAAATTATTTTGAGTATTTTGTTGGTAAATGAAAGTTAAAAGGAACTAGTTCCGTTACAAAATAAATGTTACACATACAATGCAATCTACGCATACATAAGATTTTTTTTTGACAAGTAGTACAAGCACATCATTTTTTAATATGTAGTAAGGTGAATGTACTGGCTAAATATTGTTTACATGAATCAATAAAAAACGTGTTATACTTTCCCTTTTTTTATTATACATATCTATAAAAAAAAAAAAAAAGAAGAAAAAAGAAATACAAATAAATAAAACAATTAAAACCTATCTCCGTCCCAAAAAAAAAAAAATATAATCTGACACTGTTATAATTAAAATCTCATGTTTTCTTTCTTCAAATATATGCTGTACAAGCCCTAACATTTTATATTATTTTTTCATCATAGACATACTATATAAGAAAATAGTAATACTAAAGAGAGAAAGAAAGAGAAAAAGAGATCATAGAGCCTAAATATAAATATATATATCTGTAAATAAAACTAGATAGAACTGTACTTGCTATCAAAGAACCTTCATGATGAATCTACGGTATTTAAAAAAAAAAAGGCTTTTTGTTTACTATTTATAACAACCTGCCAATACCTGCCAATACCTGCCAATGGAATTTTTCTTTTTTTTTTTTTTTTTTTTTTTTTTTTTTTTTTTTGTTTTGTTTTCAAGACCTCCATCTTTTAATATATAACTTTTTTTTTTTCCTACTTTTCACCATTTATTTCTTATTTTATTTTATTTTATTTTTTTTGTTTTCCTTTTCTGAAGAAAGAAAAGCTACTGTCAATAACATACATATACCAGATTAAAAAAAAAAAGGACAATAATTTATTTATTTTTATAAGAAAAGAAAAAGGATGCCTCGTATTTCTCAACGTGCCCTAGCAAGCGAGGCAGTTGTTGACCTTTCTTCAGTAAATGATATTAATGAAGGCAAAGTGATAGACATTCTTCGCTCCAAATTTATGAATTATAACATTTATACGTATGTTGGCTCATGTAATATTATCGCCGTTAATCCTTTTAAATCTCTTGCACAAAATGATGCACAGACCAGCGAGGAATATGTAACATCGTACAAAGACATTTCATCGACAGAAAATCCTATTATGAATCATCGTTTATTAAATCCTCATGTATTTGAACTCGCTAATCGTGCTTATTTTCATATGAGACGTACAGGAAATGATCAAATTATATCCTTCTGGTAACAGAAAAAAATGGAATAAAATAAAATAAAATAAATTAATTTTTTTTTCTGACGTTTTTTTTTTTTTTTTTTTTTTTTTTTTTTTTTTTTTTTTTATAGTGGTGAATCAGGAAGCGGTAAAACAGAATTACACCAAATAGTAGTTGAGCATCTTCTTCGACTTAGTGCGAATAGAAAACGATCAAAGACACAAGCACAAATTATAAATGGGCAAAAGGTACTTCAGGCATTCGGCTCATCACGAACAACGTTTAATGAATCAGCTTCACGTTTCGGCCTTTATACAGAGATCCATTATAATGAACGAGGCAAGATTGTGGGTTCAAAATATCTTCATTATTTTCTTGAGAAATCTCGTGTGACTAACAATCGACCCTATGAGGGCAACTTTAATATATTTTATTGGCTTTTAGCTGGTACGGAGCCTGATGAAAAACAAGTCTTGCAACTCAAGGAGGATCCAAAACAATATCTCTATCTAGCACGTTATGGTAGATTACTTCAACCTGAAGATAGTACAGCATACAATGAATTTAAACAGGCAATGCGAGCTGCAGGCTTTCGAAGAGAACATTTTAGTCGTATCATTCAATTATTAGCTGCTATTCTACATTTAGGCAACGTTGATTTTCTAGACCCCACTACATCAGATGAGGTGGTAACGATTAAGAATCGAGAATCACTTGATTTGGTAGCTGACTTCCTGGGTCTTGACTTGGGCGCCCTTGAGACGGTCTTGACGTTCAAGACGGCCATGATCGGTAAGGATGTGACGACATTAATCTTGAATGCAGAGCAGGCATCCATTCAACGTGACGAATTGGCACAGACACTCTATGGGCTCTTGTTTTCATGGATAGTCGAGCATATTAATCATAAGACTTATACAGATGAATTTAATAGCTTTATTGGTGTTCTTGATTTGCCAGGTACACAACCATCCGGGTTTGGATCAGTCGGGTTTGAACAATTCTGTATCGATTATGCGAATGAACGTATTCATCAGTTTATGATCCAACGTCTCTTTGAGGAAGACAATGAGCTAGAGAACGAAGGTATTCAAGTCCCTTCAACGCCCTTTGTTGCCAATAGTGATTGTGTTGAGTTGCTTGACAGACCTGTTCGAGGTATCTGTGCCATCTTTAACAAAATGTCTGAAAAGACAGTGAGTGGCAAACGTGTCTTTACGGATTCGAATGCTGTAGATAGCATCACAAAGTACAATAATGAAAATCCTGCACTTTCATCAAAGATATCCGAGACGGGTGCTCGTCAGTTTGCTATCCAACATTTTTCAGGTCAGGTCACATATGATCCTCAGGGGTTCATCGTGAAGAACAACAACCAATTGCTCGTCGATTTCATTGCTCTCTTTAGAGGGAATGCGGATATGCCTGCCTCTTGGAACTCATTTGCTCTCGAATTGTTCTCGGATGAGAATTTGGCAATCGAAAGTCATCCCTTAGGTGCTCTCACGGACATGGTAACAACACAGCAGTCTGCGAAACCAACACGTCAACCCTCTATGCGACAAAGTAAACGTAAAGCAGCGAAAAAGGAAAAGGAGACAAAGAAAAACGAGGAGAGTGGTAAGAAGACAGTCTTGGCACAGATTCAGTCTGCCATGGATGACCTCATCAATTCCTTTCAAGAGGCTACCCTTTGGTCTGTCTTTTGTATCAGGCCAAATTCCACAAGTAATACAACACAATTTGATGATTTGGTTGTGCAATCTCAAGTGAGAGCATTCAATTTGGGTTCATTAGCGTCCAAGATGCAATATTTTTATTTGCTCTCTATGCCTCATCAAGGATTTTTGTCAAGGTATGCGGTCCCCCTGAGTAATTTAGGATTAAGTCATAATGGAAGTCCACAGGATCAATGTATTTCAGTAAAGGAATTAAATCAGTGGACAGATAAAGACATGGCAATTGGCACAACAAAGGTATAATCATAATATATATATACATGTATATGTATGTATATGTTTATTTATTTATTTATTTATAAAAAAAAAATAGGTATTCCTAAGTTATCATAGCTGGCATTCACTTGAAGAAAAATTACGTTTACTAGAAAAACAAGATCAAAAGGGTCTAAAGATGTTGGAGACAAACATTGGTTTACCATCTGTATTAGACAATGAAGAAGTAACAGATATTCAGACTCGTGAGGTACCCTTACCGGCTGCCCTCGGTGAATCAAATATAACAAATGATTCACTCCCTTTACCCTCTATTGCAGGCTACTCTGATCGTCGTGGATCTTATTTCTCGGATGATCCTCATAATGATTCATTTTACAGACAAAGCCAATATACAGAATCAAGACTTGGTGGTGGTAATGAATCTGCATATAACTTTGGCATTGTAGATCCAACCAGTTTCATGACGCCCTTACAGCAACCAATACCAGAAAAGGCCGAGTTGGATACAACAGAGGAAGAGAAAGAATCGATGACACCCGGTCGTCGACGATGGCTTTGGATTGTTTGGGCACTTACCTTTTGGATTCCTAACGTCTTTTTAATCAAATGTGGACGCATGAAGCGTAAGGATGTACGTATCGCCTGGAGAGAAAAATTAGCACTTTGTATTATCATCACCTTTATGTGTGGGTTTGTCATTTGGTTTTTAGTCTTTTTCAGTGTCATCATTTGTCCAAAGGAGAATGTGTTTTCAATCAATGAATTAGCAAATCACAACACTAAGGATAGTAGCTATGTTGCAATTCGTGGCGAGGTATTTAATTTGGGCAAGTTTGCATCCCATCATTATCCAAGTGTCGTGCCAACATCAGCTGTTCTGTCCTATGCTGGTAAAGATGCCACAGATCTATTCCCTGTCCAAGTCTCTGATCTCTGTGAGAACGTCTCACCTTATGTCTCTCTTGATTATCAAAAGAATTATACGGATCCAAATGCACAATACCACGATTTCCGCTTTTGCACGGGCCATTATCGTAAGAATTGGTACTACGACCAGATGACGATGTTACGTATAAATTACAAGGAAGGTAACATGGGTGTTGAATGGAAGAGCATCCGAGACCAAGCACAGGGGAATTATCATTTAAATGGCGTGAAGATGAACCGTAATTGGGCTGTGATCAATAACCATATTTATGACTTGACCAAATATATGATGGGAGGTCGATACCTGGAGGCACCACCAGGACAGACAGTACCGGCTAACGTTAGTACAGATTTTTTAGCTGCCTCTGTTGTTAATCTCTTTGTTCAATACTCCGGTATGGATATCACTCAACAATTCAATCAGCTCGATTTAAGTGATGAACGTAAGAATCGTGAACTCGTCTGTCTCCGAAATCTCTTTTATGTAGGCCTGGTTGATAATCGTAACTCACCTACTTGTCAATTCTCTACCTATTTCTTACTTGTCGTCACCCTCTGTCTCTGTAGTGTTATCCTTTTCAAATTTATAGCCGCTATTCGATTCAAGTCTACTCGTATGCCTGAGGAGTTGGATAAGTTTGTTATCTGTCAGGTGACTTGTTATACAGAAGACGAAGAATCATTGCGAAAGACAATTGATTCCCTGGCTACACTGCGTTACGATGATAAGCGTAAACTGATTATCGTCATCTGTGATGGTATGATCGTCGGTAGCGGTAATGATCGACCTACACCCCGTATCGTTTTGGATATCTTTGGTGTGGATCCACAGGTGGACCCTGAGGCGTTATCGTTTGTTTCGGTAGGTGAAGGCTTGAAGCAGCACAATCGTGCCAAGATTTACTCGGGTCTTTATGAGGTAAGCGGACACGTTGTCCCTTATTTGGTCATCGCCAAAGTAGGTGCCCCTCAAGAACGTCAAAAGCCTGGTAATCGTGGTAAACGTGACTCACAACTAATCATGATGGAGTTCCTGAATCGTGTTCAATATGCTGCACCTATGAATCCTATGCAACTTGAAATATACCATCAAATGCGAAACGTAATTGGTGTCAGTCCTGAGATGTATGAATATCTTCTGATGGTGGATGCAGACACAGAGGTCATGCCCGATGGTCTTAATTTCTTAGTCTCTAGTATGGGTCATGACGGTAAAATCATCGGCGTCTGTGGTGAGACGACATTAGCGAATGAAAAGGATACATGGGTTACGATGATTCAAGTCTATGAATACTTTATCTCACATCATATGATTAAGGCCTTTGAATCCCTTTTCTCCACTGTAAGTTGTTTGCCTGGTTGTTTCACGATGTATCGTATTCGATCTGTGGATGGTAAACGCCCCCTCTTTGTAAGTACAGAAATTATCGATGATTATAAGATAAATGTGGTCGATACACTTCATAAAAAGAACTTGCTTTATCTCGGTGAGGATCGTTATTTGACTACTTTACTCTTGAAGCATTTCCCCAACTACAAGACCAAGTTTAATTCAGATGCACACTGTAAGACAAATGCACCTGATCGTTGGAGTGTGCTGGTGTCACAACGTCGTCGTTGGATCAACTCTACTGTACATAACCTTGGTGAACTCGTCTTTTTACCTCAACTCTGTGGTTTCTGTTGTTTCTCGATGCGTTTCGTCGTTATGATCGATCTTATCAGTACTCTGGTACAACCCGCTCTTCTTGGTTATTTAGGTTTCTTGATCTATAAACTTGTTGAAGCACGTAATAATATCCCTTACATTACCATCATTACACTCTGTTGTACCTATGGTCTTCAGATTATCTTGTTTATCATTTACCGTCGTTGGGAGTACATTGCCTGGTTCTTTTTGTCCATCTTGGCATTACCCGTCTTTTCATTTTATATCCCTATCTATGCCTACTGGCACTTTGATGATTTCTCATGGGGTAATACGCGTATCGTCGTGGGTGAGAAAGGTCAAAAGGTCGCTGTGGGTGACGAAGGTGACTTTGACCCCAAGACGATACCACTTATGACTTGGGCTCAATATGAAAAGGTAATGTTGGCAGAGGCCTATAGTGATGTCGTCTCTCAAAGTAGTTATCCAATGGGTCCACCTATGTCTGTTCATGATGGCGGTGCCTATTCAGTTGCTGGTGGATATTCAATCTATAGTGGTGGTGGTCCTACTTATTCTGTAGTCTCAGGACATTCAATGCCTCGTCAAAGATATGGTCCACCTACAATGAATCATTCTCCTCCATCATATTAGAAGAAAACAAAAAAAAAAAAAAAAAAAAAAAAAAAAAAAAAAAAAAAAAAAAAAAAAACAAAAACAAAAACAGGACAAAACAAAACAAAAAAAAATACCACTCTCTTTTTTCTTTTTTCTTTTTTGAATAAACATATAAATACAAATGTAATTTTTTTTTTTCATTATGTAATAATTAATAATAAATATATGAATGTAGTATTTTAATTTTTTTTTAATATGCTGCTGCAAGACCCGTTTTTCGAGGATCACTTGCAGCTTCAACAGTCCCATCAGACATACGTCTTACTGCTTGTACAGCAGAAACACACATAATAGGAGGTAATTCAAAGATACTATGATTCTTTACCTCAAGATCCTTTTTAATTATAGTTGAATAACCATGTTCAAGGACAGCCATGTTAGGTAACAGTTGATGGTGAATACGAGGTGAAGCAATTGCCTTGTAAAGATCTTTTCCATAATCCAAGATATTGATAATAGACTACAAGAATATATATATCATAAAACAAATATGTATATATATATTTCCTTTCATAACTCAAAACTTACATTTAAAGTGGCAGTAGGTATGAATGATCCGCCTGATGCACCAATAGCTAACTCAAATTTAGTATCTTTTTCAATTATTGTTGGTGTAATAGAAGAAAGCGGTCTTTTTCCTGGACTAGCATAATTGTATTTACTTGGGTATAAACCAAACATGTTTTGTATACTATACATAAATAAATAAATAAAGAGCCTATATATATACACATATACATATATAAAGATAGTATAATAGATTATATACCCTGGAATAGAAAAATCATCCATTTCATCATTTAGAATAATTCCTGTTGTTGGGTCCATAATATGTGATCCAAAAGCCAAATTAATAGTGGAAGTTAAAGCTACAGCACCATTCTCTTCATCTACAACTGATAAATGCATAGTTCCATGAGAATCAATATGATCGAATTTTGGATGATAATAAAGAGGTTCATGAGTACTATTATCCTATACAATATTTACATAAGTATATATACATATATATATCATGATTATTATGCTTATGATTACTGTTATTTGATGTCGAATATAAGCTGCATAGTCCTTTGAAATCATCTCTTGAATTCTCTCTGGATGATGAATTACGTCTGGATCAGCTAATTCAGTTCTAAAGGCATATCCAAACTTGAATGCTTCTATTAACCTATGAACATCTAAACTTTTATGTTCATGATTATTAAACTCAAATCTCTCAATTAAATTGAGAACACTTAAAAGAACAGGGCCACTTGTAGGTTCAGAGGTAGTGATCACTTTACGACCATGATAAAAGCCGTATAATGGTTTTCGTATTATAGCTTGATAATTTTCGAGATCTTGAAGGGTAAGGATACCGCCATGAGATTGAACAGTATCAACGAGTTGATGAGCAATTTCTCCCTTATAAAAGGCATCAGCACCTTGTTGAGCAATGATATCAAGTGTATTGGCAAGATTGGGACGTTTGACGATATCACCCTTTTTAATGGGTTTACCATTATGAAAGTAAACCTTTGACCACTCAATTGAATTCTTCATCCAATCTTCAGCCTCCTATATACATATATGTATATTATAAAATGGTTTGTTTAATTTTATATATGTATATATAAAAAAAATACTTTTACTTATACCTTGACACGTATTTCTAATAATTCTGTTGCCTTGAATCCATTACGTGCAATACGAATAGATGGTTCAAATAACTCATACCAAGATAATTTACCATGTCTAGCCATTTTTTTTTCAATTCAATAATGAAATTTTTGCACTTTTATATATAAGAATATTACCTTTGATGGGCTAATTCCAAACCTCTTATTTCACCACTTAAAAATATATACATATTTGTATAAATATTATATGAATAAAAATACAAAAAAAAAAGTCTAGAATAATTCTTACGGAACTGCAACTGATAAACCTCCAATCTGAGCCAACAAAGGATTATGTATAAACATATCTTTTTTAGCTGCCATAGGTGCAGTTTCTCTAAAATCAATATATTCAAACGTACCATTCGGGGATCGAATCAGCATGAATCCACCTCTTTTTTTGAAATAAAAAATAAAAATTGTAAATTCTTTCTTTTTTTTCTGTTAAACATGCTCATACCCTCCAATACCTTTGATTATATGATTAGCTGTGTTATTTTTTTTTTTAACTCTCTAAACAAAGAATCACTTACCAGTTGCAAAGCTATGAATAACACCAATACATAAAGTAGAAGCAATAGCTGCATCTACAGCATTCCCGCCCTTTTTTAAAACTATAATTAATGAATCAAGTTAAAGCAAAGCAACAGTAAATTTATATCATACTATTTTATCTGCTTACTTTCAATGCCAACATTCGAGCATTCTTCAGCCTCAACAGCTACAGCTGCCTTTGATCCTTTTACTAAATGTCCTTTAAACTTAACAGGACTTTCTAAAGCTAATGATATATATTAAGCATGTGTCAGTTCCCTTTATTATTATTATTACCTTCTACTTTATGTTGATTGATAATGAAGCAAATTATAATATAGACAATGCCTATTAAACAAAATACACTAATAAATAATATCCATATTTCTTCGTTTCTTTCTTCTTTCTCTGATTTGATAATAAAGGGAGTGACTCAACATTATCTGGCATACTAAAGACAGAATAGAAAAAAAAAAAAAAAAAGGGAAGATGGGTTGTTGCTCAATTACAAATCCTATATTTATAACATGAATGGACGACGGAATAAGTATTTAGCCTTGCCAAGATAAGTACTACCTATTACGTAATAAAGAATAAAACATATCGTTGACCTGCAGTGATTAATAATCTTGGTGTTTCTTATTTAAACAAAGTGCCTGATAAGATATGACATCAAACAGTAAAAATTTTGATTTTTTTTTTTTTTTTTTTTTTTTTGCTTAAAAAAAAACGAGCTTCTTATGTAACTCAATAGGTTAGTGCCATAATAGGCTTCTGCTATTCTTGTTTTCTCTCTCTCTTTTCACTAACTACATTTTGCTTTATTTTTGACATTAAACTAAAATTGTTGTATAGAATTATGCTTGAAAAGAAAAGAAAAAAAATAAGCAAATAAATGAATGTAGCCTTATGCTAAAATTATGTTTCTCCACTTTATAGTAAAATTGGCCTTTTTTTTTTTGTTTTCCTCTTTAATATATAAATGTTAAAATCTGCTCTTGGAAGAATAATCGTAAAAGTTAAAATAGTGCAAAATAGAGATATTTGAATGATTAAATAGCACGATCAAGGGTTTTTTTTTCTTTTTGTTTTCTTTGTTTTTTTTTAGGTTTATATTTTTCTTCTTTTTTAAATTAACTAAATCTAATCAATGAAAAAAAAAAAGAAAAGGCTTTTGGTTCAAATAAAAGGGTTTCCTAGAGTAGCAACTAATTTCAATTTCCGACTTTTTTTTTTGTTGTTGTTGGCTGGTTACAGTTGTGCTTATAGGAATTTATACAGCACGGTAATCCAGCAAATGATTAAACCCCTCTCTTTAAATCAACGTAAGTAAAAAAAATAATGCATACATCCATCCATCCATCCATCTAACATCTAAACATAGTTAATATAAGATGCCTCCCAAGTTCGATCCCACTGAGGTTAAGATTATCTACCTTCGTGCTACTGGGTAAAAATAGACAGCAGCTTTATTTTTAATGGAACGGAAAAAAAAAAAGGATGAGAAGGAGGAGGAGAGAGAGAGAGATCATGATGAATGAAAGAATTGTCAGTCATTAACTTGTGTTTATTTTTTTTTTTATTATTATTTTATTTACATGTAAATAGTGGTGAAGTTGGTGCTTCATCTGCTCTTGGTAAAGCTCAAAATAAAGCAAAAACATGATATGAAAATATGCACTCAACTGACAATTTTATTTTATTTTATTTTAGCCCCCAAGATCGGTCCTCTTGGTTTGTCACCCAAGAAGGTCGGTGAAGATATTGCCAAGGGTACCAAGGACTGGAAGGGTCTTCGTGTCACTGTCCAATTGACCATTCAAAACCGTCAAGCCCAAGTTTCTGTTGTCCCCTCTGCTTCCTCTTTAGTCATCAAGGCTCTTAAGGAACCCGTTCGTGACCGTAAGAAGGAAAAGAACATTAAGCACAGTGGTAACATTTCTTTGGATGATGTTATTGAAATTGCTCGTACCATGCGTTTCAAGTCTTATGCTCGTGAATTGAAGGGTACTGTTAAGGAAATCCTCGGTACTGCTTTCTCTGTTGGTTGTACCGTTGATGGTCAAAGCCCCAAGGATCTTTGTGATGCTATTGATGCTGGTGAAGTTGAAATTCCTGTAAGTGTAATTAGTAGATCATGTATTATATACAATTGGTGTATGTGAGATTAATTATTCTTTTTTCTTTTGTAGGAAAAATAAATTAATTAAACAATGTCATTTTTTTTTATTTATTTATTTTAATAATAATAATAATAAAAAAAACAACGACAACAACAACAAAATCAGCTTTAAAGAAAAAAAAATATGTGATATGTGTGTCTATGTTTTGTTTGTTTTGTTTTGTTTTGTATGCAAGCAGGTTTGTGGCTTGTGTATATGATTTTCTTAATTCTTTTTTTCTTTTCTTTTTTTTTTTGGAGAAAAAAAATATGTGCTTTGCTTTATTGAGGAAAAAAATAAAAAAGAAAACTAATAATAATAAACTGCAAAAAAGATTATATAAAAAATCACTTTCGTCAGTAAAAGGAAAAAAAAAAAAAAGATCATTTATATATTATATACAAGAAAAAAAAATATTCTCTAAGGAAGAAATAAAGTGAAAATAAATGGGGGAAAAAAAAAGTAATGTTCTTCTTAATCCTTATTCTTCTTTTCTTTCTTCTCCTTTTTCTCCTTCTTTTCCTTTTTCTCCTTCTTCTCTTTCTTTTCCTTCTTTTCCTTCTTTTCCTTCTTCTCCTTCTTGGCCTTCTTAGCAGGCTTTTCTTCATCTTCATCCATGGATCTCTTCTTACCAGCGACAGGAGCAGCGGCAGATTCGACGACATCCACAGTCTTGACTTCTTCATCGTCTAATTCACTCAAGACCTTCTTCATGACATCAATGTTCTTTTCAGGCATAGCACCAGAATCAAAGAATTCAAGACGTTCCTCTACTTGCTTTCTAAGGGCCTTACCAAACTTATCAGTAGGGTTATCAGAGAAACAATCAATACGAGCAGCGATTGTACACTTGTTGGCCAAGTAACGAGAGATACGACCCTTATTCTTTTGACCAGCACGACCAATGAAAGAAGAATGATAGATCAAACCATACTTGGGAGTGTTTCCCTTCGTCTTGAGAGCACGGAACAAGGCCTTTTCAGCACCCAAGATTTGTAAAGTAGAGGCAGGGTATTTGGAAAGGTTAGTGAGAGAACCGGCTTGAGAGATAAGACGAGCACCGACGACTTCACCCACGAGAGCAGCCAAGTTGGGAGCAACATAGTTCATCTTGGTAATTAAATACTCGTGCAACTTTTTACGGTATTCAGCAAGGGAGATGACACGGTCAGCAAAGTTTTGAATGTTGATCATATCAACAGGACTAATGTCAGTACCCATCGAGGCACGAGCGGCGTCCAAGATTTGTTGTGCCAAATTTTCATCACCTTCCAAAATCTCAGCCAATGATTCAAGGTTAGATTCGCTCAAGTCAGACTTATTCTTGACGGCCTTTACGAGACGAGCATATTTGTAATTGTCATTCACAATCTTGACCATTTCAGGAAAGTGCCAAGAATACCATTCCTTAACACGCATAGCAAAGGTGTTGACATCCTTGTCCATTTGATCTAAAAGAGCAATGGCTTGAATGATCATGTTATCAGCACGATTCACGTTAAACTTAACCTTAGCACGAGAGTAACTGTGGCCAAGACCCAATTGAGCCTTTTCAAGATCACCGGACTTGAGTTGTCCAAGCATCTTGTCTGCCCACAAACGAATACCACGGATTAATTCTTGAACCATTTCATCAGAGCTGCATTCAATATTAAGTTCGGCCTTGATAGCACCTGCCAAGTTCTTTTCAGTTACACCGAGGCAAACTTTATGTTTCTTATCAGCCTTAGGAAGGTTCATTTCTAAAAAGGCCTTTAAAGAAGGATGAACAATACCTTAATCATTCAAAAAAAAATAAAATAAAATAAAATAAAGTTAATGATACAAAGTAAACAAACCAAAAAAAAAAAATACCTTCAGAAATGTCGTTTGCATTTTCCAAAGCATCAGCAGCATTCTTGAAAGGAGAAAAGGACTTGAGTTTCAACATCTTGCTAAACTTGGGAAGATCAGCAATGGAATTTTGAACAGATTCTAATTTGGAACCAATTTCTTCAGATTGAAGACGTTCAAAAAGAGAATAGCCTGAAGCTGTTTCAAACAAAATGTAATTGGCCTAATAATAATAACAACGTTTTTTTTTTTGAATGAATGAATGAATTAGTAAAATAGAATGAATGTGTGTTATTTGTAATGTTATACCATTTTTTTTTTATATATATATATAAATGTATATAAATAAAAGTGGTTAAGGAAAAAAAAAAAAAAAAAGTCAATAAATAAATATATAAAAAAAAAACTTTTTGTTAGACTTGGAAAAAAAAAATCGATGAACAGTAAAAAAAAAAAAAAAAATGCAATGGACAAATGTGGCGTCGATTTCGGGACTGCTCTTACTTTTTTATCCATAATAATAATAGCTTTATATATTTATTATTCTTTATTATATAAGTTGGTATTTAATTACTTTGTTCTTTGATGCTTTGTATTATGATTAGATAAAGAAGCTTTACTACTACTAGAAATCTTTTAAATAGATAATACATACATATATGTGTGTGTGAGTTTTGATCTTAATATCACTGCTTAGTTTACCTTTCTTTTCTTTGTTGCCGTCATCGTATTTGCATAATTTCCTTCATCTTTAGCCTTCCATGAATCTAATTTTTGTTTAAAATGTTTTGCTCGTTCACTTGTAGCAAAACGAAATGGCTACAAAAGAACCGCCCATACATATTTAAGTTTTATCTCTCCCTTTTTTTTTTTTTTTTTTTTTTTTTGTTGCTGCTGTTATAGTTACCTTTGTTTGGGTTACAGAATGATGTTGATCAACACGTTGTTGACGACGATGACTTTCAGTTGCCTTTTCTATTCTAGTTTGTAATTTTTGAGCACGAATTTCTTTTTGTTTAATAGCAAAGGAAGATGTTTGACGAAGATAATTAGGTTCAGAAGAGTGAAAGGAGGGAACGACAAGTTGTTTTGACTTTTGTTGAGAAGAAGAAGTATTTGAATTTTGACTACTTTCAGAAGGCGATTGAGTTGTCTTTTTAATAGGACGTTGTTGTTTACTAGAAGACTATGAAAAAGAAGAATTGTATTAGTATATAGAAAGCAACCCACTTGGTAGGTAATACAGTACATCATTAGAATTACTTGCAGTTGAACTAGAGGATTTTTGACGCTGCAATGTATTAGACGAACCATTATTGCCAAGTCCCTTTTCAAATAATTTAATACGAGCAGCCATAGGAATATATACATCTTCAAGTGTCATTTCATTCTTTATATCTTCAATAGCATTAATTTGTGTTGTAGATCGATATCGAGGTATTTTAGAAGCACCCACTTTTTTCTATTTTAAATAAATTAAATGCGTTATCGTAGACTGAATGGGGGGGAGAGGAGAAAGGTTTTTTTTTTTTTTTTTTACTTACTGTAATTCCACTCTTTGAACGTGGCCCTAATAAAGACGATTCTTTTTTATTGCTTACTTTTCCATAAAAAGACCTTGTTGCTTGCATGTAGTGAGGAACATGACGATGACGTGTATTAACATCACTCACCGTTTGCGTTATTTGTTCTTTTTTAACTGTCTCTTGTTGTTGCTGTTGTTGTTGTTGAACAGGAGTAGGTACGGGCGTAGGATCGTCTTCCTCCATCATTTGATTATTTTTATCGTTAGTATCTATCTCTGATTCTCTCCATTGACCACGATCTTCATTCTTAATTTCAAAGGCACTATACTTTTCATTATCGATTAGTTTTTTGTTATCAGTAGGATGTACGGGAGAAATAAAACTTTGTTGATTTGTTATCGTGGTTGTATTTTCATGAGATGGTGAAAGACTTGAAATAGATTGAAAACGATCAGAAAATCGACTACGATATCTTGAAGGGCTTTCTTTAATTTTGTTGGGTGATTCAGGGAGTGGTGACAATGACATTCTTATAGATTGTAAATAAAAAAAAAAGAAGAAATAATGGAAATTTTCATCTCCTGTCCTTTTTTTTTAAAAAAAAAAAAAAATATTTTTTTTTTTTTGACTTTCTTCTATGTTATCGCGTACATACAGACTATAAATATGAGACGTGTTAAAACAAGATAAGAGTATGATTTGTCATTTATACAAATACACTCGTTTTGGTTAATAAAAAAAAAAAGAGTAATCTATAAGAGACTATTCTTGTTCAAGATAAAAAGGAATATAATTAGACTATAAGCTTATATTTTATATGTCGAATCTGACTATAACTAATCATTATATACATACATGCATACATACACGCATACACATAAATATATACACATAAATACATACACATAAATACATACATACAAATATATACACACAAATATATACACACAAATATACATACATACAAATATACATACATACACACACACACACACACACACACACACACATACATACATACATGTATTTATTAATATAGATGCATCGACAATTTATGTTGTATGTAATTGTTTACCTTTTCTATAATTATTTATTTGAAGCATGTATGATACTATATAACCTTGTTTAGCATAACTAACTTTCATAGCACAAATTCTACTTGGTAAATAAATCAAAGACATTATACATTTCTTTAGATACATTATGTTTGTTAATTCTTTTATTATTATTATCCATATAATATCTGAATCAATGTATGTATGTTTGTTATATAATACTATCTCTTATTTATTTTTACAGTATATACATATATGTATATGTATAAGGAAGGGAATAAAGTATGACTACTACCTCTGTTTGAAGATCATGTTATATAACTTGTTTTAATTGGTAACTTACTCATATATTTAAACCCCGTTATATATAAACATGTTTGTATAATTTTTTTTTTTTTTTTTTTATTTTCTAGAGAACAAAAACTTTATCAATAATAATAATGGCAGAAGTGGAAGATCTTACGAATCTTGCAAAACCTACCTCAGATGCTACTTTAACAATACGTTGCATCAAAAATTTTGAATATCGTACCTGTAAAAACCTTGTACTTCAACATGTCAATCTCGAAACAAGTACAGTGGGTGATTTAAAAAAGTTGGTCTTGGAAAGTAAGAAAAAAAAAAATGGAATCATTACGTGTAAAATCAGTTGATTAACGAGGGGGGGTACAATGAATTCTTTTCTCTAGAGGTTCACACACAACCAGGTTGGAAGCCTTATTTAAATGTCAAATTTGGTAAGATTCACTTGTTGTTTTTTTTTTTTGATCCCTTTATATATATATGTATATAATGTTGATTATATGTGTTGTATTGTATAGATACACTTAAAGTATACACTGTTGCTCATGGACATAAGGTATAGTCTATTTCTGTTTTCAACTATATATGTATATATACAATAAAATAAAAATGGGGTACTCATCTTTTTATGATAGACCATGAACTTGATCATTAACATTGAAGATGATGACAAGTTGATCCTTTCTGATGAAGACGCTGTTTTAGCTTGGCAAGGCATTGGTAAATGATTGAATAGATAGTTTATGTATATATATATTATTCTAGTTATTTATATATTTTTTTTTTTTTGTATAGAAAATGAAACTGAATTATCCTTCTTTAATATGGCAGATTACTTAGAATTTAAAAAGCATCCTGATGTTATGAAATGGTAGAAAAACACAATAAATAGTCTTGTTTAATAAAATAAATAGCAAGCAATATTATATACATGAATTATCAATAATTTTCTTGATTTGTATGAGTAATTACAGGTGAAGAAGGGGCTGTATTTGAATTATTATTTGGGGTACTGACATTAGAAGGCAGTTGCTGCTGTTGCTGCTGCTGCTGCTGCTGCTGTTGTTGTTGTTGTTGCTGATGATGTTGATAATAATAAGGCCGATCATAGTGATAGTAAGGACTATGTGGTTGCCAATTTTTATTTGTAGTTGGACTATTAAGAAAAAATTAAGTATTTTAAAAACGAAATTAGATGACATCATTTTTGTTTACCTTTGTTGATAATAAGGAGATTGTTGTTCATAATAATTTTGAGAATAGTGCATAGGATTAGTACCTTGTTGTTGCCAATTAGGTTGTCTATCTTTATCTCTATCTTCTTGATTCCAATAATAAGAATGTTGTTCATTTAATACATGCTGTTGTTGCTGTTGATTTAGATTATTTTCCTTTTTCATCATATCAGAAATAGGAGGGTATGTTGATGAATGATGATGATGATGACGTTCATGTTGCTGCATTAGAACAGATGGACGGTATAGAGAAGGAGGGTAATAAGACATGGTAGAAGAAGGCTGTGGTAATGTATGATGAGAAGGATAATATTGATGTTGATAATAATAATAGTTATTATAAGTAGTAGCAGCGGAAGAAGAAGAAGAGTGATAGTCTTCATTTAGTGGTGGTGGTAATGAAGGCTGAATTAGAGTAGGTCGATTATCAAAAGCACTTTCTTCTTCATGCGTTATTTCCATTACTTTTTTATGATCGTCATGACGTTTCTTCTTTGCAATAGGTGGTATTATTTCATCCTTATTATCTTGCCATTGTAATTTACGTCGATGAGTGACTTTATTTTCTGCATAATGACCAGGACTTCTGCCACGGACAACCAAAGGAGGTGATTCTCTCGTAGCAACGACTATTAAATTACCTCCATGCTTTAACTTTGCTAAAAGCTCAATGACGATCACATAATATTGTTGTGCAGCTCTTCGTTTACCATTATTGGCCGTAGCTGTCTTAAACTGAAGTCTCTCAAAGACGACAATCGATTGACTAGATCCAACCGTATTAAAACCTAAATAGCCACCTGGACGAATGATACGAGGCGTAGGTGTCATTTGAGGACCCTTATCTCTCTTGGGTGTATGTTGAATAAGCTCTACAGGACGATGATATTGTTCTTGTGTAGCAAGACGTGCATGAATACCCAACATAAAACATTCAACTTCTTCAAAATGATTATCAAGACGAACAAGACAAGGTAATTCTTGTCCCTCATAAAGAATACTAACACCATCCAGAGAGAACGTACCACTGACTTGAAAATAATTGCGACGATAACATGTCCAATCATTATCTGCTAAAAAGAATCCCCGATCTATTCTTGTATGAAGCTGAACATCAATTCTATCAAAATCAAGGAAAGGGAAATATAAGTATACATATCAACTACGATGATGATGATGAATGTATATGATTTTTTTTTTTTACATAGAACGTCTGTCCATAGAAATAATGTTTTGATTGTATTTTGTTGGAGCAAAAGAGGGATATATTTGTTGATTTGAAACCGAGTCATGAGTAGTACAGTTGGTAACAATAGAATTATTTTGTGTAACTGTATTCTTTTCCAGGGGCAATGAAATCGGATTATTTTCTAACTTGGGTGATTTAAATAAAGGTGAATGATGAATCGTAGTTGAAGATTGAATATGTGTTGGATTAGGTGTTGTTGGCTGAGAAGACATTTTTTCTTTTTAATATAAAATAAATAGAAGATAAATGTCAAAGGAAGAAGAAGAAAAAAAAAAAAGGGAAGTGAAACGAAACACAATATTATATTTACCTTTTTTTTTGCGGAGATGAGTAAAATAATTTAACAGTAACAAAGAAGAAGTTATGATTGTAATATAAAATGAAATGTATGTACAATATTAACCAAAGGATTTTCAATATTTACACTTTACTAATATATTTTCTATAATAAAAAAGAAATAAAAAAAAAAAGAGAGAGAGAAGAAGAAAAGGAAAAGAAATAAAAAAAAAGAAGAGAAAGAAAAGAAAAAATAAATAATTTTTTTTTTATTTTATTTTATTTTCATTTCTTCTCCACTTAATTTCATACCAGGGCTCTATTATTTTTGACATCAGCAAAAAAAAAAAATAAAAAAATAAAAAAATAAAAAAGATAAAAAAATAAATAAATAAAAAATTAAACACCATCATACTTTAATTACGCTTTTCTCTTATTAAATCTTTATAATAAATAACAATGATTGATTCTCTTTTCTATATTAAAATTAAATGGTCAACAAGTCCATTATCTGTATCATCTCTTTTCTTTCGCTTCCCCCCCCACCTTTTTTTTTAATAAAAAAAAGTATTACATTCATTAGTCCGACGTAAAATACCAAAGAAATAAAACTGAAACATTTTTAAAAAAAATGTTGAGAGTAGGATTGCATTACTGCCTCTTCCCCTATTGTTCAACTTATTTATTACCTAAGCAAACATTTTTATTTTATTTTTATTTTTACAAGTATCGATTTGGGTGCATATATGGGTTATATATATGAGTGTACTTATGGGTGCATGTATATTTGTATACATGTGCATATGTATATAATATTGTATTAATAAAAGGGTTATAATTTTGAATATTAAAGATTAGACTTTATCTATACCTCACAATTAATTAAACTTTGCATAGAATAACTTTATACAGCATAGATTATAGCTCCGTCAATTATTCCTTTTTTTAATAGAGTATTTCTACTTCAAATTCAGACGATGTTAGTATGGACGAATTAAAATTAATTTTTAGATATTTGGCTTATATTTTTTTGGAAGAATGGATAGATCAATTCAGACACACAACAGTTAGTTTTCAGATAAATAAAAAAAGTAAGAAAATGAAGAGCTCACATGTATCATGGATTACCATATTAATATCCATCTCTCAGAAAGAGTCTTTATTGGGTGGCATATGGCGGATTGTTTTTCTTGGTGAGGCTTGCTCTGGATCTGGAAAAGGGCGTTTAGAGGATTGCTTCTTGAACGAAGTTGGGTGACCAAGCCCTTTGCGGTGAGCCCCTCTCCCCCCCAAAAAAAAAAAAAAAACTAATAGTAAATTGTTGATAAACTATAGTATATCACAATTAATGCCAAATGGAGAGAATACAATCTTGTTCAACAATTATGTAAGGTCAGACGGGTTTGCAATCGACTTTGTGTTCAATAGACGACGCAAAGATAGTATCGTTGTATTACATGACTTGACGCTCCAAGATTTTACTTATAATGAAGTTGAGAGTACTTTTAGGCCTGCCTTTGTCGATCCTGGTAGGAAGTCTGTATTTACTGCGGCTGTTGGGTTGGGGGACGCCCAACAAATAAGAGGATGTAGTACGAAAGAATATTATACTATGACTGGATCCACAAACTATCAGAAAAAGATGGAAAGGCTGAAAAATGTGGGAGGCATCACGTCTATTGAATCAGAAATGCCTTCGGCCAAGACAAATCAATCTGAAGTATACGATAAGTATGTAGAGTATATGTTACCCCACAGACAAGTCTTGTTCAATTTCTATGGCTTTCAAAGAGCAAAAGATCGGTTTTACTTATATCAACAAAGGCAAAAAGCGGCGCAGATCATGGTCAATATGATAATAAACGGCGGCAAGAAATATGACCGAAAGCAAAGGAAAAAAAAAAAGAGAAGAAGAAAGGAAAAAAAATAGCTCATGTGGTCAAGGAATGACTGTGGTCAAGTAAGCCAACAGACTTTTTTTTTTCACGTTAATTGACATATGTCATAATATAGAGTAAAACGGAGGCCCACAAAGTTTAGTCAAGATGCCGCCAAGGTCCTACTAATAGTTTTTGGGGCAGGAATGTTTGGAAAAGATGGCGTGAATCTTAAAGGAAACAAATGCAGTGCTACTGGTGTTCTATGGACGGCGATTAAGAGGAAGGAGAAAGAAGGTGATCTTTTGGCGATAACTATTGATAAGTTCAAGACATCAAAAATAGGCTACAAATGCTACGATGATTCGCTTAAAAAAGTAGAAAATATGAAAGATTCCAGTGTTCTTATTTGCAAAAACCGTCGAACATTGTGGCAAAGGAATCATAATGCTGCTAAGATTATGTCGCTCATTTCGTCATACATCTGGAATGGCTACGATCGTCCTTCCATGTTCCTCCCCACTAGATCAGCTTGATCAATTTTTTTATTTTTTTTTTATTTTCATCAATCGCCGTAGTAAACACAGCTTCCCTTTTAGGGATTTAGATTTTTACAGGTAAGCATCTGAAAAGCACTGTTTTTTTGTCTAATACTAAAAAAAAAAAAAAAAAAAAAAAAAAAAAAAAAAAAAAACTAACATCATCTGAATTTGAAGTGTAAAAATTATAGAGACATATTAGAACACTATTACTAAACTTGAAAAGACATTTACAACACTACCTACACATTCAAAACCCTCAACACCTCGAAAAACATCGCAATAACTAGGTAAATGCCGCCTAATCAACATAAATATAATAAGCCTCCTAGTTGAGTTTTATCTGAAGAAGAACTGGCAGCTCTTGCAAAAGGCTTCCTTGAACATCGCAAAGCGATACCATGTCCTGAATGCAAAAAAGTCACCATCTACCACAATAAGGGTGATTTTCCATCTAAAACGCACCACTATCAACCCTGTTACAAATGTACCTTATGCTCCATATTATGCCTGCACCCGAAATGCTTGATATCATTACTGCTCCTTCAAGGATGGTAGAAGATATATCTAACAATGTACCCCCCCCAACAGCAACTCCAACCCCAACCATTGTCGTTCTCGTAACCCAAACCCAATTCGACAATAATGCTATACCAGACGTACAAGCACTTTTTAAAATAATCACACAACTAACCACTCGACTTGCAGAACAACAAAAAGTAATTGTACAACTTATTGAAGAACTCCGTCTCACTAGATCAGCTCCACCACAACTACCTCCTGCCGCCGCTCAACCTAGCACTGACGAGGAAGACTTTCCTACTCTTCCAGAAACATAATTCTCCTCGTCTCCCTGGCACCAACCAGAAAGAGTATTAGCTCTCAAAAAGAATCTAGTCCAACACCATGCGAAACGCAAAGCTGCTGCTGCTCGTTTCTTTCAAACCCCTTCAGCTACTCAAGGTTTCCAATACTTATATATACCTACCAAGGCACGTGCTCCCCTTGATAAGTTAAGAACTACTTTCAAGAAACTGGGAGTCAACAATGGTCGTCTCCTAGATCTACACTACCCTGACCGTAACATTGTTGTAGTACTCGTCCATAATGACTATGCTCCTGAACTTCAAGAACTGTTAACTAAACGAAGCATCAAACTCCATACTACTTTTGATCCCTGTAATGGAAGTGTACTCAAAGATCCCAAATATGCCAATGAATCAATTGAACAACGTCAACAGGTTGCTCGTGATCTTCATAATCAACGTCTCCAAAAAACTCTCATTCATATTCGTGGTCCGGCTAAATATGCTGTGGCGCGTTTCTTTGTCCATAAGACCTGGATTACCAAAGACCAACTTGCTGACATACTGACTATTGACCCCTACTCCAGTCGCCCACAAGAGGTCATCTTTGAGCTTGACGTTGCTACTTCTGAATCTTCTAAATTTCACGCGAGTGCGATGGATGAAGATGATGTGAACTCCACCCATACTAATTTGAACCAATGAGTGGTCTTCCATTGAGAATATCACTTTTTAATGCTACTGGTCTCCCTAAACAATATATTTATCCTGTGTTAAATATTGCTAAAAAGTCATCTTTACTCTTTATTACTGAAACATGGCTACTATCTTCCAACAAATATCCAATTCCCTCTTGGAAACAATTCTATACCTATGGTATTCCGGTGAACTCCTATAATCGATATCGTGGTCAACTTGGTTTAGCTCTCCTTGTTAATCTGGACTTCAAACCTCCAATTCATCATATCAATCATGCCAATCCATTATTGGCTAAGTTTACATTATCAATCATTATAAATCCTAAATTATTAATTCACTGCTTACAGTGACTCACAAAAGTGTGGCAATGTTTCGAAACTTTAAGTAATTTATGCAAATTCGCAATAACAAATCGTCTATTTATTAAGTAAAGTACTCTGTAGTATATACTAGATACTAGCAGAAAGACAGAAGTTGCCTCTTTTTAATGATACTTATAGCATATATTCATTATATAATGTTTTATTTGAAAAAATAATATTAAAAGTTATACGTATAAAAATTTAATGCCAATAGCTTATTGAAAAATGAAATGAAGAACGTACCTTTTATGTTTAGTACTTGATAGCACCACCTTTTGCTTTAATTACTGCTTCAACACATCTTAGTGTACTTTCTATGTGTTTTAAGCATAGTTCGGCTGTAACTTTATGGTACCAAACATCAGCAACTCGCTCCCATAACTCATCCATGTTTTTTGGTGGCCTATCATAGGCAGCAAGCCTGCACTTCAAATAAAACCAAAGGTTTTCAATTGGATTTAGATCAGGTGAGTATGATGGCCATTCAAGGACATTTATTTTATTTCTTTGAACCAGTTTCTTGTATATTTGGATGTATGCTTCGGATCATTGTCTTGTTGAAGGATCACATCTTTCTTACAAAGGCCATATCCTTGAGCGTCTCCATAAAGTCACCTTTTAATATTTCACAATATAATTGCGAGTCCATCCCGCCCTCAATCTTGGCAATAAAACCAGGACCATGTTGCGTGAAACAACTCCATAACATTAGGCTTCCACCCCACCTTTGTACTTAAAGTTAACGTTACGGTCTTTTAGAGGTTCACCCTTTTTAACCCATGTCCATTGCTTTCATCAGAACCCAAACGATTGATTTTTGTTTCGTCACTAAAGACGACCTTTTTCCAATCCTCAACCGTCCAGTTTCTATGAGCTTTGGCCCATTTTAGACGATTTCGTCTACGCTCATTTGTCAATGGTAATGCAGATTTCTTAATCTTCGAATCAAAGTCGGACGATTTTAGGAATCTGCGAATGGTTTGGTGGAAATATCATACCCTTGACCATGTAAGTTCCGGGCAGCATCCACTGCAGTGATAAAATGACCAGTATAAAAAGATCGCGCAATCAATCTTCCAAGTAACGGGATAATCTCTTTGGTCTACCTTCTTTTACGTTAATCTCAACTTGATTTTATTTGGCAATTTTGCTAATTGTCCTAATTGACACACCCATTGCCTTAGAAATATCCCTATAAGACTCCTTAGCATTAATTTTTGCTAAAATATCCATCTTTTTATCGTAAGGAATTGGTCTCATTCTAATGTATGTAATGATCTATGTGTTAATGAAATGATACGCAAATATTGTTCAGATTAGTAATGAATTTGAGAGAAAAAAGGTATTAAATAGGAAGTAAACCTTCTTGTTAATTCAATAAAATATTGAATATAATTTAAAATAAAAAAAATGGTGTTTTTGTAAAAAAAATAGATAAAGAAAGAAAACTTATTATGCAGCAAAATGGCTAAATCTTGTAAAATGACATGATCGCTATTGAAATAAACATTCATGCATGTAAATGAGACTAAGAAGCTATAAAAATAATGTAAATTTTATCAACTTTCCATTAAAGATACTTTTATTTATGTATCTTTATTCATTTATGTTGTGCATTAAGGAAAGACAAAAATCATAAAACATTGCCACACTTTTGTGAGTCACTGTATATCTTCCTCCTTCTTTAAAATCAGATCAAATATCAGAAATTCTCTCACTATTACCTATGGATTACCCTTCCACAACCAAGACTATTATATGTGGTGACCTCAATTCTCGTATTGGCGAATTGGTTGGTGACAGCTGGTGGAACACAAGCGGACATCTCTTTTACAATTGGATGGAAGCACATGGTTTGATTCTATGGAACCAACGGCTGGCTTTTGGACAACTGTCATGAGCTGACTTATAATGTCATGTTTCTTGATTAAACATGCGGATCATAAATTTATTCGAGGAATTCTATCTAGATTCTTCTGAAACTCTCTTGATCCACTCCATCAAATAATATTAAAACTACTAACACTTCATTATCTATAACATATCTTATTTGGTCGTAACCAACACTTTTCTGATTCACATCTTATCCTCAGACTTCTCTAACAATTCTTATAAATACCCCCATCAATTTAATTCATAAATAAAATAATTGACTTTAGAACGGTTGTTCGGTCTCGTTGACTCTTTTGTTTTAATATTATTTTTTTATTTTCTAATATTTTTTATTTGATATTTTAAAAGAAATATCACAACAACTGACTAGTTATACTTATTATGGTATAAGTATCATTGATTATTTCCTTAGTAATACTGATTTGGAGACACCTGACCTTAATATTCGAGACGATCTATTATTAAATTCTAACCACACTTTTATGACTTTCTCTTTTCATCTACCTCAAGTTCATTCATCTCATAGCCTTTCCATTGAGGTTTCTCGTCCACACTGGCGATTGAAAAAGCTGAAAAAAATTATATCACTATGAAAGGCACCAAGCTAAGTATGCAAATGATAGTGCTATAAATATGCGAATAGTCGACTCTTCAGCCACAACATTTCAAGATATAGATACTACCCGTACTTATATCGACTAGTTCTCAACTTCACTATGTCAAACTATCTACGAATCGTTGGATCAAATCTGTGGAAAAAAGGATACTACTGCTGATGTGTTTTTAAAACAGTTCTGGACCTCTGAAATGACATCGGCTTTCGAGCTTAAACAGTTCTATTACAAGAAATGGCGAAAAGCAAATGGACTGAATTTCTTAACTTACTGGTTGAAACATCAAGAAACTAGTGCTTTACTGCAACGACTATTTCAACAACGGCGTAGAGAAACTTGGAGACAATTTTGCGACAAGATGTCTAAAGGCGAGTATACTAAAGCAATTGCGCGATTCAGCAGAATTCGTAAAAACAGATCGGTAAAGCCTTCCTTCTCACCAGATCCAGATATTAACCGTGCTCCGGCTGACGTTATGGCCGACCATCTTCAAAGTATCTATGCCGGGCAACTCCTCACTTCACCATCTAATTTGGGTTCATCTTCTCCTATAACTAGTGGTCTTCCTTTTAATTTAAATCTTTGTCCCTTCTCATCTGAACAAATTCATGAGACTCTAAAACAACTGCCTCGTAAAAAAGCTCCTGGTGTTGATCACATACAAACGGAAATGTTATTATCCCTTATTCACACTTTGGTTACCCAGCTTCTACATCTCTTTAGTACCTGCTGGCAATGGTCCTATACTCCACTATCATGACGAGTTGCGCAGGTAGTACCGATACACAAGAAAGGCTCTAAAAGTGACCCAGGGAACTTTAGACCAATTAGCTTGACATCTATTTTTCGTAAATTATTTGAAAAATGCTTGTACCCTAGCCTACTAGAACAATCCCCTACTCTTGATATTGCTCAAGGCTGACTTCGCGAATCTCGTAGCTCTCTTGATCAAGTTCAATGTCTTGTCGAAATCTGCTCTATTCTCCGACGTAACCACAACTGTTTTCCTACTCTTGCTTTTTTAGATATTAAATCGGCGTATCATACTGTTGATCGTTCCTATATTTGGCAAGTGCTTCAGCCTCATCTCTGTCCGGCTTTGCTTGGAGTTCTCAAAAATCTCTTTGATCAGGTTCAAATTGAAGTTCTTCTCGATAATCATATATCGTATCGTTTTTCCCCTGTCACTGGCGTCTTAAAAGGGTCTATTCTCTTTCCGTTTCTATATTCAATCTATATCAACCAACTTCCAGCTCGTTTGAAGTTACCACACCAACTCAATGACTCCTCCACTACTGATGCAGTTACTACATTTGTACCGTCCCTTAATTGTCTACTCTATGCTAATGATGTCGTCCTTATTGCCTCCCCTGAGAAACTCACTTCTTTTACTGCACCAATGCGAAGTCCATAGTTACTCCTTAGGTTATCGGTGGAACCCATTAAAATGTGTCATAGTCGCTCCTACCAATGATCCTCAACCATATCAATTATATGGTACTGCTATTCCCAAAGAATCCTCCTTTTTTTATCTTGGTGTTCCTATAAAACCTGGTGGTCTAATTGACTATGCTGCTTTAATCCAACATAATATCAATAAAGCCTCTCTCACTATGAATCAACTTGCTTCCACTACATAAACCTCGTCGTCCTTCTGATTGTACGAGCTGGTATACTTTATGGCCTATTATTTATACAATTCTACATGAACTTGATTACTACTTCTATGATGAATTTCCTCCCGATCCTGCCGATCCTGGTCTCATGCTGCTGAATTGGTTGTCCAAGTAATAGTGTGTGTCTTCCCGGTTCCTTTGGTCTGGTTGGAATTAAATTGTTTCTTCTCACTTTTTTCGCTTTTTCCTCCTTATATTTTCTCTTAATTCCAAAATACTGCTCTTTTATTTTTCCTTCTTATTTTCTTTTTTTTTCCCCTTCTTGTCCTTTAGAAAGATATTTATTCTTATTTCCCCTCTATAACTGGCTCGGGCAATATTGTGCATTTATTTTGCCAAAAAAATTAAAAATAATAATAATCATAATAATAATAATCATAAAAAAACTCAGAATTTAATCGTAGAGACATATTATCCGCTTGCCGCCCCAATATGATTATTGATCCGATACTCTGGTTACCCATGACACACAGTGAGCGTAGTCGAACTATTCGATGGCGTCTTGGTTGGTTACCCGGAGGAATACCTAAAGTCTGCCCATATCATCCCCATGTACACTTTAGTCGGTCACACGCCACTGAATGCTTGCACATGCGCACCGGTTTAATCTTGCTACGATCAATTGCAGATCCCCTTTCCTTTCTTTTAACTCATCTCCCTCAGCATAAGCTCCGAAATTCTCAGGATGTTTCTGCCTGGCTCTATCGTTGGCCAGTTATGTGCACCATTCTACACGAAATGGATTACTTAATGCACGACAAACTACCCCCTCCACTTTTTGATCCAGGCAGGAAATGACTCAACTGGTTGTCTCTTTAAACTTGTTAGCAATATTCTCCCTTCCTTTCTCACCTTCTCTTCTTCCTTTCTTTTACCTTTTTACCTCTTGTCCCGTAAGAGGGTTTTTAGATACTTTTTTTTTTTTTACATAATTTGAACTGACTTGGGCAATCCAATATAACAAAGATATTATGTGCTCATAGGTCACTTTATACATTTTAATTTATAAAAATAATAAAAAAAAAAGTTTAATTGTATAAAGTGCAACCTCTAACAACAAATAATCTACAGAGTTAGACGTATGCTCTAAAAAAAAAAAAAAAAAAAAAAAAAAAAAAAAAAAAAAAAAAAAAAAACGCGAATTTTGACATTATGAATGCACTCATTGGAGCGTTTCATATAATTGACGACAGTGTTCAGCTGATGCTTAGAAAGTTTACTTGAGCATTTCTCAGTTACATCCAGTAACTTGAGTTAAAACAGCACAAATTATGACAGTGTGCTTATCTAAAAGGGAAAAAAAAAAGAAAAAAAAAGGGCGCAATTTTCTATCTAATGGAAATGTAAGGAAAGTCTTATTTTCAAACATTAGTTTACTTTTTTTTTTGATACGTAATAGACATTTGAATATATTTCTAACTTTAGGGTTTCAGCAAATCTTCTAACTGTAAGCTGGTGCTGATGGTACTTTCACCTTTTAACTAAGACATGTTCCTTCTAAAAAAGGCACTCTTACTGTCTCACTTATAGTAAATTGATTAGAGCAATATACACGGGAATATAGTATAAACTTTAGTCTGGATTTGGTTACTGTTTGTTTCTGTCTGATTTCTCTCCTCTAATCCAACTATTAAAAAAAAATCTTGCAACCATCAATATCAGTAGCCATTTTTACCTCTTACGCTGTGTGCATTTTTTTCAAAAAGATTTAATATTTACTGGATTTTCCCATCCAATGCAAACCTTAAAAAAAAAAAAAAAATGTTTGCCTTTATGTGGTAATTGAGTTAACATGATTTTTTTTTCAATCATTTTTTTTACCTGATTTTTTTTATTTTTTTACCTGATTTTTTTTTATTTTTACCTTAATAGACGATAACAATTAACATTGAGACATACTTCAACAACAACCAGACTCAGACATTAATTATGTATAACTTTGAGTGAATGCGATTATAGCAGCAAGGCCAGGATTTTGTTTGGAATTTTTTTTTTTTTTTTGAAGCATATGTCCAACTTGTTACAGATATGATTATAAAAAAAAAAAAAAAAAAAAAAAAAAAGATAAATTACATAATACAGAATAAACTATAAAGTTGAATTGAATAGAGAGTAAAACATTATAGTGCATACTACAATTAACATTTTGTAAACATCAAACACTTATTAACATCCAATCATCTGAAGGCGTCAATTATAAGACATCCTATCTATTAGTTCTAAATATTTATTTTTATAAAGGGTTCATATCGTCTTTAATCCAATGTAAAAGGCGTCAGGAACTTATACTCAGATCAAATAATTTTAAAACTTAAACCAGATCGTTAAAACACCTTAACTAATAGGGCAGTTCCTTGAATCAATAGGGCGTACTTTTTTTCTTCTTTAGATACTAACATTCTTTTATGGCTCATATCCTTTGATTCAGGATTCATGTCATATAATTACAGGCAAGTGTATGAAGATACGTGACATCCTTCCCTTTAACTCTTATTCCTCTCTTTTTGCTTTTTTTTTTTTTTTTTGAATGTAACCCATAATATTACACAAAGCTATAGATTATATTTGTCAAACGTCTCATATTATAATAAAGTTAAACGGTACTAATTTACTTTGAAAGCCCGTCAAAATTTAGAAAAAATAAAATAAAGTTATTATTATTTGATCGCTCTACCAGTGATAATCAATAGCATTAATTGATTACATATTGTCTCTTGTTTTATATGATAATAATTATATACTATTGCATCTCTCATATATTAAAAAAAAAAAAAAAAAAAAAAAGTAGTGTATATATCTCGAAGTTTCTTTTTTTTTTAACTATAAAGATAAACAAAAAAAAAAAAGAAATATATACTATAGTACGTTATTAAATAGAATATAGAAATGATATACATGTATCACAACTTGCGAAGAGTGAGAATGATCTTTATAAGGCTGTCTATCACACTTTTTTTTTATATCTGTGTAAACATAGACAATTAGGTATCCTAATCTGGAACTCAATTTGACACAAATGTCATTTAACATCATCATACAATATTATTAGGTAACATTAATCATAAAAGACAAATCTATATAAAAGAGAGGATAATATGGATCGTATCAACGGTTTTTTAATATTATTATTATTTTTTTTAAGAAATCCTTATCAAATGCTCCATTTTACTACAGTTATTGCTTTGAAAATCGCCCTTTTCGTTGCTCTCATCCAAATGGCATATGCTGCTCCTGCGGACTCGGCTAAAGAAGAACTCGAAGATATGGCTTTAGCAATGACAAACTGTTATCGTGAAGTACATCATGTTCCTCCAGTTGTTTGGAGTAAAGAATTAGAGGCACATGCTCAAAAAGTCACTGATACATGTGTGTGGGGGCATAGTGTGGTAAGATAACAAAAAAAAAAAGTTTATATGTATATATTATACATCAAGAATCTGTAATAATAATAATAATAATAATAATAATAATAGATGCCAGGCACCGGTCAGAACATTGGTCTTGGCTATTCCGACATAGGAGATGCTATCAATGGATTTTATGAAGAAAATGTCGACTATGATTATAAGACTGGTAGCTCTAAGAATGGTAAGGTAACAGGCCATTTTACTCAACTTGTCTGGAACTCAACTACTGAAATTGGTTGTGCCGCTACATACTGTAAAAATTATAAAGCTACCTTTTATGTTTGCGATTACAAACCTCCTGGAAATGTTATTGGCCTCTATACCAAGAACGTTTTCCCTATGTAAGAACCGAGAACCCTTTTATATATTTATATATACATATACACATATATCCATAGATACATCTATAAAAATAAAAATTGTAAAATAGTATCATCTCTATAAAAGAGAATCACTCTATGAATAAACTTCATCACTGACATTGTTTAATCTTAAATATGCCTTTTTTTTTTTTGTCTTTTATACAAGACCAAGATGTATTGTATAGATAAGACTCTATAAAATAAATAGAATGATTTGACAGCTGCTTTATAGTATGTGTTAATACTTATTCTCTTGGTCATATTAAGTAACAAACATGAAAAAAAGTGACACTTATATAAGTTATATTATACTTCTTATAAACGATCCATATACTTTCCTTCTTTTTTTTTTTCTTATAAGCTTATATACATATTGAAAAGAATAAAGTATTATATTTACAAGATTATTTAATCTATATTATAACTGATTTTCATCGTTAACTAATTGATTATGGAGTTTGAAATAAACAGATTGCTTTTCCATTAACTCAGCATGTGTGTCTACGCAACGAATATGTTAATATGAGTGTATCTTTTTTTTTTTTTGCAGATGTTTATTTTAGAGTACAAGGTATATACATATATTTATTTATGCTGAGCTAGTAGAGGGTACTTGTTGATCACTTACATGTGTCGCTATCTCTTGTTGCTGCCTTTTCTTTCGTTTTCCTGTCATAATTGCAATTTCTCTTTGCTTCTTCTTCAAGATAGAATGTTGATGCCATTGGTGCATACTAACTGCTGTTGTCATCACGACAATTAATAAAGATCCAATAAGTGTATTCATTTTAGGTATTTCTTGAAACAGAATAATTCCGAATATAAAAGCGAATATAAAATCACTTGTACGAAGTAATATCACTGTATATTATATTAATGATGAACGATTCACATGTTATTTTATTTTTATTTCATTTTAGGTTTTTTTTTTTTTTTTTTCAATTTACCTGGACCTAATGGTGCTAATTTCAATCTGAAAAAAAAAAAGCCGAGTAAGAATTTCTTATATGTATGTATTTGTATATAATACATTTGTATACCCCAAGTTAATAAAATATTGCCCTAAAAAAGCAAGCATGCCAATTAACATAAACCATCCAATATCTTGCTCATTCTCTATCAATATCATCAAGCTCTTTCTTGTATCAGAATTCAGTATACAGATAAATAAGCCAATCAAAATTGTTATCAATCCAAAATAAACAAGATGAACCATCATATGAATTTTAAGATCTTTATCACCTAGTAAAGCGGTATGATGATTGATACGAATGACTGACATATAAGCCATAGCAGACATCATAGCCGCTATTAATCCATATAAAATAAATTCTATACTTTGCTGGTTATTAGATAAAACATAAATACCGAGACTTGCGAATAAGATATAAATTAACTCGACTGTAGAGACAGAAGAAGATGGAGAGTAGTAGTGTTGATCAAAAAATGGAAAATATCCCAAAAGAACTTTAAACATAGGACCCAAAAAGAAAATAGCTATAAATATAGTATGATGAGTATATAAAACATTCCTTTTATATATGTATATACATATATGAATACAACCTGTTGCTTCTATTAGAGTTAATTTTGTTAAAGTATAAAAAAATAGGTAAAGAGCAATAGAACCAGCAAGAGCACGAAAAAGAATCCATCGACGATGTTCCACTTGTCTGCTACTAAAGGGATTAATGTGAACGCACATGCAACTTAATAAACCAAAAGGTAATTGAATACAACCTCGACTAATAAAAACTACATTCACTGCCGAATAAGAAGACAAGAGTTCACGTTTGGCAATAACTGTAATGCACGTAAATAAAAAGGAAGCTAAAACTAGTAATAATAACCCTTTTAATTCGATCAACACAATTCGATGATCAGTAAGTGGGGAAATAAATGTACTGAGTTGTCTTTTGTTGTCCTTTTTAGGTAAAAGAGGCGTTGATTCATTAATAATGATCACACTTGAAGGAATAGGATGAATACAAGTATTGTCTTCTACTGTTGTTGCCAATTTAGTATTTGAATTGGACATTAGATAAAAAAAGAAAAATATAGTATTTTAAACTCGAGATTAAAAGGAAAAAGAAAAAAAAAAGAATACTAATGTTGAATTTTTACAACTGCTTTTGCTAATAATGATTGTTTTGAATTACGTAAAGTTATTTAAGAAGCTTTTTTATTTTTTTACATAATTAATCTTTTATTACGTAATAAACTAGCGTCAGTTATTAATTTTTTTTTTCTTTTTTAATCGTTACTTCTTACTTGGCATTATTGTCTATTAGTTGTACTTGCTCATTTCCTTAAAAATATTATTATATATTGACAGCTGTCATCATATTGTTATTTGGCTTTGGTATTTAAATCTCATAATTCACAATGATGAAGGCATCGTATATTTATATAGTCGTGACCTTTAAAGAATAATTATTAGAGTATACTGAAATAGATTTGTTTATATCTTTTCAGTCGAGAGATACATAAAATAAGTAATAAGTCTTCTTCAAGTCAATCATTTTTGTTGGATGTATTGATAGCAGTCTACCAGTTAGAATTACTATTGCATTACTACTGTCGTTATTATTATATTGAACAAAGTAAAAATATAGTTTAATACAGTATATACAGTATTTGTTTATTTTTCTGTGAATATTTGTATGTGATTAATATGACTGTAAGTAGTAGTATAAAATAGCATAGAGAAGCATAGGCATAGATTAAAGAATGAATAAACAAGTATTTACAAAAATATTCATCGGAATTGCTTTGGATGCAAGATAAAAACAGATAAGACATGCGTACGTTATTGAAATTACTATTGAAGTTTGTAGTTCTTACCTTAAGAATCCACTCAGTAATAACGTAAAAGCTGAATGTCGCTATGAATGAAGTAAACACAGGGGAGGAAGAAATATATATCACTAGTGGAGATAAAATGAAAAAAAAATGAAAACACACACACAATTAATGGAAGAACATGCTAGATTTATCAAGAGCAACAGCCGTTAGCCACAAGGTCTGGTTTAATAGATAGTTTATGCAAGAAGTTTGAAGGCTTAAAAATGTGAACAAACATACACTCTATAAGTTTATGGAAAATTACATATATGTATATATATGTATATACATATTTATATTTATAATCTTAGCTTTACAAGACTTCATCACTCTGCATTATTGAAAAACTTAATGAAGAAAATACTTTGATCCAAAGAAAAGAATGAGTGTTTAAATATAGAGGTTTAGACATTGAATATCTTAGAAACTGTATGTTAAAGAATGAAGCTAAATAATTCAATCTACATATAATTCCAAATAACAGATGATCTGAAAAAAAAATTTTTTTTTGATCAGGAAGTACATCAACTTCTGTTCAAATAAGCACAATCGATTATATATAGTTGAAGATTTCTTATCATTTCTTCTGAGCAAATAGGATTCTTGAGAACCTTAGTATATTTCAATAGTCCCTTTATATCTCCCATATTGATTATCTCATAACTAACTTATTAATTTGCTTTTTATTTTGAGTTTCATCATGTATCTTTTTTCTACTATAAAAAAAAATTTCCACATTTCTTTTTTTTTTTTCCAACTCTAAAAGAAAAAAATAACTTGTATTACATCAGATAAGCTATTTTATAATAACGACTACTGGTACTATCAATAGGTAAGGTGATATTAGTAGTATGTGCCTTTGAAAATGGAAGTATGATTCGTTTTGGACATCGATAGCGACAATAAGTTAGTTTAACCTTTTATAATTAGAGATATAAATACTGCTCAGTAATTTATTTCATTTATAGAAAAAAATCTATTCAAGTGTAAAAAGATAATCAACTGTTCTTTTTTTCTTTTATTATATACGCATATTGAACACATATTCAAGCTAATGAAATATATATACATTTTCATATAAATAACTTTAATAATTAGAATGTATAAGTTTTTATTTTATTTTATTTTATTTATGAATAATGAGTCATGATAGTACGTTCTTTAAGAGCATAAATAGGTCTATAAAATGAAAGTTGCGAGGTAAAGTGAATTGTATCCTCTTATATCCCAATATATGGGAATAGCAGTATATATAGTTTGCTAAAATCAAGGATAGAGTTTTCAATACCCCTCGGTAGAATTGAATAAGAAAAGATAATGAATGTACTATACACCATTAGTAATAGAATGAAATTATTACATATAATATAAACACATATATAGATGTAAACAATACTTTTACTAATACAATGTATGATGTTGTGGTTTATCATTTGAATATCAAAGAGAACTGATGTATCTTAAATATTGATTTTAACTCTTCAGTGACAGTTAAAATAATATACAGCCTTTTTTATGAAATTGAATTTATATTGAAAATTTAATTTATCAGTGATATTATATATGTATACAAATGTCATTTACTCAAAAGTTCTTTCTTTTACTTATTTTGCTTTTTTAGCCTAACAATTGACTTAGTACTAGATCATCTTACATTACAATAATTGTATATCTTTATGACTTCTTTAAGGTTGTCCCAAAAGCTTGTTAAAAGAGAATCATATAATCAGGAGAATGTAAAAGCAATCTATTTTTCTGCAATATGTATACACTTATATTTTAATATACATTATTTTTTAGTCAGTTGACGAATATAATGAATTATTAATGCGAAGGCATTATACAGATGATCAAAAAAGTAAGTGATATGTATTTACTAAAATATCACTGTGAGTGTACATACGAATGAATAGGCTAAGCTAAACAATTATTATTATAGTCATTAACTCAAAAAAAGTCTTGAGCATGAGAGATAGACAATATAATAACGGTACAGTAAGTAGTAGTACATTTTCTAGTGATACTAGTAATGCTTCTTCTGCTACTATCACATTCAAAAGTAATAACAAATCTTTTTTTAATAACTCTTCTTCTTCCTCTTTATTTACATATAATACTACGCATTATCCTACAGTAAATCATACTACAAATTCCTTTACCAATATGAATATGGTTCATCACTCAACCACGACTACAGCAATCAAGAAAACTACTACTGCTGCTGCTACTGCTACTGCTGCTACTGCTACTGCTACTAAAAAATCATTTATAGGTAATTATTGTGATTCGGCTAATACGGATAACTTTGGTACAGCAATACATTTTTATTATCCATCCTCCTTCTATTATTGAAAAACCCTATTACTAAACAATCTACTATAGTGATTGACAAACCGTTTGCTAATAATAGGTTTGATGCTAATGCTACTATTAACCCTCATTTTAGCAGCAGTAGTCCTATTGATATAACAATATCATCTGATAATACTCTTCCTGATTCTGTTATTCGTTGTACTTCTACTACAATTAATGGACATCATAGATTAAAAGATTATGATCACCTTCCATATAAAGCAAATAATATAACACAGTCAACAAAAAAGAAACGACGGCAGCCTTTAGTGATATCTTATTACGATGATAATATCTCTGAAGAAGAAGAAGAAGATAATGATATGAATAATAGAAGAAATATAAAAATGTTCAATATGTCATTGATACAAGAGGATAAAAGTAATAATACCGAGAGAACAAATTACAGTGAAATTTTAGGTCGTCAAATAATAACTGATAATATGATAGGCAAATATTCAAATAATATATTCAGCAATAATAGTCATATTTTCTATGATAATTTATTATCAGAAAACGATATCAATGACAGCAATAGTGATATAGATACATTTAATCCTGCAGACATATATTTATCAGATGATGAATTGTCAATAAGCTGGTAGTATATATATATATGTATATGTATATATGTATAATAGTTTCATTTATTTTTTCTCTATTTATTTTTTTTTTACAATTTCATCTATTCAAAAATGGACATTTATTTTGTATTGTATTCTTTTATTATTATAAAATATAGAAAATTTTAGCAATCGAATTTTATAGCGTGGATTATAATCATAAATTCACAGATTAAACTCACATTTTGTTATGAACTTATTTAAAAAGAGGTTTTCTTATTTTAGTTTAAAATTTTATAAAAACTTATTTTAAAAAGTCGTTTTCACAGAATTTATAATAATATTGCGTTCTGATTTCGCCCTTTATGATCTAATAAACGCACATGTTGTCATTACTTTAGTTGATAAACATTATTTGTTGAACAATTAAAACGACGTGCTCAATTTTTTTTTAATATAAGAATAAGAACAATAGTATATAGCTGAAGAGCTTTATATAATTATATCTAAAAATTTGGATATATTACGTAAAACTGTCAACAGAATTGTACCAGCTTATATGGCATTAAATGAAGAGCAAAATAAAGGCCATCCAAAAAAAAAGGAACCTTAATAATAGTGATAGAGAGTAATCAGCTTTTTTTCTAAATTATTTGATAACTATTTTAATGTTTCCTAGAGTCAACATAGTTAGTATCTTTATGCATTATCTAAAATCCTCTTTAGATTTCTCATAGATCTTTTGAATTTCAGTTAAAGGCCAAAAAACTTACGATTGAAAGTATATAAAGTTATTTGAATTAAGTCACCCAGAGCTTAAATTTAGACAGTCTGTAAGGTTTATAAGTGTGTAACCGTAGAATAGCAGAATAAAAAGGATAGTTTATTTAAAAACAGATAAGAAAAGTATTTAATCTCAACATCCCACAGCGAGATGAGACTATAGAATGAAAGTAAAGATATAGAATATAAAAAATATAAATTGAATAAAATATTTAAAATGAAAATGTGTCTACTTTAGTTTTGTTCTTTATATTTCTTAAGACTTCAAATATGGGCATTGGTAATTCTTTTGTTTAAAGAAGGTTGCTTCAAAGTAACAATAGATTTGATATAGATAGTAATGACTTCATATGAACCTAACCAGTCAAAGAGCAGTTTTCTTGGTTTCTTTGATGTTGATAATCATTGGTTGAATAACAAGACTTTGTCATTTACTTGATAAGGATTTCCCTTGCTGGCGTATTCTTTGGAATTCAAATAATTATCGATGATGTCAAAAGCATGATTTAGCCTGTGTTGCAACTCATCAGCAAATGTTTCTTTCGTCAACAGACAATCTTCATATACTTGATTGGTGTTCAGCTTGACCATTGGAAACTTTTGCATGTCGACCATTGGACTAAATAGAAGGGTGGATAATCAGTGCTCGTATGATGTGTATTATTATAAACAGACTGGATTATTCTCAGACGTTGATCCCAATGCGACTTGATAGTGTCTTGACTTGTATAAGTTAAAATCATACGGCGCAAAAGAGACATAAACCTTTCTACGATACTATTTGACTTAGGATGATAAGGTGGAGCAATGATATTATGAGAATCCAAAATATTAGCAAGTTGAGTGAAAACACAAGAGTTAAAAGGAGGTCCACCATCAGTAATAACCTCTTGAGGAACACTATGTCTCATTATAAAATGTGAGTAAAAGACTTTGGAAATGTCGTCTTGAGTGGTAGAAGAGACAGGGAACAACTCCACATATCTGAAATAACAGTCTATTACATTCAATATGTACTTGTATTGGCTAAACGAAGTTGGTAGAGGACTAAAGAAATCCAAAGCAACACGCACAAAAGGAAAGTCAGGAGATGTATTAGCCAAGTTGTGATCTTGCAGCTTCCCCCCTTTAATACGTTGGCATAAATCGCAAGAACGGCAAAATATACGAACATCTTCTGCCATATTCGACTGCCAAAGATGTTGTTGCTTGATTTTTGAAATAGTCTTCTTAGAACCAAAATGACCGCCGAAGTGAGAGGAATGAAATTGTTTGCAAACATCTTGGATATTTGAGTTAGGAACTACAATAAAAAGATCATTGCTTTAGTTAGAACCTTTCGTTGAGTTTGATTTGTATAAGATGTCTTCAATAACCACATAACCAGAGTGACCTTTCCGATTGGTTTTGACATTAGTGAATTCATTATCCATGTTCTGGATTTCAGACTAATTGATGTTGTGGAATACATGTTTTGTGTTTAACTCTCGCACCTCTGGAACTATAGAATGTCTCGACAAAGCATCAGCGGCAGAGTTGATGATACCAGGTAAATGGATAACTTGAAAATGATATGATTGGAGAAACATTGCCCACCGCCAAACCCTAGGGGGAACATTCTCCTTAACATTTTGAATCCATTGAAGGATTGAATGATCCGTATAAACATAAAAAAGTTTACGCTCTAGAAATGGGCGGAATTTCTTGATGCCAAAGATAATGGACAAACACTCTTGTTCTTGAACAGGACACCGCTGTTCATGTATGGTCAATACACGAGAAGCAAAAGCAAGTAGGAAAGGAGTACCTTCATGTCTCTGGCAAAGTATTACGGCCACAGCAGCCGACGATGCCGCATCTGTGTGTAGTTTAAACGGCTTTGAAAAATATTCTTGTCTTAATGTTGGCAAAAGGCATAAGTCATCTCTCAATTGTTGAAAAGCTTGATACTGTTCCTTAGTTCGGATAAATTCAGTGTCCTTCTTCTTTAGTCTTCTCAGTGGTTCAGTTTTGAGCTGATACTGGCTAATGAAGCGTTGGTACACTCTAGTCATTCCCAAAAAAACGCTCTACTTGTGTAAGGCTGGTTGGTTGGTGATAAGAAATGATAGGTTTAACCTTGTCAGGGTTGGCACCAATACCTTGAGCAGATACAATGAAACCAAGATACTCGACAGAGTCTACAATGAATTGAGATTTAGTTAGTTTGATGGATAAGTTTGCTTTTTGGAGTTCCGTTAGGACTTGATGAATATGTTTCTTGTGCTCCTCAATAGTGCGGCTATAGATAATAATATCACCTTGGTACGCAAAAGCAAAGGAAGATCGAAAAGGACCGAGAACTCTATCCATTAAGGATGGAAAATAGGCTGGAGAATTCCGCATACCCATAGGCATTACAGTAAAGACATAAGTGACATTAACAGTAACCAAGGCAGTCTTGTCTTTATGTTCCTCCTTGACTGGTATTTGGAAATAACCTTGAGCTAAGTATGTCTAGCTGGCTGAACACCTTAGCCTGCCCCATGAATTGCAATAAGTAGTGCATTTTGGGAAACGGATAATTTAAAGGTTCAGTGATACGGCTTTTAGGAATATAATCTCCACAAACTCGCATGGAACCATCTGGCTAGACAACTGGACGAACCTGTGATCCCCATTGAGAGAATTAACCCTTTTGAAGTAAACCTGATTACACCATGCTCTCAAGCTTGTTATCAATCTGGTTTTGTAGATCAGGATGAAAAATACGAGGTTTGCAGTAAACAGGTGGATGGTTACCAGTGTCAATTGAGAATTCTATAAGATGAGTAACTGAGGGCCTATCTGAATTTTTAGCAATAACACTATCAAAATTTTCAAGAACTAATTTAGTTATACTTTCTTGATCAGATTGCAACGTCTGAATGTTATTGGTTTCTTGCTTGGAATCGAGATGTATTATGATAACTTGATTTCCAATATGTAAAGTAACAATGCCTAAGTCATTATCAATTTTGCCCTTGAAACTGCTGATGGTGTTCCAACCAATAATCAAAGGACTACTGATACCGTCAATAACATGCACCTTGATTGACTAACCCAAAATAGGGGTAACTGCCATACCGCAAGTAGTCTTGATTTGGTTGTTTACATCACGATAAGGAGCACGTTCTGTAACATCTAGAACTGCATTCATAGTATCAAAGAGTTGTCGTTGAATACCATTGATATCTGCACCTGTATCCCACAAAAGAGAAATAGGATTATGGTTACTAGCAACAGGACTACGAGGAAGTTTACGCAAATCAGTAGCAAAGTGACTGATATCAACTGAAAAAGATGATGATATCTGTTGTTGATCTTGCACTTGTGGCTGTGATTGCATCTCCCTAATATGTGGTGTGTGTTTGTTTTGTCTTTGATGACCGTGTGATGATTGTTTGTTGCTGTTATGAAATTGAGTTCGTTTTCTTTTATTATGATCCATGGTGCGATGCTTATCGCAACAATAATCACAAATTGGACTGCCATGCTTGTTATAAGCTCTCAGTTGCTTCTGTTGAGAATGACGAGGTTGTTGTGAGAAACGCTGGTATTGCTGCTTGTTGTGATAGCTGAACATATAATCAGAATCCATCGGCGTTGGCTGAGTGTTACCCGAGTAATGCTGTGTAACTGTCTCAGGTTCATCAAGTAGTTTGCCTTTGACTTCTAGATCAATTGCTTGATTGATAACTGCTGTTACAGTATTAAGTTTCAAAGAAGCTACTAGGGAAGTCAAGGTAAGTTTAGTGTCTCGTTGATTTAGCGATTGAATAAAGTACGTGAACTAAGTGTCCTGAGTATATTTATCAGGAATGAGATTTAACAGATGCTCCCATTTAGCTGCATGTAATCGGACAGAATTATTTGCTAATTGCTTGCACTCCTTTAATTGCTTTAAGAGACGCCGATTGTCCTCCTCCTCCGGAATGCCAAAACGGGTAATTAATGTTATGGTTGTAAGATTTATAACTTAATTCAATGAGATAAATAGTCATAATAGAATATATAGTGCATTTGTATGATAATTCTGTCTATAGACATATTTAGTATATTTACACTTGTATAGAAAAAATAATCAATAAAAGTCCTACATCTAAAAATATATTTTCTTCTATTATTGTTCAGCTGAATATAAATTTATAAAAATAACTTTATACTAGTTAAACTGGGGTAAACTAAGAATAATACAAATACGCGTAATAATTGATTCTACTCAGAATACACGTATTAGTTATAAAAATAAATATATACAAAAGACATAAACCTATATCTTAAATAACTCTTAGTAATCATTCTATAATTATATTACCAAATACAATTTGTTATATTTTTATCTTCTTATTACTCATCATCCTTATCCACAAAATATATAAATATTTTTATACTATTAACGGTTATTTTGTATACTTGAACCATAATTGAACTTAACTCTTAATAAAAACTTATTGACAAGTCTCAATGTACTTCTTCTGTCCGTTTTCTTTTATTTCTCCTTTATTTCTTTTATTTATATTATTATTCTTCAACTTACCTAAATCACAACAAGTCGTCCAAAATTGTTCTCAAGGATCTTGGACCAGAAGAAACTCTCAATAGCAAAGACTGTAAAAAAAATATTATTAATCCTATAAAACCAATTTCCAAAAAGTATAAACCAGCAATAGCAAAGATTATCAATCATTACAACTTCAGTCACATCGGAAGAACAACGAATCCTAATTGATTTGAGTCTTTGCCGCACTCTCGACGATAAAGAAAAGCTCCTACGTTCCCTTTTTGAAAAAGAATAATGTGTCAGAAGATATCAAATATTTAAGAACGGCAATAAATGGACTGTTTGATATTTGGCACTCAAAAAGGCTGAACGATGCTAACGATGAAGTTTGGCTACGGTCAAATCTCTACCACTTCATTTGGGATCGAGTATTTTATTTAACAATACCTTTTTTGTTAAGAGGACTGAATACTATTCTGCGGTCATCAAGAAATTGAAAGAAAACAGTAAGGATTTTGCCCAGTAACGTTTGGATTTTATCCTTCGTAGTAATTATGATGGATCGCATTATCTGATATCGAAAGAGAAACCAACGGATAAGGAAGCACAATATGACTTTAAAAAAGATAAAGAAATGCAGTATACTTGTTGACACTTTGGTCAAATTGACTCGACTCAAGTACGTTGGTGGGAGAGCTGGAAGCAGTGACATGCCAATGGCAGGAAAGAAATCTTACAGTATTTGGAACCCATATCTTTCCATCTGGCCACTTTATTGTATACAAGAAAGCAGCCGCTCTTATTTTATCTGTCTCCGGTCTTCATGATATAGCAGCCCGATTGCTTCAAATTGTGCTTTCTCTTAAATGACTCGTTACACTTAACCACTTGAAGTTAATATCCATGATAAATGCCGTTGAGAAGTATTCGAATGATAATTTGGATCTCTTCCTAAATACTGATCAGCCATATGTTACTTACTATGGATCGAATCAGAAATTGATGAGCAGCAAAGAAAAGAAGGAAGAACCTGAATATGTCCAAGAAGTTTTATCAAAATCAAAATCTGTAGAGCATCCAGATGATGTCGTTAGTATGGATGACTGGGAAAAGATGATCATTAACGATGTGAACCAAGAACTGAAAATTAAGAAATGATTGGTTTGACTCATTGAATGATAAACTTCATAGCAATAACATAGCTTGTCAATACATAATGGGAATAATAAATCGATTATGTTTAATAATACCATTGTATATATCATTTCAAAAAATAAATAAATCAGTTAATCTTTCCCCCTCTGTACTTTTAGTTTATTTTATAAACTTTCTGTTTAAATGTATAATCCATAAGAGATGGTTCTTGCAGATTGTATTTGTTATTAAGTCGTTCAATATAATTAAGGAGGTTTATCAGGGCTACCTGGTGATGTTATTGTTTTTTCAATGTTGTTGCGGAGGTAAAATTCTGTGTACAGTTTTATTAAAGTGCAAGAGACAAGTAGGTTTGATTTAAGTTGAAATTTCCGAGTATTAAGGTTAAGTAATGCCAATTTGTAGTGAGTACCGCATTGTTTTTATATCAATAAAGGTATATTGATATATAGTAATACTCTAACACCTTTTTGTACGTGAGTATTGCTACTCAAAATTATACTTAAGTGTCATTCAACGAATACTATTAATTGGTAACTCTATTTGTGTGTTGTGGAGAATGTAATGAAGAGCTAGATATCTAATTTCTCCATACCCGATTATTTGTATGTGTCTAAGCTTTTTCAAATACGACAGAAATTATACATGAAGCAGAAGAGAAAATTTTGAAAGAAAAGAAATATAAGACACAAAAAGAAATTGAAGCACTCGAAGAATTGGTTATCACATCAAAGAATTGTAAAAGATGAATTCGACGCTTCCAAAAATTCTTCGCAAAGTGTATGAATATGAATATAGAGAATATATAATTGTTATTACATTATAATAAACTAATTACTTCCTATTATTCAATCTACTATAATATTGAAGCATTTTATTTTGATTGATTACTAGAAATATTTGAGCCCTTCTGTAAAAAATAGAATAATGGTGGGAAGTTTTGATTGAGATAAAAATAATTTGTTTTCTATTTTAGAAAATCTTGATTTTTAAACGCAAATTACTGTAATATCTCATAGCGCTACCCTTGCTATCGATCCTATCCTCTAGTTATCCATATCAAATGCAGAACGCAGCTGAATGGTTCGCTGGCGCCCAGGTTGGTTACCTGGTGGTGTCCCTAAGCCATGTATCTATCACCCTAATACCATGTTCACAAGATCTCATGCTATATGGTGCCTACATATGCATCGACGATTACAAATGCCTTTGACCTGTTGTGGTTTAGGTAAGTTTAGATAATTAAAATAGAAGTCAAAGAAATAAAATAAAAGAAAATAAAACAGAAGAAGTACGTTGAGACTTGTCAATAAGTTTATTAAAAGTTAATTCAATACAAGTATTGTTCTTAGTTATAAGTTATACAAAATAAGGGTGAATAATGTAAGAGTATTTATATATTTTGTGGATAAGGATGATGAGTAATAAGAAGATAAAAATATAACAAATTGTATTTGATAATATAATTATAGAAGGATTATTAAGAGTTATAATTATAGATTCATGTCTTTAGTATATATTTATTTTTATAACTAATACGTGTATTCTGAGTAGAATCAATTATTACGCGTATTTGTATTATTCTTAGTTTACCCCAGTTTAACTAGTATAAAGTTATTTTTATAAATTTATATTCAGCTGAACAATAATAGAAGAAAATATATTTTTAGATGTAGGACTTTTATTGATTATTTTTTCTATACAAGTGTAAATATACTAAATATGTCTATAGACAGAATTATCATACAAATGCACTATATATTCTATTATGACTATTTATCTCATTGAATTAAGTTATAAATCTTACAACCATGACATGACCAAACTCGGCCCTTTGTCTTTCCTCTTGAATAAGCCGCCAAATAAACAAAAGCGCAGGCCACTAATCTCATCAGCCGCAAGTCATCTGTCTTTCCCGCCTGTGTTATAGAACAAGCTCTGGATATAAGCATAAGTAATATTATAGTAGATGAATTACATAATAAAGGATAAACTATAAGTTTGAATATAAAATAAAACTTTGTATATAATATCCTGTAAGTAATATAAAACTTATTGACATCCAATCACCTAGATGTATAAATTATAAGACATCGTATCAGTTCCAAGTATTTATCTTTATAACCTCGATAAAGGATTCAAGTCGTCTTTGATCCAATTAAATGAAAATATAAAAGACATCAGGAACCTATATGCAGATCAAACGACAAAATTTCTATTTCAGACCTCAATCAAATTATTATATAATTATAACGCCCAATTATAACGCCCAATAGATAATCCATAGATCAGTCTCTTGAATCAACACAATGTATATCCGAATACTAACACTGTTTCATAACTTATGTTTTTTGACGGTTATTTTTATTTCTTTGATTTAGGATTCATTAGTATAAATACAAGCAGTTGTGTAGACAGAAAATAATCTTTAACTTTTAATTCTTATTTTTATTTTATTTTTTTTATTGAATAAAAAACAGTATCAAACTATACTTCCTTTTGTTCTCTTTCTCTTTTTGTGTCCATTTTACTTTATTGTATTACGTACCATCACAATAAGTAGTATGCACTGTTGATATACAGTGAGGATCAAAACTGTTCAAATGTTTAGCATTATTTGACATTTTTAATTTTTTCCCATACAAACCATCAGAGTTATGCCACAGAAATAGTATCATTTTACTCGTAAAACTCCGCTCTATCAGATGAAATATTTTTTGTCGAATTAAATCTCCGATAATTTTTGTATTTCGGCTTTAAATTTGATGGGTACATTTGAACAGTTTTGCTCCCGAAATGTAATCTTCACAAAACTCAATACCACAATTTGGTATCGCGGTACAGACAGCATATAATCGAACAGGAAACGTTCAAAATTCTCAAATTTTTGCTCCATAAACTTTTTTTGCTTAACACACCACATAATCAGTAATAATTCGAGAATTAACTAGTAAGTATGCGTGGAATTACATCTGAACAACGTAATCGTATTGTTTCTCTTCTTCAATCGGGTGAATCAGTTCGTAAAGTGGCTGAACATGTCGGAGTAAGTGTTGGAACTGTTTCAAATGTTGGTAAAAAATATTGTCCGGAGCGAGAAAAAGGAAAAGGGGGACGACCACAAGTCTTATCAAATGCGGATAAGCGTTACTGTGTACGTTTAGTAACTAGAAATCGTATGGATAACGCTGTAAAAGTCCGACAAGAGCTTAAAAGGGAACTCGGTGTCAATGCAAGTGTACATACAATTCGCCGTACTTTCAGAGGTGCTGGCCTTGGTGCAATTGAGAAGCAAAAAAAACCGGCCATTAGCAAAACCAATGCAAAAAGGCGACTTGAATGGTGCGTGGCTCATCGTGACTGGACTTTAGACGATTGGAGAAGAGTTATTTGGTCGGATGAGACTAAAGTTAATCGTTTTAACTCAGACGGACGTGTCTGGGGTTGGATCCGTGATGGAGAGCAGTTGCAACCACATCATGTCAAGGAAACCAGAAAGCATGGTGGTGGTGGCCTCATGTTTTGGAGCGCTATCTCGTACGCTGGAGTTGGCTGGATCTGTAAAATAGATGGTAGTATGGATCGTTATCCACATAAAGACATTTTGGATGAGGATCTTAATAAGATGGTTGACTTTACCTGTGAAAAATTACGTCTGCGTCGTAATCAAATTCATTTTCAGCAAGATAATGATTCAAAACACACCTCAAATATAGTCATGGATTACCTTGCAGCACAAGAGTATCAAGTAATGGAGTGGCCAGCGCAATCTCCTGATCTTAATCCAATTGAGAACATGTGGAGACTATTAAAAATTAGACTTAATGAGTATGATACACCGCCCAAAGGCATGAATGAGTTATACGAGCGCGTTGTACATATTTGGTATAATGTAATCACTGTAGAAGAGTGTAGAAAAGTAATAGACACTATGCCAAGACGTATAGAAGAGTGTATCAAAGCAAAGGGATACTGGACATCCTATTAATAAATCAACATTGTGGTCTAATTGAAATTTGGAAGGCGGGTGCAAAACTGTTCAAATAGACTCCGCACTTTTAAACACTAATATTAAACCAATAAAAACTGTTAATTTTCTAATGAACACTTGTATTAGAATGCCATTAATTTTCTCTTTAAGACAATATATAATTTACTATATCTTTCTATACAATTATCGCATATAATTCGGTTACAAAGTTAAAAAATGAAAACATTTGAACAGTTTTGATCCTCACTGTATATTACTATTAATAGACGTGACTAATTATGTTGAATTCGCAAATTCGTGAACAGTTTTGTGAGTCACTGTATCAACAGAGGCGAAGAACTGTAAGTATGCGTGGAATTACATCTAAACGAAGTGAACATACCGCTTCCCTCATTCAATCAAAAGAATCAGTTTGTTGTACAGTTGCTGAACGTATTGTAGTCAGTATCAGAGCTATCTGTAATGTTGTGAAAGGCAGCTACAACGATCGCAGAAAAGGGAAAGGCGGAAGACCAGATGCCTCATTAAATATCGATAAGCGTTATTGCGTACGTTTGGTCACCAAACAGTGTATAGGCGTATAGATAATGCTGAAAGGTTCAACAGCAGCTTAAAAAGAACCTTGGCATCAAGGCAAGTGTAAATACTGCTCTTAAAACCTTTACGGAAGCTGATCATGGATCAAGTGAGAAAGATAAGAAGCCAATCTTGAACGCATTTAATGCTAAAAAGTGTTTTGAGTGCTGTTTAACCCATCGCGACTAGACTGTAGATGACTGGAAAAGAGTCGCTTGGTCAAACACGATCAAAATTAATTGTCGGAACGCAGACAGACGTATTTTGAGCTGGATTAGGGACGTCAAAAAACACCAACCACACCATGTGAAGCAAGCTCAAAAATATGGTAGTATCAGTATCGTCTTTTGGAGCGTTATCTCCTGCTTAGGGTTGTCTAGATATACAAAATAGATGGAACAATAGACCGTTCTCAGTATAAGTATAAGACTATTTTATAAGTAGATTTAAGTCGACCAATTGATTATACTTGTGGAAAATAAGATTTCCGGAGCGATCAAATCATTATCCTGCAATATAATGACGCCAAATTCACATTAAATGTAGTAAAGAAATATTTTTCAAAGCATATTTATCAGAATATGGACTGGCCTGTATAATCTCCTGATCTTGATCCTATCAAGAACATGCGAAGACTACTAAAAAGCAGGCTTAATGGGTATGACGCTCCTTCCGACGGTATAAATTAGTTGTATAAACGTACTGTATTTGTCTGGTTTAATATAATTACAGCAGAAGAGTGTAGAAATATAACTAAAAGCATTCCAAGGCGTGTAGAAAATTGTATGAAGGCAAACGGCTACTAGACATTGTATTAATATAGTAATATTCCATACCATCCTGTATTTTTTATATGGGAGCAAAATTGTTCAAACCGAATCTGTATATTCCAATATTGATATTTACCTACCTAATAAAGGAACGTTTTCACTTGAAATTGTAATCGTATGAAATGCTATTAATTTTCTCTTTAGAATGATATATACTTAAAGTACATTTGTTCTGTTTAATTATATCATAAAGCTAAAGGATGCCAACTCTTGAATAGTTTTCATTCTCAGGATACTTGTAACGAAAATCATAATCCAAATAAAGTATACAAATTGGAAACAACATCCTAGCTCTATTATTGTGGTCGTGTTTGGAATAAAGGTCATAAATGTAATGAATTTGTGAAGTATCGCAAGAAACTCTAAACTAACAAAGATAACATGAAGGTTTCCAGAATGGCTATGATGTCAAAGCATACTGTATACGATGAAATTGTGCTTGAGGGTGTTAACTACATTAATAATAAATACTTTAATCGTATGGCCTTAGAGTGTATAGTGGATGAAAAAACTGTTCACATGCATACTAATTTGATAATTTGTGAATCATTAGTTCTAATTACTGTCTCCAAGAGCTGTGAACAAGCTTCAGTCAAATCTATTTGGGTCTTAGGTTGTGTATGTACTGAAATTTATTGGTGTACAGATTGTTTACCATTTTGACTACCGCAAGCATTGGTGCACATTGAATATTACGTTAGGTCTAAAAGCTTTTCAATGTAATAAATCTCAAAGAGCTTAAGCGGGTCACACGAAAGCGGTAGTACAAGCCTCCTTTTTTCATCAATCTGTTTGAGGCATTTCGTTTGTTTTTGTTCACTCACTGATTACAGTTGTCTATACTTTTGATAGTATGGATTTGCCAGATATAACTGTATACTAACTATCATATATAGAATCAAAGTATTTGCAAAAGTAATGCACGAAATTTGGCATAGGTATATTCGTGGGCATAGGTCCAAGATCATTTTTTTGTATTATCTTTGTCAAAATTATAAGTTCGAAGTCCGACAATCACAATTGAGGGAAATAAGCCTGCGCCTTCTTACCACACTTCCTGACGCTTTCTTACCATAACGAAGTTCTCAATGCGACAATTGTCAAGGTCACATAATTAAACGACAATCTTCGTAAAACAATACGATAATTGCCCTATTATTGTTGGAATAGGTTATTCATATTATTTGGACATTCATATTTTAATAAAATTTACATGCAATGAGTATGAAAATGCTTATATCGCTTATGTATTGGAGGTCAATCATATAAAGTAACTTATGATCATGTTTATCGGATAATTCTGGCATGTAATTTAATTTATAGTAATAAGATAATGACTTTTACTTATAAAGTATAGTTCTTAGTCCACTATATAAACAATGTATATTTATTTTTGTTGAAAAAAGTTACTGCATAATATTTAAAAATACAGCTTCTTGTTATTGTATACTAAATAAGGGTTATATATTGACACAAAAAACCGTTCACGAATTTGCAAATTTTACATAATTAGTGACATTTATTAGTTATGTTATATATCAACAGTATATAAAACTTATATTTCTAGAGAGCTTAAGAGTCGGTCATTTTATTTATAGAAAAGTTTAATAGAAAAAATTTATTAATTATTATTGAACCGGCTTTCAAATTATAGTATACAGCGTGAACAGTTTTGTGAGGCCCTAACGAAACTGCTAATTATGAAGAAATTGAGATTTCAGTACTTCGTCCAGTAACCTTTCGCCTTGATACACTCTTCTATACGACGTGGCATACTTTCAATAACCTTTCGGCATTCTTCTATAGTGATTACCTTATACCATATATGTACTACCCGTTCATATAGCTCATTCATGTCTTTTGGAGGCGTATCATATTCATTTGGACGTATCTTTAATAAACACCACATGTTTTCGATTGGATTCAAGTCAGGAGACTATTCAGGCCAGTCCATAAGCTGATAATCTTGTCTATTGAGGTATTCTAGGACTACAGTTGACGTATGCTTTGAGTCATTAACTTGTTGGAAAATGATTTGGTCATGTCTGAGGTTCATTTGTTCACATGTATGCTGAATAGTATATGACAAATCTTCCTCCAAATGCTTTTATAGACATAACGGTCCATTGTTTTTTCGATCTTGCAAATCCAACCTACACCTGCATAGGTAATGGCACTCCAAAACATTAGACCGCCTCCGCCATGCGTTCGTGTTTGCTTGACATGCTGCTGCTGAAGGGTCTCACCGTCTCGTATCCATGCCCAGACACGTCCATCAGAATTAAACCTATTTATTTTTGTTTCATCAGACCACACTACACGCTTCCAATCGTCTATAATCAAATTGCGATGTGCAAGACACCATTCAAGTCTCCTTTTTGCATTTGTATCGCTTAAGGCAGGCTTCTTTTCTTTTTAGAAGGACCTCAAACCAGCTTCCTTTACGGCTCAACGAATAGTCTCAGCACTGACATCAATATCACAATTCATTTTCAGTTGTTTTTGGACTTGAACCGCATTTTCTAGACGCCCTTTGGTTACTAAATGCACGCAATGCCTTTTATCTGTTGCAGTCAAGATACTGTGTCTTCTGCCTTTATTCTTATCTCTGTTAATGCAATTTTGTCTTCCAATTTTGGATACTGCACTAAGACTAATTCCAACCCTTTTAGCTACTTCTCTTGTGCTAATCCAGTGTGCTAACTCCAGTTTTCAAGAGAGAAATAACACTATCACGTTGATTCGCAGTAATTTCAGCCATATTCCGTAAACGTACCTTTATATTAAAGTTAAAATTTAGTAATATAGAGTAAAAACGATATAAAGTTAAGCCTGAACAAGAAGCTGATTTTTAGCAGAGTAGCAATCCGATATGTAGCGGAAACCAAGTTGTCGTGAGGTTTTTTTAATTTTTTAATTTACGGCCACAAAACCGTTCACACGGACATGTTAATTTTAAAGCTAGATTGTAGACCCCTTAGTCCTCCAGTTAGAATAGTATGATTATATACAAATTAAGCAGATGTGAAGCTTTCGATTGGTATGTTATATGTGAATTTACTGTTTTAACTTCAAATGTCAAGTTTTGCATATCTATAGAATTTCGGAAAACGTGAACAGTTTTGTGAGTCATTGTATCAATGAATATGACATTTGATAAAAGGATAACCATAAGAATAAAAACAAATATTGAATGTGAATGACTAGACAAAAAAAAAGCGGTAGAAAAAGACGATTATTTGTCTAGACGAGGAGGGGGAGACAAAATAAAGGCAAATAAAGAGCCATAATAAACTTTGCTGTTGCTTCGACTACATGAAAACCAGCTGCCTCTGACCCAGCCTATATACTTGACAGATTTAATTACAGCATCGTGGTCTTCAACATCAGAGTTGCTACCTGGTGAGCGCCTTGTATTTCTATTCTTAGCCATGTTTTTCTCAAACTCTTTTCTCGTTCCTTTCATTTTTCTGTAGATTCTGGCCAATGCCAAACAACCTCTCTTTATCTCAAAAAGACGTTTTATCAACATCCTAAGACAATATAAATAGTCTTCGGAAGTTGGAAGACGTAAGGAACCTAGTACAGAAAAGATATATAGGCCCTCTTCGACCAAACGCGTCTCTGTTATCTCTCCTTCGACATCACACATTTGTATGTCACGAACTTTGAGTGCCTTTTTTCTTTGTTTTTGACGTGTAAGGAGGAGCAAAATTGATCAAAAATTATTTTACTCTCTCCACGCAATTTGGCATGATCATCGATATATTTTTTGTTACTAGTTTGATCTTTGGCAATTTCTCCATTTAGCAAATTAGCTGATTTGTTTTGGTCTTTGCAACAAACGCGGAAGTCGATCTTGTCCCCAATGCACTTTTTGTTTGATTCTTGATTTGCCTTCTTTGCTATCGAAGATTGGCCAATAACAGAATCACCCGACATAATTTTCAGGATTTGGGTGCTCGGAAATGGAGCCTATAATAGGGCTCCAGATTTGTATACAAGTGTCTGCTTCAGTTGTATGTTGAGGTTGGGCCTCCAAATACTAAGGATGAAGCTTCATAACAGAAATGGCATGAGCGTATATCTTAAAATACAGTGAGTGGAAAAATGGTTCGGGTGTTTTAGCAAAAATAACAAAAACACTTATAACTATAGAACAAATGATGCAAATAACACAGAACAAAATGTATTTAAAAGAGAAAATTGTCTATTTTTATTAGTATAAGTTTGAAGAAATTTGATTGGCTAAAAAATGTTTAAATCGGGGATTAGATTAGGGATGTACACCCGAACCATTTTTCCGCAAAAAAAGGTAATCTCAAAACTGTTATCTTTTTGTCGGCCTTGGCAGCCGAACTGATATTAAATATTTTCCGTAGATATCCGAAGATAAAGTAAAACTAGAAACTATAAAAAGAGCCCTTTTTTTTTGACAGAGGACTCATTATTCATAATTATTTTTTCTCTACCATCAAATGACTGTTGCTATTAGTAAAGATACTCAAAATAACATCAAGGCTCTCTTGGAATCAGGATATTCTTACTCTCAAATAATGTCTCGTATTCCGAATTTAAAGAAAACCACTTTAAGCTATTATGCGAACAAGTTTTTCCCAAATAGGACAAGATTACCCGGGGGACGTAAGTCTCTTCTTCCAAACACCACCAAGTCTTATATACGAAAGCAAATCACTAAAGGGTCTTTAAAGTCAGCAAAAGCAGTACACAAGTACCTCGGAGGTGTAGGATATAAAATGACTTATTCCTGTGTATTTAAAGTCTTAAAATCAATGAATTTTCATGCCAGGATCAAAAAGAAGAAGCCTTTGCTCGCGAAGCGTCATATGATTGCACGTTTGAAGTGGGCTCAAGCTCATAAACATTGGACAATCGACGACTGGAGACGTATGGTATTTAGTGATGAGACAAAAGTCAATATGATGTGGTCTGACGGCTGTAAATGGTATTGGTCTCGAGATGGTGACGCTTTACAGCCTCATCACCTTGATTTGACAGTTAAAGGGGGCGGTGGCAGTATTATGGTCTGGGGCTGCATAACTTACGATGGGCCAGGATATGCTTGCTGGATACATGATGGTACGATGAAAGCCGATGATTACGTTCATATTTTGAGCACAACTATGATAGATTCTCTTAGGTACTATGGCTATGAACCATCAGAAGTTTACTTTCAACAAGATAAGGATCCTAAGCATACGTCTAAAGCATCTCGGGTATGGTTTGAAGAGAACGGGTTCAATAACGATCACATATTCAACTGGCCAGCACAAAGTCCAGATTTAAACCCAATTGAGCATATTTGGCATCATTTAAAACTGAAATTAAGCCAATATGAGACCAAACCAGCAGGTGTACATGAGCTATGGGAAAGAGTCGAAAAAGAATGGAATACATTTACCAAAGAAGAGTGTAGACGCTACATAGAGAGTATGCCTGCTCGTTGCGAAGCTGTTATTAAAGCCAAAGGTGGTTATACTCGTTATTAGCTCTTCTTTATCTCTTCTTTATAAATGCGGAAAAATGGTTCGGGTGCATATCCCTAATCTAATCCCCGATTTAAACATTTTTTAGCCAATCAAATTTCTTTAAATTTATATTAATAAAAATAGACAATTTTCTCTTTTAAATACATTTTGTTCTGTGTTATTTGCATCATTTGTTCTATAGTTATAAGTGTTTTTGTTATTTTTGCTAAAACACCCGAACCATTTTTCCACTCACTGTATGTCTTTTCTTTAGTAAAGGCATATTCCGCTTGATTCATCAAACATTCTCGATAAGCTTTTGTAAGACTGCCTTCAGCAAGATTTTCAATATCTTTCAGCTCCGTCATTGTGCTTTCAGGGATATTCTCGAATTTGACTTTGGCTTTGGCATCGTAGTCATTTTTTATTTTTTCCCATTCATCTTCATTGAACAGACATCGCTGATTGTTTGGTGCTTCACTGTTGTTACTTAAATCGAGTGTGGAATTGAATCGAAGACTAAATCAAATGCGTAAGTAGAAGTTCTAATTTAAAATGACATAGCAATATACCAGATTGCTGTTTGGGCATCGACAGGCAAGTTGTTGTATATTTTGCCTTTATAAATTTCACGAGCATGATTTTTTATCTTCGTAGCTATTGGGTCTTCTTCAATAATTTCCTATAACGTACACTTGCCAAAATTTTGTGAACAACTTGACATTCATCGCTTACAATTTCTGCCTTGCGTTTTTTTTTCATTCCGCGAGTGGCCATTCGACTGTACGATGCAACTCTACGCTTTTTTTCGTTTGACCCTACGCTATTTTTGTGTTGTTCAATCAATTTTTTATTCCAGTAATCAGTACATTCTGTATTATTCAATAGCTTATTGTTTTTTGAGTTAGACGTGTATGACCACTACTAAAGTTCACATACCATATGCTCTCCTTCTTGCAGATTTCTACGGAATTCAACAAAAACTGAATCATAGTCTTCTTTGTCTTTTAGTACTGTTATAATAAATTGCTTGATTACATCTTCTACTTTAGCACGGTCGTCGTAATTACAATTGATTTGATATCGTAATATTTAGTAATCTTAAAATCTGGGTCCACAAAATTCTGTAATAGAAAGTTTTTTACGGACATTTGGCTAAAAAACATAAGGTTTAGAGTTAAAGAGGAATATCTAAAAATTAACTACCTCATTTTGTTTTGAAATAGAAAAATAGAAGTAGAAAGAGAAAGAGAAAAGCAATCAAAACGTTCTACTTTTAGCACACTCCAATTAATTCAGGAGTATATTTTCTTGCCCCTTTTAGATCCTTTTTAGAGCATCCGCTGCAGTCCCGCTAATTTATCGCTATCTGCTGTAAAACAACTTAATACATCACCATGGGAAAAATTGCTGTAACAATATGAAGCAGAAAAAGATGTGAAAATTTGCACTATTCATTGGTCACAAATAAATAATGTCTACCGATTGACATACTATATAAAACGTGTAATATACGTATCCGTTGAAATATAATATCGTACAACTACAAAAGAACTCACGTTTCGAACAGCTTTATGAAAAAAAAAGAGTACAACTAAGTTTTTTTTTATCGCAAAAAAGTATTCTTTTTTGAATATTGCTATTTGGACTGCAAAAAATTAAAAGGTACCACAATCGGCCTCTATTTAAATTTTATTCTAAAAACCCTAAATGAAATGGATAAAACCCCTCTTATGAACGGCTTTTATATTGTTATGAACAATGCATCTATTCATACACATAATGATATTGACGAATTGATCACTTTAAGAGGCTATAGAAGCATATATCTTCCCTCATATTCACCCGAGCAAAACGCAATTGAGCAATTTTGGTCTGTTGTAAGGAACAAGGTCAGGAGGGGCACGTTTTCTGATGATGAAGATCTCAATACAAGAATTGCAGATGCATGCAACAATGTTCCTATTCAACATGTGAAAGCTTTTATACAACACTCATGTAATCAATTCGAAAAGTGTAGAAATAAAGAACCCTTATATTCATATAAATCCTTTTCGCTTTACCGCAATTTAATTTCACAAAAAACTGCAAAGTGATTTCACAAAAAACCGCGATTTGATTTTTGAAAAAGTCGCACTTTGAATAATTATTTCCCCCACTTTAATTTTTCTAAACCCGCAATTTGATGCTGCGTTCACTGTACGTCCACAAAACTGTTTACACGGACATAGCTTTTCTTCCGCTTCTCAATCTATTACTATATTTGGAAAGCGCAATAGTTGAAGTCTCTTATTTTTGAAGCATAAAAACTAAGGAGAATGACAAAGAATCGTAGTCCTTATAGGAAAAAATATCAACCTTCCTTAAGTTCTGAGCAACTTGAGGAACTTCAGTCCACATTTGAAAATGTCAATCGACATTTCGAATGTCCCTTATGCAAAACTATAAGCCATTTCCTCCGACATGGTTACTCCACACATGATCCTACTCAACCAATTTTTGTATGTAAGTCATGCAAAAGGCAATCTACAGCTTATGAAATCTACCAAGTACTTTGTGGTATTAGTAATATAAATGAGAACTCCCAGCAAAATGTAGACTTGTCTATAAATCTCCAAGAAACCAACTCTCGTGATCCCCGTGATGAATTAATCACTAAACTTAGCAAACAAATTGAACAACTTACATCTGAATTGAACTTGGCCCGCGAACAAATCGCTAAACTTATGGCTATTCATACAGCCACCACTGAAAACAACAACTCACAAACCATTGTTAATGCTGAGTTTCCTCCACTTAATGGACCAGTTTCTCAAAATATTGATAATTCAAACTCCCAGGCCCCCTGGCGCAATCCCAACAAGGTAGCTGCATTAAAGCAGTCTATGTATCTCAACCGTCAAAAAAATCGAATTCGCAAGGAAGAAGCAGCAGCACGTTTCTTCCAACCACCTTCCAATAATCAAGGCTTTCAATACCTATACATTTCTACTAAAGCTCGCATCCCTGTCGGTAAACTTCGATCTTATTTACGCCAAATGGGTGTAAATAATGCACGTGTACTAGATATCCATTATCCCGACCGTAACATTGTTGCGCTTCTTATCCATAATGATTATGCTGCTGAATTTAAACAACTACTTGAAACTAAACGTGTCCACTTTGTTAACAACTTTGATCCCTGGGACGGTTCTACTCTCAAAGACTCACAATATAAAGATCTTACAGAACAAGAACGAACTTTTAAAGCATGTGAAATCCAACTACAACGCCTTGAGCGTGCAGTTATACATATCCGCGAACCAGTGAAGTTTGCAGTAGCATATTACTTCTACCAACAAAAGTGGTTATCTAAATCATTTATTGACCAACTTAACAACTCTCGCTATAAACGACCAGAGGATATTTTTGATATGGATGAGGATATCATGAATACTACCCCTGAAGATACTCCAGCCAAAGAAACCAGCCTTGACAACACTCAACATTAATGACCAACATGTCAATAACATTATTTAATGCTACTGGACTTCCAAAACAAGCTATACACCCTATATTAAAAATCGCTGAAAACTCATCACTCCTTTTTATTACAGAAACCTGGCTCTTACCACCAAACAAATATCCCACAACATGGAAACAGTTTCATACTTACGGCCAACCGATTAATTCAACGTATCACAGAAACCGTGGCCATCTTGGTATTTCCCTTCTAATAAATCCTATTTTTAAACAACACATTTACCATATCCAACATGAAAATCCTATATTAGCTAAGTAAAGTATACGTTATCCGTAATTATATCTGCTAAAATTTTAATACACTGTCTTTACATTCCTCCCAATCTAAATGATAATGAACTATCAGAAATTCTGGAACTACTACCTCTTAATTATAATAATACAACTGCAACTATCATCTGTGGAGACTTCAATGCTAGAATGGGCAGTTACACCGGTGACACTAGAGAAAATCATAAAGGTCGACTCATATATAACTGGATTCAATCTAACGAACTTATAAATTGGAATCAACGAATTGCGTATGGTGTACCCACTTCATATAGCTACTCCGGAAATAGTATTGTTGACTACTTTCTGAGTACAATGGATCTGGCTTCTCCGACGATAGTAGTTAGAGATGATCTTTCACTAGAATCAACCCATAAACTCTTAACCTTCTCTTTTCAAACACCATCATATATTCCTAATAATATAGACTCAATACCAGACTTACGGAAACTTTGGAACACCAAAAAGCTTAAAAAAGAGAAGACGAGAGAAACATATCAAAGCGTTTTTAAAGAACACTTGAACCTTATTCTACCACCATTGCCCTCTTTTTCACTTCAAAGAAATGATGCTCAGAAGTATATTGAACATATTAACATCACATTACTGGACACTCTATATATATCTCTTAATACTGTCTGTGGTAAACAAAAGACATATTCGTCCAAATCACATTCAAAAGAATTCTGGACATCAGAAATGACGGAAATATTTAAAACAAAAGAGTTTTACTATCGAAAATGGAGAAAGGCGAATGGTCTTAACTGTCTTAAATACTGGTTACTTCATCAAGAAGCCAAGGCGAAACTACGAAGAATGATTATCCAGCGGAGAAGGGAAACTTGGCGACTTTTCTGTGACAAAATGAAGAAAGGCGAATACACAAAGGCCATAGCTAAATTTTCACGAATACGAAAAAATCGTTTAATTAAACCTGTTTTCTCTGCCATAGATGGACCGAAAAAAGCCGCTGAATTAATGGCAGATTATCTAAAGCGGATATTATCAGGCACCTTTTTACTCAATGATCCACGACATGAATGTATATCGATTTCTCACTATATATCTACTCATCAAACATCTCAAACGTCTTTTATTTCAACTGACTGTCCGTTTAACTTAGATGAAATTAAATCAGTAATCTTAGATCTTCCACAAAATAAAGCACCTGGTGTTGATCATATTACTAGCGAAATGATTCAACCACTTGTAAATATTATTTCTCCAATTCTCCTTTATCTTTTCCAGTTATGCTGGCAATGGTCATACACACCCCAACTATGGCGCATTAGCCAGATAGTCCTAACCCATAAAAAAGGTGATTGTTGTGATTGTAGTAGCCTTTATAATTAAGTTAATAGAAATAAACCATCATTTATTACATAATAAAGAGGTTATTCAAATTAAACTAATATATCGCGCTTCACAGCATAATATTCATTCTACTCTCAGTTTTGATAATAGTCATTGTTTGAGTATTCGAGCATTAAAAATAATTATATACATTACATTATGTAATAATAATAATTCAATAGGATTATGACCGTTATATTCAATTACATAATTATTTATAAGTCATACATATTATATATAGATAGCTATAAAGATAAATATTGTTATGTAATAATATCTTATAGGATAATAATAATAGTAGCATATAAATAATTGGTGTTGCTATAGCTGACATATTCACTGTGAATTAATATTGACGCGTCGCTTACCCCAGAAATAATAATTTAATATTTTTAGTAACAGCGACAGCTCAGGCAGAAAAGAATAAAAATAGATTTTATTGTAGGCAGAATTATTCAGAGAAAATATTTATGACTAATGCTTTATTATAGCAATATTTGCTTATCCAAATCATAGTTCTATTAATATCACTTACCTTGCAAAAACATATAAATAACCCTTTACATTTTCACATAATTTTTCCTTGTACAATTTTTGTTTTTTTTTCTTAATAAAAAAACTACGCGAAGTTTTCACAGACTTGTCTTTTGTTTTTTCTCTTTCTTTAACTTTTTGCTGTCAAAACAGTGATACTTCTGACCCGGGCAATTATCGACCAATTAGTTTGACCTCAGTATTCCGTAAAATTTTAGAAAAATGCATGCAATATGAACTAATTAACACCAGTCCCACGCTGGATGTAGCTCAGGGAGGCTTCCGTGAAGCTAGAGGGTCGCTTAACCAAGTACTTTGTCTAACCGAATTATGCCAATTATATCATCGTAAACACTTACATTACAATCCAGTACTAGCCTTTCTCGATATAAAATCAGCTTATGATACGGTTGATCGAAGTATCATTTGGGACGAGCTTTCTTCAAGTGTCTCAACACCTCTTTTAGCCCTCCTATACAACATGTTTGAAGAAGTTTCTGTCGAGGTGATTCTTAGCAACCATACATCCTCCCGTTTCCATCCAAAAACAGGCGTTCTACAAGGCTCTGTCTTATCACCTTACTTATATTCAGTATATATTAATAGTCTTCCAAATTTCTTACGACCAGCACCTCTCCTTGAAACAGACTTTAATGATCCTTCCCTTGTGGCGCCAAAGTTAAATTGCCTATTATATGCAGATGATGTGGTTCTCATTTCTGATGCTGATTCCATGCAGTCCCTCCTTACCAAATGCGAAGAACACAGCCTTTCTTTAGGTTACAGATGGAACCCTAAAAAGTGCGTTATTGTGAATTCCAATCTTACACCTCAAAAATACTACCTCTACAATAATGAATTACCCAATGAAGATTTCTTCCCGTACCTCGGTGTTCCTATTAAATCTGGTGGTGTCGTACATAAATCAGCACTTTTACAACAAAACATCAATAAAGCACTTGGAACGATGAGACAGCTTACTACCCTTGGTGTAAATAAAAATGGCTTTGACCACCTTCTTTCAGCTCGTTTTTACGCTCAAATAGTTCGATCACAATTAGAATATGGATTAGCAATCACAACCTTCAACCTACGAGAAATCCGCTCTCTAGAAAACTGCCAAAATCAATGTATGCGTCAAATCTTCGGTGGACGACCTTTCACCTCAACCAAAGTAATGTTACACCTAACAAATTTACCTAACATGAAAGATCGTATTTCAATACTCCAAGCATAATTTCTTTTTAGATCCTCCTTTCTACCAAATGATGCATTATTGACGAAATTGCTACCATACATACAGTCTCAAACTAAATCAAAATGGTCCCAACTATCCAAATCTCCTCTATGGATATCAGTTTGCAATGAAAATCTTAACACTACGTCTCATAAGGATTTTGATTTTAGTAGGAAACGAAGACAATTCCTACTTGACAGCTACCAATCAAAACTACAAGAAAAACATTCGAAACTTTTATCCCATTGCCGTAATAATCTGATTGTCGACCCTATTCTTACGATACCAATGACAAGAAGAGAACGGTTTCGTTGCGTGCGATGGCGACTTGGTTGGTTACCTCTTGGTAAACCCCAAGCCTGCCCCTTCCATCCAAACGAACTCTTCACACGCTCACATAGTTTTTCTTGTTTACATATGCACAACCGCCTTCAGATGCCCAAATCTATTGAAGATCCACTCTCTTATCTCTTGAATCTATTACCATCAACATTCCATACGAAGAAAGTGAAAAAATCAATTGATGCCTGGCTCATACGCTGGCCTTCTATATGTGCAATTCTATTTGAGATGGACTATCTAGCTCACTCCCAAATCCCTGAACCCTCTGACCATCTTGGTGAACCCTTTGTCAATCATCTTCTTTCAATACAAAAACGAATCTCTGATAATTAATTATCATCACTTATACATATACTTTAACATTTTCCCTTTTATCCCAAAAGGGTTTTTCTTTCCTTTTTTTTCCATAGCGATCTGACCAGGGCAAAACAGCATATATAAATGCTATGTGCTCATTGGTCATTTTTTAATTTTTTAAATAAAATTCTTTTCTTAATCGTTTACACGGACATGTTAATTTGAAAGCCAGATTCTAAACTCCGTAGTCCTCCAGTTAAAATAGTATGATTATATACAAATTAAGCAGATGTGAAGCTTTCGATTGGTGTATTATATGTGAATTTACTGTTTTAAATTTCAATGTTAATTTTTGCATATCTGTAAAATTTCGGAAAACGTGAACAGTTTTGTGAGTCACTGTACGTAAGTTTGTTTTCAGTAAAAACTTTCTAATCAATCAATTTCCCTTCTTTACGGCAAAACGAGACCTAATTGGGAGCATGTTGCCATAACAATTAATCACAAAAGACTTTGTCTAAGTCATTACGTACCCTAAGCTCGCGGAAACGTCGGTAGCGAACTCTTCTCATTAAGAACAACTGGTTTTAATTCTTTTTCTAGTACTACAACGGAACGGTTAAAGTTACTTCCAGATGATAAAGAAAAAGTCAAACATATGTTCAAAAACTTAAATGAGAGCAAGATGTCGAAGTTATTGACCAGCACTATTGTAGGGAAAAAGAGGGAAGAATTTGCTCTTAGCTGTACCCATACACAGTAAGCACTGTGCATTATGTCTAAAGATGTATACTAACGAGTATTTTTTCTAGTTTAGTCCATTCAATGATAGTAGACTTAAGCGATTTCAATTGGAGGAAGAACTTAATCGTTGAAGAAGTTGATGAGATTAAAATTTTTTTGATGAAACAACTAGTTGAATTACCTCCTAAAGTTAATGAGTATATAGATTCTTTGCAAAAATCTACTGATGCTACCTCATTAAAAAGACAATTAACTCAAGAATCTGAGTGTGTTTTGATTAGCAAAAGATAAAGAAGGAAAAATCAACAAAAGACAAGTCTGTGAAAACTCTGTATTCTTTATTAAGAGATTAAGAGAAAAATAATACAAAACTTGTATCAAGAAAAAATAATATGACAAAATAACAAGGATTATTTATATGTTTTTGCAAGGCAAGTGATATCAATAGAAGTATGATTTGGACAAGTGAATACTACTACAATAAAGCATTATGTGTGAATATTGTCTTCGATTAATTCTGCTTGTAATAGGATGTATTTTTATCTTTATTCTCCCTGAGCTGTCACTGTTGCTAAAAATATGAAATATAATAAATCGTTATTTTTGGGGTCTGGGATCTGGGGTAAGCATCTTGTTAATATTAATTCTCAGTGAATATGTCTGGCTGCAATAATACCAATTATTTATGAGTTACTATCATTATCATTGTATACGATTTTATTCCATAACAATATTCAATATTATCAATGTATATATGATATGTATAACTCATAAATAATTATGTAATTGAATACATCAGTCATAATCCTGTTTGAATTATGTATATAATTATTATTACTGCTCGAACATTCTAACAATGGCTATTATTAAAACTGAATGTAGAATGAATATTATGCTGTGAAGTACAATACACTAGTTCTATTCAAATAAAATCTTTATTATTTAAATAAATGATAGTTTATTTCTATCAACTTAGTAGTAAATACGACTACAATCATAATAGTTATACTTCGTGATTCCCTAAAGATATGATGTTGATCTAAAGCGTAATTGAAAGAATTTATAGCACTAGATAAACAGGAGACTAGTAAATGGTCCGAATGTTTTGGCTAAAATAGCAGAATCACTTATTATTACAGAACAGATAACGCAAATAGCATAAGACAAAATGTGTTTAATAAGGGAGATTGTCTAGCTTCATTGATATAAATTTCAAGAAATATGATTGGCTGAAAAATATTTAAACCAGGGGTTAAAGTAATAATGTACATCCGAACCATTTTTCAGAGTACATTCAAAAAATGGGGATCTGTAGTCTAACGACCTATAATAATCATAAATTATCATTTATAATATCCAATCAGAATTAATGAATACCTGGCAACTTAATTTTCTAAAAAAAAAAGTCATTTTTTATCGTCAATATTGCCTGCTTCTTTTTAGATTATTATAATTACAGTTTATATTACGTCATTACATTATTATGGCTCGTCCATATCCACAAGATAAGCAAAATAACATCAAACCTTTATTGGAATTACGTTATTCATACTCTGAAATCATGAAATCTATTCCAGGTATCAAAAAGAGTACGATTTGTGACTATAAGTGTTATGATTATAGTCATCTTTACAACTAAGTTAATAGAAATAAACCATCATCATTGATTAGATATTAGAGAGGTTATTCAAATAAAACTAGTATATCGTACTTCACATGTTGTAGGGTTTAAGAATTTAAGAAGACAAAATAAATCGTGAGACACAAGCACAGATGAGAATAATTTTATTAGAAAAAATTGTATGTAAATAAAAACTAACTATTTTTCTTATACAAACTATCTAGCTATTTATACTTTCCTTGGTAATTCTAGATGATATTTATAGATGATATTTCATTGGTGTTGTGTTAAATATTGACCTCTTTATGATATTATCAACAGCAATTATACAGATCATGATCTGGTATTATATTTCACATATCACTAATTCAATAAGGGTTTCATTTGGAGGTTCTACATTTAATAATTACATAATTTCTGTATGTTTCACATGATGGTATTGTTTATACAACATTATTCTGTAATGAAAATGCAACATTTTTATTTTATTATATCTTTATGTTCTGTACAAATACAACAATAGTTCCTTTTGTTTTCTTTTTCTTTCTCTTTTATTTCTCTTTTAAATATTACGTCCCATCACATTTTTATAGTTTGAATTCTTATTTTATTCAATGGCTACTATGAATCCTGAACTTACCTCTTCAGATGCTCCTGAGAACAAGCCCTCAGAAATGGAAATAGACTCTACTGTGGCTGGTGAAGAAGTCAATTCTAATTCTAAGTCTACTGGTAACTCCTTTTCTGAAGAGACTACGGACCTTCAAAAGGATCAAGATCTAGATAATCTTCCAATTGTTAATACAACTCCCGAAGAAGCTGCTTCCAATGCTGAAGCCGTATTAGAAGCAATGAAAAAGAAAAGTACTATTCTTTTCGCCAATTATACTGCCTTATGTAGAAAAGCTCCTGATTCCCCAGAATCATCAAGAGCTTCAGAAGCCTATTATCAATTTTTGGAAAAATTAACTCGTTTCCAACAAGCTCATAATTCACATAAAATGTCTACTGGTTCTCCTGTTGCTATTAGTACTATGCCTACCATTCGTGCTGTTGTTCCCCCTGGTCTTCCAAAGTTACAATTGAAAGGAGAAAATATTTGGAAAAAGGACGAAGAAGCTTTCGACAGTGCCCATGACTTTTGTGTTTCTTTTGAGAAGGTTTTTCGTGCCCACTTACAAGATTTCAATTTAAATTGGGAAAGACTCTTACCAATGTGTATGAATACTGAGCAAATGTCTTGGTTCGAAGAAGTCTTGGTTGGTCGGAATTTGGCGTGGTCTGAAGCTAAAGCACGTATCTTAGATTGTTTTGATACACCATATAGAAAGTTTTTATTGATGGTGGAAGTTGGATCCTTGAAGCAAGACAGGTATGAAACAAACAGAGAATACGAAAGTAGGTATCAAAAACTTCGTCGTGAAGCAGGAATAGAAGATGGAACTCAGTTGGCTGTCTCATTTTTTGTCTCACTTCGAGAATCTGTTCGTGCCCATTCACAAGTTGCTATAGCCTCTCACTTTAGCACTAACTTACCTACTTCTATAAATCAAATTATTGATCTTGTTGTTGCTTCCGGTGAAGATAGTTCCTTTGCTGCTCCTCCTGTTAAACGTCCACGTCATAAAGGTCCTCATGAGTCCTACAAAAATTCCAGTCGTAATACTAATAAAGGTCACATTAAACCTAATAAAGTATTGGATTCTTCTACCTCTCGTAACTTGGCATTATCTAATAAGCCTTGCACTTTTTGTAATAAACCTTGGATAAAGGGTCACCGTTGTCAAGAATTTGTAGATGCTAAAAAAGCTAATAAACAAAACAATAATGACAAGATTAGTAACAATAAAAATAATAAAATAAATAGAATGGCTAGAAGATCAATCCAAAACGATAATGATGAAGATGATAATATCGTACAATTAAATAGAATGTCTTTGAATTGTAAGTATCAAAATTCTGTTGTAACTAAAGATTTTAAACATATTGATCCTAATTCTATTTCTTTTCCTATTATAATTCATGTTAGAAAAGAAAATAAAGAAATTAAATCAATAAAAGCAATTAGTATATTAGATACAGGCGCAAATTTTAGTTCTATTAATAAAGATTTTTGTTTAAACCATAATATACCTATAAGTCCCATTTCTAGTGATGATAATAAATTTATTGAATTAGCTGATTCTAAAAGTAATGTCAAGATAGTTGGAACAGCTTTAATTTCTATTTCTTGTAACAATAAAACCATAAGTCGTAAATTTGAAGTAATGAATTTAACTAATAATTATGATATGAGTATTGGTATTGATTATATGAGTAATATTGGAATTGGTATAATGGCTTTACCTACAAATTATCAAGAAATCAGTGATTCTCTTGAATCAAAAAATTGGAAATTACAGGTTATAGAGTCTGTCATGATCCTCGTCATGTTAATGCTCTCCTTCAATCTATTGATCGTATGCCTCTTCCTTTGATTAGTGAGATATTTGAAGATCTAAAAGGAAAATATGTTTATAGTACCTTGGATCTGAGATCTACGTTTAATAGTTTAAAATTAAATCCTAAACATGCACATAAATTGAGTTTTACCTTTGATAATAAGCAATATACACCCATCGGATGTGTCTTTGGTCTTAAGCATATAAGTTCTCATATGCAATGCACTATGAGCATTGTATTAGAAGACATGCCATTTGCAAGATGTTTTGTTGATGACATTGTCTTGGGTTCTTCAACCTTAGAAGAACATAAATTGCACTTAAGTCAAATAATTAATAGATTAACTGAAGTTAATCTCAAGCTCAATCCAGATAAGTGTAAATTTTTTCAAAAAGAGATATATCTTCTTGGCTTTCGTATCTCACCCTGTGGTATTTCCATGGATCGTCGTAAGTTAGTTAATGTAATGGAATTTCCCCAACCTCAAACTGGTAAGGATATTCAAAGATATACAGGATTAATCAATTATTTTCGATTCTTAATTCCAAATGTATCATCTATAATGTCTCCTCTTGATGCTTTACGAAATGAGAAATCACTCAAGAAGGTTTGGACAAATAAACACCAAATGGCTTTTGAAAACTTGAAAAAAGCTCTCTTAAATGATACTGTACTTTCGTATCCTGACATAAATCATCCTTTTATGGTGTCAACAGATGCGTCTCAAACTGGTATTGGTGCAGTTCTTCATCAAAATATTAATGGTGAAATAAAATACATCTCCATGATATCCAAAAGTTTGTCTAAAAGTGAACGTAACTATTCAGCTACGAAACGTAAACTCCTAGCTTTAGTATTTAGTTTAAAGAAATTCCATAAATATCTTTAGGGTAACCATTTTACATTGTATACAGATCATAAGGCATTAACTTACTTACATACTCAAAAGGTTGTTAATGCGATGATGATAAACTGGTTAGATACCATTCTCCAGTATGATTTTACCATCGTTCATTTGCCAGAAATTGATAATATTCTGCCTGATACTCTTTCACGTCTTTTTGAATCTGATGACTGTTCAAATGAACTGGGAGGGGGTAAACCTCGCATCATCAACCGTATTGCTTCTAAAAAAGAAGAAGTGGTTTTACCCAGCTTGGACAGTGGTGAATATATGACACCTGCAGATCCTAAAGAAAGAAAAGAATTACTAATGGATCAACATTTAAAAGGTCATTTTGGTTCTGGTGCTATATGTATTGGCTTACGTAGAAAAGGAATCTATTGGTCTAATATAAAAAATGATGCAATTGAATTAGTAAAAAGCTGTGTACCGTGTCAACAATTTAATATAATTAAAAAAGGCTATAATCCGTTAAGACCTATTACATCTAAACTACCTGGTGATAGTTGGGGTTTGGATTTGGCTGGTCCTTTCACAACATCAGTTCGTGGTAACAATTATCTATTAATTATAGTAGATATTACGACTCGCTTCTGTATTTTAAGGCCTATAAGAGATAAAACAGCTTTATCAGTTATGACTGAACTTGTTGATGTAATTTGCACATTTGGTCCCATGAGAGTAATTCAAATTGACAATGGCGCAGAATTTGTGAATGAAATGATTTCTTTACTTTCTGAACAGGCTGGTTTTGAACATCGAGTAATTTCTAGTTATCACCCAAGAGCTAATGGAGTGAGTGAAAGATGGGTTCAAAGCGCTGTTAAAGCAATGAAAAAACGTGTTAGTGGTGCTAAAGCTGACTGGGATATTTATGTTCCTTCTACACAATTATTTTTAAATTGTAAAGTAAATGAAAGGACAAAAACACCTCCTTTTACATTAATGTTTGGTCGTAATGCTAATGACTTTGAAAATTTTAGTAAAATAAAAGATAAAGCAACCGAAGCAGAAATTAATCGTCAGCTACTAGGAAATATAAAAATGATGACGGAGATAATTTTCCCCGCAATTTATGAACGAACTAAATTAATTGCTGGGAGCAATTGTAATGATTCAAGTTCCTGATAAACAAAATAAACTAGACCCCACATATATTGGTTATTATAAAGTAAAGAGAATTACAGCTGGTGGTTCTTATGTATTAGAAAATGATAAAGGACAACTTGAACCGAAAAACTATCCACCTTCTCGTTTAAAAATGGTATCACAAGATCAAGTTGTTTCTACAAATGAGTATTATGATGTAGAGGCAATTGTAGCTCATAAAAAGGTCAATGATAAATACCTTTACAATGTTAGATGGAAGGGTTATACAGAAAAAGACGACACTTGGGAACCTCCTGAAAATTTTGTTGATCAAAGAATAATTAGTGAATACTGGAAAAGATTAGGAGTAATTCCTGAAGACTCTAATAATAATAAGCAAAATAAGCATAAGTCCTGTAACTCTAACTCATCCAGGAAGCGAGAGATATCTTTAGTATCTGATAATAACAGTTCTTGTCCTATAACAAAGAGTAATACTAAAAGGCGTAAAAGAACAATTAATAACAGAAACTAAACGGTATTGATCACACCTGAGAGGGGGTGATGTTATAGAACAAGCTCTGGATATAATCATAAGTAATATTGTAATAGATGAATTACATAATACAGGATAAAATATAAGCCTGAATATGAAATAAAACTCTGTATATAACATCTTGTAAATAATATAAAACTTATTGACATCGTATCATTTCTAAATATTTAATTTTTATAACCTTGATAAAGTATTCAGGTCGTCTTTGATCCAATTAAATAAAAATATAAAAGACATCAGGAACCTATACTCAGATCAAACGACAAAATTTTTATTTTAGACCTCAATCAAATTATTATACAATTATAACGCCCAATAGATAGTCTATATATCAGTCTCTTGAATCAACAAGATATATATCTGAATACTAACATTGTTTCATGACTCTTGTTCTTTCATAGCTATTTTTTATTTCTTTGATTCAGGATCTACTCGTATAAATATAAGCAGTTATGAGGAATCCTTCTCTTAAATTCTGACTCTCTTTACATGAAATAAACAGTTTAAAACTATGCTTCTCTTTTGTCATCTTCTTTCTCTTTTTATCTTCTGTTTCTTTTATTTTCATTATATAATCCATACCATCGCAATAACACTGATCACTCTACTTTTAAACGGACAGATATATAGATAGTATATACCCTTTCTGCTGCTGTTTCTCTATCAAGACATTACACAATCATTAATTTTACAGACCATAATAAAGTTACCATGAATATGTTTTAGATTGTTGAGTAGAACTTGCTGACATAGGAAAATTGCTTATAAAGTCTTTTTTTTTTTTTTGTTCAAAAAATAGTATCAAAATATTATAACTATCATTGAGCTATATTGAAGCTTGAAACGTATCTATGTTGCTTTTTCTTACCTCTATTTGGTTATAATTTGGAACACCATTTAAAAGAATATTCTCTATATATTTAACAGCCCTTTATCATTCATTTTATATAAAATTAAGACTCTATTTAAATTTAGGGGTTCAAAATAATAAATGGACTTTAATCTTATCAGAACAAAATCTGCATTATGCTATGAACTATTAATAGCCAATCAACATATCCTCTTGAGAGAGTTTCTCAAATAATGCATAATAATAAATTCACATTTATATGACTATAAATATTTATTGGAAGAAAGGTAATGGTTGAATGATGATAAGTGCTACATATCTAGGGATAATAGTTATTATAAGAAATTTACATAGGTTTTAGAACTGCAAAGAGAGAGAGAGAGAGAGAGAAAGCACTCTAGATAAGAGTTACAGGAATGGAATAACTTGCTAATATAATATTATTTTTGATAAAGTACCATATTTTTTCACAAATATATAGATTATAGAATATCTTTTTAATACAAGTTAATTAATCAGAATCCATATTTTCTAATAATATTCCTTGTTTTGAAGGTATACAACTCTTACATTTAAGGTTATGTAATGTATTGTAACTAATTTGTATACATCTTTTACAAATAGTAGAATAGTCTTTCTTTTTAGTTTTCCGTTCCAACTTACATCAACTGGAAAAAAAACTATGTTCTATTGATAATAACTTGTGAATAAACAAATAACTATCATTTACTACCTGTTTTAGACTTATAAGTTTTAAATCTGTAACATGCTTTGCTTTAATGATTAAATATTTCACAATCTACATATTATATCTTTAATGATTATAAGAAGAGCAAGGATAAAAGATATAATAAATATTTGTTAACATATTATAGTAAGGAACTTTAAAATGTTTATACATATTCATATAATATCCGTATGCATTCTAATTCAGTGCAAAAAGAAAAAAAAATGTAAAATGCTTGATTTTTCACTTTTTGTAAATATCAATCTTCTATTCACAGCCATAAAAGGATTTAGTGTAACACTCTTTTGACGTTGATTTATCAGATCATTATGTTGCTTACAATCATTTACTTCATGACAAAAATACATAATTTGAGCAGCAATACTAGTGCGCACTCAATCCAGGTTGCTTCTTTAGAGGTCAATATAGTGTAGCTATTCAACATAATATGTATCTATATCTATAAACTAGCTATCCTGAAAATAAAAGATCAATCAATATCAAAAGTGCAAAATTATATGCACTACATGTGGAGTTTAAAATAAAAAAGCCATGATAAAGAGTTTTTTTTTTTTTTTTTTTTTTTTGAGAAACAAATAAGCGTCATGAATTAATTTTCTTCTTACATTAAGATATAATAAACAACTAACCAATTTTAATAATAATAATAATAAAAAGAATATATAACTAAAGGTAAAAAGTGTAAACTATATTATATTCATATACGAAAAAGAGTACATGTGTGAAATTAGTTGATAAAATACACTTATTTTTTTTTATAATAACGGTTTAATTAACGCGTAAGTTTTTTTTTCCCGAAATTCGTTAGTAATGCAAGCAACAGCTTCACTAGAAAACGAAAATAAATGGAAATTTGCTCAATGTTTCGGTGATAAAGGTGAATCGGATGACATTTCAGAAGGTAAGTATTACTTCATTATAAACAGATGTACATGCATTTATTATTTATTTACTATATGAACTTTTTGCTTTATTTAGCTGATATTATCTCGGCTGTGGAATTCGATCATACAGGTGACTACTTGGCAACAGGTGATAAAGGTGGAAGAGTAGTTTTGTTTGAAAGAAATGAAAGCGTATGTTTAGCATATACATAAAAAATGAAAAGTTATTTAACTTTTTATTTTGTTTTTTGTTTTTTTTTTGACATTTAGAAAAAATCTTGCGAATATCGTTTTTATACTGAATTTCAGTCACATGAGCCTGAATTTGATTATTTAAAAAGTTTGGAAATTGAAGAGAAGATCAATCAAATTAAATGGTGTAAGAGAACTAATTCGGCTCATTTTTTACTTTCAACAAATGGTAATCATAAATATTTTTTTCAATTAAAAAAAAAGCTAATTAACCAAACAAACTACAATAGATAAAACAATCAAACTTTGGAAAGTATTTGAAAGAAGTTTGAAGACAGTAAGTGAATGTTCTATGATGACAGATAATGATATGCCAATTGCTGCACCTGGAAATTTTGGTGCATCGCTTCAATCATCTATCATGATGCCCAAGATTAGCCATCAAGATACAATTGTAGCTGCCATTCCACGACGCATTTATGCAAATGGTAAGTTTTTACGGAGAATGAAATATGTATATGTGTATAAAGACCCTAACTTTTTTTTTTTCTTTTCTTTTGAAAAGCACATGCATATCATATTAATTCAATTTCAATTAATTCTGATTGTGAAACTTATATTTCAGCTGATGATCTTCGTATTAATTTATGGAATTTGGACATTTCAGATCAAAGTTTTAGTAAGCGAGATTTTATGTATTTTTTTAATAACTTTGTTAATCAATATATATATATACATCTGTAGATATTGTGGATATTAAGCCTGCTAATATGGAAGAATTAACTGAAGTAATTACATCTGCAGAGTTTCATCCTATTCAATGTAATTTATTTATGTACAGCAGTAGTAAAGGAACAATTAAACTGGCTGATATGAGAGAATCCGCCTTATGTGATCAGAATGCAAAGAGTAAGCTATAAAGAGAATATACAAGTAGAATCATATTTTTAATACGCATATTTATAGTATTTGAGGAGCCTGAAGATCCAGCAAATAGATCTTTTTTTTCAGAGATTATTTCGTCTATTTCTAATGTAAAGTTCAGTAAAGACGGTCGATATATCTTATCTCGCGATTATCTTACCTTAAAAATTTGGGATATTAATATGGAGAAGAAACCTCTTCGTACGATTAACATACATAATAATCTTAGATCAAAATTATGCGATTTATATGAAAATGATTGTATTTTTGATAAATTTGAATGTACATTTAGTGGTGATGGAAGGTATTATGAGAAGTATTTCCTATTATAATAACTTGGACTGACTTGTATTATTATAGTCGTATGATGACCGGCTCTTATAGTAATGATATACATATATATAGTCGAGAGGATGAAAATGAAATTACTTTACAAGCTGACAAGAGCGCATTTAAAGCAAAGAAGTTAGGAGCAGCTAAGAGTAAAATTACAATGAGTCAGGGTAATCGTGCTGCAATGGGTAGAAGAATGAGAGATGATAGTGATTACATGGATTATAATAAAAAGATTTTACATGCATCATGGCATCCTAAAGAAAATACAATTGCTGTTGCAGCTACCAATAATTTATTCATCTTTACGTAAGTATTTTTTTTCTTTACTTTTCTTTTTTTTTTTAAAAAAAAAACGTTCTAATTACTTTGCTTTTTTCTTCTTAGCGAATAATTAATATATATTATTTTTGAAATTAACTATTTAACACAACGAGCTCATTTATATCAAATGTTCCTAATTATTATTACATCTTTTAAATTTGTTTTTTATCACCCTTTCTGTCAAAATAGTTTTTCCTATTTTTATTCTTTGATTTATATGAAGATAAATATAGTCAAGGATAAAACTGTATATTCTTAATAATAAATTAAAATTAAAAAAAAAAAAAAAAAAAAAAAAAAAAAAAAGAGCGAGAGAGAGAGAACAAAAGAGGGCTTTATTTTTTCTTTTATTCATCTTATATATAGTTTATTCATGTATAGTAATAATGACAATAAAATCCAACTATGATCTAACGCTACTTACTCCAGAAGAAGTTGATGATATTGGACTTTTTCTAAATATAGGTGATATAGTTCTACTACTACTTCCACTTTCTTCAGATTCGTCTAAAAGCGTGCGAGAAAATCGACGATGAGATACAATGGGTGCTGACAAGCTAGGACTCTGTCGCCCTTGTGGATAATAATATCCCATTGGAGAATGATAAGGATGAGGACTATGTATAGGTCTAATATAGCCTTCATAATTAGAGTTGTTAGGACTGGAGGATGGACTATTTATAGGAGAAGAATGGAACTGCTGCGGTGGCAAGGATAATAATGGTGAAGATAGGTTATACTGCATCTGCTGCTGTTGCTGTTGCTGTAATAAGGTCATATTCATTTGATTTAAAGGAGGTATTAGACCCATCGAAGTCATTGGTGGTATAGGCCCCATAAAGGGATGAGGATACAATGCTGGTATAGGAGTAATACCATAACCATTGTTATACATAATTATCTAGTAATATTAAATAGTAAATAAATAAGATAAGAAAAACAAGAATTATAACTATTCAAAAAATAAACTTTAGCTTACTTGATGCTTTAAAAATTGTTGTTGTCTTTGTTCAAATAACTTTCTTTCCCTTTCTCTTTCAAGACGATCTTGGCCTAACTGTGCATGATGTTGATTAACTCTTTCGGTAACTCGAGCACCATTGCCATTCTTTCGATCCTTTTCTCGTTGTGAAATCATACCTACTAAGCCTCCTTGAGGAGTACTGTGTTTTTTAGTAGAAACTTGAATTAGTGGTTGCCCAGTAGCCTTACAATATTCTATTTGTTCCTTAGCACTTAATTGTTCCCCCAAATAATTATCTAATAAGCTATTCTGAGGCGCAAAATGATCACCTAAAGAGGGAATTAGAGGTCCATCAAAATCAGAATTATATGTTTGATAATCATCATCGTATTGACTTTTCTCTTCTTGTTCTTCCTCTTCAAAATAATCCTGTTCGCTCCAATCATTATCCCATCGATGATTGCTTGATAATGTTGAACGACTTGATTCCATAGAAGATAATTTTACGCTAGTTGTTAAATGTGAATATTTTCGATGATCTGAAGGCTCGTCTAAGATTTTTTTGAAGTCCATATCTAAATTAAAGTCACCAAATAATGTAGAAGCGGCAGCAGCAGCAGATGCAGATGCAGGTGGTGGTGATGGTGATGGTGATGGTGATGGTGATGATAATGTAGAACGGGTTTCAGCAAAATTACGATTATCTAATGATAACGATGAACGTCTTTGCTGTAAATGCTCTTTTGATAGTTTAGTAGTTATTGGCACTGAAACCTTACGTGTGTGTAATGAAAGGCTTGATAGGAATATGTCATCATCTTTTGTATACTTATTATCTAAATCTAGAAGAGTGGAAATCGAGTTGCTACGATGTGATCCTTTTCTCTTGCTCTTTTGACATACAGCTGATGAAGCTGTGACCTCTGTTAGACCTTTAGGTACATCAAATCCATTACCAAAATCGAAATCAGGAATAAAACTTTCTGTAAATATTTTCTTCTTTGTAGATATAGCTTCGGGTGTTGTTGTTATCTCATTTACTACTGATTTTTTGCCAATAGGTTCATCATCACTATCTATTTCATCATCTTCTTCATCTTCTTCGTCATTGTCGCTTTCATCACTTGAATCAGCTACTCGTTGAGAAAATTTAAATTGTGTTGAATATTGATCTTCAACGTCCAGAGATTTATTATCAGTATTTAATATTTCTGACTTCTTTTCTTGTTGTTCATCTTCAAGGGCACCAGTAGTTATTACAGTGATCAAAGGTAAACTATTTGCTCGTATTCCTGTAGGCCTCCTTGTAGCAACTATTGGGTCAGTTTGTCTTTTAGAAATGAGGCTATACAAAACGTCTTCAATCTCTTGCCGCGAGATATGAGAAGTATTCATAACCTGCAACACATCATCTGTCTCCAAAAAAAGTTTTGGATAAACAACCTTGTTGATGTCTTGTACTGGTTCACCAAAATTTAGGGCTCGTTCATTCAAGGGGTCATTAAATAAACCTTCAGGACCTCCGTATAGCTTGAAAGTATCATATACTGCTAAAAGCCATTGAATTGTTAACTGACTTCTATCAGCCATAAACCAACAAAAGTTTTCATCATGATGATCAGATAGAATCTTTGAAGATATTGACGCTTTTCTACCTAACTGAATGTCATTTTGCTTCCCAGGCTTTATTTGACACTCTAAACGAATCATGGACCCTCTTTCGATTAATTGAGGGGATTCAGGATAAATAGCGTATGCCTGCTTTATACAAGAGAGAGTCCATGATGGCCACTTTGATTTCTTTGTTTCATAGAGTAAAATTTGTTCCTCTATCACTGTATTTGACTTTTTCCCAAACCGCTTACTGCGACTTTCATCTTTTCTTTTATCTACAATAACAACCCAATACTTTTGCCATATTGATGTTCCTGGGATTCTCACCTGAAGGAAAGTGTTTTTAGTCAATGTCCCATCCAAGATAGACAATGTTGATGCACTAGGAGATAATACACTCTCGAATGGCTTATTCATAGTGACAGCATTACTACCTGATAAAAGCCGAAAAGTGAAGAGTTGATGAAGCTTTTGTTTTTCAAAACAAGAAAGTCTAATGGCGCTTATCCAACGCGTCATAGATAGTTCATCTGAGGCTTCAAATATCAAGGTATTTTTTTTGTTTTGAATTATGAAAATATATTTTCTTCTTTTTATACTACCCGTCATTAAATCAGGATGATGTACAGTTATGGTGTCTACTATCTGAAAATAATTTGGCATAACGTTGGATCCAGGTATTTCAGTATCCCATAAAGTCAAAGTAGATCCCGATAATTCGACATACATTTTTGTACGAGACTTTTTATCACTGTCTTCGCTATGATCGTTTAGTAAGTTTATTGAATTATTATGTTTCATTAAATAGCCTTCCATATACATTTTTTGAGTATATGTATCAAATAGTCGAATAAAAGAAGTCATCTCGGTTGAATGAATTGAGACATTATTATTGGATTCATTTAAAATCATTGGTGAAGAAGTGGAAAAGGTAGGCGCTGAAGCTTTAATGAAACGAGATGGTCGTACGCTGATTGTACGAGACTGTACATTTTTATACGTTAATGGCCGAATAGGCACTTTTAAGGCCGAATCAGATAAAGATCCTTGCGAAAGTTTGGCTGGATGCTGTGTTGAAAGTTGAGGTACTGATAGGAAGTTGTTTTCAATTTTATTCATATTCTCGGTTGACGATATACGACGAGTGAATGGGTTTTGTCTAGGCATCCTGTATTGAAAATATTTAGTTTTTCGTCAAAAAGAAAAAGTAATAACTTTACCTTTAAATAAAAATATAGTCTATAGTATTATTATTTTATACAGTTATTAAACAAGAAAACAATAATAATAATTTTAAGAAAAAAAAAGAAAAAAAAAGAAAAAAAAAGAAAAAAAAAAGAAAAAAAAAGAAAAAAAAAAGAAAAAAAAAGAAAAAAAAAAGAAAAAAAAAGAAAAAAAAAGAGTGTAAAGAAAATAAAGTAAAAGGAAGAATGAATAATATTAGGATAGATAATCAAAAGGGAAAGAGATAAAAATGATTAAAGAAGATTTTTTTTTTTGATTTTTTTCATTACTTGGTTGGTTTTTAAAAACTTAGGGGCAATAGAACAACGATAAAATTGTATATAGGGGAATGCTATATAGGGGACTTCTACAAGGAGAAATAGAACTTAATTTAACACTCATATATAGACTTTCTCTTCTCACACCCATCTCCTCCTTTCTATCAGTCTTTAAATAAAGTATAAAAAATTATTTAATAACTTCAAAAGTTAATAAATTATCACTGTACATTGAATTTTTTTTTTACTATTGTATTGAAAGGCACTTTAGATAAATACTGTCTATTATTACTTTAATCTTACATTAAAAACACAACGAATTAAAAGATAAAATGCATATAATAGATATTAGAATGAATACACTAAATTAATAACTATTTTTTTCAATTTATTATACCTATTTGTATATAAATACGAGTATACAAATCATAATATATTTATATATGCATATATATTTTGTGTCTATAAGAACAAAGATAGAAAAACTATATCTATTTTAAACTGCAAGTTATAGCTATTAATAGGAAACACGCATGTAATATTCTTTGTGTTGGATATTTGACAAGGAGGCGTTTACTTTCTTTTGTTTTTTGAATAAAAGTTGTAATATTTTGCCACATTTACTTATACATGCTAATTTATTTATTATAATTTATCTGTTTCTGTATTCTATCAAATAAATTTTGTTCTATCTATCAAAACTTGAATAAAGGATATATTTATAAAGCTAAAAAAAAAAAAAAAAAAAAAAAAAAAAAAAAAAAACATTAAAGCTATACAAATTATGAAAAAAAATCTCTCAATATATAACTTACCTTCTATTTACATAACTTATTTAAAGAAAAAGAATATATAATACTCTTTTTTTAGATATACATTAATGACAAGGCGTACATAACGGAATATATTATAGATCAAAAATTATGCTTTCTTTACTCTTTCCCTCCCCCCTTTTTTTTCCTTCTCTCTCTGCCTCAAATTCTCTCCCCTCATCTATTTCCATCTTTATTTTTCATAAGAAAGATCTCCTAATAACACTATGAGATGTTCATATGGTGTAGGAGCCAAAAAAAGAAAATATTTTTATATGCATCTCATTTTTACTACTTTAAATAAATATTTTATTTTGATTCTTTTTTTTTTTATTTTTATATCAAATATGATAAGACTACATTATACAGCTAGAATAAAAAAAAAACCTCATTATGAAATATGCTTGACTTATTAGTTAAATAGATAAGGTAAACAATGGCTATATTTTATATGATAAGAAGAAAAAAAAAGTGCTTTATATTATTTTGTAGGCTTTTACATACACGAATATTGAAGAAAGGAGTTAAATAGATTACTAGAAAAATATGGCGTTTATCTTCGTTTTATGTCGCATTTATTTCTTTGTTTTAATTATAGATATTTACCAAAATGGATTTAGCAAAAAAAAAAAAAAAAAAAAAAAATTAAAGCCTTCGTATCTAATGAATTTATTTTTATATTGGAGAAAACCAAATCACGAATTTATTAAAGGATTAATAATGATGGATGGGATAAAGCAATTTATTTTATATATCTAAATTAAATTCAAGAAATCAAAAACTTACAAGATATATCATTAAAGATAGTATAGATGAGAATTTTATTATATATAACAATTATTATTCAAAATGCAATCTTAGTATACTTATAGTTATTTCAGCTACTTGATATTAGACAAATCAGAAAATTAACAAAAACTTAAGGCGAAATAACTCAAGCATATCAAATGGGCAAATAGCTTATTTAAATATTCCTCTATTATATTCCATTCCTTATTAAAACATATACAACACAATCTAACCTGCCATTTAAACTATACCAAGTAAAAAAAATAATAACTCTAAATTGACTAAAATAAAGTTAGAAAATATATATAACTTGCTATGAGCCTACAAAACAACATAATAATAAAATTATAGAATATTGATGTTCTACATTTTAGTATCATAAGTTTATGCTCTATGATTGTAAAAAAGTAAGGGCAATTTATATATTATTAGTTAAGAAAAGAATAAAGCATCTAATTTTTTTTATCTTTTAATCTTGTATGGAATTACTTGATCTCTATTGCATAAAAAAGATATCTTTATATATTTGTTTCTTAAAAAGCATTCTACAGGTAAAACGACTCAAACTTATAGAGTATTTAAAGATGAAATGTATTCATCATTTTAAATAATTATATTTTATAAAAGTGTGAAATAAATTTGTCGGTGAGGTTATCATATTTTATCTTTCTCCTTCATATATTGAATAAAATTACATCTACCTTATAGATTATAAAATATCATAACATAAATCATCTCACATTCTTTTAATATTATAAATATTCTAATCGGTTGCTATATAAAACTTTTTTGAATCAAATTTTGACCTCAAGTAATTTTACTAAAAACAATCCACAAATGTAAATGTTTATAACATAACTATTTTAATATAGGAATCTCCTCGTCATCATTTTGATGCTAATTGTTACTATTGTAGTCGTATTTACAATTAAATTAATAGGAATAAACTATCATTTATTTAAATAATAAAGAGTTTATTCAAATAAAACTAGTGTATTCTACTTCACAGCATAATATTTATTCTACACTCTGTTTTGATAATAGTCATTGTTAGAGTATTCGAGCATTAAAAATAATTATATACATTGAATTATGTAATAATAAGAATTCAATATGTTTATGACTATTCTATTGAATTACATAATTATTTATGCTAGTAATACATATTATATATCTATCCATAATGTTGAATATTGTTATGTAATAACGTCTTAGAGGATGGTAATAATAGTAGCTTATAGTAATGGTATTGTTATAGAGGGAATATTTACTGTGAATTAATACTAACGCGTTGCTTATCCCAAAGACAATAATCGTGTATATTTTTAATATCAGCAACAGCTCAGGCATAAATATGCATACTGCATGCAGAATTATTCGGAGACAATATTTGTGCATAAAGGCTTTATTATAGCAGTTTCTACTTATCTAAATTACACTCCTATTAATATCACTTACCTCGTAAAACATAAAAATAGCCCTCGTCATTTTTTCATATTATTTTCTTCTGGTACAATTTCTGTATTATTTTTCTTCAATAAAACTATACGAAGTTTTCACAGACTTGTCTTTTCTTTTTTTTTCTCTTTCCTTATCTTTGAACTCAAAACATTATCAACAGTCATGATACAAATCATGATCTGGTATTATATTTCACATATTGCTAATTCAATAAGGGTTTCATTTGGAGGTTTTACATTTAATAGTTACATAATTTATGTTTGACATAATGATATATTTTTTATACAATATTATTGTGTAATGAATATTCACATTTATATTTTATTATATCTTTATGATGTCATGTACAAATACAACAATTATTACATAATACGATGAATACAATTATTATTGATAATGACTATTATTAAAACTGGATGTAGAATGAATATTTTGCTGTGAAGTGCAATACACTAGTTCTATGTGAATAACCTCTTCATTATGTAATAAATAATGATTTATTTCTATTAACTTGGTGGTAAAAACAACTGCAAACATAAAACTAATCTTACCAACACTATAATGGCATCAAAAAAAATAATTTAGAATTGTAGACAGCTACCGTTATAGAGTAAGAAACAGCACAATGACGGATGATGAAGATGATAATAATTAGTGTCGGAGTTTTAATATTCTGTTCAGGTGGTCATAGAGGTCACATTTTTCGGAAATTTACGCAAGCCGTCATGGAGTAGTGGTTAACTTTCGTGATTCGGATTCACGAGGTCCCGGGTTCAAATCCCGGTGTCGGCCCATTTTTTGGGATGCATATTCTTCGTATTGTTGGAAGCAAGCCTGTTTTGTCAGTTTTGTTTTTCTCCTTTTTTTGTATGTCGTACTAAAATAAAGATATTTGTAGTACCCGTGTCTGAAGTATTTATCTTTTTATTCTACTATTCAATAAAAAACTATAATTGTATATTATATTTATTTATATAACACATACAAGTCTTACGTAAATATTATTACTATAAGGTCAGAAGCAACGAATTATAAATTCATGCATGTAAACCGTATTCAAATGTAGTGCAGCTGCTTCGATTCAATCAAGTAATAAAACATACAACAACAAGAAGAAGACGTTGATGGAGTAACAATAATAATAATAATAAAAAGAGAGAGAGAATAAACGACTGTAAATTTTTTATAGGGAAGTAGAACTAAAATCTACCTATTTTTTGTATTTAATTAATTCATATTTCGTTTCTTTTATTGGGGTTTGATATTATACAATAATAAAATATACAATTATTAGCTTATTCTTAATATCAAAGAGACACAAAGATGAGGAAACAAAGTTTTGATAATGTGTTATAGTAAAACATTAAATAAAAATCTACAAAACTCAATTCTGAAAACGGAAGAAACAAGACAAGTTTAGCTCTCTCTCTCTTTTTTTTTTTTTTTTTTTAAGTGCTATGTCTTTCTAACATTTAACCGCATATTTTATTTAGAACAGAGAGGTTAAAGAAAGAAAAAAAAAGTCGTTTCGATAGTTTAAATAGTTTATTTTTATCCTATAATTCTAACATACATTTATTTAGTCATCAATTTCTATATACTTCTACAAAATAAGTAGAATAATAATTAGTGCCTTATATATATACATATATATATGTATATATACCTTATAATTATGATCATTAATAAAATGGGACCATATTAAATCTTCGGAATCATATCTTATATTACATCTTCTGCATTGGTAATAATCTACGTGTAGCTAAGAAAATATTAACTATTATATACTCAAAAAAGAAAAAAAAAAAATAGTGGTAGTCAAATACTTACAGAATTATTGTAATAAATTATTTCACGTTCATCAGCATTATCACAAGCAATTGTTTCTGGTCTTGGAGGCTAAGCAGCAACAGTTAGCATTTTAAGTTAAATGAGGATACAAAAGAAAGAAAAAAAAGAAAAAAAAACAATCATACCAGGTATTGATAGTTTGCTACACGTAATTCTTTAAATAATCTTGTTCGACAACAATCGATGTATTTCAAAAGAACCCTTTGTTGTTTTGTCAATTTTTTTTCTTCGTAAAGAGTAAGTACCCATTGAGAAAATTCTCGAACATTGAAATCATAAGTTGATTTTACTTTAGAGTAGCCACAGAATTCAAGTAATTTGTTTAATTGATACAAATTCAATGGGTAAAAATCTCTAAAAAAAACAACAACAAATAAATGTATAAATGGAAAAATAATATGATCTAGAATTCAAAAGTAAACTTACTGTCCTATTAAAAAAGTAAAATGATCTGCAAGTAGCACTGTTTTTGGACCCAAATAGTCTAAAAATGTAAGTCTTAAAGGAGGTGCTGTTCCATCAAAAATGTAGCCTTTGTGGTTATACATTAATAACTTTTCCCACCATAAGAGTTTACCATTCAGTGGTATGCTTCGAGCCTTGAATAGCTCAATAGCTTCAAGCACGAACATATTCATTTCTTGACAATTTAAAAGCCTTAGTACAATCTGCTTTGATTTACTAAACTGGTCCCTATAGAGATCTACAGGAATACCGAGGTCATTCCTCATTTTATTTGCAAACAAGCATAGTAAGTGTTGATCTCTAGGTGAAGCAAGTTCAGCACCATGATAAACAAGAATATTCATTCTTTTTTCATCTATATCAACATGATCCCAACAAATAACACCTTCTGTTAGAAACCACCCTAAAAAGAAGGCCATAAAAGACTCTCTATCATTAAACATTCCTATAAGAACACTATTTAAATGCATTTGCTCTTCATCTCTTCCAATATTGCTGTAAGCAAAGTTATAATCATTTAAAAAATCATTGTTTGTCCTAAACTGCCATTTTACATAGCCATGATGTCCAGCTTTTACTTTTGAGCCTTGATAGGAATAATCTGGATAAATACTAATAGTAATGGAAAGAGTATAAAAAGATGATTCTTAGTATATATATATATATATATGTTTACTTAATAATAGGTTCTTTAACACCACATCTAGCAGCAAATTCATACACAAATGGCAGTTCTGTAGAGGGAAATTCAATACTAGGGACTCCAAAAGAAGTATTTTCTCTACGACAATAATTTCCTGCATAAACACCCCAAAAGGCTTTCTGCATTAAATCGTGATTTGTTTTGTGAAAAAAGTCTTGTGGAAGACATTGCTTTAAATCCTCTTCAGCATACCAATGCTCATCTACGTCAGAGTCATAAAAATGAATCAAGTCTAATCTCTCAGCCTTTACTTTTTTATTTTTCAGTCTGAGGCTTGTCCATCTTTTGATTTTATTAAATGTTTGCATAATATAATAGAATATACACTATAAATAAAAATAAATGAATAAAATAAAATAAAATAATAATAATAATAAAAGAAATATATATCTAACATTTTATATTACATTATTATTGATACATCTTTCTTTCTTTCTTTCTTTCTATATAGGGTCTTGGAAATTAGTATTATAAAGGAATCCTTATAGTTATTATGAACATCTATAACAATGGGCGTATTTCCCAATAAATGTGCTACATAAATCCACCCCTTTTTTTGTCCTTGAACAAAGGCTATTCAAAGAAGCATAATTTTCCTTATTTATTCTATTATCAATGAATAAGCAGAATTAAAAGGTTATCATTCTTAAATATTACTGCATTGCATTATTATTTGGTATTAGCTTACAACGAGCATAATACCCTTGGCTTCTTTCTTATAATGCAATCATTATTCTGTTTTTTCTTTTAATCTTCTAAAAAAAAAAAAAAAGAAAGGGTCTTGTACTTTATGTGTACATGTGTGTTGCTTTTTTCTCTCTTATTCAAACCAAAAAATGAAATAAAATATCTGTCAAGCTAGACATAATTTATTCTTATATAGGTAATAATAATAATAAAAAGTGTTTGAGTACACGTAATTCCTTAATAATATAGCTTCTTCCTCTTTCCTTATCCCTAAAAATTTATTTAAAAGCTTATTTATAGGGGTAGAGAGAGAGAGAGAGAGAGATAGAGAGAGGGAGAAAACATAGAGTAATAATAATAATAATAAAAAAAGCATTTATTAACTTCTTTAATGACCTTTGGTATCACATGCACAAACGTAGCACTTGTATAAATTCATGGATTTTTGGCTTTGTTACACACATTTCAAATTATTTTATTACAATAAAAAATAATTTACTGAACTTGCGTTTCTTCCTTTTTTTTATGTAAATTTCTTATTAATACCTTTTATTTTATTTTAAAAACGTTCAAAATATTATATGTCTTTATTCTATGGTGAACAGGATTCATTAGAGTATAGACAGTATAGCAACCAAGATTGTACATTAATAAAAGATAATTTTTATCGTCCAACTACTACTTTCACCGTGTTACAATTTTTAAAAAATGAAAAGATTCATAATAAGAATCCTTTTCCGTCATCACCACCTTCATATACTGCTGTTTTGGCAGAAAAATATCAACAAGCATGGGATAAAGAGGTAGACGAAACCATATTCAAGACACTTTTATAAAATTAATTTTTCTTTTTCTTTTTTTTTTTTTTTTTTTTTTTTTTTTTTTTAATATATAGCTGACAAAGGAAGCGAATAAATTATTAAACTATATGAAAAAATCTATTCAAGATATACAATTTATGATCGACATATACCAATGTAGCTGTCAAAAGTAATCCATAAACAACTTGTATTTACATTTTTATTTGTTTTAACGTATCTCTCTCTCTCTCTCTCTTTTCTTTATAGGCTCATAATAAAACATAATTACCTTTTAACAAGACTTAAAAAAGAGATAGATTCAGTATTTAATATGTAAGGTTAATATTCACAATTTAGTTTTGCATTTCCTAATAATAATAATAATAATAATAATGATGATAATAATGATAATAATAAAAGGCATATAATTGTAACTCTTTATATACACACACATATATATATACATTTTATTTTTTATTATTACTATTACTATTATTATTATTTTTTAATTTGACTATTCTTTAGTGATTCAATATCATTAGAACAGTTTCAGCAGCAGCTACAACAACAAGAAGAGGATAATAATGACAGCTTAATTCGTATAAATCAATCTATAGAGAAATTAATAGACGAAGCTAAGCAAAGCTTATCCCTTTTTTATGCATATTCACCATCAAACCCTTCTTGCCCTCAAATCATAAAGAAAAATATCTCAAAAAGGAGAATAACGAGTAGTAGTAGTACATCACCACTACTACCTTGTTATGATGATTTTTCGTTATCGACTTCTACGCATCATCAACATCGACTCTTTTTACAACAAAAGAAAAAATATGCCTATAGCCAATGGAAGTTAATGATGGCTATGCAGCAGCTTAATGAAACAGTGGAAAGCATAACGACTGAGGAAGAAGACGATATCAATATACATCAATATTATTACATTAATAAACATGTTCAGCAAATCAATTCGTCAACAACGACTTACGATCATTTCATTTCTTCATCTTCAATCAAATTTTTTTTAAATTATGCCTTGGATCAATTATTATCGAAGAATTTACTTCATCATTATCATCAACAACAACAAGTATTAGTAGCATATACTAAAACACCATCATCCTTATCACGCTTTATAAAATATCAAGCCATCTTCTTTTCTTCTATTTTACTTTTTGTATTAACATTTAATCGATATTCAATATGGTCTATTCGGCAGAGACAATTAAGAAAACAGTGGCAAATACCATCTCGCCTATTTTACTACAATCAATGGAAACAAAAGTCTAGTTTAATTTTATTTATCATTCACTTGGTAGCAAAAAAAATAGAAAAAAAAAAAAAACCCAGCAATAATGAATTCTGCTTCCACTCCCTCCCCTCCCTTTTTTTTTTCTTAAAAAGATGTAATTTCCTTTTTTCGTGACAAGATGGGTTCACCTTTCTTTTTCATTTCTTTCTGTTTCAAAGAAGCCAATTTAACTTCCTTTTTCCATAAACTTAATTGTCCAAATTTTAATTTGGTTAATAAATCCATCGCTTGACCTTTTGTCATGTCTATAGGAATCGTAATATTATAACGTCGTAAAGCCTTTATCTGTGATTCTGTTATCGGCTCTTTTCGAAAGCGAGCTGATCTTGTGAGTTTATAAAAAAAGCTTTTACCCATGGTATCTGAAAATTTCTTTTGAAGCCATGTATCAGCTCCTCGAATAGCTGAAGATAAATCCTTTGATTCTAAGGGCACATCAAATGATCTTCCAAAGAAATTTGTGTCTACACTTTGATATCTAAAACTAGCAGACCAAATAGAAGAGTTATCTATACAAGATACTTTTAGATCATGTTTAAATAATATTAATATCTATATATACCTACCTTTTGATCTTTTTACCATTAAATAGCCTTTATTTAAAACATTCAAGACATATTTATCTTTACCAATGTTCACCCAACTATTGTATGTTATATGTCGTAACTCAGATGAAACGGATATATCAGCTATAAGCTCTTGTAAAGTATCATATTCTGTAATTTGAATTCTGATATGATCAGGATCCAATTCGTTGTTCCCTTCCTGTTCTTCATTTTCTATTGCTTCCTCTTGCTCTTTTGCTTCTTTTTCTAACATTAAAATGTCTTTATCTAAAAGAGAGATTTAGTATGTTCTAGTTTGTATTGCTAAAGAAAAAACTTACTCGTTATCATTCCTTCAGCATTTAAACCTAATAAAGTAGGAATAGTAATAAGACCTGATGTACTTGTTCGGTTGAAATTATCTACAAAATCAATGACTAAACAATATTCTTTTTCTGGATATAATCTCAACCCTCTTCCAAACATTTGTTGAAATAATGTTGCAGATCGCGTAGGTCTTGCTAATAAAATACAATCTACACATGGTATATCCGTACCTTCTGTTAAAATAGCTATATAAAAAAAAAAGAAAAGATAATAACGTTTATAAATAAATAAAACAAGATTTGCTCTCTCGCTCTCTCTCTCTCCTTTCTTCTTTTATTTTTAACTTACCACAATTGACTAAAACGGGAAATTTACGAGCACGAAAGTCCCTTAAAATTTGAAGTCTTTCAATTGGATTTGATTTACTAGTAATACATTTAGCATCGACACCAGCATCAATAAATGCATTGCATAATGTAATTGTATGAGCAATATCAACAGCAAAGACTAAAGTTGATTTTCGATCTTGTTCCTCTGAATATTTTTGCCAACTAGATACAATCACTTGGTTTCTTGCATCTGTATTCACTGCATCAGACAAGTCCCTTAATACAAAATCAGCCTTTGTACGCCGCACAGCATCAAGATCAACTTCTGTTTTAATAGTGGTAACATTCATTTGACTAAGATAACCTTGTTCGATCATGTCCATAAAGTCAAAATGATATGTGATTTTATCAAATACTTGGTTGAGGGCTAATCCATCATGGCGTTTAGCAGTGGCTGTACAACCCCATAATAGCTTCTTCTTCTTATTATTATTATCCTCGTTATTGACACCAAAATAATTAAGAATATTGATATACGATTCTGCAACTGAATGATGTGCTTCATCTATCAAAATAGCCTTGAAAAGATCAGGATTAAATTTCGTAATACGCTCAGAGCCTATTCTTCCCAAGGTCGGTACAGAGGCAATAATAACATCTGCTTTATCCATATTCACTTTTCTATTTCCTTGTTCTATTTCAACTACCTTTCATTATATCCTATTAGAATAAGCTTTTTTGCTCTTTTTTTTTTTTTTTTTTTTTTTTTTTTTTTTTTTTTTAAGTTACCAAATCAGGATTATATCTTAAAATCTGATTATGTGCTTGATCTAATAACTCAGTTCTATGAGCTAATAGTAATACTTTAGTTGCTTCTGGTGTAGGAGAAGGGATTCTTGGAATAAGATTTGACATAATTACCTAAAATACAAAATAGGATTTTATATATACAAATAAATCATTATTTTATATATACATTTTTTTATTGATCTCTACCGTCTTTCCACTACCTATTAAGTCATATTAAAAGGAATAATTCAAATTTAACTTTTTCTATTATTTATTTTACCAACTGGTAAGGAGACAATCTGTTTATTGCAACCATTTTCAAATTCTTTCAAGGTTGTTTCAATACATTCCTTTTGATAATGCCGCAGCATGTTGAATGTAATTGCAGTTGAATTCCTACGACATTGAGAATGTATAGTATAAAACAAAGACTGAACGAAAGCAACATTCTTTCGTTTGAGTAAGAAAGTCATTTCCCTCTTTCTTTCTCTTTTTCTTTTTCCTTTATGTGTGTATTTTTTTTATTTTTATTTTTTTTTTAAAGAAAAAGAGGAGGGTAAAAAGAAAAGAGGAGATATAAAAAAAAAAAAAAAAAAAAAAGACAAATAATTTTCTAATTTATTCATTTTTTACATAGCTCTTTTACAATAGCTCTTGATTTATCGACACGGTCTAATAATTGTTGTGATAATCTAACACCTTCTCTTCTACGTTGTCTAGCAGTCTCAAAACCACTTGGACATTCTACTCCATCTAAACCAATCAATCCTTGCATAATCCTTTCAGATAGATAGATTCCTCGATCTTGTAATTTTTTCTTTTCAATGTCATCTAATTTCTTATTCTTTGAAGTATGATCTGTAATCATATTTTCAAATTCAGTGATTTGCTCTATAATTCCTTCTGATAAACCGACTACAATCTTTTCGATCCGTAACATTAATCCATATTCTTCTGGATTACCAGATGCAGTTTGTTTTACAACAACCTCCTGTATTATAAAAAATATAAATGGAACTGTTGTCCTACATGTATATATAATATACAAACCAACTTACATCAGCTTTTTCCCCGTTTAAGGTAATAATCGAATTTGTACGGACACCCAAACTAGTTAATGTGGCTGCATCATCTTTCATATTTGCTAAAATACCAATCAAGTTAAAACATGATGATGAAAAAAAAAAAAAACGTTTCAATTATATAGTCTTCTACCTCCTGATATTTGAAGTTTCATCAATGCAATCGGCACATCTGTCAATGCTTTACATTTTTCTTTCAAGTCTTTCACAGTAGCCTCATTGAAACCACCAGGAAATTCTTTAAAATTAACATGTATCCTTTTATTGTCCCATAAAAGTATGACCGTCGTTTTTTGTTCCTTTTCAGAAACTTTATGGAAGCTAAAGAAAGACTTTAGACAGCCCATAAAGATTTTCCAAAGGAGAAAAAATAGATAAAATACGCTGTAGATAATTGTTGTTGTTGTTAAAGATGTAAAAAAAAAAAACAGAAAAGGTAAACGACAATTCACCTTTTTATTTACTTTACTAATAGATAAATAAATAAATATAAATAAAAAAAAAAGGAAAAAAAAAAAAAAAAAAAAAAAAGAGAGAGAGAGAGAATAATATGAATGCCACCAGAAGAAGTGGACTTTTAAATAATAATAATAATTCGATACTGGGTACGAGAAGGAAAAGAAGGAGATAATGTTACTGTTGTGTGACATTGATGGTAGTAATAGCTTTTAGTTTATAGAATCGAACACGATAGTAAACACCACAAAAAATCAGTATTACCGCCAGCCAGTGAAAGTAGATTAAATAGGAACTATAAAGATGATTATAGATATAGTCTGTACGTACACCTAATTGAGCTGTTATCCAAACCAAAGGTAATAGTAATACATAGCCATATATACGATGATACCTCCATACACGTTTACCTTTATCTACTGAACCTAATAATGGACGAGCCAAGAACGTTATAGAGATACCAAAGAGAACTTGAATAAATAAGCAAATAAAGACGAATAGACCTAATTTACTGTGAAGACTATATTATATAAGATTAATAACATAACATAGTATAATAGAATGCAATGACTTTTACGACTCAAAATGTGATTTCTTGGAAATAATCTTGTTATAGAAAATGAAAGAAAAGCCCAAGATAGCAAAGATAGAACTTGTCAATTGAATAGTAACATGATATTGAAATCTCTTTTTCTTTTCTTGTGCTGTATTTGCAGGCTGTAAAATAGATATACCTTCTGTTACGAATACAACAAAGAGAGTCATAAAGAATGGATGATATGTAAAGATAGTGAAAGGTATACGGACGAGAACAGACATGATTAATGCGACAAATAAGCCAAGACCAGCAATTAAAGTATATTTAGCATACAAATCTGGCTTGTTACTAATTATTATATTTTGTTGATTCAATACAAGTGGTGTTTCTTCATTTGTTACTGGTGGAGAAGAAGACATTAAAAAAAAAGAAAAAAAGACTAAAAGAAGAGATAAATTTATGATAGCATAAAATAAAAGGCTTGGATATATACAAATCATTGTTTCACACAAATTCAAGACATTTTATGACAAGTTTTATTCAAGTATTTATAGTCACTTCCTGCATTAAAAAAGATAAATAGACTAAATTCTATAAACTTGCGTATTATAGATACTTGTGGAAGAAGAACATTCAGATAGATAGCATATATGTATATCTTGACAAGATCAGATATAGATATACATTAAATCGCTCTTGAATAGCACTAACAAATGACTGAAAGATGTGTGGTAATCTAAGAGGTTATGGCCTTCTATCCTTTGAACTACATGATTGGTAAATAAAAATAGAAAGTATGCTTGCTTCCTTGCTTCCTTGCTAACTCATTCTCTGTACTGTGCTGGTATTTACGATTCGAGATACATGTCAATAGACAGCAAGATAATAAATAATGATTTATAAAGAATGTTGCAATTCTATATATCCCAATATCATGAATCAATTCGTGGATGTTGGTTTTAAGAAATGATTGAATAAACATCATGGATTTTTTTTTTCTAATGAAAAATATTAACTTAATAAAAAGCTGATAGTTTTGCCAAGTGAAATCAACAAATCTTCTTCTGTAATGATGGTCTTGAATTTAAGTTTGTTTCTATAATGATAAATCATATATACAAACATATATGTTTTGTTTTATTCAAAAAAAAATTCAATGTAATACTAAGCTATGAATGCATCTATCTTCATAAAAGTACGCAATCATCGTCGTTTTATAATAATTTATTACTCTTCTTTAACCTTTGGTTTTCTACTTGAACGAATTGGTTTATCCATACCATCTAAAGATTGTGATTCTAAAGGATCTGGAATGCTAGAAACAATGTCTTTCAAGAAATCAAACTTGTCTACTGTTTCAATCGTTTTTTTCCTAATCAATTATATTAATACATGTGTGTCAACTTTTATTAACATTAAACCTTTACAAATGAGCTACAGTTAAACGCTTTGCATTTCTGTCACGAGATTCTTGACAAGCTTGGTCAATCAAAGATTGCATAAATAATTCTAATGCCTTAGCTAATTTCAGCATCCCATTTTAGTTTTTATTTAAAGAAAAAATATAAATTATTAGTTTTTATAATCTTCATTGTCAATTTTATACATGTATATATATTTACAAATTAAAATTGGTGTAGCTTGAGCAACTTTCCCTACATCTTCATCTAATTGCATAATCTTTTTGATGCGGGCCTAAGAAAATAAACATTTTTTTTTTTTTTTTTTTAAAAAAAAAATCATATTTATAATTAATACCATTAAAGAGACTTGTTCGTCTTTTTTATATATTTACGACTGGAAATTTAGTCTTGTATTTCTTTTTCATTATTATTATTTTTTTTTTTTTCTTGATGATTGAAGATGAAAAAAAAAACACAGACTTACTTTTTTATACTTTATTTTTTTTTTTCCTTTAAACAATTAAAAAAGTCACAAAATCGTTTCCTTTAGGTTGAATTGTGCTGTTAGATTTTATGCGATTTTAAAGGATTTGATAAATAAGAAAGTTGTATTCTATCTACTCTATAATAAAAGTAAATAACAACTCAAGAGGAAATAGGAAACAATAAAGAAGAGGATTTGCACGATGTATGTCGAAATAATAACACTATCAATAAGTTATCATTACTAATAATGATAGTAGAGTCTATAGGGCTGAATTCAATTGAATCATCTACACTGTATAATTCAACTGATATTTTTTAACTATCAAAATAATAGCTTATTATGTCAAGTTTAAGAAAGATGTATACTTTATCAATATATACATACATGTCTAGATGATATTACTTTGAAAATGAAAATTACACCGTTTATTATCAGCATACGAAAATGTATAAATGATATTATGTTGGAAGGTCTGCTTTCTATAAGAAAAAAAAAAAAAGTAGTGTACTTAGTATTTTGCTACATACACCCTTCAATGCTGCTGTTCAACTTGAATAGAAATTAGAAAACAATAATAAATGAAACTACTTTTTCTTTTATTTTATTTTTTTTTTTGTAGATTAGAGAAATGTCAGGATACACTATTATTTGGGCATTTTTTGGTGTTTCAATTGCTTGTGCTTTAGCTTACTTTTTGACTCCTAAAGGAAATGAGCAAACGTATAGTATTATTATTATTTTCTAAAAAAAATAATGATATAAAATTAAAATCTAATGTCTTGTCTAGTGTAATTCGTACAGTTATTATCATGTCTTTGGTTTGTTGTTATTTAATGTAAATTCTATTCATTTATTTTGTAGTTAGCAGAAAACTCACTACTTGTTATATATTAATTCCCAATTAGGTGGACCATCACTTACCTTGCTCAATTGCACCCTTTAATTTATCCTAAAAAAGTTGGACTTCGACCTCATCATCAGGAGAAGTTTTAAATGCGCGTAACATCAGCTTTCAATCCTTTTATATGTTTTTAATATAAGACTTGTGCCATTCACAGTAGAATCCCTTAAAAAAAAAGACAGAAAAACTTATTAAAAAAATAATACCCAATATTGTTTCTTTTCTTTTTTTTTATACATACATATAAACATATACATACAAACATTATTATTATTATTATTATGACAATCTTATTAAAGAAAAAAGGGGGGGAGGAGCTAAAGTCATGTAAAGTGATTGTTTCAAATAAATGTGCTTACTTTAAACAACACTATTCTATAAACACAAAAGTTAGTAACAAATGCCTTTTATCAACCAATAAAATTTTACAATTGGAATTCTTGGTAGTAACCTTCTATTTCTCCTCCCCGTCTTGTCTTTTCTTTTTTTATTTATTTATTTACTTATTTCAATTAAATAAATATTATTCTATGCCGCTATTAGTGGCAAGGTTCATTATTCGGCCCTATTTTAATGTGGTATATTTCACTAATAATCTAAAGATATTATTAAGAAAAGTAATATCTTTACCTTTTTTTTTTTTTTTTTTTTTTTTTTTTTTTTTTTTTGTTAGGCTACTATTCGGTCGTCCTTCAATAATCAAATAAACTTTAAAAAATTTACTACAATTACAAGACAATTATCTAATCAAGCATCTACCGTTCAATGGAGGTAAGCTTCAATTGTTTAAAATAATAGCAACGATGAAAGTGTTCTTATTTATGCATAAAAAAAAAAAAAGTAGTAGTAGTCTGAAACAAGAATGGAATCTTTTAAAGAGCACTTCATCCCAAACTTTAACTACCATTAATAAAATGAAAACACATGGTGTACCATTCATGTCTATAACAGTCAGTTTAGGTCTTTTGCATTCTTCTTCTTCATTTTCACCTTTTAAAATAAATACAGCTTATTGCGATGCACAACTGATTCAGCGAACAATGTTTATGAAAGAAGCTGTCACAAAAGATAAAGTGTTCAAACAAATATTACCAGCTAATCAACAAGAAAGAAAATCAATCATACATGATATTTGGGAGCTAGTTAAACCTGATATCGTTTTACTTGGACTTATCGTCTTGACTGCTGTAGGTGCAGCTATTGTACAATTGCAGACACCGTTAGTGACTGGTGAATTAATTAATGTATTATCTTCTAGTGTCCAGGCAGCTGCTGATGGCTTAGGCGCACTGACTATTCGGGACCTGAATGCACCTGCACTGAAATTGTTTGGGCTCTTGACAGCTCAGGGGATTTTTACGTTTGCTCATATATCTTTAGTTTCTGCCTTTGGTGAAAATGTTGCAAAACGATTACGTGCTAAATTGTTTTCTGCTATTATTCGACAAGATATTTCATTTTTTGATTGTCATCGAAGTGGTGAACTTATAAGCCGTTTAACAGCTGATGTATCTGAATTCAAGGTATATAAATGCATATATATATATATATATATATATATATATATGTAGACTACCTATCCTATGTCATGTTGAATGATATAATTTAACACACACATTTATATATATACATATCTACAATTGATTAGAGTACCTTTAAGCAACTCGTAACTCAAGGACTTAAATCTATAACTCAGACTGTTGGATCAACTATTCAGCTTTTTCGTATTTCTACTCCATTGACAATGACTATGCTTGCTACAATGCCTATTCTATATATTTTATTAAATATATATGGTGCTTACTTGCGTAAATTGAGTAAACTAAATAAAGAATTAGACGGGTATTCAGGGGGTGTTGCTGGAGAAGTGATTACAAACATAAGAACTGTACGTGCCTTTGCGTCAGAAGATCGTGAGATGGAACATTATCAGGATGCATGTGCACAGGTAGCTCGCGCTAATCAACATATGGGCCTTCATATCGGTCTCTTTCAGGGACTGACCAACATATCAATAGGCTGTATGGTATTAACTGTTCTTTATTATGGCGGGTCCCTGGTTGTTGAAGATAAACTGACTAGTGGTGATCTTATGTCATACATGCTCTCGACACAAACCGCACAACATTCTTTAGTTTCATTAGGTGTTTTATTTGGTCAAACAATTAAGGCCGCTGCTTCCGCTACGCGTGTGTTTGAATTTATTTATTTATATCCTCATGTACCACTTAAAGGAGGAATTGTACTTGATCATGTCCAAGGTGATGTCGTATTTCGTCATCTTGAATTCAGTTACCCAACACGTCCAGATCAAAAGGTATTGGATCAGTTTAGTCTAACTGTACCTAGAGGCACGACTGTAGCCCTTTGTGGGGCTTCAGGTTCTGGGAAATCAACGGTTGCCTCATTACTTGAACGATTTTATGAACCCACAGAGGGTGATATCCTTCTAGACGGTCATGATCTAAAGACCTTGGATCCCTCTTGGTTACGACATCATATTGGATTTATCAACCAAGAACCTGTCTTGTTTGCAACCTCTATTTTAGAAAATATTCGCTATGGATGTCCTGATGCTACACTAGATGAGGTTAAAGAAGCTGCACGACAAGCCAATGCTGAATCATTTATCGAAGGATTTCCTGATGGCTACAATACCATTGTTGGTGAACGTGGTGCTGCTCTTTCAGGAGGTCAAAAACAACGAATTGCTATTGCTCGTGCTATCTTGAAGAACCCAAAGGTAAGATAATATATATATATATATACCCACCCAAATCATTCTTATTGAATGTTTCCCCTTCCTTCCCTTCCACTGTATGTGTGTGCGTGTGTGTGTTTTATTTTATATTTACTAACTATTGTGTTTTTTTTTTCTTTTCTTTTTAGATTCTTATTTTAGATGAAGCCACTTCTGCTTTAGACAGTATGTATTCTTAAAATGGATTTACATAGAAATCATTTTATTTATTTATTATTCTTACAAATAGCTCAAAGTGAAAAAATGGTTCAAGATGCCCTTGATAGATTAATGCATGGAAGAACAGTGATTGTGATTGCTCATAGACTTTCAACTATTAGAAAAGCAAATATGATTGTTGTTATGGGCAAAACACGAGGCAATATTTTAGAAAAAGGTAAAAAAAAAAAAAGAAAAAAAAAAGGTACACTCATATTAACATATTCGTTGCGTAGGCACACATGCCGAGTTGATGGAAAAGCAATCTGTTTATTTCAAGCTCCATAATCAATTAGTTAACGATGAAAATCAGTTATAATATAGATTAAATAATCTTGTAAATATAATACTTTATTCTTTTCAATATGTATATAAGTTTATAAGAAAAAAAGAAGGAGAGTATATGGATCGTTTATAAGAAGTATAATATAACTTATATAAGTGTCACTTTTTTTCATGTTTGTTACTTAATATGACCAAGAGAATAAGTATTAACACATACTATAAAGCAGCTGTCAAATCATTCTATTTATTTTATAGAGTCTTATCTATACAATACATCTTGGTCTTGTATAAAAGACAAAAAAAAAAAAGGCATATTTAAGATTAAACAATGTCAGTGATGAAGTTTATTCATAGAGTGATTCTCTTTTATAGAGATGATACTATTTTACAATTTTTATTTTTATAGATGTATCTATGGATATATGTGTATATGTATATATAAATATATAAAAGGGTTCTCGGTTCTTACATAGGGAAAACGTTCTTGGTATAGAGGCCAATAACATTTCCAGGAGGTTTGTAATCGCAAACATAAAAGGTAGCTTTATAATTTTTACAGTATGTAGCGGCACAACCAATTTCAGTAGTTGAGTTCCAGACAAGTTGAGTAAAATGGCCTGTTACCTTACCATTCTTAGAGCTACCAGTCTTATAATCATAGTCGACATTTTCTTCATAAAATCCATTGATAGCATCTCCTATGTCGGAATAGCCAAGACCAATGTTCTGACCGGTGCCTGGCATCTATTATTATTATTATTATTATTATTATTACAGATTCTTGATGTATAATATATACATATAAACTTTTTTTTTTGTTATCTTACCACACTATGCCCCCACACACATGTATCAGTGACTTTTTGAGCATGTGCCTCTAATTCTTTACTCCAAACAACTGGAGGAACATGATGTACTTCACGATAACAGTTTGTCATTGCTAAAGCCATATCTTCGAGTTCTTCTTTAGCCGAGTCCGCAGGAGCAGCATATGCCATTTGGATGAGAGCAACGAAAAGGGCGATTTTCAAAGCAATAACTGTAGTAAAATGGAGCATTTGATAAGGATTTCTTAAAAAAAATAATAATAATATTAAAAAACCGTTGATACGATCCATATTATCCTCTCTTTTATATAGATTTGTCTTTTATGATTAATGTTACCTAATAATATTGTATGATGATGTTAAATGACATTTGTGTCAAATTGAGTTCCAGATTAGGATACCTAATTGTCTATGTTTACACAGATATAAAAAAAAAAGTGTGATAGACAGCCTTATAAAGATCATTCTCACTCTTCGCAAGTTGTGATACATGTATATCATTTCTATATTCTATTTAATAACGTACTATAGTATATATTTCTTTTTTTTTTTTTGTTTATCTTTATAGTTAAAAAAAAAGAAACTTCGAGATATATACACTACTTTTTTTTTTTTTTTTTTTTTAATATATGAGAGATGCAATAGTATATAATTATTATCATATAAAACAAGAGACAATATGTAATCAATTAATGCTATTGATTATCACTGGTAGAGCGATCAAATAATAATAACTTTATTTTATTTTTTCTAAATTTTGACGGGCTTTCAAAGTAAATTAGTACCGTTTAACTTTATTATAATATGAGACGTTTGACAAATATAATCTATAGCTTTGTGTAATATTATGGGTTACATTCAAAAAAAAAAAAAAAAAGCAAAAAGAGAGGAATAAGAGTTAAAGGGAAGGATGTCACGTATCTTCATACACTTGCCTGTAATTATATGACATGAATCCTGAATCAAAGGATATGAGCCATAAAAGAATGTTAGTATTTAAAGAAGAAAAAAAGTACGCCCTATTGATTCAAGGAACTGCCCTATTAGTTAAGGTGTTTTAACGATCTGGTTTAAGTTTTAAAATTATTTGATCTGAGTATAAGTTCCTGACGCCTTTTACATTGGATTAAAGACGATATGAACCCTTTATAAAAATAAATATTTAGAACTAATAGATAGGATGTCTTATAATTGACGCCTTCAGATGATTGGATGTTAATAAGTGTTTGATGTTTACAAAATGTTAATTGTAGTATGCACTATAATGTTTTACTCTCTATTCAATTCAACTTTATAGTTTATTCTGTATTATGTAATTTATCTTTTTTTTTTTTTTTTTTTTTTTTTTTTTTTTTTTTTTTTATAATCATATCTGTAACAAGTTGGACATATGCTTCAAAAAAAAAAAAAAATTCCAAACAAAATCCTGGCCTTGCTGCTATAATCGCATTCACTCAAAGTTATACATAATTAATGTCTGAGTCTGGTTGTTGCTGAAGTGTGACTCAATGTTAATTGTTATCGTCTATTAAGGCAAAAATAAAAAAAAAATCAGGTAAAAAAAAAATGATTAAAAAAAAATCATGTTAACTCAATTCACATAAAGGCAAACATTTTTTTTTTTTTTTAAGGTTTGCATTGGATGGGAAAATCCAGTAAATATTAACTCTTTTTGAAAAAAAAATGCACACAGAGTAAGAGGTAAAAAGGGCTACTGATATTGATGGTTGCAAGATTTTTTTTTTTTTTTATAGTTGGATTAGAGGAGAGAAATCAGACAGAAACAAACAGCAACCAAATCCAGACCAAAATTTATACTATATTCCCATGTATATTGCTCTAATCAATTTACTATAAGTGAGACAGTAAGAGTGCCTTTTTTAGAAGGAACATGTCTTAGTTAAAAGGTGAAAGTACCATCAGCACCAGCTTACAGTTAGAAGATTTGCTGAAACCCTAAAGTTAGAAATATATTCAAATGTCTATTACGTATCAAAAAAGAAAAAAGTAAACTAATGTTTGAAAATAAGGCTTTCCTTACATTTCCATTAGATAGATAGAAATTTGCGTCCTTTTTTTTTTTTCTTTTTTATTTTTTTTTCCTTTTAGATAAGCACACTGTCATAATTTGTGCTGTTTTAACTCAAGTTACTGGATGTAACTGAGAAATGCTCAAGCAAACTTTCTAAGCATCAGCTGAATACTGACGTCAATTATATGAAACGCTCCAATGAGTGCATTCATAATGTCAAAATCGAGGTTTTATTTTATTTTATTTTTTTTTTTTTTTTGGAGCATACGTCTAACTCTGTAGATTATTTGTTATCAGAGGTTGCACTTTACGCGATTAAAGAATTTTATTTAAAAAAAATTAAAAAATGACCAATGAGCACATAGCATTTATATGCTGTTTTGCCCTGGTCAGATCGCTATGGAAAAAAGAAAAGGAAAGAAAAACCCCTTTTTGGATATAAAAGGGAAAATATTGAAGTGTATATATAAGTGATGATAATTAACTATCAGAAATTCGTTTTTGTATTGAAAGAAGATGATGGTCAGAGGGTTCAGGGATTTGGGAGTGAGCTAGATAGTCCATCTTAAGCAGAATTGCACATATGGAAGGCCAGCGTATGAGCCAGGCATCGATTGATTTTCTCACTTCCTTAGCAAGAAATGTTGATGGTAATAGGTTCAAGAGATAAGAGAGTGGATCTTCAATAGATTTGGGCATCTGAAGGCGGTTATGCATATGCAAACAAGAAAAACTATGTGAGCGTGTGAAGAGTTCATTTGGATTGGATGGAAGGGGCCAGGCTTGGGGTTTACCAAGAGGTAACCAACCAAGTCGCCATCCAGGTTGCACTTTATACAGTATTTCTACTTCAAATTCAGAAACAAAACGTTAGATGAGATTCAGAAAAAAAAAATTGCTATTTTTTTTCGTAAAGACTTCTTACCTGTAAAATCTTTAAACCAGCACCTCACCGGAATGAGATGTGGCAACCACATTGGAGGTGGCGCTTTGTCGCGTGAAGACAGTAGGGCAATCGTTCCCATTCCAAATTGAAGAAGCAATCAGAAACATATTCTTGGATGCCATAACATCACGATTCCAAAAAAAAAAATATATTGCAAATGTTGCACTTCAATACTTGATGGATTCGTTTGACATCGTCACCTTCCCCACATTTCAGATCCTTGAGGTCTTGATTCAAGCAAGAGTTACAGTTCTATAATGATACTGTTTAGGACATGTGATATATGGACATCGTTGTACTAACCTTGGAGGTTTTATACTCATTAATATCTAAAAGTAACAACTCTCCAAATCTCTCTCTATGCTTTAATTGCCTATACATCTTGTTTGAAACGCCGTGTCGAAGACCTTTGAATTTGATGTGATCCTTGTTTTGAAGACCATCACCAAAGATTACAAGAGGCATTTTCTTGCGATCGCCTTCTTCGAAACGGCTCTTGTTCTTCCTACACCTTCTCAATTGTGAATTGGCAGCCGCTCGTTCCTCTTGATTTGTCTTCAGTCCTTCTGACCTTTCTTTTTCTTCTTCTGTTTCTCTTCATATTCTTTCTTCTATTCTTGTTATACTTATTACCTCCATTTAACAAAATATTGACGCTTGTTTCTATAGCGATTTGAGAGCCAACGTAGTTTTTCCATCCGTATCTTGCAGTGTTAAACCCATAAAATTCAAATAAGCGACTCATATGCTCCATCATGTATAACACATGTTGAAGGTAATCTTCTGATGATACTGTTTTTGGTGTTGGGGTATCAGTTTCAATTTTAGTTAAGCCTAATTCTTGCTTCCTTTTTTGTTCTTTTTTAAGTCTATTCGTATTTCCCATCATATTATAATACTCTGCACTAGAAAGACTTCGAATATCATTGTTCCCATGATAAGATACAAATACATCTTTACGGCCGGGGTCTACGGTTCACGGTCTGAAATATGTATTAATCTCTTCTTGATTAAAATCATTTAATTGAAGAGAAGCACTCTCAGAAGTTTCACTTGTCTTTCGACAAAATGAGACTTTGCAAGTGTATCCATCTGTGTATATAGAGTTCAAAAATAGTCTGTTCTTTTGCAGTAAATTTTCCAAAGCTTCAAAATGCTTTCTCGTTTTGCAAGCTTTTTTGCTGCAATAAGTGTTTCGGCTTCAGTATATATGAGTGTACGTGTCATTAATAAAAGAAAGATAAAAAAATAAAAGACAAACAGAAGAAGAGAGAGGAAGAAATAGTATAGCAAAAATTCAGTTCATAATTATCGATCTGGGATCCAATACAATAGGATTAAGATATGATATATTGAAGATCACACCACAAGATTAATCACTAAAGATGTCTTGCTTATTAGTTATATAATGAAGCGCAGACTAACTACTTATTTGTATTTCTCTTAGACCGGCTGAATACAGATATGAACTTGTCAATTTAAAGAGACAAAGAGATCTCAGATCCTTTTTTTTTTGGCTCCCAAGGTTTGATATAGGTTATGATTAAAAAATGAGTTTTTGAGTCCCAGTCTTACATCGTGTAGTGCTATAATGGTACGAATGCTCGAAAAGCTGACTGTTTTTTTTTAAGAATCCACCCCTAAATCGAAGAAAAAAAAATCCTTAAATTTACTCAACGCAGTCGTGAATTGGTTTCCCATTGTACAATTAAATCAACACCAAAAGATGGATTTTTTTTTATAAATACGCTAGCTAAACCTTCTTAAAGTTGTTCGCAAGTAGCATCCATGTAAGAGGCAAAAAAAAAAAAAAAATAGCTAACCTGTTAGCCTACAGTTGCATTTTAGCTCGTCTAATATTTTGTCTCAATTTAATTTCTCGAGTTCTTTTGTTTGATTTCCATGTTCGCTTCTTCCAAAAAAGGTAAACTAAATATCTGAAAACTAATTTTGATTCATCTAGAAAAGAACTAACTTCGTCCAAATTTAAAGTGTAAAAACTGTAAGGCCAAAGTTTTTTCACATAATTTGAACTGACCTGGGCAATCCAACATAACAAAGATATTATGTGCTTATAGGTCACTTTATAAATTTTAATTTATAAAAATTATAAAAATAAAAAATGTTTAATTGTAAGGCCAAAGGATACTAATTTAATTTCAAAGCCCGTCAAAAATTGGGTGTTTACTCCGTTTTTTTTTTTTTTTTTTTTTTTTTTTTTTTTCAAAAGTTTTAGACTGTCATATTTGAAAGTTTGTATGAACACATATTTTATGCATATATTAAAAAAAAAAGGTTTATACGTAATAAATAATAGATTAATTTTTCTTTTAAAAAAGAAGAAAAATATCAAAATCACATAATATACATTCATATAAATATCGTATTGATATTATATAAACATGCACAATTTATCTGTCTGGTAATTCAACTATCTTTCAGTTGTTATTTAAACTAGCAAATAATAAGCAGTCAATCCTCATGCAAACAAAAAAAAAAATCATTTAAAAGATGGCGTGTCACGTGATTAGCACTTTCATTAATAGCATAAAATTATCTTTCTCCTTTTTTCAGTTCGTACATTATTTTTCCCTTTGTCGGTTATTCCAGAAGAAGGAACAAAGAAGCGATTACATCCTATGTTTCTAGATTGGATATCTCAGCTTCGATTGTTACAGCATGACTCACGTAATTTAGAATTGCCAACTTTTTAATCGTGTAACTTTGTCAATTGATTTCTTTTCTTTTCCTTTCTTTTCCTTTCTTTTCTTTTTTTTTTGTCAAAAACTAGAAACAAATATTCTTAGTTCTCTTCCATTATCTATTCGGAGAGTACTTATATCAGAAATTACAGGATATCTTCATCCAGCATCAGGTAAACAACCACCTAGCCCAAGTATATTTTCATCACCAGCACATGTGAAATGGTTCATGGAAATCATTGGTCAGGGATTCAATTTACCACTTGAAGATATGGCTATTACAAACGATGATATTGAAATTTATGCAAGATGGTTATTGGAGCAAAATGTTCGACCACAAGCTATTGTTCAAGATGGTTTAGAACAAGAATTTTATCAAATTATTTTTCACCATTTCTCATTTTTATTCCAACCACGTATTGCTCGAGCACAGGCAGCATCACCTGTTCACGATAATACACCTACAAATCTTAATAATTCTACATCAAAAAGCACTTCTTCATCTTTTCATATTAATATGATTCCTGTTGGAGCTCATAACGGCATTATACCATTAGCATTTAATACTTCATCTAATAATTCCACACAAACTAATCCATCTAATCCTCAAACAAGCGCTATAAAAGAAACACTTTCACAACTTGTACAAAGACATATTGAGCTTTGTAAAAAGACTTTAAAAGTGATAGTGATGGCTGGTAGGACGTTAAGATTTTCAGAAGAGACATGGTTAGTCTTATTGAAAGTCATGTTGGGTATTACGGACTATCTATTAAAGGAACCCGTTGGTGAGACTTCTAGTTTAGGTGTTATGAATATGGCAGATGAATTATGTGATAATTTACTGCAGGTATTAATGAGTAGCTGATAGAAAAAAAAAAGATCACACATACACGTATACTTATTTTAATTTGTGAATGGAGTAGGTTTTATTTGAATTATGGTTAAGATCAGCTACAATGAATGTTGAAATGTGGGATATATTAAAGGTATATACATATACACATACATACATACATACATATATACATGAATTTCGCTTATATCGCTCTATCCAGAATTGCTTTGCTAGATGGACACATCGCTCAAAGGCTATTCAACAATGGAGCTCAACTTCCCTTGCACTAACTAGAAGAATACAAAATCTTATTTATGGAGAAAAGGAAGGAACAGATGGAGTTTATATTAATGGTCTAAATATTAAGCTTGATCTTCCCAACGAGTTTGTTTATTATGCATGGCATCGTGTTATTTATTTCATTCCACATCCATTGAAGTTGCCTTCTACCAATTTTACTCTTTCTATACTTGGTATAGGTAATCTAGTAGATGCATTAAATTCAAGTAACAGTAGTAATGCAGATGGCAAAAGAGATAATCCTAATACTCCTGATGGGAATACGATATTACACATGTTTGGCACTTATTTATTTGATGCTGCCTCTAAAGCCTTAAATGCAAACCAAGAACAACAATGTGGTTGTGCTGAGGCATTTGCTACATTATGTAAAATATTCTGTAAACCACAAAGGCGTGAACCCTTCTTACGCACCTATATTGAACGATTTTATGCTGCTTTAATCATCGGACTCAAATCAGATGCCTGTTTACCCACTATTTTATTATCATGCACAGACTTATTTACTACAGATCTAGAAGGTATTCGTATGCTAGTACCTAATTTTATTTCAGCTATTAGAATGGTATTACCTAAATTAAGGTTCGTTTGTAAGACCAATGTATCGATTGATAACTTAAGATTAGCAGCTATTAAAGTATTGAGTACCATTATGTGTATGCCTAATCATTTCGATAAAGTAGAATTCAAGTCAGGTTGGGATTGTGAGATAAACAATCAAAATGAAAGCTCATCTTTAATCGGAGAGCAAGAACAATTGATTACTGAATTGGTATATCATGAAATTTAGCAAAGCCCATGCTTGATCTTGTTTAACTTGATTCTTGTATTTCAATAGATTCGTGTCCTTTATGATACATCAAATCCTGAAGATTCAAAAAATTTATTCTTGTCGGTAAATAATTTAATTTAAACATACCTTCAACTATCTTTAATTATGTATATGCTTTATTATTATGCTAGTTAAAATACTATATACTTGAAGTTCTTCTTATGTCGCTTAAAACGGAAACATCTTCATACAATATGAGATACATCCTTCATCTAATAAACGTATATGTCATTGAAGATGTGCCATTCTGTCCAGGCCTTGTTGGTACTGTGGTAAAATTAATTCAAGATAAGGTAAATTGAATTCAATCCATATTAGTATAGACTTCATTTAATTATTTAATTATTTAATTATTTAATTATTTAATTATTTAATTATTTAATTATTTATATTTATATATATATATATATATATGAATATAAAGATTTTAACAATGCAGTTGCCAGCTGATGTAACACTTGTAGCTTTTGATGTACTTATGGATTTTGTAAATTTATATGATTTTGTAAAAAGAGACAGCAAGGTATAAATACTATATACACATATATACATTTATTTATTTATTGACATTATTAATATCAAAAAAAAAAAAAAAACTTACAGAATGTAGCAAGGGAACTCGTATTAGCTCTTAGTAGATATGTTGACAAACTAATTACTACAGGAAACTTATCTCAAACGTATCCATTAATTGTTCAAGCATATGATTGTATGATAAAATGGATTCTGGTCAGTCAATGGATTATAGATGATTATGATTGTTATAAAGCAGTTATTGATACATTAAGTAAAGGCATTACGATTTTTGAACGAGAACCTGTTGCTAGTCCCACAACAAGTAATAATCATATTGATCCGGTAAATGCTGAAAAGAAAAAGAAAAGAGATGCTGCCTTCCCACAAACAAAGCAGCTTTTTCAATTACCTCCTCGAGTTAATAAAGGAAACCATCATAGTAATCATCATTACGATAATAATAATAATAATCTAAACCAGGCAATGAATACACATAACAGTCCATCAGTACGTAAAAAGGAAGAAGCTGCTGTGAGAATGGCTGCTGAGTATTGTATGTCACAATTTGTCAATCAACTTGGCCGATTTATGATACCCTATGAACATTCATTAGGAGGATTTAGACCAGCGATAGTAGACGACCTACAGCAATTAAAAGAATTGAAATCTCAGGATAAAGATTTATCTGAAATGTCATCCATTCGATGTTTTTTAATCGATAAGCGCTCATTACTCACCATTATTGATATTACAAATCAAATGCATAAAGATGGGGAGCCAAACAATGCTCCACACATTGTGGCTATTATACGAGATACAACTGGTAAATATATTTGGTCCATGGAAATACATTACAAGGAAAACAAGATACCAGCAGGTTCACCAGAATTAAAGCTTTCTTCATCAAGTATGGATAGTGAAAAGAAATCAGAATGTAAAGGCCCTAAAGAAACTCCAGCACAAAAAATAATTATTCCTACTGTTACCGCTGTTAATGAAGATGGCATACCGGATATGGATAAAATATTTGTTGAAAATTCGGACGAATGGAAACAGTGGGAGACGATAAAGAGCTTAATGAGTCGACAAGAAGAATCGAAAAAGTTGATTATAAATCAATATAAAAATGAAGAAACATCAAGTAAATATCAGAATTCTTCTCTTCTTTCTAATGTCGATTGTAAAGAACCAAGGGGATCTAGACTCTTACTCTCACATATTGGTTATTTGTTGCCTGAGAACAGAAAACATATTACTTCATTATGTTTGAACGACACAACTATTCATGAAATAGAAAAGTTAGATGAACTAAATGAGTAGGTATTCTCCATATTCATATATGATTTAAAGTGTTCATTTTAATAACTTTACGTTAATAAGGCGTGATTGTATTTCGATATCTGCATATTATGCTAAATCCGGCAACATTACATTATTAGAGTTAATTGAGAAACCTCCACCATTAAGTCAAGAATTTATTCAGTTTATCCATTGTCTTGGCTGGCCAGTAAGTATATAAATATATATAGAAGTAAAAAAGGAAAAAAAAAATAATAATAATTTGTCTTAATTAATAGATTAAAACATCTTATCATAAGGGATATAAAGGAAGGCTTGATGCGTCTATTTCTGATACTATTCCCTACTTTTCTGATCGAACTACTGAATTTTTAGTTCATGTTCCATACTTTATCCGAATGCCCCCTGATAATGATACCAAATGGGGTAAAGTAGATTCTTTTTCAAGCCTTTATCAAGATGTCTCCTCTGACGATCATGTATGCGTTATTTGGATTGAAGATCTGTCAAATTATAAATCCTTAGCTAATCTGATAAAAACCTCTAACCCATCTAATTCGAAAGCAATGGTTTATATCTTCATTAATCCTTTAAAGAATGGTGCTAATGGACTGTATTTAATTAAAATCTTAATTCCGTCAGTAGGAAATACACCTTCTAGTATCTTGGCTAGCCAACGATTAAATGAAAATGCTTTGGTAAAAAAAAAAAAAAAGAAAAAAAAGATCATAATTTGTAACTGGAGAGTTTTTATTTAACCTATGATCCTAATTTTTTCCCCCACCCCCTCCCTCCTTAGATTTTTGGTCCATTAGTAGACGGTATAGTTGTTAGTCGTCATGCCTTAGGCGCAATGGTAAGAAGTACTGCAATTTCTGCACACCAAGCCTGCAGAGTTGTCACAGACACGTATACAAGGCCTTATGCTATAAGAAAAGCATATATAGAAGATTTGGCTCATAGACATCGTACTAAATTGCCTTTATCACAGTAAATATATAAAGTTTTAATGTTTGAATCATTTATTTATTTATTTATTCATTTTTTTTTATTGTAGGTTTTATTCTGATTTATTTACCGGAAAAAACTGCTACTAAATACATCTATTCCTTCCCTTAACACAATTATATATTAATAATAGTCTCCTCCTCTAGTCATGTCCTTAAACTTATTTGGAAATAGAATACTTACAGTTATTTTCTCTTTTTAATAAATAAATGATAAAAATAATAATAATAATAACATACATACTACTATTATCATTGATCAAAAAATACGGAGACCATTTAAATATAATGCTCGAATACTTTTGCAGGTAATTGATATGTATTCATTCTCATTTTTGTATATTGCGTCTTTAGTTTTCTTAAACTTGGTTGCATGCATTCTACTACTACTGAAAGTATGTTGTGTCTCTGAGCGATTTTCCCTTGAGTTTAACCCCAACTCAGATGATAATAGGTCATGATGATTAGGGAAGAAAGAGGGATTTGTATATCCTGTAAGATCATACCAATAGGCTTCACAAGTGTTACCTAATATGATCTTAAACCTAGATGTTCCTAGTCGAGCGTTACATTTGCTTGATACACGGATTTGTTCCAATACCAGAATATTTAGATGATGATTAGGTAAATAGATATCAAATGTATGATTGTTATTAGATGACTCATGTAATGATGAAGTTGGAATAATAGATATGCATGATAAATAACGTAGGGCCTTACAATAAGTGGAAATAAAGGGAAACACGGGATTATCATTATCTAGTGATACATGCTCTAGTTTTAAAGTTTGCAATCCATAGCCAAAATTGCTATTGTTACTAATAATAGTAGTGGATGTAAATGTAGATGTAGATGTTGGTGTAGAACATGACTTGGAAGCAATTATTATTTTAGCATGTGTGATGACCAATGAGATTAGGTTTGGACAATAGTTTAATATATTCTCAAGGCATATCTTCCCTTCATCATTCTTACTAATCACTTGCGTAGTATCATTCTGACTTACAGTCATATTCTGATCTATACATGTACCAAAAGAAAGATAAAGGGACGTAATATGATAGCATTGTTTTAAAGTATGCATTAAAATACCTAGACCATCACTTCCTCTCATAAGCAGCCGACGACAGTCAATTGTCAAGTGATTAATATAATGCCTTTGATTTGATTTTACTAAACTATCAAGTTCATATATTAAACTATTAACATCAAAGCTATCGCCAAATGACAATTGACTTAAGCAAACATCATTCTCGTCTAACAAACGAAGAAAGATGTCATTCAAAACAAAGGGTTGGATCTTGAGAGCCCTTAATTTTTTACATTGCTTAGCAATTTTTAATAACTCGATCTGATACCTTATGGAGTCGCAGCCCTTTGATTCTTCTTGTTTAAAAGGTAAACAGGAGTTTTCTATTTCAAGTGTTTTGATACGAGTATATTTTTGAGCAATATAATTCATGTATCCAAATACATCATCACTAATTTTACTATTCACAAAACGAAATGAATGTAGATTGATTGCAGGACTAATTTTAGATAAAAGTGATAACTCTGCAGTTAACAGTATTGTATCTAATATATTCAATAACATAAGCTGCGGACAATTTTCATGTATCTTTTCTAACTCTGTTATTGATAAATAAATTTTTTCAAATGTAAGTGACTTGAGTTGAGGAGCATGATGTAGTAAATTGATTAAGGATATCTTTTGGTTGGTAAGGTCGTTTTGATTATTGAATTGAATGAATAAGGATGTTAACTGGGTTGGTTGCTGTTGAAGAAGAAAGCAGGTAACTGTGATGCCATTGAACTCCACCAAGGTTTGCATATCTTTCCATAACAGAAAATTATTTTTTACTTTGTCTAATTCCTTGCGTTTTTGATATTGTTGGTAATATTCAAAGGGCATGCGGTAAGTCCCTTTACTTGCAATAACACCATCATGCATAAACACCTTCAAATAAGGACATAGTAATGGCAATTGACCTAAAGTTGCTGGTACTATACTTACTCTTTCAATAACCAGTTTTTGAACCTGGTAGCCAATTGAATACATTGTTTCATGGCCATACAATGATGTCTCTAGGTTGTAATAAAAAAATGAACGAAACTGATGTTCCCCCCTTATGTAAACATTACTATAACGATACCTAACCCATTTCTTATACCATAGGCTACAAATACTCTGACAAGTAGCTATATCTTTATCAGATAAACAACTTACTATTAACTGAAATATCTCTACAGGTAAGTCAAAAAATAGCATAGTATCCACAAATAAATAATATATGTATATGTATAAAGAGAGAAAGAGAGAGAGAGAGAGATAAATTGAACAGTGTGAGAATAAATACACATATAGTATTTCTGGGAACATTGGATGAGATATTGCAAAAGGGAAATAGGTCAGAAGACATAAATGATGATACAATTACTAAACGTTAGAGAAAGGCTATATAAAAAATAATTGTCCATTATACCCAGTATTAATCATATTTTTTTCCTCCCTTACACAATATCAGCAGTATAAATACGCCTTAAAAAAGCATTAAACTTCTTATAAAATAATAATGTGAATTCAAGAGTTTCATTAACACATCCATATCCTAAGAAATATCCCTAGACAGATTCCATTCTCCTCTCCTACTAATTGTGCAATAAATAAAATCTTTTGCTTTTAACTCTTTTTTATCTTTTTATCTTTTTTATCTTTTTTATCTTTTTTTTTTTTTTTTTTTTTTTTTTTTTTTTTTTTCATAGATATTTGTTCCCTTCTTTGAACTAACCTAGTTCATAATTACTATACATGTAAATATAATTATTTCCCTCTTAATTATCCATGTACAAAATTTTACACTTGAAGGTGTTATACCAAATTATGCATGTGAACATTGTGTAGAATGTAGACGCATTTTATATAAAGAAGACTATTTAAAAAGTATCACTTCATACTAATAAGAAAAATAAAATAAAAAAATAAATAAATGCATCCAGCCAACTCATTAAAAAAAGATGATGACAGTAATAAGAATAAAGAAGATCCTTTCTACGATTAAGAAGAATTATTTTATTTATAACAAAAATTTAAACAACCCATGTGAGCACATAATACTGGCGTATTGGATTGCCCGGGTCAGTTCGAGAAAGGATAAAAGTGTACTAAAAAACCTTTTGATAGGCAAAAGGGTAAAAAAGAAAGAGAAGGGAAAAGGAAAAGCAAGATATATCAATAAATACTAGATTCAGAGTTACGTATCCAGTTTACAAGTTTTGTACCAAGGGGGGCAGTTTTTGGAGGAAGTTTACCATGATGGAGATAGTCAAGTTCAAAAAGTATAAGGCATATAGTAGGCCAACGAATCGTCCAGGCGGGAAAGACAGATGAGTTCAAAGCTGATGAGATTGGTGGCATGCGTTTTTGTTTATTTGGTAGCTTATTTAAGAGGAAGGACAAAGGGTCGGGTTCGGTCAAAGGCATTTGCAATCGTCGATGCATATGTAGACACCATATAGCATGGGATCTTGTGAACAATGCATTAGGATGATATATGCACGGTTTAGGGGCACCACCAGGTAACCAACCTAGACGCCAGCGGACTATTCGGCTGCGTTCTGCATTTGACATAGGTAACCAGAGGATAGGATCGATACCTAGGGTAGGACGGCAGGCAGACAAGAGAACGGCATTCTTACTGTTTCGTTGATCACCAAGATTATCTTTCAGATATGCTTTACAGATACCAGCAAAAGCGCGAGGATCATAAATATTATCGTCAAAGGAAGCAGTATACCGTTGCCAAATAGGTGTTTTCGAAAGCTTATACCATTGAGAATGGCTTGAAGAGGGGCGTATATGTGGTAAAAACTTGGAAACAAGAGTATCGTCCGGAGAGTAGATAGACCGAATTAAGAATTTAGCTTGCAGGAGGTGAATACATTCCTTCATTATGGGCAGGTTGACCAAGTGCAACATAACTTTAGTTGAGGACCGAGAAGATCCTTTCTACAGTTTTTACATTTTAAATTTAGACGATGTTAGTTTTTTTCTGGACAATTTGCTTACCTTTTTTAGACAAAATAAGAATGGAAATCAGACAAAAGAAAATTAGTATTCAGAAGAATAGAAAAAAAAAAATAGAACTCACCTGTATCAAGGTTTATCATATCAATATCCACCCCTCAGGCAGATTCGCGGCCTTCATTGGATGGCATATGGCGGAAAAGTTTTCTGGAAGAAGCTTGTTGATTGTTGCGTAAAGGGCGTTTCAAAGATTGTCTCTTGAATCGAGTTGGGCGGCCAAGCCCTTCTCGGTGAGACTTCAAAATATCGCGAAAGTTTAAGACCGCAGCAAGATCTCGGTTCCAAAGGCGGAGGGACTCCAAACATTGATGATTGAGGCATCTATAAAGACCTCATTAATACGTATTTTTTTTTTAAAAAAAAAGAAAGAAATGAAGCTTACCGTAAGAGTCCGTGGCATTCCACCTTGTGATATTTCGAGCGACGAAAAGGTCGTGGGTTTTGAACTTTTTTGAAAGTTTCCAGTTTACTGACCTTACAAGTAGGGCACAGTGAAGACGTTTTATGTTCATCTATAAGTAAAACAGAGAAACCATGCTTCTTGAGCATCCTTCTTACGCCTTTCCCACGAATTGGCTCTTGGTACTTTGTATTTCCGGCATTCTAGTCCCCAAGGATGAGAATAGCATCGTCTCTAAATTGTTGCTTCAAAGTCTGTGCTAAGCGATGATCGGATTGTTGTTTATTTATGATAGATGATAATTTCAACTTGCGAAAGGGAAGCAGATTGGCATTTTTGTGGGGTATGTTTTCGTTTGAGTAGTACTCTCGAAGTGGATCTTCGACTATGGAACGTGCTTTGAGATAGTCAGAGAACTTGTCTACTTTGATTGCTGATGCTGAAAATTTTGATAGATAGTTTTCATGCTCCTTTACTGACGTAGTTTTTTTTTATGTCGCGTAGTTTCGTAAATTTTCTTTTTTTCGTCTCGACCGCACACTGGTTGCTGGTGTATCTGTAGGTGTGTTTGTCTTTTCCAGATTCACTATTCTCCTGCATGCAATAGAGCATATCTCTTCGTCCAGGATCAATAAGGACACATCTTCCGGTAGTTTCCTCGAGTTCAGTTTTGGACAACAGATGTATGTATCGAAAGTTGTCGTCTTCTTCTAATCTGGTACCACGCGTACCACCCTTTGTACTCTCTTTATTTTGCTTCAACACCGACACACCTACACCATCAGACTGAATCATTCCGCGAAATTTCAAAGATTTTGAAGCACCTTGATCCTTCATGCCCTTCGATGAGTGGTTGACTATTTGGCTCCAAATGAAGCCTTTGTCTAAATTAGATCTATTTGTATTACGCAGAATATGATTGTTCACGATCAACGTATCAATCGTCATATAGCATGGCACATACGTTCGACGGAGCGGAAAACACATGAATGATTTGTAGCCTAATTCTTCACAGTACTTTGCTGTCTTGTAATATGCTTTAAGGTGCTTCAAAGGCTGTGTCTTACAGTCATAATATATACTTGCTTTCATAAACTCGCAACGCGGCCCATAAGTACCAAAAAATTCTTTAAGAAGTTTGACGCCCTTGTCGTCCAAAAGGGTTACTGGCATACTCTGTGTATTCCCGGAGGCAAGGGAAAGCTTCAATTGGGTTAACGGCTTTGTGATTTCGTCAGAAATGATTTTCTTGATATCATTCTCGCTTTTCTTGGATTTCTTTAATTCTTGTTTCCTCTTGGTTATCTTGGCCTTTTGTTGTGTAAGGTGGTTAATGAACATCCGGAAACGATTTCCAAATTGTAATATGACTGAATTTTTGTACGCTGTGTCGATCTTCGCGCACTCATATGCTGCTATTTGTTGCGCGTATTTCAACTCGATGGGATCATACTTGGTTAAGATACAATACTCGTTTTTATACTTTCGTATTAAATCTCTATAGTCTTTAGTTTTCGTTGATTTAGAAGGTTTACGATTTTGTTTGGTGAGCTCTAGGAACACTTCAACGTAAAAGTCCTTTTCAGCGTGTTTTTCCAGATCAAAAAACTCGATTCTTTCCAACTCATTGATGAATATAAATTTTGTCAATGCAAAAGTATGGGTAACAAGTATGTTAACGGTTGATACAAGATCTTTTAGCCTTGGTATAAGTTCGTGTCTCCACTGTATACCGGAAACAGATGTCTTTAAAGTTATTACTTTTAAGTGATTTATTTAAGGCCAATATAAAAAATAAAGATCATTTAGGAAGAAAAAGGCAAAATATAAAAAAGAGTAAAGAAGTGAATAACAACATTTTCGTTGAAAGTTTATAAATTTCCACGATCATGTGTGACTTCATCATGATATGTAAGTATAAAATGTGATAAACTGGCGAGGACAACAGCACTGGGTACGAAACAATACCTGAAGATATATCACCCATCATTTTGGAAGCAATAATCGAATTATAAGGTCGCTAAATATGTAAAATGGTTTGAAAGTAGTAGAGCACATACAAAAGTACTGTTCTATGTCGTATTCTAGACTTCAATTTTCCATAATCATTCTCTCGCCTACCGTGTATTAAAATTTATCAAACAAAATATGGATATTTTAGATAAGCAAGGAAAACATGGAGCCTACATTGTTATGGACAAATGCAGGATTCTTCATTCTGAATTTGTTACAGATTGTATCAAAAAAAAAAAGGCGGTTACAAAGCATTATTTATGCTGCCCTATTCACCTTAAACCCTATCGAAGAATGTTGGTCAAAGGTCAAGTCTCACACAAAATGTCATTTTTTGATAGAGACAGATCAATTAACACCAAGGATTGTAACTGCTTGTAAAACAATTATCCCAGATGACTGTCACAAAAGTCGTCTAAGTTATTATTTGACAATTATCAGTCAGCATAGGTAAAAAGCCTAAGCATAAATCTCTATTATTCGTCTGAATATTAATTTTATTTTGTCTAAAAAAGGTAAGCAAATTGTCTTCGATCGTCAGTAAAGGTGATGCTTCATATGGTAAACCAACCATCAATGAAGGTTAGGGTGTCCATTCTGCAGGCCCAATTCGTTTTCCGTGCTATTGATTTACCGGATGATACCTTGCTCGCTAAATTACTTCCCGAACTTCACGCCTCCGCTTTCAACACTCAATGGTATAAACTCATTCAAACACCATGCTGGAGACTCTATACCGCCAATTCCATTCCATTAGACCAACGCTCCTTTCGAAAACATCGTCAATAATTTATGAAGAGAGTTTTCAACAACTACGTGACGAGACACATTCTGTTTTGCTTTCCTCTTGCCGCCCTAATCTGATTATTGACCCGAAACTCTGGTTACCCATGACACACAGTGAGCGTAGTCGAACTATTCGATGGCGTCTTGGTTGGTTACCCGGAGGAATACCTAAAGCCTGCCCATATCATCCTCATGTACACTTTTAGTCGGTCATACGCCACTGAATGCTTGCACATGCACACTCGTTTATTCTTGCCACGATCAATTACAGATCCCCTTTCCTTTCTTTTAAATCATCTCCCTCAGCATAAGCACCGAAATTCTCAGGATGTTTCTGCCTGGCTCTATTGTTGGCCAGTTATGTGCACCATTCTACAGGAAATGGATTACTTAATGCACAATAAACTACCCTCTCCACTTCTTGATCCATGCAGGAAATGACTCAACTGGTTGTCTCTTTAAACTTGTTAGCAATATTCCCCTTTCTTTCTCACCTTCTATTCTTCCTTTCCTTTACCTTTTTACCTCTTGTCCCATAAGAGGGTTTTTAGATACTTTTTTTCACATAATTTGAACTGACCTGGGCAATCCAATATAATAAAGATACTGTGTGCCCAGAGGTCGCTTTATAAATTTTAATTTATAAAAATAATAAAAAAAAATGTCTAATCGTATTAAGCATCATTTCAAAAGATGACTACTAATTATTTTGAAACACAGATAAACTCTAAATAATGCTTTATTTATGTTTTCAAGTTAAAAAAAAAAAAAAACCTAATAGGGGCGTATGTAGGACAGCTGCTTTTGTGCAAAATCCAATAAAAAATAAAAGTTAGTTTAATTTTATCTTTTTTTTTTTTTTTTTCCAAGCAATTATAATTATATAAAAATGAACAAGACTCCTATAGCAATGAAAGATGGAGAGAAGAAAGAACCAGCTAAGGTGTATAAATCTATTGCTCCAACAACAGTTGCTACAACAAATAGAAGTTACAATTCTTCTAATACACAACCACTACAAAAAAATGTTCCTGCATTTCTTAACAAACTTTATAGGTAAATTTAATTAAATAGAAACAAGAATACATTATTTATAGTTTCTTTAAATTAGTATGGTCAATGATCCCGAATCGGATGATCTCATATGTTGGGCAGAAGATGGTGCCTCTTTTTTCGTAAATCGTCAAGAGGAATTTGCTCGCAAAGTATTGCCAAGGTTCTTTAAACATAATAAATTTTCATCTTTTGTTCGACAGCTTAATATGTATGGATTCCATAAAGTACCTCACTTACAACAAGGTGTGCTAGAAACAGATAGTGAATCAGAACGTTGGGAATTTAGTAATCCTCACTTTCAACGTAATCAACCAGACCTTTTATTACTTGTTACTCGTAAAAAGGGTCCTGCTTCAGATGAGAAAGAAATCTCTAATATTGATCTGCAACACATTCTGGAAGAAATTCAATCTATTAAAAAACATCAAATGAACATTTCAACACAATTACAAGCAATTCAAAGGGATAATCAAGCATTATGGCAAGAAACCGTACAAGCTAGAGAAAGACATCTTCGTCATCAGGAAACTATTGATAAAATTTTACGATTTTTGGCATCTGTATTTTCGAATGGTGAAAAAAGGCCTGCAATATCAAGAAAGAGAAGATTTTTGTTGGGGCCTGCTGAAGGAGATGATCATGAAGCTGAAATTGAAGATGGACAGCGTAATAATGATATGAATAATAAAACGAATATAAAAAATAATGAACGACCTAAGAAGATGGCACGTCAACAAGATTCATCAAACAGTTTAAATCCTGCAACCTTCAATATAGAAGATTATGTTAATGAAAATAACGATTTAATAGGATTAAGCACAACTTTACCTGCTCACTTGAAAAATTCTGCTACAACTACACCTTCATCCGATTTAGAAGATGCGATTGCTTTGAATGATCAATCCAAACATGGTAATGTGTTATTTAAATTCTTAAATCGTATTCATATTTAATTAACATTTGTTATGATCTATAAAAGATACATCTTTGTCATCCTCAAGTGATTTTTCGAGTATTTCTAATGTACCACATCTACAAAATCTTCAAAGCTTGGTGTCATTAGCACAAACTAATCCCGACTTACTTAATCAATTAACTAATGAAACTCTTTTTAATAACAATTCGTCAGCATCATTTTTAACAGCTTTACAACCACAGCAATCTCAATCCAATCATCATCATCCTGTTCCTAACTTTCCTGTAGCTTCAACTAATTTACCCACGACTGTTACATTTCCAAATATGGCAACCCCTCTGAATACGACCTCTAATACAAACAACACAAAGTCTTTAACTCAAGTGACAAATACTATTTCTAACATTGCAAGCTCAGCAGATGCTTTAAATCAAGACATTGACGAATTAGGATTAAGTTTACAAGCTCTAGCTCAACATCTTGGATTTGATCCTACAAAAATTAGTACACAATCATTGTCTGAAACCACAGGTCAAACAAAAATAGAAGATGGACTCCATGAAAGTGACTTGATAAATATGGATGAGTTTTTAAACACATATGGTAATTATCAAGCAGGCTTATTTACACACACACACAACTTTATTAATGATGTATATGTAAATATTAGGTCCCGATATCCCTTCAAATGAAAATGTATCTGATATTTCATCAGCCACTATCACAGATATTCCCTCCATTTCAAGCACAAGATCGCCAAGCCCTGTCGTCTCAGCGTCTAATACAATAGATCAAGCTAATCATTAAAATATACTTACTAATATTGCAATGCTATTTTATTTACAGGGATTTAATAGATACTACATTTGAAATATACCGTCTATCTTTTCATAATAAATTATATGAATATTATTGTTATATGTATTTAATATATGTATTTTACATATGTATTATATAAAAGGTTATGATACAACGGCTAAAGTAGATCTACTCGTCAGAGACACCATTAGATTTTCAAGTCTATTAGACATTTACAAAAAAGATAGGTTATAAATAAAAATAATAATAATAAAAGCTTTTTTTTTTCCTTTTACTTTTCTGCTCTTGTTTTTGCCTCTTTGGCTTCATCTTGAATAATAGTCTTCAGCGCTTCAATATCTTGCTCTAACTGTATATTCTTTCTTTGTCCTAATTTTCTTTCTTCCATTTCCTTTTTTAGTAACGACTCCAAATCATTAAACTGTAATTGTATATGATCATTTGTCTTGTCTTTTGTATCTATCTCATCTTCACGTTCTGATATTTCTTTTTTCAAGGTATTGATTTGTAGATCCTTTTCTTCATTTTTTCTTTTTTCAATTTCAATCGTTTTACACAAGAGTTCACGTTCAGTTTCTTGATCTTTTAATCTCTGCTGTAATTGTTGGATTAGTCGGCTGTGCTCATGTAAATCAGATTGCATTTTATTATCAATTATTGATCTCTCACTTTCAAAGGACTTTAATTGTTCTTTTAAAGTATTATTTTCACGACTGATTTTTTCAAACTGAGATATAAGGGTTTCATTCTCTTCATATTCGTCTTGTACTTCTTCATGCATCTTTGAAAGCATAATAGCTTGATCTTCGCTAAATTGTTTCGTAGTGTCAAGTTCTTCATTTACTTGCTCTAGTCTTTTCCGTACTGTTTCTAATTCTCGTTCTAAATCTTTGCATTTCGTCATCCATTCCGATTTTTCCTTTTCCAGCAATAAACGAGTCCTCTCTAACTCTGTCTGTTGTTCCTCTAATTTCTTTCCCTGAACTTCAATTATCTTTTGTTGATTCATGCTCTCCTTGGAAAGTTCTTTCATCTGATCCTGAGAGACAGTCAAGACTTGCTCAAGGTCTTCCATCTTTTTATGGATTGCATTTTCTTCACCATACGAGTACTGAAGCTCCCTTCGACGGTGATATGCCTTCCATAGCTTAGATTGCTTGATATCAATGTAGATTCGAGCATTGCGTTGAATGATACGGATGAATTTATCTTGATTTTGACGTTGTGAGGCCTTACGTTGAGAGATGAGTCGACGACAGGCGGCCTGAAGTTGAATGATAATTTCAGATAAACGTATATCTCGTTCTTTCTCTAGTCTACCTAATACGCCTGCTTTAAAGAAAACCTTAGTACGCCCAAGTTGATATTGATTAGGTTCGATTTTCCCTTTCACAGATTCAATTAACATCTGACATGCTATACGATGATTTTGTTCATGTAAGATCAAGTCTGGCGCTAACAGTTTGTATTGTTCACGAAATTGTTGAAATAAAAGACGGTTAGGGTAACCCATGCGACAGATACGAATACCTTCAAGCACACCATTACATCTTAACTGATTTAAAACAAGTTGAGGTTGAATTTCACCAGAACGCTTACGATCGTTAGGAAGGATACAACGTACAAAATGAGGATGTGTATTTTGTAACGTGTTCATGAGTACATTAAGATGTTGTTTATGTTTATAACCAATGGTATGAAAATTTCCGCCTCCTTTACGTGTATGTATAAGTGGTCTTGTAGTAGTAGTAGTAGTAGTATTAGTAGCTTTACTATTAGTAGTAGTAAATTGTTGTTGTCGAGCCATTATCATTGAAGAGGAATAGTTTATTGGTATTGCGTAATCTTTGAATAAAGTGGCTATATGTGAGTTAGTAGATTCTGCAAATAAGCGTGCTATATGTTCATTTAAGGGATCTTTGCCACGTTCGATCCAGCCAGTTGTAGAATACTTGACCTCACCAGCATAATGCTTAATAGAAAAGCCTTCGTTATAGATATCACGCTTGAAACGTGGATTAGAATGATTTTGCTCGATCATCTTGGCTAATAAACGTTCATCTGTACCCTGAGTAAGACACTCGTCTTCTAAACAAGATAAGATACCAATAGGATTCTTTATACTTTCAATCAAGTTAATTGTAGGTTTTAAATCGTTACGATAATCAAATGAGTCATCATATTGGATATTTTCCCTTTTATATTCCATTTCTTCAAGGACGAACATATTTTGATTAAAAAAATCTTGCAGCTTCTCATTCGTATAATTGATGCATAGTTGTTCAAAGCTGTTCATTTTAAAGATTTCAAATCCTGCAATATCGAGTACACCTATAAACCGTTCACCTTCAGAGAAGGACATACCATCAAGGGATACAGGACCATCAATAGCTGCATTCACCCGATGGACAAGTCGACTAAAGTTACGTTCATAAAGAACTTTAGCGAGTGCATCCAAATTATCTTTTACTTGATGTGTCGACTTTGATTGAATGACCCATTCATTTCCTGCTCTGATCTTTGGCTCAATGAGATACTTTTTAAATAACTGAGGGGATACACCCAAATGGTCGCATGCCATTTCATATTGACTAATATCAACACGGCCATAATGATTACTTACAACAATGTTACCTAAATAAAGTACAGCAACAACCGTACGAAAAAATTCGAACTGTTCTTCCTTAGAGAAGCCCATGATATTCATAGAATGAACGAGTTTATTATATTCAGCTGCATCGTCTACACCTTGGATAGTATGATTTGAGTTTTTGGTATAATTAAAATCAGCAGGACAATTCTGATCCACTTTTAATTTAGCTATGAAAATGTGTATATTATTAGGAATATCCTATTTTCACTACCCACCACCACCACTTACTTTTCAATTCAGGATCCTCTGCATTCAATAACTGATAGAATATGTGATAATTTCTTTCTTCTAATGTCTGACTATGAACACGAGATGTCTCTAACAAGTACCAATCTATGAAGGCACCATAAATATCACCATTTCTATTAAACGCAATTCGTATAAATTTGCCAAACCGAGATGAGTTATTATTTCGAATCGTCTGTGCATTACCAAAAGATTCTAAAATTGGATTTGCTTGTAATATCTGTTCTTCCAATTTACTCCTTTGTAAAACATCAGTCCCAAAACCATTACTTCCATTACCAGCAATAGATGCTAGGTATTGAATAACAATTTTAGTGTTCTCAGTCTTTCCTGCACCTGTTTCTCCACTTTTTTTTTTTAAAAAAAAAAAAAAAAAAAAAAAAAAAAAAAAAAAAAAAAAAGATAAAAAAAAAAGAAAGAAAACGGATTAATGATAATAATAAGGTAAGAGAAATAATATTTAACTTACGTAATTAAAATAGACTGATTTTCCTTGTCATGAAGCATATCATAGAATGCATGGTCTGCGACAGCATATATATGAGGAGGAACTTCACCACGTCTTTTCTTTCGATAATACCTAATATTTTTAGTAGAATAAATAGGTAAACTACGATATGGATTGATTGCGACTAAAAAAAGACCTGAGTAGGTCTAATATATATACATGTCAAAGAGTGAGTTAGTATTATACTAGATAAAAAAAAAAGGGAAGAATTACATACATAGATTTCATTTTGCTTATATCTTTGTATCAAGTTATGAACAACAGCTGGTTCATGCATGTATAATAACTCTGCCATATCTTCCACCCTATCAAACTTTGGTGGGTTCATCATATATACCTGATTTTTCAAGACTTTTTCTTCCTATAATACATATTATTTAATAATAATGATAATAAAAGAGCCTCCTTCTCTTTATCAAAGTTATAAGAATACCTTTGATTGATCTTCATGCTCAACTAATAAAGTATCTTCAGATATTTCACCGATCACTCTTACTCGTGCAAATGCTTGAGGGCTATCTTTTTGTTCAATCCAAGCTAGTTTTTGTAAATTAAATCCAGCATCATAATCTGCTGCTGCTGCTGCTGCTGCTGCTGCTAACCCAAAATTTTGAGATTTATGATACACTTCTGTCCCATGACTATAATATAGAGTTCCAATTACTGACTTGTTATTAATAATTTTGTTCTCTGGTGGTGTCATTTATGTAAATAAGATTATAGTTAGGTGGTAGGGAGGAACAGAAAAAAAAAGGGGGGGAGAGAGAGGGAGAAGAAATGCTCTTTTCAATTTGATCATTTTAACACCATATTTGGTCATGAAAAAAAAAATAAAAATAAAAATAAAGCAAAACATCATACTGAATATAGTAGTATGTACTACATCAAGCATCAACAAAAAAATATAGTATGCCTAAAAAAAAATAATTTATCTTCAGTATGGTACAGCCAGTACGATGGATATTGTCCCCAATTAAAAAATATTTGTCAGCAGTTGAGAAATAATTGTTGCAAAAGAAATTTCAATTTGTCGTTTTAGGAAAAGCGTATTGTCGCATCAGATTAGCTTAAATTGTCGTAGTGTTTTCCTCTTCCTGAACTCTTCTTTTTGTTTAATACATTTTTTTTTGTTTGAGTGATGGAGAGATCTTTTTTATTACGAAGATGGGCGCGATAACCTGTACGACGAGAAGTGTATGAAAGTGTATGATCTAATGGAGGGTGTTCTAACTGAGATAACCCAATCCTAATGCGGTCCTTGAAAGACTAACTGATCAAAGCACTTGGAGAAGATTAAAACCGCCTAAGAAGATTGCTGTAGAAAACATAGTTAAAGTAATGCTAATTACGCCGGCAAAAAATACAGAAAGTACCGTGACAGGCAACGAGATGACTTTATTGACAGAATGATTGAAAGTGCTCAGGAAAGAGGTCTAGCTACCCGGTTCGCAAGAGAACTTGGAATCGAACCATGTGTGGCTCAAGGATGGTAGAAAAATACACAGAGAAACGGAAGAAGTGCCTTACAAAAAGTCTTCTATACGTTCTGGTCCTCAGTCTTCTTTCACCGACGATCACAACGACTTTTTGAGGAATCTAGTGGACTGTGGACCCCTCCTAGCTTGCTGTGGGTAAAACAGTGGGAGAGGTTAGCTGAATAATTCGAAAAATTTAGCATCTCAAAATCTCAACTCAATAATCAATACCCAAAGAAAATTTTCCTTGGAGAAAATTGTGTTGAAAAAAATTGTGTTGAAAAAAAAAATCACTAGTTGAAAAACCAAAGTTAGTTTGTTTCCAGATAGAATAATGAGTATTTATGATAGCAAGGCTTGAAACAACTTCAAGCTATACCCTGAAGATGAACAGTCTTTTGTACAGCAATCAGATTATGAATGCTCATTATGAATGTTGGCTAGTTTTAGTCTTATTCTGACAATGTACATTCTAGTGATGCTGAATTTATTTAACCGTACATAACTTACCTCGAGAGGAAAGAAACTCTAGGGAAAATATACAATAATCTTTTTAATATTTATACACTGTGCTATTATAGTCTTTCACCACTTTTGTTAATGAAAGAATTATACGCTTAATTATTAAATATTATTAGAGAAGCAACTTTATTATAGAACACGATTTTATTAAATTGTTTTTTTTTTTTTTTTTTTTTTTTTTTTCATTTTTATTAATATTATAAAAAAAGATGCTTTTCTTAGTTCTCAAATCTCTTTAGGAGAGACTTGATACTAACAGGATTAACCACGAGAAGGTGAAAGCATATCTAATCCCAAAAATAATATTACAACCCATACAAATTGATATGGGCTGTAATTTTTTCTTCTCCCTCTAAATTTCTACTTGAAAGATAAACGTCCAATTTCAACTAGTAGACACTTGGCAAAGTCCAACCTGGCCCAAGCCTTGCTAGAAGAAAAAGATAGGATTCCTCACCCCATAACCCAATAAAAAAATACAGTTGGATGTAAGTTTCATTGGAAGCCGGGCTAAACATTCTGACCTGTAGCGTGGCGAAGTGGAAGAAATCCAGATACATGAAGTGCACGACCTGACTATTGTTTACCTGAGAATGTCCCTTCTTTGACCCCTAGCATCTACTTTTGACTTAACAGTAAATACAAGTTGGGATTCTTCAACTAAATAAATAGATGAAAAAACCACGGTCAGAAACGTAAGCTGTGCATCCTTATCTATTTTTATTTTATAAACAGCAACTAGATAAAAATAAAAAGAAGGAAAAACCTCCAAAAAGAAAAACAGAAAAACTAAACCTTGAGATAAGCCCTTTCAATGGTGCAGACAAAGAGTACGCTAATCTCCCTAAAAAAGGAACAGGTTTACAATTTCCAACCCCAAGTATCCTTTTTATTCCCCTCCTCCTTTGGAAATAAATCAAACTTGAGCAGTCAAAATTCGATAAGGTCCCATCAATTATCTAAGGTTGCAATAACCCAAGGTGAAGGCGGATATGCATGTAGTAACCAAAAGAGAGTCTAGGCCTCTCCTTTAGCCATGTTATAAACGGACAGTTCTACAAACTCAAGTAAGCCAAGCTATGTGACTTGAGCACACTTCATAACCCTGACAATGTCTACCCATAGTTTCAAGTAAAAATAAAGAAGAATAGGAAAAATAAAAAAAAGCTAAAGAAAAGAAAAGAGAAAAAAGGGAATAAACGAAAAAATGTACTTTTTTTTTATAGTAAAATTCAGGAGAAAAAAAAAATAAACGAAAAGAAGGAGAAGTTATTAAAGTTAAATTTTAGCGTATTTTTTTTGTTTTTAATTTACTTTGCGTTAAATCTTCTCTCCTGCCTTTCTCCTTGTCTTTTTTCTTCTCTTTTCTTTTTAATACTTTAGAAATAAGTTTTTCTTTTTATTTGAATGTAGTAAAACATTACTGTCTTCTTTGAAAGTAAGCAAGAAAGTAAGAAAGTAAGAAAAAGAAAAGAAGTTTGTTATATAAATATTCATACGAATATGCTGAGCATTCTTGTAAAGTAATTAAGCCAAAACTGGTTAAATACAGTTACACGAAAGAACATGATGTTCATACATTCTCCAAAAGAATAAGAGTAGATAAGCTATCAATAATATAAAAAATGTCATTTTATACAGCAGTTTTATTTTTACTTTTAGACACATACACACACAATCTAGACGCTTTTTTTCAATTGTACAAGATATTCTTGGCAGTTTATGCATTTTAAATAGTTAGGCTGTAAGCTTTCTTACTACTGTATTATGGCAATTGAGCTCTTTTTTATAATGATCATGATAACAAGGCTTTTTAGATTTTGATCAGTTTGAAAGGAATAATGACTTTGAAGAGAAGAAAGAGATAGAGTCTCAAAGAGTGTACAAAAGATAATACGATGAAGAAAGAAACAAAAGATATGATATCTTTTATTTCATATTCAGGCTTATAGTTTGTCCTGTATTATGTAATTCATCTTTTATAATACTACTTGTGTTTATATCCAGAGCTTGTTCTATAACAAAATTATCAAAGAACTTCTCTAAAACGAAATTTCTTTTGTGACAATTATTTCTCAACTGCCGACAATATCCATCGTACTGGCTGTATCTTTATGACTTTAACGATATCATCCTTTATGACATATTAATAGTCTTTAATATCCAATATATAAGTTTATGCTTTCTAACTAAAGCATATATGCATATATTGAGCTATCTAAAGTAGCATTTTATTCATTAAATAAATATCTATTTCTTTTTTTTTCTTTAAAAAAAAAATTCTAAACGTAATCCTTAGGCAAGGGTGGTAATGGGGAGTAAATCAGATGAAACTGGTGGTAGTGGTGGTAAATTTGTTGATAGAGGAGGAGGATCGAATTCAGATATTCTCGGAATACTTGAAATACGTACAGGACATGAAGTTAATGTAGTATTAGAGTTATTAGTAGTAGTATTAGTAGTAGTAGTATTAGTATTAGTAGTAGTAGTAGTAGTATTAGTAGCAGTAGTAGTATTAATATTAGTAGTAGTGGTATTATGCATAATAGATGTTCGGGAAAGCTCATTTAAAGTATTTGAACTTGTTGTTGAAATAACTGAAGCAGAATAAGAGTAGTGTTGCCGAGCATTAGTTTCGTGTTTCAATTCTAATAGGGCGTTTGAATCTGTTAAAAGAGATTCATGATTCATTTTTAAAGGAAATTCTAAACGGCAATTATCTCCTGATATGAACAGAGTTGAATCATTTTGTGTATATTTATAATCATGCTTTATGAGTTTATGATTATAGTTTTTAAAACTAGAATATACACGATCAATAAGTTGAATATGTTGCTGATCGTCTAGTTTTTGGAAATTGGTATTATGACGTAGTAGTAGTAGTAAGGCTGGAAGAGGTTGTGGTAGGGATGAGATTCTGTTACTATTTAAAACGTATTCATCTTCACCTTTTATGGATGTAGTAGATGAATAGCATCTATCATCCTTTGTCTTGCTAATCTGTATTGATTGAGGACCATCGCTTACTGTTAAAATGAAAGAGGATAAATTTTGATTTATATCATTTGAGGTCCCTGTTTTATATAATACGTTACTAGTTTTTATTATAGTCGAATCTTCAAATGGATGATTTGGAAATAATTCTTGCTTTGTCTCTACTGCTGTCTTCATCTTTTTTGCCTGCTGACAATTGTGGTCGAGAAGCACTCGTTTATTTTCAAATGGCTTTGTAAAATCATAAATTAAAAATTTGTCCTCCATCATTTGTCTCTCTGGGTTTTGATCTGGTTCAGTTACTACTTGACTCTTAAAGGAAGTAGCATTGGACGCTCCAGGTCTACTACATTTATTATGGCTCCGTTTTTTAACTTTAAGAGGATGGTCTTCTAGTAGAATTTCCTCTAATTCATGTGTTGGATCAAAGTTAGCCCTTTTACTCTATATACATATACAAATATAAACATTAAAAATTAAAATAAATAAAATAAAATAAAAAAAAATCATAATAATTTTAAAGTTATATACATCTGGTGTAAAAGGCGGCATAAATTCCTTTGTTTCAAGTTTATCCCAGGGAATGGTGTGAAACCATGGATGCATCTTTAACCTTTGAAAACCTTGCTGTCCAACACCAATACGACTTGTAATATCACGTGATAGCAAAGATCGTATAAAGTCCTTTGCATGAGATGATATCTGATTATTTTCAGGAAATTGTAAATCATCGTAAAGAATAGCATGTCGGAGGGCTTCATTTGTCTTTCCTCTAAACGGTCGCTGAAAACAAAAAAAAAAAAAAAAAAAAAATAGGACATAAATTATATATGCTGCAAATAGTAAACCCCATGTCAATGATTTTACCTTTCCAAATAATAATTCATATATTACAACTCCCATTGACCACCAGTCTACTGATGAAGAATACCCTTTTTTTAGTAAAATTTCAGGAGCAATATATGCAAAACTTCCAGCAACTGATGTTAATGGCCTTGAATTATTGACAATGGCTGCAATGTTAAAATCGGTTAGATGAGCATGTCCTTGCTCATTTAGTAAAATATTATCTGGCTTAAGATCTCTAAAAGAAAATTTTTTTTTTTTTTTTTTTTTTTGGTATGGTGTACAATGTAATAATTTCTATTCCTCATTTCATTACCTATGTATTATATTCAATGAATGCAAATAGTTTAAACTGAGTGAAATTTCAGCAGCAAAAAATTTGACATGTTCCTCGGGCATGCTTCCTAAACGATCCAAATGAAATCTTAAATCTCCACCAAGCATCAAGTCTAATACCATGAATAAGTTTTCGTCATCTTGAAATGCATATCTCATGTTTACAATTAGATTATGATTGATTTGTTCTAATAAGCGTCTTTCAGATATAATATTTTCAACCGTTTTCATGTGTATGCATTTTAATTTGTTGATATATTTTAGAGCATATAATTGTTTTGTTCCTTTATGCTGTACAATTCGAACTTTTCCAAAAGCCCCCTTACCAACCGACCTTAATAAAGTAAAATGTGACAATTCGACTTTTTTTTTTTTTTTTTTTGGGGAGAGGGAGGTGGACATTTTTAGCTCATTTGTTCCAGTTATTTAATATCGAGGTTACCTTCTCCTTCTAAATCTAAAACTCCTTCTTGACAGCAAACGTTCCCCATTAAACAAAAAGTAGTAATTTACAAAGTTAAATTTGATTTCTTCGTTATTTTCTTTTTAAAGAAAAAGAGAAAAGAAAAAAAAGGTAAGGAAGGAATCTCTATAGGATGATCAATATGAAAAAAACAAACACACAAATTGACATGTACAAAATAAAATAAATATGTATAAAAAAAACGAATGATTTATTTATCCAACTGTTCTTTAACTAATAAGCGTGAGTTAAAAACCACTACATTGAACTTTCTTTTTTTTTTTTTTTTTTTTTTTTTTTTTGTTCAAAGAACCATAAACGTTGTACTTATTGTAACATATTCTAATGTCATATAAATAGGACAAATGATACGATGCGATTAAATAAAAAGGTATTACATAATAGGTGTGAGCACGTTGTAGTATTCAACTGGATTGCCCAGATCAGTAATATCAATAACCCCTTATATAAGGCGACACAATGTAAAAAAAAAAGAGAGAGAGAGGAGGGAAGTTCAAATAGTATATTGAACAATGGGTTTTAAATATCCGATCAATGTGCACAAAATAGCTTAAATAAAAAATGGCCAATAAGCGCATAAGTAATTTAATTATGCTGTATCGTCTTGGCCAGTTTAAAAAAAGCAAAAGAAAAGAAGAAATCAAAACCATGATGAGTATACTATACTATACTATTCTACGACAAGAGCAACTAATATACTAGTTTGAAAAGAGAAGAGTAAAGTGTTTGATAAAATAGATAATCCATTTCATATAAAATGGCACAAACTTGTTGGGCCAACAAACAAACCAAGATAAAGCTAATTGTAAAGACTTTGATTCCTTCAGAGGAAGTTGAGTGAGAAAGAATAAAAGAGGATCAGTGATAGTAAATGATTTTTTTTTTGAAGCCAATGGTACATATGAGAGGCATTTGATAGAGTGAACACAGGTAAAGTTATCATAGGGATGATAAAGACACAACTTCGGGAATATCATCATCAAAAAAAAAAAAAAAAAAAAAAAAGCTATCCAAGATACCAACAAAGGATAAGGCTATGCTCAATATGGTACTAAAAGAGTTGCACATTTGCTCTAAAGAAGGGCGACAAGTCAAGAATCAATTTGACGTTGATGTCACTACAAAGACGAGATAAGCTATCCTATGAGAATTGTTGAATAGTATAATTATCTAAAGTTATTTAATACTGGCATACATAAATTGCCAGAGGGGAGAGACTTTACAAAGTTTGTACCGAAAGAGTGAATGACAGACAGGCAGGCAGAAGCTTGGATGTGTGACAATTGATGTTGTAATAGAGTATCTTTAGGTAATTTCATTAAGCAAAGTTTCACCTTTGCTTTTAAAGTTGAACCACAGTCTGTCATTAATAACTATTAAATAAGATGAAACATGACTCTAGTTGAGGGTCATGATGATAAACTATTAAATATACGGCAAACACAATCATTTTGACAGGACTCTATATGAGGGAAAAAAAAAAAAAAGATGACTGTAATTTAAAATACTAATAGAAAGTCCGTATTCCAGTTGAGATTATGCCATTTAAATATAGAAGCGCATCATAAAGTACATACGATCATAGCCTCTAAAGTGAATATAGATAACATAATCATGATTTGATTCGTGATATATTTTGTCTTATTTAATGTTCTGTTGAATCAATATTAAAATGTCAATGAAAACTACCCGGTTTGAATGAAACATCAAGGTAAAGTATGAAAAAAGGAATCTATACAAGGTAAGTTTGATCATTAATTAAAGGAGTAACAAACAATACAATTGATAATATTCCGTCGATAGCCTAAATATTGATTACGGTCCCTACAAATTTGTAGAAGAGACAATATCGTTTCAGGTGTTGTTATTAATATGACATCATCATCATATAATAAATATGTAATTAAAGATGCCATTAACACGACTCCGTTTATTGCTTAAGCAGCAATTAGTTGGTTGTGGTGTGGTTATAGAGTAGGGCTAGTAGTTCATTCTATATATCTGAAGTGAAGTAAAGAAAAGACAAGAAATTTGATCTGTGAAGAGTCGTGCATAAAATACGATTAAAGTTTATATTGACCTTTTTTTTTTTATTTTATTTTATTTTTATTTTAATTAGTGACACTCTAAATTATACTAATTTCCCCAAAAAATAAAAAATAAAAATAAAAATAATTTTACGAAAAATATTTATCACCCCAGATTTTAAATACACAATCAATTTATAAAAGATAAAAACAGTGTAGATAAAAGACGAGAAAGAGAGAAAGAGAGAGAGAAAGAGAATTATGATAAGGCTAAGCAATAGTCTGAATACGTCGCTATTGACTAACATTTAAGCTCTATTATACTTCATCATAAAATACGTATCTATTCATCATAATAAACTGGTCTGATATTAAAGGCATACGATAAAACGTACATACTTATCGCCTTATTAACGGGAAAAAACAATAACAACAACATAAAATACTTTGTGGATATACATATTTTATTAACCTTGCATAGTTGAAGAAGAATGTAATTGAACTCTTCAAATTATTTTTGAACAATATATCTCATGTTTACTTACATTTAGCTTTTAATCAAGCAAATCCTTTTTTTTTTTAATTTTATTTTATATTTTATTTCCTTTTGACAGATAAAATATGCTCAAATACATCAGATAAAAAAGTTTTGAATTGCGACAGTTATTTAATAAGAAAGAAAAAAAAAAAAAGACAGCCGTATATATTTTTATTTTTCTAATTATATAAATATTTATATACATACAAATATATACGCATCTAAACAGTATTAAATAAATTTTATCATTACATACTACTTTAAATGTTTATATATAAAAAAAAATCATTCGATACTAATGGACTCGTTCATTTTTTTAACCTACTGAGATCAAATAAACTATAATAGCCAAAAAAGAAAAAGAAAAAAAAAACGCGCTATTTGGTAAGTTATCAAATAGTCAATTATGTTCTTTTATGTAATTAACTGGTTCCTTTTTTTTTTTTAATAAATTTACTAATACACAGGACTATTATAAAACATGAAATCATTATTAAAAAAAATTAACAATAGATATACCTGAAACCCTATATCTGTTCATAACCTACATCCTTATGAAAGCTTTTTTTTTTATTTTTTTTTTAAAGAAAAATATGAAACAAAAAAAAAAAAGTTGAATATCAATGCTTACTAAAAAGATAAAATAAAAATAAAAGACAGCTGAAGTTAATATGCTACATTAAAAGCTAATAATAAACATTAAAAAAAAAACTCTAGAAGAGTGTTTAGTTCTAATATGATGTACACTTAATTTATGGAACAAGAAAAAAAAAATTTTTTTTTTTATTATGAATGAATATACAAATTTTAAATAGGTGTTGATAGCATGATATTTCCATTATTAAAAGAATTTACAATATCTTCATTTGGTACTACTATTTTAGCCTCAGGATAGTTCAAGATGATATCAGGATCAATTTTGACTGTCTTAATAGTAGTGGGTAATGAATCATAACTCAGAGTACTTGATGTTGGGGATAAGCATATGTCTTCATCATGATTAATAATGCCTCCACTTCTAATTGTATTTATCTTTGTAAGTGAATGAGTGGTCTTGGGACGCGATGAATTAGAATTTCGTTTGCTCATCATAGAGGATATCGTTGATGTGCGTTTTTCGCTTTTATCAGTTAAAACTGGAGGAGATGGTAAGGTGTTTGAATCTATAACGGATACGGGTATACTATAAGTTTTATTATTACTATTATTATGTGCTTGTTGTTGTTGTTGTTGTTGTTGAGATCTCCAGATACTACTATTTAGACTAGAGCCTCGAACTGGTTCTTGACAAGATTGCAATGGTATTATTGATGGTAGTGGTGGTGGTGGTGGTGAAGAACGCTTCCTTCTCTGACTAGATTTTCGAGGAATAGGTATTGCAGTCGTGACAGGATTGTTAACCAGGTTATTAGGAGTGGATGATAGCTGACTTGGTTGTGTTTCTTCTGTTGTTGTTAATGTAGGATAACAATAGTTACTTCTATGTATCATACTAGAGGTATTGTATTGTTTCCCTGTAATAAAGGGTCCACCACTACTTAACTGTTTTTGCCGTCGATCATGATTATTATCAGGTACAGTTGGCTTATTGTAAACTTCAACATTATCTGAATAATTTCTATTCTTTTCACTAGCAGAAGTTATACTAATGGTATCATTCATTTTAGTGTCATTCTCTAAGGGCTGGTATGGTTGAAAATAAAGTAACGTAGCTGTGGATGCATTGGATTGACTAGTTGAAGAATAAGAGGATGGTCTTCTTCCATAATGATGAGTTATGATATTATCAGAAGACAAATGATGATTTTTTGCTCTTCCTATATGACAATAGCCAAGAAAAAGATTAGAATATATATATATGTGTGTGTGTATGTATGTATGTATGTGTACCTTGCTTGCTCCATTTAGAATGCTCCAAAGGGAAAATAGGAGCACTTTTTGAAGCCTTGGGCTGAACATCAATTGTTGAGTGATGAAGATTCTCTTTTGGATGATGTCCAAAATTTAAAAGAGTACTATGTGAGGATTTCTTTTTCTTTGTAGACTTTTTTGAGAAAAAGTTCAATAGAGTAGAGTTAAATGTATTTTGCTTTGATGAAGAAGTAGAGCTGGATTCATTTTTATTATTTTCAGTGGTAGAAACGGTCAACGCATTGTTTTGATTATTATTTCCCTTAGTTTTTAAAAAAGATAAAAAATCAATACGTTCTTTATAAATATTACACTATAGATAGATAGATATAGTTAGGATGATTGCCTATTATTAAAATTTATATCTTATCATATATGTATAGACTTTACTATTGATTTTAATCCATCCGTATCATGTCCATGATCCGCTTGTTGTAATACTTGTGAAAGAAGTTCAACTGCTTCAGTATAAGCACAAATAGCGTTTTGAAAATCATTAGATGTATCATATTCAACTGCAATATTGGCTTTTTCGAGAGCATAATCAATGTATTTTTTTATAGCTTCATCTCGAGATATTATATTGGATAAGTCTTTTTGATTTGACATTTTCATTTTATTTTATTTTTTTTTTATTTTTTTATTTTTTGGTAATGCAAATCGTTTTTCTTCTATTTTTGTAAAATCAAAGCCAAAAAAAAAATATGTATATAAAATAAAATAAAATCAAATAAAACAAAACGAAATGAAATAAAAGAAAGTAAAAATAAATCAAAAAAAAGAATGAATAATAATGTGAAGGACAATAGGGAATGAGTGACCTTTTGCTTGATTTAAAGTATTTAAGAAAGAAAGAAAGAAAAAAAAAATTTCCCCTTATATAATAATGAAAAGGACAAAAATTATTGTTGTATTCTCCATTACCAATATAGTACGGAAACGGAATATATTCCGAACTTAAAGTATTCCAACACAATTTATATTAAAAATTGAAAGCAATTTATTTATAAAAAGATGTTTCAGAGAAATATAATAAAGCTACTAGAAAAAGATAAAAAAAGAATCAAGAGATAAGAAGAATAAGAAACAAGCAAACGAACGAAAAAAAAAAAAAAAAATAGAGAGAGAGAGAAAAGGGGGAAAAAGGAGGGAAAAGTTGATGGTTAAAATTGACAAGCTGTGCATAAACATGCATGTATAAAAAAAACTAAAGTAGACGAAAATCCAAAAATGCTCTACGGTTTAAGTATATTTTTAGACAATAAAATAAGTGGTATACGCTTAATAATAATGACAAAGATGAAGGAACCAATGTAAACGACTCCTTTTTTTTTTTTTGTAGTAAATTTTATACCGACAAAAAGACAATAAAACTGGAGTAAATTTTTATTAATGACGATCATAACTGTGTTTGTCGTCTGCTTAGTATTTTTCTTTTATTGTACTCAAATTATATATTAATTGATATATTCTCTCTCAAATATTCGGCTTCTTTTCTAAATATCGTATTTTTGTAAGTGATTGATTACCTTATACTACTTTATTTAACCCTATAAATATAATATTTATATTCTTTGCATATATAATATTTATACTCTTTGCACATGTAACACTTATATCCTTTGCATAAATATTCAGAACTTGCAAGTAACACATTATTTTCTAAGGTTTGTCTTACTATCTTTTATTCATTTGATAATTTTATTACTTTTGCTATGAATAATTTTATTCTATTTTCATTTTTTGATCTGTAAAAATCTGTAGTTTTCTTTTTTTTTCTATCTTTATTTGTTTTCAAACCATGTACTATGTTACACGCTAATTGCTACAACATTTAATTGCCAAAAAAAAAAAAAAAAAAAAAAAAAAGATAGAAAATTTACATTTTTCTATTTCCCCACCTTCTATTAAAAATAATAATAATAATAATAAGGAAAATAAGGGGGAAGGAAAAAAAATGTAGGGAGGAGGGGAAATATAATCTTATTTTTTTTTTTTTGTAATTTTATTTACTATATTTACTACTATATTATACATTTAGTTGTTATACATGTGCCATTAATTATACTGTTATAATTCATCCAGGATTTGTTCTTTTGCTGAGTCTTCTCTTAAAAGGTAATTTTACGCTATTTGAAACGCAGGGGTAGTTTTCCTTCTTTGAATGGCAATAAAATAAAAGCTCAAAAATAAAACTGTAAAATAAACTTTATTATAGACCAATAAGTAATGAATGGCATGTGTAGACTTAATCTATATTTTAATACGACAATTATTGCATTTAATAGTCTTCTTTCTTCAGGTAAAACTAATTATTGTATATATAGTATTGTGTATATGTGTTATGAAATATATATTTACAATATTTAGTTACCAGTTAGTTCAAGTAAGGCAATTAGAACGTATTATTGATTATTCAATACTAGCAGCTTGTAGCGACATGTTTGAATAGAGTTGTACACTACTTTTGTTCTTCATGCAAAGGAGAAGAAATCATTTTTTTTTATGTTCATATTCATATACATTTACATATAAATATACCTATAAATATACATACAAATATACATATACGTATCTATATATATACGCATATAAAATTTAAATTGATACAAATAAATGCAAAGTAAATTCAACCAATCATAATCCTTATATTTCCTTCCTTTTTATTTGTTATTTGTTAAATAAAATAGATTCTGTATTATCTTCTGTTAGATTCATACTATATTCATCTATATAATATATGCATACATCTTTATCTTTGCCTTTATTCGCTGCTGAGTTTGAATATAATATGCGGATCATCAAATAAAAAACCTGGATTTTAATCCAAGCAACCCTATTTCATTGCACCTGATAATTTTTGCCTTTTTTAAAAAAAAATCATGCTCATATTCATTCATTTTTATTATTTTCTTTTTACAAACATTATTTTATTCTATTCAAATAAACAATGACTTGATATAAGAGTGGAGATTCGAAATAGAATAAATGTAACTGTATATGTGTATGCGTGTGTGTGTGTGTGTGCGCGTGTGTGTGCGTATGTGTGTGTGTGTGTCTGTGCGTATATGTGCATGTTTTTTTTTCATTTTATTTTTTTTGGAGGAGATCAAAAATAAGCCTAAATGATACACAATAACTATTCATTTTATATTGTTATTCAGATTCTACCATTGATTTTACGATAGTCTTCTGGGGTCTATAAGGCGACCCTATTTATTACGTTAAATATCATTTCATCCCTCCTTTCTTCTTCTTCTTCTTCTTCTTTGTACTTTTAGTGAAATTAATTGAATTTTTTAATATTTATCTTTGTTTTCTTTTAAATCAAATATACATACTTCACATACAATCTATATATTTATATATTTATATATTCTTTTTTATCTTTCTCTGCAACTATAGTATATGTATATAGATAGATAGATAGATAGACAGACAGACAGACAGTTAACATGTTTTCGTATAAAAATAATCCTTCCTTTCATACAGACTATAATAATATGGACTCTCAACAACTAAACTCATTTGACAGTATAAACTATCAAGAAACAGATACATCAAATATCAATAGCGTTGAAGAAAATTCTGTAGTATATTATCAGAATAATAATTCTTTCTTTTATTCAAAGGATAATCAACTAGACCAAACTTTTTCTTGTCAACAATCGGCAGATTCAATAATAGATACTATTATTCCTTTCAGTGATTACAATCATCATTCTTATTATCTTTCATCAATGTCATATCATATCCCTTCTTCTTTATCACCTACACAGAATAGTGATACTATAGAACTAATAAATCAAGAATCATCATCTATCATTTCCAATCCTACCTCTTCTTTACCTACTACTATCAATCATCAATTATCAAGTCAAAATAGTTGTTATCCTATATCTAGTACCATCATGTCTGAGAAGCCTCATATAGCGACATCAATATGGGGTGATGAAGGTACAGTTTGTTTTCAAGTCAATGTTCAAGGTATCTATGTTGCAAGGCGTCAAGGTAATATCCTATATATATGTGCGTGTGTTTATAAGGAAATTATATATAAATACATATTTATTTATTCTAGATAATGATATGATCAATGGTACAAAGTTATTAAATGTAACTGGTATGTCTCGTGGTAGAAGAGATGGGATTCTAAAGAATGAAAAGAGACGCGTGGTAGTAAAGATTGGAGCTATGCATCTTAAGGGTGTCTGGGTCACTTTTACACGGGCCAAGGCTTTAGCAGAGCAATTCAATATCATTGATCAGCTTTATCCTCTCTTTGAAGATAATCCAATACCCTTTTTCTGCCATTACTTGCCAGAGTTAGATGATAGCAATCATCATCTTTCTCCTTATTATTCAATGCATAATACTCATTCATCCTCTTCTCATTTACCACAACATGATCAATATCCTCCTTATCATACACAGCAGCATTCCTATAATATAATTAATGAACCAAATTCAATACTAATATTGTCACCTTCTATGAATAATAATAATAATAATAATAATAATACAAGCTATTCATGTCAGTATTCATCCCTATCATCAAACACAACTAGTCCTTTTATGTCGTCTATGCAACAGGAAGATGAACATACTACTTATAATGACAATAATCCATATTCATTTATTTCTAGTTATTAATATACATACATACATACATACATGTATAGATATGTATACTATATTATACTTTTTTTTTTTTTTTTTTTTTTTTTTTTTTTTTTTAAAAAATAATATTAAATACGCAACTTTATTAAATCAAGATTTCCTAAAATCAAACACATCTTCTGGTTTATTAGCCAGTAACTAAAAGATATGAATTAGCATTTATTTTTATATATATCTACAAAATAATGATATTTTACCAAATCTAATTCATGCATTATATCATCTGTTAATAACTTTCTAACATGAAGTGCCTGAATATTCTCTTTTGCTTGAGCTGTAGTAGAGGCCCCAATAATAACCGATGTTACATTAGGATTCTTTAAACACCATGCAATAGCTAATTGAGCAGGTGTACAACCAAGGCGTTTTGCAATGGTCTAAAATAGATTATTATACTCTTCTTTTATATATATATATTCATATGATAACTTACCGTTGTTAATTTTATCTTTTCTATTTTCCTTCTTCCTTCTTCACTAAAAAAGACTGCTCTTAATCGATTAATAACAGGATGATCTTGTATAGCTAAACGCGTGTATGGCGGGATATTGCCTTCATTATATTTGCCACTCAAAAGACCTATAATACCCCTTTCCCAGTATAAATCAATATATCAAGAAGTCCTCACCCTCCCTCTCTCTCTCTTTTTTTTTTTTTTTTTTTTTTTTTTTTTTTTTTTTTTTTTTGCTTTACCGGATGCTAAAGGTGACCAAATACATGTACCGAGTTTATATTTTTGATACATTGGTAAATATTCTTTTTCAACTCGTTCACGATTTAACATGTTATATTGTGGTGACTACAACTCATATTAATTATTTCCTTTATTTTACATATACATATACATGTATATATTACCTCAGTAATAGGAGCAATCATATGCAATCGTTCTGCTACATTCATAGCTTCTGTAATCAAATAGGCTGGCCATTCACTTGTTCCCCAATATAACGACATACCTTTATCAATACACCAATTAAAGGCTCTTACAATCTCTTCCATAGGAGTATCAGGATCTAATATTTATATAAGAGTATAAAATTATTAAAAAAAAAATAAAAAAAAAACTCCCCGTTTATTATGCCTCCTTTTATCTATCTATCTATCTACCTGGCCTCTGAGCATATAAAATATCCACATAATCTAATTGTAATCTTTGTAAACAAGCTACAGTTCCTTCAAATACATGTTTTCTAGACAATCCTCGATCATTAGGTCCTTTCCCTCCCCAAAATACTTTGGTTGATATAACAAAATCTGATCTTCGAAGACCTTTTTGATTACGCAAAGCTAATCCTAAATCAATTTCTGCTTGACCACCTACAAAAAAAAAGTTCATTGAGAAAGTTGCTTCATCATAGAAGAGATGTGTGTATATACCAGCATGACTCTCTGCAACGTCAAAATGATTAATTCCTGCTTCTAATGCTGTTTTTACAATTTCTGTTGTTTGTTCTACAAACAAAAGGATAAACAAAAAAAATGAGAATAGTCTATTTAATAACTGAAGAGGATTGAATGACTCTATTACACATGTATATATCTATTTTACCAGGTGAGATTTGCCCACCTTTAATTAATCATTGTTAATTGTTAGTATTTTTTTTTTCAAATAATAATAATAAAAAAAAACTAAACTTTAACTTACCAAAAGTTATCCAAGAACCTAAAGATAATACGCTTACTTTTAAACCAGAATTACCAAGGTAACGGTATTCCATAGATTCCATTAAAAAAAAAAAAAGAAAAATAATAAAAAAAAAAAGAAATACGAAGCAGCAGCAATGGTAATAAATAATAGTAAAATAAGACTCAGAGAGAATCTATTAGTAAAATTAGGAAATTAAAATATCCGTTGATCTTAATAAGACATTGTATGACTTTTTTTTTTTTTTTTTTTTTTTTTTTTTTTTTATTCCAACGAATCTAATGAATCGACTGACGGATTTCGTCTTATTTAGTTAGTAGTGTATTTAATGAGAAATACGAATACTTCTAGAACCCAAGCTGGCATATGTTTAAAGAGGTCAAAATAATTTAGCATATATTTATAGAGTTTACAAATAAAAATAAAAAAAAAAATTGATTTACTATTATTATTTTAAATAAACTGAACAAATAGTGTATTATTATAAACAAAGTATTTACATTTATTTGAAGAAAGAGGAGGGACAATAATAAAATAACTAGTCAAGATTTTTTTTTTTAACTGGTTTCTGAAACATACCTGTCTTTATTTTCATTTTATTTTATTTTATTTTTCCAGGGAATTATAAAGAAGTATTACCATAACAACAAAATGGATAATGATAAGCATGCATAATAACACTCTCCTCATATTTATAAATCATGAATACAGATCTAAATTCTGATTATTCTATCAATAACATTCAGGAGTCCTTTTCTTCTTTTATTATCGTCTGTAGCTATATATAGCCTGTCTATAGTGTTTAATTAGTATTAAATAAAAAGACAATCTATCTTATAAATATATGTAAAGAAGTCATTACCAATAACATAACATAAAAAAAAAGTTTACTGTTGTTTATAGGATAGATTTTTTTTTTGTTAGGCGACGTGATTTGACATTGGAGCATGTCGATGTAGATTCCTGGTATCTTTCTCATGAACTGCGAATTACATGTGAAAGTCCCTGTTGACTTTTTTTTGCTGAAAAAAAAAAAGAAAAAAAAAGAAAGAAAGAGCATAAAGAAGTATTAAGAGCAACTAATAGCCAGAAGAAGGGCGCATACTGTGAGCCTTTTGGATTTTTGTTAACCCTTCTATTATAAGACTTAAATAAAAGAAAAACATTACTTCAGCAAGTTCCAGATCATCATTGAATCTACTACATGTAATTTTCATCATAATTTCTACACTTATAAGCAAATAAAGCTTATATGGATACTTTTTTTTTTATCATTATTTTGCTCTTTTGTGTCCTATGCTCCAGTTCGTACGCAAACAATAATAAAAAATGAAAAAGAAAACCCAATATACAAATATACGCTTAAATAAGTTTTCTATTATAAAGAGGAAAAAAAAAAAAAAACAAAACAAAAACAAAAACAAAAACAAATAATAAACAAAAGGGAAACTTATTTTAGTACTGTTTTTTCAATTCGAACATGATGATAAGGTGAAGCCAACAAAAGCGTTCCACCATTCTTAGTAGTAGTAGTAGTAGTAGTATGAACATCAATAGAATACTTTGGTAAACCTTCAACGAATGGATGATTCCATTGACATAGGACATGATAAATATCCAAGAGACAAAAGGCATCACAGGCACCATATAATATTTGTTCTTTACTTAATGGTCTTCGTTCCCAGTTACTAAGTTGTTGACGTTTATTAAGGTAAACACCTAAAAAAGTAGTAACAACTCCAGCTAATCCACCCGTAATAACCTCTCCTTGTTTTGTTTTTAACGTTTTCATATCTATCAATTTAGTTATTTGCCAATCTTTTGAAGACGGTAAAGAAAGATGTAAAAGGTCCAGGTCACCACCAAAATCAAAGCCTAAAGAAGCAGCAGATTAGATTCAATTATATAAATATCAGATTAAATTATACTAAATTACCTAGTTTTAATATATCTTCATCTTCAAATAAAAGCTTTAAAATCAATTCAGTTAACCGATATAGATGTCTATTTTGTGGTTCAAATATGGTTTTGAGATCCAATAAAAAGACATAACCGTCTGTATCAGTTGCAATCTGCATAAGTGCTGTCCGCACTGAACTACTGCTGATTTTAGCAAAATGAGGTATCCATTCTGTATCAAGCCCACAAATAGTAGATACCGAAAGGACTTCCTTCATCTGCATCAAGGTCTCCTGTGAATCTACTAGAACACATTTTGCATAGGGCGGTAAATAATAGTATTGCTCGGGTGATAGCATCGCATGTCCATGATGAGGACCTCTCTTACAACTTGTAAATGTAGTTCGATGACGTGACATCTGTTCTCCTTTAACAACACCCAGCAGTCTTTGATCTAATGGAAGTGAATTATATCGGCAATAAAATTCTTGCTGTCCATAACGTGATGCAAAGTAAGGTGGAGCGACTGTATCGCCAATGTCAATCAATTCCTTAATGGCCAAACGAGCCATCACTGGATCCCTTTCGCATAAGAGGTCAATGAGTCCATTGTAGTTGTCGCTCGCCTCAATCGTCATGGTATCATCTTCTAGTTGTTGAATAGCACGTTGTGCGAGGATATATCTTAAACAAGCATATCGCTGAGATAATGAAATAAAATAATACTCTGACTCTGACTCCTCTTTGAGTTCTATCTCTTTCATTATTTTTGTACCACAATTCACAAGGTCCTTTTGAAATTTACGTTCCTTAAGTCGAGAGAGCTGTTGTATTGGTGTGTCGGTCTCAAGAGGGTCTTTCAAGTATGTATCTGGAACAATACCAAGATTGCCTGCATAATTAAATCGAAGCTGTTTATTAATAAAGCATAATAATTGTCTTTGTCTTTCAGCATGATCGCGGTAAAGAAGAGGGAGATGCATGCCATGACCCGCAGTGAAAAAGAGATCAGCGGTATAATCAATAGGGAATCGATCAAAGAGGTTTAAATGACGTATAATAGACACAACCTCATCATAATAACCATATTTGAAAAGTGTACGAGCTAATTTGACACCTTCATCCTCTAACTCACAACCTAAAGCAATCAAATCAGATAACTTGAAGGTATCCATTGCATAATAGACAATAACTGGAGATGGGATTGTATCCATCATTTTCAAGAGCTTCAGCTGATGTCTTCGTGTTAGGGTATATCGTTGAATTATTTCTTCTGGAACTCCAAGAATTTCAGCTAATGTAATAATATTATCTTCTTCTTCGTCTTCGTCTTCGTCATCATCATTATCATCTTCATCTTCTTCTACATGATTATTATCTACGGGGTCTTCAAAAGAGATCAAATCCATACTATGTGTCACTTGTTGCACAACATCGTCGTCAAAAGAAATTAAATCCATTTCCGTTTTCTCAGGTAGACAACGTTGTTCAATAGGTGTATCCAAAAACTTTCTTAGAGCCGTACATAAATTATTCACTAACATTTTTCGAAATTTACTTGTTAATTCTTTATTTTTACTATGATTAGCAAAATAATTGGATAATGCTTCCAACGTATTCTAATATGAAATTGTAAGTTATCTATATACATACATGTATATATATATATATATTTTTTGTTTCCTCCTCCTCCTCCTCCTTTCTTTTATATATGTATATATATCATTTCCCTCCCTCTCTTTCTCTCCCCCTTCCCTCCTCTCTCTCTCTTTTCTTTTTTTTTTTTTTTTTTTTTTTTTTTTTTTTTTTTTTTTTTTTCCTTTAGGAACTTACAAGTACAAAGTCAGGAGGATCAGATGAATAATGTAAATATTTTCTCAATCGTACTTCAATAACAGAATTAATTGTCTCAATTTCACGAATGCGAAGATAAATATCACAACTTTTATAAACATGGATTAGACGAGAGATGAGTAACTCGGCGTTCATGTCAGTACAGATCGATTGAAGTTCTTGGTCAGAAATGTATTGCAAAGAGGCAGCTTTATCCTTTTCACTTTCTGTTTCTGTATCTGTTTCGTCTGTGACGAGTGATGAGGTACCTATTGAAGAAACGATGGTAGGTGGTGTTGTCATGATAGTTATTGTACTAGCAGGAGAAGATGGTGACATGGATGGAGATGTAAGCAGGAATGGTGGTGATGCTGTTGCTGCTGCTGCTGCTGCTTGTATAGTTGAAGAATAATCACGACCATTAGGATGTAAAAGAGGTGACTTGGTTCGTTTTCTTCGAGATGGTAAATTAGCTTTTATCATACGAATAGAAGCTTCAGAGATCATTGGTGATTGTCTGTTCTTTTTTGTCTTGTTGTGATATCTTTTTTTAGATGTCGAATGCGATAACGGTGGCGGTGGTACTTCATTAATGGAATTAATTACCCATTCGTCTTCTGAAAAATCAGAATCAATCTCGTTGTCGAGGTTGATCGTACTCTTCATATGTATATATATATATATCTATATATTTATATTTTTTGTATTGTTTGTCTGTTTGTTTGTCTATTTTTTTTTTTTTTTTTTTGAAAAAAAAAAATACACACACAAAAACACACACACACACACACACACACACACACAGGGAGAGAGAAAGAGAAAGATAGAGAGGAAGAAAAGAAAAATTAATTCAAAAGACTTTTAATGTAATATTTACAAGAGGAAAGAAGAATAATAAAAGGCTTTCTGTTTTACGAAAAAAAAAAAAAAAAATTCTGGATTCCATAAACTAACCAATCAAATAAAATACATAAATATTTAATAATCAGATACATGCAATTTTAAATGTAAGCATCTATTATCTTGAATTGCTACCATAATAATCAGATTATCAAAAAGATAATGCAGAGAGACAAGAAAATAAACAGGCAAAAAAAAGAAAAAGAAAAGCTAAATATGGTAAAAGTAGTAGTATGTCTTTTATAACAAAAGTGTTGCACAATTTAAGAAAATGGCATCTCATATTGTTTATTATTAAACAAGGTAGCAGTCATTAAAACATTGAACTGAATACCGCATAAATCCTTCAAAAGATAACTGGGGCAACCTGGTTATGAGGGTCTGCAGTAATTATTTGCGGAACAGTCTCTCTCTCTCTCTCTCTCTCTCTCTTTATTATTATTATGCTTTGGAACTCACTTTTAAGGGAGGAGGGAATGTAGAACATAGAAAAAGCAATAGTAAGAATTTAATTAAAGTAAGTGTAGATGACATGATACATGGACTATTTATAATCCTTTTAGTAAATAATGACGAACTAAGTTTCAATACATTTTCATTCATTTAAAAAAAAATAGAATTTCTAATAAAACTGGTCTATACACAAATGAATAACGATAAACTTTGCTACTCTACAAGTTAGGTTTATTATACATGAACATGCTTTATTGGGTTTCTTAGTATTAAATTGCATTTTTTTTTTTTTTTTTTTTTTTTTTTGCCAAGATACTAGAATTATGCTGATGAATTTGACTTTTTCTCACTATCATCTATCCGAGAAGTTAGTCTTTGAAAGAATCGTGTTGATATACTAGGAACATCTCCCCTAGTGGTATGACTAGTAACAAAGACTCGTGGTGGAATACCTCTCGTAATAAAATTTGTACCCACCACACCTAATCCTGTCTCAGATCCAAATCCTCCTCCGAACCCAGTTAAGAAGCTTGCCGGCCTTAAGATTTGAGGAGTAGGTGGTATTGATTTTGCTGTCGATTGTTCTTGGTCTTGTTGCTCTTCATGTGGAGGATGATGATTCAAGATATCCTTTTTCATAACAGTGGATAGAATGGTAGATGAAGTAGTAGTGGATGAGCTTGTACTTGTAGATAAACTAGCAGCTAATCCACCGCTTTCTCTTTCAGATACTAAATATTTTAATCCTTCTTGTGATTTTTTACTCTTTTTATCTGAATCAGCTGTAATAATCCGATGTCGTATTTCATTCCTTAGGTTTAAGTTACGTTCTATCTCTTTTTGCATTTCTTGTCTAAATTCTGCAGAAAACACAGGACCCTATACACATACATATACATATTAGATATAGCATAATGATATGCTTTCTTTTTTTTTTTTTTACTTTTGTAATTTCTGTTTCTCTAAATCCATCTGGAGACGATGCAGAAAAGGAATGAAAGCCGCTATAATTTAGAATGGACAGATCATCGTCATCATTTAATAGTTTTGGCTCACTTAGGCTATGAATGGTATCTTGAGCTTGTTCTAATCGTGTTGCATATTCTTTTGCCTGAATCACCATGGCTGCTAATTTTTCCTCACATTCTGCTTGCTGATTCTCTAATTCGGCAATACGTGCCCTTAGTTGTTCATTCTCTGCAACGACCTATAGATGAGGAGGAGGTGTGAATATATAACTAGACTCTATTCTATGTATATTACACCCTAATCTCACCCTTGATAAATCCATTTGAATGTTTTTTACTAAGTGTGTTGTGTTTGAGCTAGATTGCTTTTGAGAAGTTAATGCTTTGTCAAGTAGGGATTGTAAATTAGCATTCATTTCTCTTGTTGCAGCTAATTTTTGTTCTACTTCAGCTAATCGTTTTGCATAAATACTGACTTTTGAACGAGAATCTATCTAATAAAAATTAAAATAAATAAATAAAGAAGCAACTACATCAAGTAAAGTTGAAAGAGAATTCAAAAGGTGGTGAGATTACCATTTCTGAAGCCATATCGTTTAATTGAGCTGATAGGCCGTCCATTTCTTTCCTAAATTTTGTTAATTCCTTTCTTGCTTGGTCTAATTCTTGAGTAAGATGTATGCATTCGTCTTCGTTTTTATTTATAAATTCTTTATTAAAATTATTTTTTTGATGTTGTAGTTTTATTAATTCTTCTTGATATATTCTATTTTCCCGTTCTAAATGGTCAAGCTTAAAAGATAAATAAATAGTTAGCGATGATATGATAAAAAAAACCACAATGTTTATAATCAAATTGAACCTTTATTTGAATAGCTTCGTTCGTTTCAGAGAAATAACTAAACCAATACGTGCAGCCACCTCGAGATCATTTGCTATACTCTGTCTTTCTCTTTCTTTTCGTATAATTATTTGTCGTAATGTTTCAATGTCATTGACTGCATAGACTTCTTTTATAAAAGAAGGCTTATCTAGTCTTTAAAGTTCAGTATAAACAAATCAAGCTATATCTTAAATAGAATACCTTCTGGCGTTGTTCCAAGTCGAGCCAAGTAAGGTTCTAATTCTTGTGAAAATGATAAAACCATGTAATATATAAATGTGTATATGAATATTTTATTTATTTATTTTTTTTTGAAATAAAATAATGAAATAAAATAATAATAATAAAAAATAATAATAATAATAATAAAAAAAAAAAAAAAAAAAAAAGAAAAAAAAAACCTACACTACTATAAAGGCGGGGGGAATTGATGATCATATACCTTATTATATCGGAATTTACCTCCGTTTTCTTTTTTCTATTCTTTTCTTTTCTTTTTCTTTTTTTTTTAAAAATTGACAAAAAGGAATACGTGAAGGATCATTATAATGAAATGGCGAGTTTTGGTTTTGTTAATAACCGGCATAGCCATGATTTATTTAGTGAGTTTATTACAAGATTCACATTATTCACAGCCTATCAATATTCAGGTGTTTCAACCTAAACGATCAAGACTAAATGAACCGAGCCAAGTTATCCTTTCAACACACGGGGACTATATTTATCGAACTCATATTCATTATGAAACAGTTATAGATGAAGCTAGGGGATACATTCACGGTAATGAATATATAAAATTAAACGTAAATGGTAAATCGACCCGTGGAATTTGTGTATAAATATTAATAGTGACTCGAAGATAACGATTATTATTTTATGTTAGGTCTTATTATTCAAGCTAGAAGAAAGAAAGATGATTTTTTAAAAGGAATACCAGAAGAAGGTAAATAAGAACATGAAATAGTATGTATATGAATAAATATCTATATATAAAGGTTATTTATATACTCTATGTTAGATTGGGAAATATGCTTTAAACATGTATTAGATGGACCCATAACCAAGTTCTCAAAGAGCGCAGAAGATGATGGACCGGTTCAATTTGGTGTACTTTATCATAAACTTGAAGAAGATCATATTCGACATTATGTCCGCGTTTATTATATATCAAATATGAAATATGAATATAAAAATGCTATATTACCCGGTACAACAAAGATCAATGCAATTTCTATTGAGCAAGACTCTATATTATATTCTCGGTAATTGACATATATTAAAGCTGAATAATATATATATATATATATCTATTTATAGGAATGAATCTATATTTATGTATCTATACTACTCTTCTTTTTCTTTTCTTTTTTAGTGATCCTGATTCATATAGATTTCGAGTAGCTATTTTCCCTTCTAACTTACTTTTACCACCTCACTCTGAAAATTCGAACATGATTTCATTAATAGAATCAAGTCAAACAGGTGATCCAGTACAAGGTAAGTTGTGTATTTATTCAAACAATACAAGTATATACATCATTATAACTATTGTATAAAACGAAAAAAAAAAGTCTTTCATCAGCCTAGTCAAACTGAGTCACATGCAAATTTAGTATGCAAACTATATTCTCCAAAGTGAGTATAGACACCAATAATGTACTAAAATATATATATATATATATATATATATACATATACATATATATACATACATATATAAAAATGACTTTATTAGTATCAACACATATCGTGTATTCACATTAGATATACACAAAACTAAACATTTATTCCATACAAATGTTTCTATTGTCGATGGTCGAATTTCACAAAAAGAGAAGAATCAAATAAAGAGTATAGAAAAGTGGATTCCAAGAGATCATTTAAATTCAGATGTAAAAAGTCATATAAACTACTTGTATATATATATAAAAAAAAAGACTGACATAATTATATATAGGATAGTACAATGATGGATGAAAACTTAGAATATATGGCCTTTGTAGATGGAGCTCATTTCCATCAGGAACGTATTACTATTCATATGCCAACACCTGCTATTTCTCGGTCAAGAGAATCAAAAACGATTGTTGTATCACTCTTAAGAAATGATTTTCAAACATTAGATTATACGGACAAATTAAATGCTTTATTAAAGGATCCTTATGAAAGACGTTATTTATATAGAAATGAAGACAAGAGTCTATTAAATGAATTTTATCATACTATGCAAGTACCTGATTCAGTGGTAGGATATAGTAACGACTATGATACCACAATGAGTGATATTCGAGGTGTCCAACTGAATAATGAAGGAACATTATTAGCTATTTGGACAGATTCAAATTCAATATATATCTATAAGCGTGGATTGAGTGATAGAGCAAAGATAGCAAGTCCACATTACTTGGAGAGACCATTAAGATGGAATTTAAGGATGATGATGATGCCTAAAGAAAGTTATATAGGGTCAATTACAGTAAGTAGTGTATATAAATAATACTGCATTAACTAATGATAACCAAAAAAAAAAAAAAAAAAAAAAAAAAAAAAAAAAAAAAGCCTATAGGTGCTGTTTTATTTTGGAATAAAAATGGATCAAATTATATATGTAAGTACTTGATTTTATATATATCTATGAGTGTGTGTATATATGCATGTGTGTGTGTGTGTGTATGTATGCGTGCGCGTATGTATGCGTGCGTGTGTGAATCAATAGTAATAGATTGATTTAATAATTACACTTACAATAGCTGTAGGCATGAAGAATCAAATTGTGAATACATATCTAATTGATGAAATAAAGGATCAACACTATTCTTCAACTAATTTTAAAGCCTTTTTAAAAGAGAAATGGGATTTATGGATAAGTAAGTAAACCTCATCCATCACACACATACGCGCATATATTATTTATGATTAATCCATTATTTGTGCATAGTCATGTCTATGATTGTCATGATTTTTGTTCTAAATGAATACAAGACATACCCTGCTGTTTAAATCTATATTTGCTATACAAACACAATAGTGACGATATATTTTATAATTTTAGCCAAGAAGATATTTCGGTAAAATCAAATCATATTTTTAGTATACTTCATTCTCTCAACTATAATAAATCAAAGTTAGTAAATCTTATTTTAATTACTAAAACCTGTAATAAAGAACTTGGTCTACACATAATAAACAAAGTTATTACTTGTAGAGATATAATGTATAGAAAGTATCAATAAGTTACGTGTATTAAAGCTGACCAATGCATATTTTGGCTATTTATATCTATTTATTTTATATAAATATACCTATTAAAAATTTTACATTTCAAAAAAAGAAAAGAAAAGAAAAAAAGAAAAAAATAAAAGGAGAGCTGTATTATGTACTATTAGTTTATATATACAAGACATAGAATAGATAAATGAATTGATTAATAATATGTATGATAATAATAATATTAAAGTGAATTAACAAAACAAAAAAGGAATTATATGTATTATATAAAATAGACTGAATTTTTTTTTCTTTTTTGTTGGGGGAAGAGAGAGAGGGGGGGGAAATCAAGATAAGCCAAGACTGAGGGTATTCATGTCTTCATATTTTAAAGTGTGGAATTGGACATCATGAGGGTGTTCGGATAGTACTGGAGAATTTAAGATAACAGAAGGAACTGGACTTGGGGGAAGAGGAGTATTTACAGCGGTATCAAATAAGTTAGGTGAAACAGGTACTGAAGAAGGACTATTAGAGGTGTCATAGATAGACATAGTCACATCAGGAGGTGTAGGTTGTAAAGGATGCTGAAAGGTAGTTTGATTGTTATCATGAATGAATTGCATAGAATTGTATCCATCTTGTTGGTCATGAGATGTTACAAAGACAGTTAAAGGACTCGCTGTATTAGAAGATTGACTTTCAGTATGATTTAAGGGACCTAAGAAAATAGATTTGATTTATAAGGATTATATATAATATTAGATTCTATCTTTTTTTTTTTTTTTTTTTTTTTTTTTTTTTTTTTTTTTTTTTTTACCTTGTAATTGTATTAAATCGGATTGACTTAGACCTTGTCTTTGAGCAAGTTGTTGAATCAATTTTTGTTGTTGAAGTTGCACGTTTTTTGTTTCTTCAAAATTTTGTAATAAACTTGAAAAATTATCTTGAAGAATATAAAATTGTTGAAGTAAATCTGCTTGAGACATTTGAAGCATAGCAAATGAAGCATAAATATCTCCTGTTTCACGTCTTAGAAGCTCAGAATCCATTGCTTTACGTTTAATATCTTTCAACATATCTGAACGTCCATGTTGAAACTTTGGATGAGAAAATTCCCAAATTTCATTTTCATTATTTCCTCTTTGACCTCTCGGTGATTTATTAATCTTGTGAAATCCATACCTAATAAGAAGAAATGAGTATATCAATTCATGCATAGCTTCAAGTGTAACTTTACATGTTTAAAAGTCGAACAAAACTTGAAAAGTTACTATGTTTAAAATATTCTGGAAGCACTTCTTGAGCGAACTGAGTAGCGTTACAAACAAAGAAAGAGGTACCATTAGGATTCCATGATATAAGATTTTGATGGCGACCATCTTCTACCATACTAATAAAGTGTTACACACATCAAGTATTTCTTCTCTTTTATTATTTAAACTTACGTATATAGTTTACTAATAAATGTGCTTACACCCTTTTTAGACGGTCGACGTTGAGGTGATGAATCTTCACTAAAAGACAAAAAGTCCGAAGATGGCTCGTAAAGTGAGGCACTAGAAGCACCTGAACGAATAGAGGACATACTTGCACGTTTATTACGATTAAAATTATTCAAAGGATCATTCATATCCATGTCAGGAATACTAATTTTCAATGAATCCATTTTATGAATTTCTATATTTTTTTTTTTTTATTTTTACTTTTATTTTTTTTATTTATTTATTATTCCAACGTAGTAATATTTATATATAAAAGTGAGTGCCTTTTTTTTTTTTTTTTTTTAAAATTCCACTTAATTTTGAAACATTTATTTTTATTTTTATGTAATTTGAATTCAATTCTGGTTAAATGCTAAACTTCAACCATATTAGCATTTTTTAATAATAGAGCAAAAAAAAAAAAAATTATTTCCCCTCTCTCTCTCTCTCCCCCTGTCTCTTTCTTATCTTCTCCCCTTCCAGAATAAGAATATGTATATATAAAGATATTTATATTTATATAAAATAATGATTTACTTTTTATGATACTATAAAGTGTCGAGATATCCTTTACGCATAAACTATGTATATTTTTATATTTTATATGATTTGTGATTATGCAATTTTAGCTTATAAATCATAAAATACTTGATAATGACGGCGGCTTTAAAAGTATTAATCCTTTTTTTATCACCACGAATGATAGCTTTAATTTTACAAATTATTTTAGCCAGCTTCTCGATATGAAACGAATCTCCGCACAATGAAACACTGGGCATTAAACTAGGTTCAACCTTTATTAAGAACTCTTAATCGCTTGCTCCCTGTCTCTTTATGTATAAGAGGGTCACAGATTATTGATGTTTTCTAGATAACCGGAAACTAATTTTATAGGCACAATAACTTTAAAATTAAATCAAGATAACTGACATTTCTTTTTTATGATGAATTGAACATGTTATACTTGCATTGATATATAAATAAGAAAAAAAAAAGAGTAGATATTACTTTATAAGAATATACACAAATGAATAAAGTACTTTACTAGACATGAGATCAAACATAAGTAGTAGATAGTTTAATAAATAATAGATAAAAATGACTCGAGTCCTTTTTTTTTCTATTTTCTGTAACATTTTCTTGTTTTTCTAATCCTCAAAAGGAATTATGCAAAAAAAAAAAAAGACTCTATTGTTTAATTAAGAACTTTCTATTGGAGAAATAGAAGCTTTTTATTGGTTGATTTAGAAAAATGAAGTTTATTTGTATTCTCCTAATAAGGATCTCTGTCATGATCTGATTTTATTTATTTATTTTTAAAAACAAAAAAAATAAAATAAACACAATCCATATCTTCTTTCTAGAATAATAGAGAGTAGTGACGCATGAATGAGTCGAAAGAATAAATAAATAAAGTACTACTACTACTACTACTACTACTACTATTATTGTATGAGAACTAGCACAAGTTAATCTAGTCTATGCATGTGTATTTTAAATAAATAAAATAAATTCTTAGATCATTGATTTTTATTTTTAAGAAAAAAAAAAGAACAAAATGGTAGATTATACCTGGAATAAGATACAACAAAGGAGTGTCTGTTTACTACATGAACCCCATACATACTTTACAGAAAATATATACATCAAAGCACATAATTAGCTCACTTGAATATATAAGGAGTGAGAGAAAACTAAAGCAGTTGGTATATTTATACTTTTGATAAATGGTCTTCATCACCTTTGTTGTATATCAACTCTCTTCAAACATAGAAAGCAGATAGAGTAGTTTCATTTTTACTATTAAAACAAACAATCTCTTCTTTTAATAATTGGAATGGGCAACTAGTAGTAGTAATAGAGCGGATCCTATATAATAGACTGAAACAGCAAACAATGACAGTAGCAGTCTTTTCTAGCTAAAAATGGGAAATCATCCTGTATGATAAATTGAGTGGGTTTGCTTTAGTAAAGATATAATCTATTCTTTATTTTATCTAAATTCATATCTAGACAATTACAAGGTGTATTGGGAAGAAGGACCTAGAAAGCATCTATTTTATTATTTGTACAAAAGTTGCATTATTTAACTAATAGCATATAAACACTCCTCTACTCCTTATTTTTTTTTTTATTTAAACTCTCTCTTTCTTTTTCTCTTCCTTTCTTTCTTATTATATCGACACTATGAACTTATTACTTTGTCCCTTGTTTTTATTGATATTCACTTTTACTACTATCTCCTTTTGGACAAAACATAACAGTCACGCAAGTCTTTTTTTTTTATCATTTTGTAGTGAAGTTCTGATTTTTTTTTTTATACACATATTTTAGTTGGTTTACAGTCAATTAACCCAAAGAAATAACATGAGTTGTCATCATCTTGATGAATTCCTGCAGTCTACAAGACAACAACTTGGTACAACAAAGAAAAAAGTGATTATTACAGGCAATGATTCTGCAGGTAAACCAAGACAGGCTGTTGTATACTTTCTTTTTTTTTGTAGTAGTAGTAGTAGTCTGTCATCTAAATTTGACTATTAGATCTCGATTCTATTATTTCCTCACTTCTTTTTGCTTATCTAAGCACAATCCTATCCAACTCAACCAAAACAACAGTCTATATTCCTATAGTCAAAGTCCCAAAGGCAGATCTAGAGCTTCGTCCTGAATTAAAATTCGTCTTGGATCAAGCTCATGTCGACTATACAAAACTCATTTGTCTTGATGAACTTCATCGGATAGACCCTAAAGATACGCAAATTATCTTGGTCGATCATAACCATTTAACAGCTCCATTCGATCAACCTCCCTGGAATGCATGTCAAGTGATGGGCGTACTAGATCATCATGTTGATGAAAAGTATTATCTTGATGCTCCATTGCGCAATATTCAAATGGTAGGTTCTTGCGTGACGTTAGTACTTGAGCACTTTATAAAGCAACGGATAGATGATGATAATACATGGTTAAATGAACACATGGCTCGCTTAGCTTTAGCTCCTCTCTTAGTAGATACGGTTAATTTAAAATGGGAGCTTGGACGAACAACTGAATTGGATCTTTCCATCTTTCATATTCTTCAAAGATATCAACACAAGGAAGAAGGGACAATGACATCAAGTACAGATGACTATTTCAAGGCCATTGAAAAAGTAAAATCTCAAGTCGATAGCATGTCTAATCCTGATATCTTACGTCGTGACTATAAAGAGTTTAAAGTAGGTCCCTATCGCATCGGTACAAGTGCTGTTACTTGGCATTTTCGTGCTTGGGCTGAAAGAGAAACATCTGGATATCAAACCATCTCAGAAGCTGCTTGGGAATTCGCTCTTCAACGTCAACTAGACATGGAAGTCATCTTTACTGCATTTGATCATGATAGAGATCACATTAAAACAATGAAGGGTGATTATCGACGTGAATTAGCTATCTTTGTAAGGACACCTGCTTTAATGGCTGTAAAACGAGAATTAGAAAACAATACTGATATTCAACTTGTAAAGAATGGTGAATTCAAAGAAAATGATAACATGAAGGCTTCATTTTATGATCAAGGCAATGTGAAAATGTCAAGGAAACAAGTTTGGCCTCTTTTGAAACAATTCATAGAAAAATCCTTAAATTGCATAAAAGAATAAAACATGATTTATGGATTGTGTAAAATAGAAACGTAGAATAACGTGAATGTCTAAACTCAGCCAATCAGATATTACCCTTTTGTAAACGTGATTTAAGGAGAGGCTTAATTTTACATATCACTTTGTCAAAAAAAAAAAAAAAAAAAAAAAAAGAAATAAGGTGAGTGTAAGTGTGGGCGTGAGTGTGAAGATAGGGAAATCACATAGTAAAAGTGAATAAAATCTTAATTTTCTGTTCTTTTTTTTTTTATTAATTTATTTCATTTTTTTTTCTTTCTTTTCACATATTTGTATGTATAATGATAAAGACTTTAAAGTTTTTACCTTCTCTCATATCAACTAAAAAGCCATCCAACAATGGGAAAAAGAAGTTAAAGTCATCTTTAAATGAATACAAAGAAGATAAAATAACTAAATTACCCAGGGAGCTTTTAGTTTGTATCTACCAACAATTAAGAACACAAGAGTGTATAAAGCAGTTCTCTTTGACTTGTCGTACCTTTTATCATATAGCGGTTCATCCTAGATCAAAGGCAGCATGGATTATCACCCATTTTGGACCTCGATTCGCTCTCTATTATGCCCTCTTAACTGTACCAAAACTATGTTATTCTCAATGGGTAAACATACTATTCCACATGGGGGCAATCGTGCCTCGTCATGTTTTACAAGCGCTTGTTCAAGTGTATGGTAAGGGCCATACTTCCCTTCATAAGAATCCATATACTACAGATAAATCCTCTCTATCACCCTTAAATTGTGATGATGAAATCATGAATTGTATATTTGAAGGTAAATTCTTTTCCAATCAAATACAGCATATACCCTTCGACGGCTATGTCACTATACTCCAGAAAGGGTATCAAGATTCCCCTGAACTCGATTTGCAAACAAATGACGTAGCGATCTTCATGTCCTCTATCTCGTCCACATGTAGTAGTAGTAATAGTATGAATAACCGACATGACTTCTTTCCTGCTCCTTTAATAGAGAAAACAATGCAACATGGTGCCTCTATGATGACCTTAAAGCTCTTATCCCTAAATAATACTATACAGCCGTTTGAGACAGTGATAGGTCTCTTTGAATTTGATCCTGTAGCTCGTGCCAGTCTCTGGGAGGCTATTGTATTGATTTTGTTTAATGAGGCGTTTAAATCGAATTCATCAATAGAACTTTCAAGGGATCGACAGTATCAATTAAAGATGGCACTCCAATGTTTGAATCTACCTTATGAATCTGATATTAAAGAAGAGACTCTCTTTTGCCATGTCCTCTCCCACTTCTTTATAAAGTATCCTGTTGGTTATTGTCATCAGGGTGTTATGAATAAATTACTAGGTATGTTGAAGTTTTATTTGAGAAATCTATTTGATCTGGATACTGCTTTAAGATGGATTGTGAATCAACGTTTAGGAAGATCAGATATAATTGAATCCATTGATCATTTCCTAAAGCATGAACCATACATACACACACACACACACTTCCTCCTTTAAAAGCTATTGTACATTGACATAAACATTTCCTTTTATTATCCCATCATTCTTCTACCTCTCCATAATGAATGATATATATATATATATGTATGAATCCAAAATACCCTTTTTTTTTATCTACTACCCCCCCTCCCCCTTTTATTTATTTTTAATAAATTATGTAATTTAATGAACTTGTCTATGCAATTTAAATACTCATTCTTTCTCCCTCACTCTTGCAAGAGTAATGAGTTATAATAACTCTATGTAATTACTGAGTGTCTGATTATTAATCAAACTGTATAAAAGTCGGTAAAATAAAATAAATAAAAAGAGAGAAAAAGCATATTAGAGTAAATCTATTTATAGTAATGTGATATTCTAGAGATATAATCTTGAGGTTGTTGAATCCATCCCCTTCTTTTTTTTTTCTTTTTTTGGGACTGGGTATCCTTTGAAATGACAATATAAAACAGAGTTGTATTATCTCTCCTATAAATGACAAGTTTTTCTTTTTTTTTTTTTTCATCCTATATTATTTTCAATGGCCCTCTCTTTCAAGGTAAAGAAAGAAGAAAGTAGGTTCTTTTGTCTATCATTACGAAATATTATTAAAGAGGAAGGAAGAAAAAAAAATCCCTTTGTTTGTGTATCTACCAACCATACTGCTTAATTTCATTTCCCCTCAAGAATATATCCCGTAACAAAAATTGAATATCATAGTTTATATTGCCCAAATTTAATACATGTTATTCAGAGTATAATAAATAGTCTCTTTATTTTAATTTTCTTCTTCTTCATCATCATCAACAGCATCAACTACTAAAGTAGCGCTTGGCCATAAGTTTTTAATTTCAAACAAAGTTTTTGTATCATCGGGTAAATATTCCATTCGAGGATAAGGACTATGAATTGTAAACTTGTATTCATGTGTATAATCTGAAGGTGGCTCTTTTATATCCTGTTTTTCTATTCCTTCTTTCATTAAAGGATAAACTTCAACAAAGCGATATAATGTCTAACACATTGTTCAAGTCAAAAAAAGGAAAATTAAACTAAATCATTTTTTTTGTTTTACCTCTATAGTAGCATCATGAGGGAATTGACGTACAACACGATCTCCATCTGCTAAACGGAAACTTAACTTGGCTACTTTTTCGGTGTTCGAGGGTTCGTCAGGTAATTGTGCATAAAGATAATGAATATAATCGGTTCGCTTTTGTTTTAAAAGAGAAAGACGTTGAGCCTCTAATTCCTTTTCTCTCTTCATACGCTCCTCCATTTCCTTTGCTTCTTGTGCTTTACGCGCTTTTTCTTGATCCATCTTTAAGGATTCACGATAAGCTTTGTCTTGATCCACACGTAATTGACGTTCAAGCTCACGTTGCTCACGTTCATGTTTAAGTCGATTCATAACAGCACCATGACGTTCAATAGCCATCTCAATTTGACTTATTAATTCGTCTACATCTTGATAACCTTCAAGACGTTCGATAACAGACATCTTGGCTGCACTGGACCCAGGAGGAGTCTTTAAGGCAATTAAGGCCATAAAAGGATATGTAGTAGCTTGTAATGTATAACTCACTTTATGTGCTTCTGATTCATGAACATCACCAGCCCAAACTAAGATTTGTTTCTCTTTAATGAATTCGATCAATGTATTTGAAGTCAAGATATTTCTAATAACAAAAAAAAATATTATTTATTTATTTATATAAATATCATGCATAAACACATATATTTATATGTTACCTGCAAAAGTTTTCTGTATCATCATGATCATTACTCTGTAACAAAACTAACATAAATCTTAAATCTTTACGAGCCTTTTCTAATGCTTGAGAATAACCTCCTTTAAAAAAATCAATATGACGTGGTCCATATTTGAATTCAAATAATTCTATAAATTCAGCTGCTAATACACGAGGGTCTCTTTTTCTGTTATTATTATTATTCGATGTAATCGCAGGACGATAAATGAGACGACCTATGACCATTAGATAAGTAAATAGAATCATACTATATAAATATAAACTTTTTTTTTTTTTTTTTTTTTTTTTACTAGCAAATGAAAGTATAGACCAAGTTATATTCCAAGCAATACCAAAAGGCCAAAATAAAATAGACAATAATAAAGAAGGTCGATTCGTCATTGTTCTATTATTCATTCTTGATGACATGTTATTTCTTATGAATGGAGGTGTACTAGGAGGAGTAGCACAGTGACGAGAACTACTAGAAGCTACTTCTTCTTCTAATTGCTCTCTTTTCTCATTTGAATTATTATTTTCATAAATATGTTGAATTGCTCGCTTTTTTTTTTTTTTTAAAAAAAAAAAGAAAGAAAAAAGAAAAATACTGTTAGTTTTCAAATAGTATTTATATCATTTTTTTTTCTAGTTTATACCTCCAAGTTCCATTCATATTCTATTAAATGGCCTAATGCTTCTTCTATATCTTTTATTTCTGTTATAGTCTATATTATGTAAATTAATAACGAGAAAAGTAATAATAATAATGAATAGTAATTTACTTGAAATTGGTTTAATTTATTTTTTTGTTCATCATTTAAGGTATTTAAAGCCATTGTTATATGTATTTATATTTTTAATACAAAAAGAGAAAGAGAAGGAAAAAAAAATGAAAAAGAAAATTATTTTAAGTTTAATTAAATTGTAAAAGTAACCTGTCGCTGACAACTGCTTTACAGTTTTTACAAAACAACTCCTATTTTTTTTTTTGGGGGGGGGGGAAAAGGAAATTATGCTGCTATTTACAAAAAAAAAAAAAAAAAAAAAACGTCACCTCTATCTTTCATTTTTTTTTTCCTCTTTTCTTTTCCTTTTTATTTTTTTTTATTTTTTATATATTCATATTTATAATGGCTGAAGTGAGTACAGCACCTGCTGGCATTGGATCTGTTGAAGAGCCACTCGATCTTGTTCGACTTTCTTTAGATGAACGTATTTATGTTAAATTAAGAGGCGATCGTGAATTACGCGGTAACTTACATGTAATTGTTCATATTGTTGCCAGTTTGTATATACATTTACTTGACTTATATAATAGGCTTATGATGGTCATTTAAATATGGTGTTGGGTGATGTTGAAGAAACAATTACAATTGTTGATGTGAATGAAGATACTTTAGAAGAAGTCATTAGAGTAAATAGAATCTATTTTTTTTTTTTTTTTGATGATTTGTATATAAATATGTATACATGTATATCCTTATACTCCTTTTTTTTTAAGACTGTGAAGAGAAATTTTGAAATGTTATTTGTTAGAGGAGATGGTGTTATCTTGGTAAATATAAATATATATATATATATGCATATGAAGAAGACAAAAGGAAAGAATTTATTTATTTTGTTAATAAATATAGGTTTCACCTCCTTCAAGAGCATAATAGTAAAGTCAATTTTTCAGGAAAAATAAAATAAAATAAAATCTGTAATTATTGTATGCGTACTGATTGTATAGGATAAATGAAGAATTATGTAGGAATACTGAATAGTATATTTTGTACTGTTTAGTACTTGTTTATTAAATTTGTATGTAAATACATGTCGAATATATTTCCAGTATATAATTTGTGCCTTAATAAAATGTTTTTTTTTTCATAGACTTTGTTCTTTTGTCGTAATCTTCCTTGGCCAGCATTATGAGTATTCATGACTAGAATAGATTGACTTTTTTTTTTCTTTTTTCTTTTTTACAGTTATAAATTTCCTTATGCTTATACATTTTCATATTTGAAACTATTATTATTATTATCCTCACTTTTGAGACAAGAGTGGTAATGATGTGTATTCTTCATGCTTTCATCATCATCATCATCCTGATCAGAAAATAAGGATAATAACTCTTCAGTTGATATGCTTTCACTATCAGAAAACAAGGATAATAATTCTTCAGTAGATACACTTTCATTATCAAAAGATACATCATCATTTGATATCTTTTTATCCTTCTTTGATTCATCGTTGCTAAGGAAGTTATATTCATTCAGTAGTGACTTGCTTCTCTTATGTAACAGAGACCCAATAAAAGCCCTTTTTTGGTGTTGGGTGTTTAGAGAATGATCATCCCATGAAGATTCAGGTAAATTCTCGTTTGTAGCATTTATTTCTTTTTTAATATCTGAAGATAACTTTTTTAATTTGTGTGTATATCTTAAATGACGCGTAAAGCTTCCATGATATTCAAATTGAATATCACAAATAGAACAATAAAATTCATTATCTTTCATCATAGGCATTTCTTTGACTAAGGTAAAAAGAAAAATAAATCTTGACAAGTTTTTTTTTCTTTTTATCATATTTTCATATTTACCTTCTTGATCAGTTACTTTGATTTTCTTTATTATATTTTCCGCACTTACATTTGTTTGAAGCCAACGATAATGCTTATTTACCTCCCTCTTCTTCTTCTTCCTTTTATTATCTGAGTTTATAATTAAGCGTCGTCGTCGCTTATTGCGGAGAAGAGGAGTAATAGTAGAAGATGATATATCTTTCATAGAAGACTCCACTTTTGCATAAAAAATTGGAAATGCAAGTGCTAACGATCTTTCTATGCTTTTTATAGGGCTTTTATAAGTCGATGTGTCTACTGCTTTTGAAATGTCTGAATCCATTTTGGTAATGTTAATTAATCAAAAAAAAAAAAAATTAGCAAGTACTGCAATTATTCATTTTTCATTTACTCTCTCCTTCCCCCCCTTAATAGGTTTTTCTATGTCCGATTAGCTTTAATGTTTAATGCAAAAAAAAAAAAAATATGTATTTTTTTTTTACTCATGTTTTTATTTATTTATTTGTGTAAGACATGTACACATGTATATTTTGATGGTGTTAGTATGAAGGAAGGGGTTATATTTGTCAAATGAAAATTAGAAATGAAAATAAAAATAAAAAAAACATCATGAATCAAAAATAATTTTTTTTAATATATCCTTTTTTTTTTTTTTACAATTCATCCTTAACATGCTTCTTAGCATCTTCTTCTTCTGTTGCTTCTTCCTTCTTTTCTTCTTCTTCAGACTTTTTAACAGCTTCAGCAGCTTCTTCAGGGATTTCGTCAAATTTGATAGGAGGTTCATAAGATTCAAGGTCAATCTTTTCTTCAGCTTCTTCAGCAGGTACAGGAGAACCTTCTTCTTCAGCCTTCTTCTTGGCTTCTTCTTGAAGTTTTTCATTATAAGCAGCAAGGGCACCTTCCTCCAAAGAGGTAGTAGCCTTGGTATCATCACGAATCTTCTTGGCCTCATCTGCATCATCTGTAATCAAGATATTATCAAAGATAGAGCCAGACTTGACTTGCCAGACATCAATACCAACGTTAGCAAAATCATAAATATAAATTTCATTATCGACCTTGTATTCAGGGTTATCAATTTCAGGATGTACCCATTCACCCTTATAGTTAGGGTTAGGAATCATTCTAGGAGACCAGGGACCCTTATAATCAGGATTAGCAATTGAGGGAGCCTCCCATTCACCATCCATATCATCATCCCAATCTTCAGGCTTCTTTGCATTAGGATCAGGAATAAATTCAGGAATATCATCATAATTATCAGGCTTAACATCGCTTTCGTCAACAATCATTTCTTCATCTACCCAATCTTCAGGTTTGCTAGCATTAGGATCCTTGATCTTCTTGGGAGGTAAGAAGTCCCAATCTTCCAAGAGACTACCTTCAGCCTTTTCCTTACCATCTACCAAAATAGAATAGGTTTGATCAGGCTTAAGAGTTAAAGTGTAAGTATGTGTCAAGGTATCCTTGGGTGCAGCAACTATCTTTTTAAGGTCATAATTAGTACCCTTGTAATTCAAAATAGCATGAACCATTGCTTTAGGACCACAAATATCAGGACCAAACATGATATTGTAGTTGGTATCACCGTTGAATGTTTTAGAATCGAAATCATTACCAAAGAACTAAAGAAAGGGAATATGAGTTGTTTTTTCTCTTTAGATTACAAGCATAGTTTTTGTTTCTTTCTCTCTACTCTCTCTCTCTCTTTCTTTCTTTCTTTCTTTTTCTCAATAATTACCTTCAAATAACTACCACCACAGTCAATATCTTGTTCATTCTTAACGTCAAATTGAATAATAAGGTCTTTATCTTTATTGGTAAAAGGTTTAGGGATTTTGGTAGAAACAGCATAGAAACGATAATCTTCAGTGGTTCTAAGACCAGCCTTAGTAGCTTCATCTGAAAACCATTTACCAGGAGAAACCTCAAGCTTGCCAAGGTCTTCACGATAAGTAGAAGGTGTCCAACGGTCTTTCCATCCTTCACCATCAGAAAAGGTTTCAAAAAGGAAAACTTCAGCAGAAGCAATACTAGCAAGACCTAAAATAGCAGCGATGGTAGGAATCTTCATTTCTTTTTAACAAAAAAAAAAAAAATAGAGAAGCAATGAGGAAAGGAAAAAAATAAAATAAAAATAAGGAACAATAATAATATATATTTCCTTGCCTTTTTTTTTTTTTCTATAATTTTCTACGTTTTACGTGGCAAATTAATCTTTTACTGTACTATTTTTATCCAATTACATTTTTAAAATACTACTTGGACTTGATGGCAACTTTTAATTGGGCAATAAAAGAAAATTCAATTATGCTTCATTTGCCTGTCACGCCATTATTGAAAGGTTTATTGCAGTGAATATATTAAATAATAGATTTTTTCAAATTTGATCTCCTCCCTAAATTTTATTATATTTTATTTTTACAAGACGCAAAATCCGTTCAATTTTTTTTTTTTTTTTTTTTTTTTTTTCACAGTAGAATAAAGGAAGTAGAGAAAAGTCGCAATAAATTGGATGCAATGAAATAAAAAAAAAAAAAGAAAAGGGGAAAGCAAAAGTCAATACTAGAACTAATTTGTGGTTCTTATAACATGGCAGGTCATACGACATCAAAAAGTCGAGACTAGGCGTTATTAACCATAATTTCACTTTTATCGAGATGTATGCGCAGACAAATAAATTCTTCTATCCTTATGCATAAATGGGATTTCTTTTCTTTTGAGTCATAAACATAAAGCAACTATTTACTCAAAAGTAAGATAATGTAAACAATGCTTTATATAACCTTTTACTTTTATTTAAATACATTCTTAATAAAAGCTGTCAAATGTAGTCAGTTTATAATAATTGAAGTTTCTGATAATTGAAAGGGAAGGACTTTCTGACCCTTTGAATTCAAGATACACAATAAGTTCACTTTTTTATTTTATTTTATTTTATTTTATTTTATTTTATTTTATTTTTTATTTTTTTTATTTTGAAGGTCAAGAAGTGAAGGCTATTATTTGGTCATTTTCTTGCCAGTATTAGACCTATTGTTGCATCTTATCTGTCCTTCTTTTTTTTTTTTTTTCCAGGGGAGCTGCTATTTAACTAAAACTAGGCTGACTATCCAAGCTTAATTTAATAGAAACTTCAATCTTTTCTGTAGAGAACATAATAAAAGTGAATACTAGGCGTATTTATAGTATTTTTTTTTCTTTTTTCTTGATAAACTTTACCTTTATCAATAGTAGATCTTTAACCACTCAATTAAATATTAATAAACATATATCATACTTTAATTATCCTCCCCCTTTCTACTAGAAGGTTATATTATACTAAAGTGTTAAGTTATTGTATAATTTCATAAACATACACTATATGGACAAGGAACAGTATAGCATTTATTCAATGACGCGTTCTCTCTTTCTCAAAACACGTAATTATGTAAAACATTACTTTTTGTTGTAGTGAAAAAAGAAAAAGAAAGGAAAAGTATATAAACTATATTTGTATATAAATAGACTTTCTATCCCCGCATATTGCATGATTTTTATTTATCACAAAAAGAAAGAATAGAGGAGAAAATAGAGTGTTTATCTTATTATATATGCTCAAGTCATGTATATACATATACATATATTTATATAAGAAGTATACTTCTAATTAGTTATGTTATATTAAACCTTCTTAATAAATAGGCCTGCATTATAACTATATCAGATTGATACCATTTTCATGCAAATTCAGAACGAGTCTAAATGTGGGATGCTGGGGTTATTATATCAAAAAAAAAAAAAATTCTTCCTATCATTAATATTACATAATCATTATCATTATTTGTACATTAAGCGTTCAACATATCTTTATATATATATGCATATACATATATAATAACTTGGTATTACACTTTATTACCTCTAAAAAGAAGTGAAGATACCTCCTCTTCCTTTGGCTATATATGTATGTATATGTGTATAATTAAGCTTTTTTTTTTCTTTCTTTTTCCCTTTTGTTTCGGGTTTCTGAGTAATAAAAAAGAAAAAGAAAATAAAAAGGACTTTATATACCTTCCTCTCACTTTTCTTTTTGTCTTTATTTTTAAACATACAAGCATCTATTCTTTTTGCTCTTACATTTATCTACAGAACTTTTTTTTTATATCTTTTGTTATTACAATTATTTCATTTTAAATAATAGTGGTTAATTATGAGCCTTCAAGAAAATCAAGTGTTAAATGACGTTTTGAACAAAAACACAAATTCAGGTATACATGTTATGTGTAACATACAATCAATAAATGCTAACATAATTTACACATTTAAAAAAAAAAAAGACCAAAATTCAAGAACGGATAGTTTCAAACCACAACAACAATCAACAGAATATTCTAATAACGATATACATCCTTCTTCTAAAAAGGATGCTATGCATTTAAATTTAAAAGGTATACACATACATTATATTAGATTAGATTATATACAGAAATCTTATCCTTTTTTTTTTCAATGGGCTCTACAATAGAGAATATATCATCTAAATTTAGCGCTCTTTTACGTCATTGTGAGGAAGCCATGAAACAGGTAGAAAAGGACCAAGAAAATTGCAAAAATAATCCTGATTCTACTTCTTTACGCTCACTTTCAACTAGTAGAGACAGATTATTTCACACTTTTAAACAATTTGAAGAACACATGAAAAGAATGTTTCAAACAGTCGACCAACAGTTACCTCCTGATTATCGACTTCATCAAGATTCACCTCTACCCTCTCCTAATCATAATGGTATGCGCACTTTATTATCTATTCTATTTCACTTTTATTTGATTTTTTATTTACTCTTTCTTTTTTTTTTTTAAAAAAAAAATAGAGCAGAGTACCTTGAAGGAACCTCATCTTGATCATGAGCAGACACTTGAAAGCCAACAACTAAACCACAACATGTCATCTCCTACTGGAACTGAAGGCAGCTTTAATAATTTATTCAAAAAAAAGAATAAAGAAAGAATGCCTGGAGCTTTTGATTTTTACAGTAGTGGTGAAGAAGAAGATAATAATATCCCTGAACAACAAGGACAGGATATCAAGGACTTTAGTCCAAGAGATTCATTTCATACACAACCTTCACTCAGTTTGAAAGACAACGAACCTATTGGACTCAACAATGAGGGGTCTACTTTTAGTTCTCCTGTACCTCAGTCTCATTTGAAACCAGGTTTGACTAACGAAGAAGATTTTACTTTGCCATCAACTTCAAATAATTCAAATCTCTTGACATCATTAAGAAATGTAGGTCAGAATGACGAAATATGTAAGAAGGATAATGATGATATAACCAAAAATGAGAAGGATGATCATTTAAACAAGAATTCTGATCATTTTGTTGGCTACTACGGCGGTCTTCAACCACTTGATGAAAATGATGCACGCCTTGCTACGTCTGTGCATGCAACAGAGGGCGCTTGGGTCAAGCCTACCACCACCTTGAATGCTTCGAATAATAATACTAATCATGAATATCAAGATCATCATAATCAAGCTCAAAGAAATTCATCGCATTCAAGTCACAGTCTCAATCCTACTCTTAATCCTGGTTTCTTGGAAGAGACGCCTAACCAAAATGCATCTACCTTATGCTTACCACCTGAAGCAGATTTGGCTCCTACGAGCAAAAGCCAGTCTGCAGTGAGTGACAATCCATCTAATCGAGAACATTCAAATTCAAGCGCCAAAGATATTATGCATAATTATATTCAACGTAACAGTACAAGTGAAACCCCTTCTTCAATTGGCGCTAATGCTGGTGCAACTGTTGCTTCTTTTATCCCTAATAGCGCTCAATATATGAATCATTCGCATGATAATCCTCATTCTCCTTCTTCCCTTGATGCTACCTCATCTGATTTGATCGACAATGATAAAGTCGTTCCTGCTAAGAATGAAAAGAGAAATTCCTTGATCTCATTTCCTGGAGCCTCTGTCATGGCAGCCGGTTTGAGTGTTGCTGCAGAAAAGCTAGGCCTCCGTCAAACAACCTCAAACGATGCCGCCCATAACAAGCATGATGTTGATAATTCTGAAAATTCACCTATTGTTAGCGAAATTCGTCATACAAATCAAGATCCAGCCATTGCTAATCCAGTTTCTGAATTACCTCATCAGGCTGAGCCTAAAATATTGAATGAATTCAATCATCCTAATGCGCCTGCATCAGAAAAACAAGATGATGCGGCAGCCATTATCAAAGAAATACGTAATGCTGATAGCGCAGACCCTAAAGCTAATTATTACAAGGAAATATTCCAGGGCGGTCTTGGTGGTGACAGCACAGAGCCGATTATTAAGAATGCTCAAGATGCTGAACTTGATCCTGCTGATCAACCTTCATTTGCTGATCAAGAGCGACTTAGACAAGAAGCAATTAGGAATCGTAACTTGCGCAACCAATCAGCATTAAGAAGAGAATCCTTTGAAGGCGGTCTTGGTGGTGACAGTACAGAACCAATCATCAAGAATGCCCAGGATGCTGAACTTGATCCTGCTGATCAACCTTCATTTGCTGATCAAGAGCGACTTAGACAAGAAGCAATTAGGAATCGTAACTTGCGCAACCAATCAGCATTAAGAAGAGAATCCTTTGAAGGCGGTCTTGGTGGTGACAGTACAGAACCAATCATCAAGAATGCCCAGGATGCTGAACTTGATCCTGCTGATCAACCTTCATTTGCTGATCAAGAGCGACTTAGACAAGAAGCAATTAGGAATCGTAACTTGCGCAACCAATCAGCATTAAGAAGAGAATCCTTTGAAGGCGGTCTTGGTGGTGACAGTACAGAACCAATCATCAAGAATGCCCAGGATGCTGAACTTGATCCTGCTGATCAACCTTCATTTGCTGATCAAGAGCGACTTAGACAAGAAGCAATTAGGAATCGTAACTTGCGCAACCAATCAGCATTAAGAAGAGAATCCTTTGAAGGCGGTCTTGGTGGTGACAGTACAGAACCAATCATCAAGAATGCCCAGGATGCTGAACTTGATCCTGCTGATCAACCTTCATTTGCTGATCAGGAACGACTTAGACAAGAAGCAATTAAGAATCGAGATTTGCGCAACCAATCAGCATTAAGAAGAGAATCATTCCAAGGTGGTCTTGGTGGTGACAGCACAGAACCAATCATCAAGAATGCCCAGGATACTGAACTCGATCCTGCTGATCAACCTTCATTTGCTGATCAAGAGCGACTTAGACAAGAAGCAATTAGGAATCGTGACTTGCGTAATCAATCAGCATTAAGAAGAGAATCATTCCAAGGTGGTCTTGGTGGTGATAGTACAGAACCAATCATCAAGAATGCCCAGGATACTGAACTCGATCCTGCTGATCAACCTTCATTTGCTGATCAAGAGCGACTTAGACAAGAAGCAATTAGGAATCGTGACTTGCGTAATCAATCAGCATTAAGAAGAGAATCATTCCAAGGTGGTCTTGGTGGTGATAGTACAGAGCCGATTATCAAAAATGCCCAAGATGCTGAACTCGATCCTGCTGATCAACCTTCATTTGCTGATCAAGAATCCAGACGCAGAAATAATGCGGTTCCTGACGAAATTGCTGAAAATTGGAGCGACCAGCTGAAGAAGAATATTGCAGAAGCCCCTCGTTTTAAAGACGATAATGATAAAGTTAGTAATCCTTATGAACAAACTCCTAAGGCTTCCAATACTACTCCCGGCTTTGTCTCAACTCTTGCGGGTCTTGGAGCTATGATGGGTGTTTCTAATGCGCCTATGAATATTAGTCCAGAAACCAATAATGATGAAGATGACAGTAAGCTGAAGGATATGAAAGATGACACTTCAGACACCATTGATAATTCAACCTTTACTGAAACAATTTTTAAAGGCATTGACGGTGCTAAATCAGCTGTTACTGGTGCTGTTCACTCTGTTGTATCGCCTATTATGAATGCTATGGAATATCACTCTAATGAAAATGATTCTACCCCTAGTGAATTGATGCCTAGTCGTAGTACAACTAATGGTGCGTTTACGTCTCCTGTCAATACAGCTGATACACCATCATTAGCAATTGGAAATAACAAACTTAATAATGACAAAGACATGACTCCTACTGAACAACCTACTATTCTTGATAAATTAACTGATCAAGGCTTATCATTGTTAAGGCCTTCTGAAAAGCAAGTTACTGCTGGTCAATTGAAAGAAGTTGCTGATCATGTTGCTAAAACTAAAAATGAACCAGTTGGTGGATTCAACAATGACGAAGTAATCTCTACACCTGCGCTTGCCGATATTGCTAAAAGAATTGATGAAGATCAATTTAATATGCATGATAATGATGTCGATTCAAGCAAAGATAACAGCTCCTCTAAAAATGATGTTGTTGTCATGGTAAATCATTTAACTTCTCTTCCAGAAGCTATTGGTAATAATGTCATGATTGAAACGGCAAATAATAACGATCTTCCTGTTACTATTCCCGAAGTTAATCCAGCAGATATTTCAAAGGATCAAAACTCAACTGAAGGACTAAATATCCCAATCATGGTTAAAAGACGCTCAACACAAGGAACACCTATGTCTGAAAACTCAAGTATTTTATCTGACAAGTCTGGAGCAATTTCTCCTCCACCTTCTGCAAACAATAATTCTACAACATTCAGTATGCCTGAACCCATCGATAAAATTGACGATAAATTGAATGATTACAAACATGAACACTCTAATCATACCATGAACAACATGGAAAAGGAGGTCCCCAGAACCAATCACACTAATGTATTTAACAGTGCTGTCCCTACTCACAGCAACAATAACGGTTCGAATGATACAAATGAAGGTGATTCTACTAGAAATGTCCTCTCTTCTTCAAGATCGATGCCTATTCCACAACTGTTTAATCCCAATCAAACAGGCTCTCAATTAACTTCTAACGCGGATAATTTAAAATCAAGCAAATCAGACACTGATACTCACATTAATTATTCTAACTCTGCTGGTTCATTGCCTATTGCCACTAGTAAGCTCCCTTTAGGCCTTGATAGTTTAAAAACTAGCCCCTCTGGTAAGCTAAACTTAACTCATTGTAGTCCTAATTTTAATACAGATAGTATACCCTATGTAAACTATTCAGATTCTGTACCTGAAATCCCATTGACTGAATCTTCACCCCAAACTAGCCAAAATAATCAAGACGATATCAATATTGTCAAAGCTCCAAAGTTTGATCCAAGTCTTCCTAAGTTCCAAAATTCTGAAGATTTTAGTAGAGATTCTAGCTTTAACTCTTTAGATGCTCATCCTGTAACTACAGTCGTAAAGAATCTTGGTAGTGATTTGCATGATGTTGATGATTATAATAAGATGAGTTCTATGAACAATACTTTGAATCAATCTGATATTGATATCCCTAATACTCCTCATTATAATTATTCCAAGCCATTTGATGATACGTCTAACTTGCCTGAAAAACTTAATACTCCTAAGAATCAAAACGAATTAGTTCAAAATGTAGAAAACATTGACAATGAAGAACCTGTTTCTCCATCAAAAAAGAAGTCCCATGATTCTACTTTAGCTATTGATAATTCAGGAAATTCTATTCCTCTGGATTTCAACCATCATCTTTATTCTGATAATGTATGTGCTTCTCAACAAAATAATGATATTTTTGAGCCTTCACAACAATTTACACCTAGCGCCCTTGACACACCTAACCTTTTCTCTAAAAAAGTTGTTGATCCTATGACCGATTCTGATACTAACAGATTAAATAATCATAATGGTCAAGTTGTCGAAGCAGCCGATAATATATTTACTCCTATGGACAAATCTTCTGCATTACACAACTCAGAAAGCGCTCAGAAGTCAGCTGGTGAAAATCGCCCCAAACAGGACAATAATATGCCTTCTAATATTTCGCCTGAAAATATATCTTCATCATCATTTATTACCTTGACTTCTCCTCTTTCAGCTTCTGCCGCTCCGTCCCCCACAGATATGGGTGATAAAAATACAAGACTAGAAGGTAATACACATTCTGTAATTGCTTCTAATATAGATGAACAAAGGTCTACAGCTCAACCTTTCTCCGGCGAAACTACCGATATGAAGCATTTAGCAAATGAAGATAGCTTTTCCCCTCGTTATAATGCTTCAATGAAACAGAAGCTCGATTCTGATGACAATTCACTTCAAAATTCCAATATTATAGCCCCTGCTGTAACAAACTTGTCAAAGGAGAGAAATAACACACATGTGGATACGGCTGTTATGAAGCAATTAGATACAGATATGAGTAACAGAAGTCCTAATTATTCTGAAGAAAAAAGAAAACTATCTTCATCTCTTGACTTTTGTCACCCATCAAGAGATGTTAACAAAACTACTAGCAATGTTATACCATCTTATCAACAAGGTTCTGCAGTAAATAATAATAATAATAGTAAAGGCAGCTATAGTAATTATGATATACCTTCTGCTGAATTTAACGAAACTCCAAATATGATGCTCGATAATTCTGAAATGGGTGCAAGAGCTAGACTTGATAAGCTTGACAGTTTAGAATCGGATATTGAAAAGCAATTGGATTCAATGTCGCCAACAAGCAACAATGCACAACATCAAGAAGCTCCTCCCCAAATTCCCGAACACGAAAAATCACCTAATCATCATAGTTCTCCTGTCGGTTTACATTCTACTTCTTTCTATGATGTTGCTGCAGCAGATGCCTTAAAACGTATTTATGATCGTATGACGATACCTTTGAAGACAGGTGATAAAAGCGATCGTGTCTTGAAGGTTCGTGAGGGATTTGAAAATTTTACTGGGTTTGGCGTCAAATGTGTTTCTGATGTTATTTCCCCTAATGAAAATAACAAAACTTCTAATATCTAAAAAGAAAAAAAAAACATTTTATCGTATTTGAAAAATAAATTTTATAAAAATTCAGTGTTTGCATACTTTGTTTTGTTTTTTTTCGTTTTATATTTCTATTTGACATATGCCAGCTTGGGATGCAGAAGAAGAAGATAATATATCTCAGTCTCTACAGCCATTATTACAGGAAAACCAACAAAATATTGTAGAAGTAGCTTAAATAACCTTACTATATAGATAATAAATTATATATAATGTCTATTTTATTAATACTTGTCCATTAGTCAAATAATGAGCAGAATCGTCATAAAGAAACTATTCAGTTTTTTGTAAAGCAATTAACATTACTTTTTTATCCTTTAATTATAACGTTTACATTAACCTGTTGGATTGAAACAACATTAGCTATTGATGATTTGCAATTCAGGTGAAGATAATCATGGTTGTATAGAATCATTCATCTGCTTAACGTTATAACCTTTTTAGTAACCCTTTAATGGTATATGATGAAATACCAACAGACAATATAGGCATCCGTTTAGGTGGTAGTATTTTAAATGCTATAGCTATTGTCGTTGGCATTGCAGCTATGACATTTCTTTTTGTTCTCTGTTTTAAATATAGACTTTATCAAGTAAATACTATTCTCAAAAAGAAAAACAAACTCTCCCGAAATTATAAGCATAACCATTTTTTTCCCTTTTAGTTTTTGTTCTTTTGGCTTGGATTTTCAGTTTTGTCCATTCTTGGTGTAACTACTACAACATTATGGATGTAAGTTGATAAGGTTACAAGTTCTACATTAATTCAAATTAATGAAAATTCCAGTGAAATGATGGATGTATATGATTTACCATTAGATTACATGACTATGGTATTCTGTGCTTGGAATATTTCGGTTGTTGGTGTAATAGCCATATTTTGGAAAAGTCCTTTATGGGTACAGCAAGCATATTTAATCATCGTTAGTACAGCCACTGTAAGTCGTAAATGATGATATTGTATGGTAATATATATGTATATATACATATACATATATATATGCTTAATACAACGCTTATTTATTAGTCAATTAGTATGTTAAGAATGCCACCATGGACAACATGGACAGTTTTAATAGCTGTGTCACTTTATGGTTAGTTTCAGTGGAAGAAATATAGATATAGATTAATGGATACTAACTTTTGCATAGATTTATTTGCTGTATTATGCCCAGCAGGACCATTAAACTTATTGATTTCAATTGCAGAGGAACGTCAAGAAGAAATACCAGCACTTATATATTCAGCAGGAATGGCAAGTTTTGACAATTCTGAGACTAGCGCTATTGATGGCTATAGAACACAAGAAACATCAACAAATACTAATATTTGGACATGGATTTTTAATAAAAGTAGTAAAAAAGGATATCATGTAGTTCAGAATAGCGAAGAAGGGGCATTTGTAAATGAGCTTACTGATATCTCATCAATCACTAGAGTCCAAGAAGAATCTATAAGAAACGATAATATTGAAGTTGAATGTGAACAAGAAGATGAGGAAGATGAACTCAAAGCTATTAAACTTGGTTTGGGTGATTTTATATTTTATAGTGTTCTAGTTGGGAAGGCATCAAGAACAAATGCTATTACCTTATGTTTATGCATCATAGCAATTCTTACAGTAAAGTAGTTGTATATACATTATATAATAATCTTATTAACTTTCTTATTATGCAGGGACTTTCATTGACAATTTTAATTTTAACATTGAAAAAAAAAGCATTGCCCGCTTTACCTATCTCTATTTTATTTGGAAGCATTACATATGCTATTGCTTATTATATGACCAGTCCAATGATTAACTCTCTTTCTTTACAGTCTATATCTCTTTAAAAATAAATTCCACTTCTAATCCCTTTTCTATGTAACTTTTTGTATATAGTATTGACGTTTATTTTAATAATCATATTCAGTTTCTACACAAAGTATTCACCCACCATATTTTATAGATACACAGTATTAATTTTTCTTATTATCTTTAGTAGCATAAATCTTAGCCGTGAAAGGTCTATAATGAATATTATATAATCATTAATACATATTTCTATACATATCGGACAAAACTTACTCTTCAAATGTTAAAGCAATTTTATATACAACATATACGACAGCAGTCAATAGAACCCCAGCAGGACTCTTATACCTTTTTAGTTTTGGTCAAAAAATATATATATATATGATACAATGAGACTAATTATGTTACTTACCATAAAGCAGTAGCTAAGAATGTACAGGTAGAACCAATATACATTGGATTATCACAAACATTAAATGGAAAGCCTGTAACACGTTCTTTCATCAAAATACCAAAATAGTCACCTATAACGATAATATTAATTACAGCACTAATTATAAGAATTTCAATTTTATACCAAGATAAGTTCCAGTAACACCAAGGGCCCACATAGAAGATAAAACAAGGGTATTTCCAGTAAGGAATAAAAGTACAGCGGTTATTTGAATAATGTATTGTTCAAAAAAAGGATGAGTAGGTTGATTACCTAATGCAGTATGATACCTATAGAAATCAAAAAAAAAAAAAAATAATAATTATTATAATTCATTATTCAACCCCTTCTTACTTACAAATAATCTCTCGTAAGACCTAAAGTAAAAATAACGATAGCTAATCCATATGTTCCCCTATATGCGTTTCCACCGGCTAACTTTGTTAATATTTTATTTTTATATTCTACAGAATAGTATAAAAAATAAATATGTATATGTATATGACCTTTTTAACTACTGCATGCTCTTACCAGCTCTTGCAACAGTATTCCAAAAAATTGGATTAAATAAGATATGTCCAAGTGCGTAATATAACGAGGGCTGAGAAAAATCAACAAGATTTGACATAATTGTAGTATAAAAGAAAAGAAAAAGAAAAGAAAAACAAAGTTTTTATTACCGTGTCCCATACTCTCCTGCAATAGTAAAATTTAATCTCACTTTTAACCTTGTATGTAAAAAGTAAGAGGGCTTGATTTGTTGCAAATTCGCCACGTATTTTCTGAAGTAACACAGGACCTTCTTCTTATGACAATTCTAGTGAAATTTCAAGATACAAAATAACTTTCAAATTGTCAAGAAGATATAAATGAATAATAAAACTTTCAAGTTATATATTATATTATAATTTATTGATTTTAAAGAACTTTTAAAGAAAGCAAGAAAAGCATATAATAAATAATCTATAAAAGATTTTTTTTTTTTTTTTTTTTTTTTTTTTTACAATTCTTCGTCTGTAGTATAAACTTCTTCACCACGTTTACGACGCTCCATACGCTCTTTCTTCTTCTTACGAAGTTCCTTAGAAGTCAATTTCTTCTTCTTTTGAGTAGCCTTGATGGTATTACCTTGAGCATCCACCATATCTTCTGCTTCTTCTTCTTTAATAGCAGTTGTACCATTACCAGAAACCCAGTTATGACCTGAAGGGGTCAAACGACCATTTTCGACCTTCCAAACTTCATTACAGAGTGCCTCGGAGAATTCACGATTGTGGGTTACTATCACAACACCACCTCCATATTCACGAATGGCTGTTGCAAGAGCACCTAATGACTCACGATCCAAGTAGTTGGTAGGTTCATCAAGGACTAACATGTGAGGTCTATTCCACATGGCTGCACCAATCACAAGCTTGACCTTTTGTCCACCAGAGAGACCACGAATGTGTGAGTGAGAGGCAAACTCAGGCTCTAGACCAACTTCAGCCAAGTGTTTTTCAATTTCTTTGGCGGTTAATGGACGCAATAAACCCATCTTGGCTGCCTCAGCAGAATCTACTTCAGCAATCTTCTTTCCAAAGCCCATATCTTCCAGTTTTTGACGAGAGATCCAGGTGTTATCAACAGAGGAACGGCCAACCCAAGATACTTCATATTCGTAGGATTGCTTGAGTTTACGACGACCTACGATATCCTCAAGTACTCGCTTTTCTCCGTCAATGATAAAGACTTGCTCAGCGGCCTTCTTATTACTTTCAGCATTCATACGGTCGTTCTTGTCAAGTTCTTCACGGTCTTCACCAGTAGCGTAACGCCATTGGATGTATTCGTTGGGAGTACTGTCCAAATGCTTTTCAATATGATGGAAGGCATGTTGAGCAACATAGGCAATACGTAAGTTAGGATGACGCCAAACGGTACCCACTTCAGATTCAAGTTCTCCAGTTAATAATTTGATTAATGTAGACTTACCAGCACCATTAGGGCCAATAACAGCAACACGAGAGGCAAGAGAGCATTGCATTGAGATGTCAATAAGTTGTTTCTTAGAGGAACCAGGATATTGGAAATCCACGTTCTTCATCTTTAAGATTGCACGCTCCTTAGTCTTGATACCTTCAAGGTAGCCGGGTTCAGGGAAATGGAAAACAGTCTGTGCAGCTTCAAGTGAATAATAGGCAGCAGCTCTAGGAACCTTCTTGACGAATTCAGAGAGATTACCGCGATAACGCTTCAACTTATAATTACCTTCATAATGGATAATATCTGTACAGACATGATCAAGGAAGCCTGAATCATGAGAGACAATAATAGAAGTAACGGTCTTGAGTCCCAAGAGATAATTCTCCAACCAAGCCACGTTGACTACATCCAAGTGATTCGTAGGTTCATCTAACAGGAGGATATCAGCATTCATCAACATAGCACGAGCCAAGGCAAGTTTCATCTTCCAACCACCAGAGAGTGAACCAATAGCTTGATGATGAACCATTTCATCAGTGAAACCATAATTTTTCAAGATACGTGCAATTTCAGCTCTATCTTGACATTCAACACCTTCAGAGTTCAAGATGAAATCTACCAGACCGGTATCAGCCTCTGAACCATCAATATCATGTTCAACATAGACCGTCTTGAGAACGGAGCGAGGTGGGAAACCTTCAACTTGCTCATTAGCGATTGCACGCATCAAGGTAGACTTACCACAACCGTTAGCACCACAAAGACCATAACGACGACCACGCATCAAACGTAAATGAGTACGATTTAACAAGATTTTAGCACCATATGCAAGAGAGAACTCACAGTTACAAAGTTCTTCTCCTTCTTCAAGTTCTTCTTCTTCACCTGATTGAGGAGCGATAGCTTCTTCACAAGAGCTTAAGGCCGCTAAAGCAAGCTTTTCAGCAGATGAATCCAATTCTTCACTACCATCTTCATGTTCACGACCTGTAACTAACAACCAGGTTGCAGCATGAGGAGACATAGAGGAGGCCCAAGCACTACGGTCAAAGTTACGAGCCAAGACCAAGGCAAGAGCCAGTTTAGCCATATATTTACGAACGGGGGCAAAGAAGCCTTCAAGTTTAGTAGGCATAAGTTTATCCAAGGTACTGTAAACCTTTTCACGCTTTTGATCATTCGTCATGATAGTTGAAATATCAACGCCACCACCAATACGTTTCAAGGTATCAACAGCTTTCTTAACAACACCACGACATTCAGGATCAGCCACAGTCTCATGGACATGTTCAAGAGCAGGCAACAAGACAGGTAAGAAAGGAGCGGCGACCTCAGGATCATCTACTAACTTACACATGTTATCAATGATCAATGCAGATTTACGTTTAATAGGTGTCTGACGTTCACGCAATCCACGATTTAAAAGAGGAACCATCAAAGCTAATGTACCAGAGTCCACCTCTTGAACAAAGGTAGTTGCACCCAATTGATGGATCGTTTCAGGGACCTTTTCAGGATTGTTAATACATTGAATGACAGCAGGGATAAAGCGTTCAATATCTTTATTATCCAATAAAGCAGTAATGGTGGTCATACATTTTGTTGCTGCGGCCTTGACGTCAGGCTTCGTATCCCACATGCAATCCGAAACAACCGGAATAATGACGGGTAAACAATTCAAAATCTGCATAGGGTTAACGGCAGCTAAGATCTCGATTACCTCCAAAGATAACATCTTGGTTTGCCATTTTTTCGAGTTTTCAAGACCTTCTAAACAATAAGTGACGATATGACGGGTGGCGATAGGATTGAATGCTTTCACAAGATTGCGTGTTACCTGTCCTGCTAATTCAGCCAACGACTTATCCTTTGAAGCTTGAAGTTCCAAAAGAGGAGACATGAGGGTAATTAAATGAGGCTCAATTTGTCCTCTCAAAAGAGCATTTGAGGTAATCAAAGCTTGTGTCAACTCAAGAGCACCAAGAGCTTGAGGACTACGCACCTTTTTAGCAAATAATTCGGTTGAAATAGCAGGGAATAAATGGCAAGCTTTAAGAGCACGAATACCATAATGATTAGCAAAACCAGCAGCCTCTTCAGCTAAGCTTTTACGTTCTGATTCATCTGTAGAGGCCAATAGCTTATTAAGAAGTTGTTTAGATTCTTCAGATTCCTTTTCACCGATACGAACTCGTTTAACCTTTTGTAAAGCAGCTAATGAACGACGCTTACTACGATCAGCTGATCTAGCTGCACTAGCAGCTGTGCTCGTATCAGGCATATAAGACATGGTTAACAAAAAATGAGTCTAATAATAAAAAAAGAATGAAAAAAAAGAAAAAGATTTGTTCTAAAAAAAAAAAAAAAAAAAAAAAAAAAAAAAAAAAAAAAAAAAAAAAACCTCCATTTATTAAAGTTAGAAGGAAAACACTGGGAACTTTTTGAGTTTGAATTCAGTAGTAGGCTGTTTCATGCAAAAAAAAAAAAAAATAAAAAAAAAGTTTCAGTCTAACATTTTATTATGGGTTTTGAGTTGAATTATTTATAGAGAATATCGCATTTACAACACCGTTATCTAACCCTAAATCATTATTATAAACAGCAGGTTGGTTTCGTTTTATAGCTGTAGTATTTATTGTAGTAGTAGGTGTAGATACAGAGGAAGACATTACAGGAATAACCACTTCAAATCCTACCTTGCCAGCTGTGATATTGTTATTTTGTTGTGATTGCCTTTGTTGCTGCTGCTGCTGCTGCTGCTGTTGTTGTTGTTGTTGTTGCTGCTGTTGCTGTTGTTGAAGTTTCGGTACAGATCTTGAGTAGGTATAGTTTGGAGGAATAAAAGGTTTGTTATCTTTAACATGTTTTAATACAAATACTGGATTCTGTTTGGCTTCTTTTAATTTCTGAGAAATACGTAATGGTTTTTCGTCATAACCCAGCGCACGTTCTACCATTAAAAGTTAAATATAACTTAAAAATAACACAAATTATTTACCTTGCAAATTATCAGGTGTACCATACTGAATCCATAATGTATATTGCTGCCAGTCACTATTCACATTATATTTTTTAAGAGCGGAAGCAATTACTTTCGAGGTTGGATCATCCAATAATAAACGAACATTTTTCGAAGATTCCAGTTCATGTTGTTCAACCTTAGTTATTTTATCTCCATAAACTTTAATTGCACCGCCATTTTCATTCTGTGTAGTATTTAGTTTAACCTGTAAACAGACAGTGTTAATTACTTGAATATAAAAAAAGAATAAATATATACTTCTTCTACATCATTTAAGCTAATTGAATTACTATGCTTTAAGCCATAATAAGGTACTTTTGCTGGTTTAATATTGCTATCATTTTGTTGCTGATACTATTATAATTAAATAAATCTTCATCTTGCGTCTTTCACAAGAAGTATATTTTACCTACCTTATTGTATTTTAATAACTGATTTACTTCTTCTTTTAGTACATTTAACCCATTATTCACTTTTTGTAAATCTTCTGTTAATCGTTTAATACGAGCATCTATTTAATAATACAGTTAATATATAGGATTATCTTTTAATGTATATGCATTATCTGTTATTACCTCTTTCCTGAAATGCTGCTTCTATTTTTCTATAATCTGTCATACCATTATGTCCCAACCAGTCCTAAGTTATATAGTCATTAACAAGTCCTCTTTATTAATAATTCATATTTACTGTTTCATATAATACGCCTATATAAAATAATTTAATAAAAATTCATAGCAGTAACTGGTTATATATTATTTACTTGGTGGTATATAATCCCATTCATTTATTGGTACTCTATATTGCATTTTTAATTGATATATATTCTTTAATAAATCCATTCTTTGCCCAACTGTTAACACTGATAAATCCCTTAATGATTCATGATCCAGATTAACTAGTACATCACCTGTTATTCCTTGCTCTATTAAAAAAAAAAAAAAAAAAAAATAAAATAAATAAAAAAAAAAAAAAAAAAAAGAAAAATAAATGTTAATTTCTTCCATCGATTTGTGTTGCATGTACCTTTAAATTGCTTTTCATAAGAAGCATAACCAATACTTGCCATCCATTTAGTTACTCTGTTTTCATCCCACATTAAAACATGTTCCATTTTGTCAATAATTAGATTTAATAGAATTGAAAAAAAAAAGGTAGTAAAAAATAATATACAATGAAGCTGATAAATATTTTCGCTTATTTCTAGAAATTGGTCGCACACACACAAAAAAAAAAGATCGTTTAAAATTAAATTTTGGTTGAATTAAAAAAAAAAAAAAATAAAGGTCGCTTTTTATAAAACCAAAAGTCGCAATTTTATAAAACGAAGATCGTAGAAAATTAAATGCTGGACGTACTTTTATAGATACTGGTCGTACTTTTACAAATACGGATGGTACTTTTTTGAAAAAAAAAAGTTGCACTTTATGCTTACTTGTCTGCTTGGTGAAAATCAACAACGGTCCAGGAACAGCACCTGAGTGTAATCACCATTGTCAGGTCCAAGGGATCAGCTAAGTTGTTATTATTGAATGATGGTCTTAACATGTGCAGTACAGTATAAAGCCTTTATAGGTTTCTTGGTATTCCTTCAAAAGTACTAGCTCAAACATATTTAAAAGTAGCAAATATCTCCCAGCCTCATTGGCATATTAATATTTCCTATTGGTAAAAGTAGATTTAATATAATATTATTGTATCCATCATTATACAAAATACTACCTTGGCAAGTGGCTTCTGGTAGCTATATAAGACTTCAAAAAAAAATAAATAAAATAAAACTAGTTTTTATTTTTTTCATTGTTTTTCTAAAAACAATAAGCAAGCTCTTATTAAAATGACTTTTGAACTCACTTTTTATCAAAGTGACTATATGACCGACCAACACGGAAATAATTAAATGAAATTATTAACTTGCTGCACTCTATATTAGAGTGCTTGAAAACTACGACCTCCAGTGAATCTTGTCTGACTTGCCCAATGTTGGTAGAAAAGCCAAAAGTTAAAGATATCCGTATGAAGGAGGCAAGCACAAAGCGGGACTATATGCATTATACCGTTCAGGATAAAGTTAGGTTTTCGGTCTGAAGATTGAAAAGTGCATGAGTGCATCAGCTACAACGAAGTAGTTGGGCATTCACATTCGAGCAGCATAGAGATAAGTTAAGCAGTATAGTGTGTGCCCTGATACTATTTTTGACAGCTGTAACAGAGTAGGTCGCAAGTGTGTATTCTAACTGAAGAACATAAAAAGACTGATATCATTTTCATTGATGCTAATTCTTCTGCTTCTGTTGTTGAAGTGACCGAGCATTTATTGAAACGGCTCAATGATCTTAAAATTTCGCGCAGCACTGTTTATAACTTTATGAGAAGTGAATGCAACTTTTCATTGAAAAAAAAAAAAAAACTACTGGAACTGTTACTGGACACTATTTCAATTTTTATTGCAAATACTCTAGATGTGATGGATTGCCATGAGGAATTCGAAGGGCAATTATCTTATTATGGACAATGCACCTATTCATACCTCGAATAACATTAGAAAGTTTATCGAAAGTCGTGGGTACAATTGTGTTTATCTCCCACCATATTCCCCTGAATTCAACCCATTTGAGTAATTTTGGTCTAGTCTGTTGTTAAGAGTAAATTGAAGCGAGAAAAGCTTTTAGAGGCCGAAACACTCAATATGAGAATCACTGAAGCATGTCAAAATGTTTTAATAAGTGACTAACAAGGATTTTGTCGTTATTCAAAATCAAAGTTCAAAACTTGTTTGAATAAAGATCCCCTCTAATAAATTTCGCATACACTGAGCAAAAACTAAATTTTAGAAGTGAGCAAATTAATCTTCTGTAAACTGTGCGAAAAAATAAAAAACTATGCAATTTTTTTTCTGAGATTGTGAGCCCAATTTCTAGAAATAAGTGAAACTATTTATCAGCTTCACTGTATTTATTATACAACATAGATCGCAGTTTTTTAATTTTTTTTTTATTTATTTATTTTGCCTAAATCATATCTATATTTTTATTTATTTTTTTTATTCATTTATTTATTTATCATTGTCTTATTACAAGTCATCACGAACTCTGAATCCAGGACCATAAGGCTCTTCATTTAGTGTAGTATAAACACCTGGAGCGTACTCACATGTATGACGTCCATTTTGAGGACCGGGAGTAATTGGTTTATCAGCTTTTAAGTTTTCTAAAAGCTTTACAGTTGTTTCAGGCGTCAAATCCTCCTATTTAAAAAATATATTAAAATACTTAAACATAGATAAAAAAATAAAAAAAAAAACTTACATAATAATCATCATTAATAGCCATGACAGGAGCATTAACACAAGCACCAGCACACTCAACTTCAACCAAAGTAAATTTACCATCCTTTGTTGTTTCGCCTACTTCAATGCCAAGGTTTTCTTTAATTGTCTTCAAAATCTTTGTAGATCCACATCCACCTAACTGACAAGGCGTTGTTGTACATAATTGAAGGAAATATTTACCTACTGGTTGACGGTTATACATTGTATAAAACGTAGCTACTTCATAAACACGCATAGGTGGAACTTCTAATAGACGTGCAACTTCATTCATAACTGAAATAGAAGTAAAACCGTGTTGTCTCTGTCCGAGATCTAATAAAGGCATAATAGCTGCTTTCTTATATTGTTCAGGATATTTTTTTAAAATTTCATTAATTCGCTTTTTATTATCCTCATTGAATTCAAAAGGAATGCTGGGATTATTTTCAGGTGTGTCACGATGCTATTAAACATGTAATTAGATCGACAATTGCACATTGAATATAAAGTGTCAAAAAATAAAAAAAAAAAATGTCACGATTATATAAGTTCATGTATGTAGTAGGTAATTTTAAGGATTATTATGTTACCACAAAAATTGCATCTGAAAAAGAAGCAGGTGTAGAATAAATTGTACGTTTAGCAAAGCTATTCCGAGTAAGTGGTTTAATTGCCTGTCGAACAAGAGAACGCATAGAATTCATTATTATAAGAAACAGAGAAGGGGTGGTGGTGGGGAGAGGAGAGGTTTAATTAATGAAAAAAAAAAGAGGAGATAAACAATGATGTTTTACTTCTTTTTTTTTTTGTTTTTACCCCTCCAAACTTCACCCCACAATATGTTAAAACCCAGATAAAAATATTTGTATTTTTTTTTTCGTGACGTAAATGCTGGAATTAAATTGCTTTTATAGATATAAATATTCACATGTGTGTGTAGATGCAAAGATTGTCTTTTGTTTTATATTAAAAAAAAAAAAAAAAGAAAATGACAGTGTAGTAAATAGTAGTAAATAATATATAATACAAAAATACATTTAATTATCTATATTGAGTCGATTTTCCCACTTTCATTATAACGATGATGTTTCACCTTCATTATCTTTTTCATTATCGAACCATTCGTTTTCCAGAGCTACTTTCCCTCCTGTTGGATTTCGTTTCTCTTTTCCTATTTCTGAGTCTTCTTCTTTATCTTTTTGTTCCTTTTCACCATCTAGGAATCCTTGAATATCTGGTGGGATTTCTTGCATTTGAATACTTGGTGCTGCATCTAGATACCTTAACTGTTCCATCACACGTTCTCTTACTTTAAGTAGATAAGTACGATCATTTTGATTCTCAACTCTTCCTTTAAGGTCCGGATGAAGTTTATAGTCGGGCTTAAAGAATTCACGATATTCATTAGGTGGTAAATCTTCACTTAAGGTTGTATCCGTTAGCACAGAGGTCTCGTATGTCCAGCATCGCGCGACATTGCGTACAGTATAACCTCCACCTCCAACAACTAAAAGTGGAATTTTAAAATTCTTAATAATCTGCACACAACGCCCATGAGCACGAATACTTAGATTAAAACACCCTAAACGATCACATCCTAATGAATCTGCTCCACATTGTAAAACGATAGCTGAAGGCTGGAAGGTATCAATAACAGCATCTACAACTTCTTTAAATAACCAGACATAGGCATCATCATCAATACCATCCCTTAATGGTACGTTCACGGAATAGTATTTGCCTAATGAAGTGCCAATCTCATCGATATGGCCTGTACCTGGGAAAAAATCACCGTTATATTTGTGAAAGGAGACTGTCATGACACGATCAGTTGAATAAAATGCTTCCTGCACACCATCGCCGTGATGAATATCAATATCAATATATAAAACACGAGGGAAATATCTAAAAGATTTATTAAGAAATGAGAAATGAATTTTTATTGCTTTTCTTTTTTTACCTTAATAATTCTAAAGTACCAAGGACAATATCATTTACATAACAAAATCCACTTGCTTCACTCTTTTTTGCATGGTGAAGTCCACCAGACCAATTAATACATATATCAGCACCATTAGCAATCAATTTACGTGAGGCTTCTATTGTTGCTCCTGCATATCGTTGACAAAAGTCATAGATGCCATCAAAAATTGGACAATCATCTCCAACATTAAATTTCTGAAATACACTTTCAAAACTATCTGCATTTTCAGGTGTCACTCTACCAAAAAGGGATGAAAATAAATATCTCCAATAAAAAAAAAATATGTATATATATTACCTCTTGAGGAATTCCACATAATCTGTTGAATGAAAATTTAATATTTCTTCTTCAGTTGCTCTTCTAGGTTGAAATATTTCCATTTTTTCGTGCATTCCATATTTCAATACCAAGTGATTCGTCAATGTTAAACGATGCGGTTTCATCGGATGACGTTCCTAAAAAAAAAAGAAAAAAGAAAAAAGAAAAAAGAAAAAAAAAAAAAAGAACAGAATTAGATGCATGCGATGGCCTGTAATATTTTGCTGCTTACACCATAATGATAATTGCCAACTCCTTCATCGTGGAAATAGGCGACTCTTGTTTTACTATGTGAAGCTAATCGCATACTACTCGCTGACATGTATTTTTGCTTTTGTTGTGTACGATAATCTTCTGAAAATGTGTAAATGTCGTCATCATCGTCTTCCGCTTGATTATAGCGTGCCATCTTATCAAAATTAAAAAAAAAAAAAAAAAAAAAAAAAAAAAAAAAAAAAAAATTAAAAATTATGAAAGAGAGAGAGAGAAAAAAAAAACATAATTGCGCTGAGGTTTAATTGTCAGGAATTTTTTCTTTAATTTACAGTGAACGATTAAATATTTTGATAAAATTTTAAAACCCATTCCAACACATATTAAAATAGGATTGCATTGTCTAGGCCAGATCAGAAAGGAAAAAAGAAGAAAACTAAAAAATCTCTTTGATAGTCAAAAGAGAAGGGAAAGATAGAATTATATATTTTTAGACACTAGATTAATGAACACATAGCTACTTGGCTAGGCTGGTATCAAGAAGGTAGGCAAGGGGGATTGTAGGAAGGATGTTACCATCGTGGTGAAGGTAATCAAGTTCAAAGAGTATCTTACATCTTAAAGGCTAGAAAATAGTTCCTGCAAAATTAATGAAACTGTTTCGTACGATGTACGGTAGTCTATGTCTATTGGGAGTTTGATTAAATGTAAAAGATAAAGGATTGGCCACTATGCTAATCGTTTATAGTAGTTGGTGCTGCATATAATCAAACAAACAATAGCGTAGGACCAAGTAAAATTGTTATTCATATGAAAGATACAAGATTATAAAATACCGTTAGGTAACTAGCCGAGATGCAGGTCGTTGGTACAATTATTGTTATCTATAATCTGATTATATTAAAATTAGAGTGTCATTATAATGATAGTCAAGTTCATAGAGAATGATTTAACTGACTGATTAATTAAAGAATAGCCTGCGCAGAAGTATTATTTTTTTTTGCAAATATTGTAAAGGCTTCTTTAAGAAATAGTATTAATGAAGACGATTTTATAATATATATATATATTTGTATATGTATATGAATATATATAAATTAACTTGAGCAGAGCAATAGATTTATGTTAATCGTTCAATAGTATTATGTATGTATGTATGTATGTATGTACGTATGTATGTATGTGTATTTTATTGCTTCAATGGATATTAATGATATTAAATAAATAGAGAACTAATTCTGATGGTTATTACATAATTTTGCAATCAGAATCTTTTGAATTTGGTTTGCCATTTTTATCTCTAGTTGGTCTTCTTTTAACCGTTGTGGTAGTTTGGTCAAGTAATGCACTTAACCTTTGTTTTGCCTTTTGATCTCCATGATCTGCAGCTGCTTTGTACCATACTTTTGCTTCTTCGAGGTTTCTCAACACACCTACACCTGTCTCAGTATAGTAACCTATTGCATATTCTGCCTTTGGTAATCCCTTTTCTGCTGCTCTTTTGGCCCATAAATAAGCCTCTTGATCATTCTGTCCTAAAACTCCTTCAGCACCAGTCAAGTACCAACCTGATAAAGCCAACTCTGCATTGGCATCATCCTGCTCTGCTGCCCTTGAATACCACGCAATCGAGCGTCTTGGATCAATAGGGCATTGTAACTGACCATTTTCATAGGCTAACCCTAATCTAAACTGTGAGGGTGCATAGCCTAATTGAGCAGCTTGACTAAATAACTGACGTGCATAATTGATATCAGGAATAATGGAAGGAATGTCATCATCTGTTTTTTCATAAGCTAAAGCTAACTCATGTAATGCTTGTGGATGATCTTCATCTGCAATCTGACTTCCTTTCAAAAACCAAGATATAGCTTCTCGTGAATTCTTGGCTTGTCCTAATAAGCCATTCAGCAAGATTAAACCCATCTTATATATAGCAGAGGGGTCACTTAGACTAGCTGCTTTACGATAGAATTGCATTGCGTAACGAGCATCCTTTCTGGTCCCTAGTCCCAATTCATAACATACAGCAGCCCTATAGGTACACTCAGGATGATTTTGTTTAGAACCTTGTACGTATAGGTTAAAGGCCTTTTCAGGGTCCGATTTAAGACCGTAAAGACCACCACCATAACAATTAGCTAAAAAGAATTGTGCCTCTGGTAAACTCATTTTATGTGAAGCTAACTTTTTGACAATTTTCATTGCTTCAGACATTAAACTCTCTTTAAGTTGATGAAAGCGTTGTGGGTCTTGAGGATTAGGCTTAAGACGTTTAATTGCATCTAACAACAAAAATCGAGCAAAGAAGAATTGTCGTTTAGGATCATTTGTAGATTCTTCACGAAATTTGTTAATATTCTCTACTGTAACAGGAGGGAATTGGGGGTCTGCAGGAGCATGAAGTCGATCATAACGTCTTTTTCCGGCTAGCTGAGCCATTTTTAGTGAACTGTCAGGCAGATAATCCTGATCTTCCATCATTTCTGGTAACACGTACGTCTGTTGTTGATTATAAAAATCATTTTCTTTAAATTGTTGATAATAGATAGCTTGTTGTTGTTGCTGATATGATTGTATATGTTGACTATTGTTTTGATGAGGAGGTAATGGAGGAGGGCCTGTTAAGGAACTAGTAGATCCATTATATGGAGTACTATAAGCGCTGCTACTATTACTATAATTACCCTTAACAGAGGCTAACTGATTATTCATAGTATAATAATGATTCTCAGTAATTTGAGGCTCTATTACTGTTGCCTGATAACCATTATTACTATTAGGTAATGTTGTCATTCGTCAATTGCAAATAAATAAATAAATAAATAAAAAAGGTAATGAAAATCAAGAATTAAGTCCAAAAAAACAAAAAAAAAAAAGAAGTCGTTTTTTTTATGACGGAGTTCAAACTAATCTTAAAATGGAAAAAAAAAAAAAAAAAAAAGAGAGAGAGACAGAGAGAGAGAGAAAAAGAAACTAGCATACAAACACATATTTCATTTAAGAAGGGTTTTCTGTGAAATAGCATGCAAATGTAGTCTTTGAACGTATAAGTATAATATTTATGGAAGCATTTAAATTAATACTTGCTTCATGTGATTATTTTTTTTAATCGAAACTATTTCTGACATAAATTTGTGTGGTTGTGTGACCTGCTAATGAATTACATAACAAAGTATGTAATTTTATTTTTAATTTTTCTTTTCTTCCTGCAACAATTTTTAATAGTTAATGAAATCTGTTACACTTTCTTCGCCAGAAGATAAAAACATTGTTCGACAGGCGGTTACAACTTCGGTAAGGACAAGACATACATTTATATTTTATTTCTAATCTATTCATTAGAAAATATTTACTGCCGCGGTGGCTAAACTTCATGTTGCAAGTCCAGATCCTTCTAGATGGACATATTCACAAATATGGGGTGCTGCTCTATTTTGTATTGATAAAGCAAAAAATAACTCGTTTTTTATTCGTATAGTTGATATTCAAGTAAAGTATATTCAAATTGTTTATAATGAATTATTAACATTTAATTACTAGAATGGTGCGGGGGTAATCTGGGAACAAGAACTTTACGAAGGCTTTCAATATGTCAAGGATGCTCCTTATTTTCATTCTTTTGAAACTGATGTAAATAATAATAATAATAATAATGATACGTGGTACATTGTTTATTGTATCTAACTCATATATACAAATATATATTTAGGATTGTTTGACTGCTTTAGAATTTGTAGATGAAGGTGAAGCAGAAGTATTTTATAAAAAAGTATCAAGTCGAGATTCTTTAACTAAGAATGTATTTTCTGGACATAAAAAAACACCAAGCGAATCAAACAAACGTAAAAGTAAAATTGATAAAAACCATATTGGTATGCCGGCTGATTTTAGACATGTTGGACATATTGGTTATACTCCTGGAAAAGGATTTAGTGTTCAAAACAATAACCCCGAAATGGGAGGTATCTTTGAGCAGCTAAGAGAGTTGGGTATATCTGCTGAAGAAATCAATGAAAACCAAGAATTTATTCAAGAATTTTTACAACAAAATGGAAACAATGTACAACATCTTCGCAATACTCCTTCAGCAGCTAATAATACTACTCCTCAAGTTCATACAGCTCCACTAATATCCTCATCTACCCCTCCTCCTCCTCCACCTCTTCCTTCATCAAGAAAGAAAGTACCTCCTCCTCCTCCTCCACCAGGACGTTATCATACTCAGCAACCTCCTCCTCCACCTCCACCAAGAAGACCTACTAATAATTTTAATGCTACTTCAACCCCTCCTCCTCCTCCTCCTCCTCCTCCTAACAGACAACCAGTAACAGGCCCTCAGGTACCTAATAGGAATAATAACAATAATAGAAGTATTCCTCCTGTCCCATCTATAATAAATCAAAACTATCCTCCATCTGCTCCTCATAGCGCTCCACCTCCACCTCCACCTCCTCCTGTTCCACCAATGAGTTCAGCATCTACTTCTCCACCACCACCACCTCCTCCTCCACCTATGAATGTAGCCTCTGTTCCACTTCCACCTATGAATGCAGCAGCTGCTCCTCCACCTCCACCTCCACCTCCTCCATCTATGGGTGCAGTACCACCACCACCACCTCCTCCTCCTTCTGCTCCTGGAGCAGCTCCTTCAAATCTGCCATCTATGTCTGACGGAAGAAGTAATTTAATGGCTTCTATTCGTGCAGCGGGTGGTTTTGGTGCACTAAAACAACAAGGCAAACTGAAAAAAGCTAATCCAACTCCATCCTCAAATACAACTACTGCTTTCACAAGTGCTAATAATAATAGTAGTAGCGCAGCAGCTGGTGGAAGTTTAGCTTCTAGTTTAGCAGACGTTTTGAAACAACGTAAACAAGCTATGCAAAGCGATGATGAAGATGAAGACGATGATGAATGGGAATAATTAAAACCCCGTTAAATAGTAAATAAAACATTTTTTCTGGTTTTTTTTTTTTTTTTTTTAATTGAAGCATTGATTATTTCTTATTTCCTTTTTTTTTTTTTTTTTTTTTTTGTAAATGTGGGAACCTAACGAACAATTGTTATTAAGAGCACCAGTTCGTTATAAGAAACATGAGGGTGTATTATTTATTACACCACGTAGAGTGGCTTGGCAACAAATGGGATCTTCACAGCTAATACCTTCCATTTATTACAATGACATTGCAGGTAAATTTGTATACATGAAATTACTTTGTTTGCAGTCAATTTACAATTGATTGGCTCTCTGTCTCTCTCTCTCTCTATTTTTTTTTCTCTTATTTATTTAGGATTGGCACAAACACCTGATTCTTCGGCCAAAGTGTTGCTAAAAATATCAGCCAAGGCACCTATTTCAAAAGATTATACATTTCAGTTTACGTCTATGAAAGCACTTCAAGAACGTGAATCGATTAAAGCACAAATTGGTGAATTATTAGCACGGGCAAGAGGAACTCCTACTGTAAGCACACCGTCGGCCATGACGACACCGACATCGACCTCACCGTCTACACCACAAGCTATTGCTAGTGTATCATCACCTGCACCGTCACTACAACAACAAGCCATTACAAATAACTTGATTGCATCAGCACCTACAACACCTATCAATCCACCTGGAACTCCCTTAACACCCTCTAGTCCTTCTCGACGACAAGAAGAGTTTGCAGAACGTCGACACCTCTTGACATCCAGTCGAGAACTACAGTCACTACATAAAGAACTAGTTATGATTGGGAAAAATTTAGACGAAGAAGAGTTTTGGTCAAGTCCATATATTAAGCGTATTCGACAGGTAAACTAGAGGGGAAAAAAAAAGAAAGAAAGCAATACACACATATAAGATATGCTGCGTAAAATAATACATATTTTTTTTTGTTAGAAATTAAAAAAAGATGTTACATCAAGAGAAGGGAAACAAAAAGGAAAATCATCTAGAATGGTTGAATTGAAACCAGGACAACAAGAAGGTTCAGACGTGAAATACACATTGACAAGTCAAATTATTCATAATATTTTTACCGAATTTCCTTCAGGTAAATTTTAGTGGGACAAAGAGATGATGATGATAAGATTAATTATTTTAATTTTGTTAGTAAAACGAGCATATCACGCTAATGTACCAGATAAGGTATAAGCATTCAACACTCTTCTTCTTCTTGATATTTTGTAAACTTAAATACATACTATAGATGACAGAACAAAATTTTTGGAAGCGATTTTTAGCATCTGAGTTCTTTCATAGATCACGTACAGGTGGTGGTAAATCACAATTAGCACCTTATGATGATATTTTTGACCGATGTTTACAAGAAGAGGATGAAGGTAAAAACAAGCTTGTTAAAAGAAGTGGGAATAAAGAATTCACATTATATGAATTTAATAGAGAATTCAAAACCACCTGCAATTACACGTATGGATAAAATTCGATTTGATATTGATCTATCATCCACAACGGAGGATCATATTGATAGTGGTAATGCACCTGATTTTACAATGAAGCCAGGAAGAGCATCTTTACCGTTAATTCGAAGATTTAATCGACATTCAGCCAGAGTACTTGAGACACCACCCTCGTAAAGTATCTATGAATTAAACAAATCTGAATAATTGAATATTAAAAATGAATCATACTTTTTTTGTAGTAAAATAAAGCGGCCTGAACCTAGCTTTGAAGAAGAAATAGAAAAAGATATTATTATTAAAGATTTATTAGATAAACCACCATCAGATAAAATAATTCTCGATATTCAAGATACCAGACGATACTTTGAAAGTCAAACAGGTGGTCTAGATAACCAAAATTTAAGCGAACAAGATACAAAAACATTATTGTCAGGCTATAAACGAAAATTTGAAGGCTGGCAGCCTGAGATGGCTAAAGAACAAGAAACTATAATGCAATCCAGATTAGCAGATCATGTTTGTATAGAGTTAACAAATACAATTAAAAAGAAAGTGAGACATTATGAAAAATCTGCATCAGGTTAGATAGTCCATATACATCACAATGTCTACCCTTATAAAGATATATACATGCATACTCATCTTTTTTTTTTCTTTTAGATGTCAAATTACCTCCTCAAGTACAACAAAAGATACAAAGCTATCACTCGGCTACAAATGAAATATTACGTCATTTTTGGTCTTCTTGGGAGCCTTATAAAGCGGATAAGAATATGAGAATGATTGACAGTTTGAAGAAACAACAAGAGAAATTAAAAGATGTTTTGACATATATAGTAAGTCATAATGGTGATTCAGAAAGATGCAAACAGGTAAGCCAAGTGAATTATAAATGAAGCTTGAAGACTTATCATTTTTTTTTTGTAGACATTATTACCTGTGATGCAAGCTGTTGAAAGAGCATTAGAGACGTCTAAAAAGCGTACTGTTAAAAAGAAACTACAACAACGATAAGAGAACTTTTATTATTATTCTGTTAATAAAGTTCATTGTAAATATTTAAAGTATATGAATAGTTGAGTCATTTTTTTTTTAAATGCTAGAGCAAATTATAAGTATTTAGCACACAATTATATCAGATTATTAACATGGTAGACAAGACTTTTGCTAATGACATGTATTAACTTGCATCCTTTGTTCTCTCTCTTTGCAAGCTAGTAGTAGTAATACGTCACATCTATTTTCTGAAGCACATAAACATATACATATACTTGTATATAGTTGTATACTGGTCGAAAATAGCTTTGTGGAAGGTGCAATGGCAAAAGATAGATAGTTTGATTTATTTATCTACCTTAGATACGGGATATGTATAAATATATCGTTTGAAATAAAAAAGAATATCACGAGAACATTCGACTAGATAGAGAACATAATAATGCTTCCTGTTGCAGTTAAAGCAGACTTTCCTTCTAAAAATATACATGTAGCATGTTCCATGTATTGCAAATAAATTTGTATTTACTTTCTATGTATGTAAATTTAACACTCTATCAATTTTTTTTTTCTGCTATTGTATTCAGTGCATTTATTTTTAAGCGGGATTTTTTTTTTCTAATATCGTATAGAATTATTTTCATTTATTCTCTTTCTTTTTTATTAGGTTCATAAAGTTAATAATGTCAACTGCAGAAGATGGTAGCAGAAAAAAATAAATAAATATGTATTTATAACATGAATATTTATATACATATACAAATATATATATATATTCTAGTGGCAAGTTTGAAGTTACGAATCCAAGAATTGGAAAAGCAAGAAGCTATCTGGAAAGAAAAACTAAAAGAGGAACACACACAACTTATTAATTTCCAAAAGAAATTAGCACAAGCAGGCACGCATCTTAAAACACTAACCCAAGAAAATGCTAGCTTGACTAAATCAGTTACTGAACAAAAAAAACAGCAACAGGAGATGACCGAGATGATGATGAAAGAAAAGAGCCAATTAGAAATGAAATATAATGATGACCATCAAACATGGACAAAGAAAGAAGAAGAGTTGAAAGAAGAAATTAAGAAAATGAACCAAAGCCATCAAAAAGGAATTAAACAACTCGTGTCTATTCTTGAGTCAACCATTAATGAAAAAGATGATGAAGCTACAATGCCTGATGTTTCTACTCCATCTTTATTAGACAGCTATATTAAGTCTCTACAGGAGATGTTATTGAACCAATCTTCAGAAGCAAAAAAGCCCGAGAAAGGTAAAAAAAAAAAAAAAAAAAAAAAAAAAAAAAAAAAAAATACTCAAGAATTATTATTATTTTACCAATAACTTTATTTAGAAATACAACAGAATTTAGAAATGAAAATTAAAGACTTGGAAAAGGAGATTAAAGGTAAATAAGCTTACATTTATGTAAATAAGAAAAATGCGTTTATGTAATAACTTCCTCTCTCCTCCCTCCCTTTTTTTCTTTTCTTTTTTTTTTTTTTTTTTTTTTTTTTGCAAGAACTTAAATTAATAGATCATGTCACAGTTATTGAAAACAGTTTGAAAAATATATTAAAAGATCCTGAAAATGGAATTGTTGATAGCTCAGTTCCACCTACAATTTTATTGGTTTTTGAGGAAGTTAGACATCTATTACAAGAACAAGGAGAGCGTATACAAAAGTTATCCAGTATGAATAAATCGGCCACTGAAGAAGGTCAAAAAGGTTGATATTATTTTATAATCCTAAATAGACTTTGATTTTTTGACGTTTATCTTACATAGATTTAAAGCGACAGATAACTCAATTAAACATGACCATAAATGGATTAATAGAAGAAAAAGAGAAAGCGATATCGGAAAAAGAAGATTTTGAAAATCAATCTATGTTACTAGAGACCAAGGTTGCAGAATTTAAATCAAAGTTAGAATCAACTGAAAAAGAGAAAAAGGAATGTGAAGATAGGGAAAAACAACTCAGTAAAGAACATCAAAGACTCTTGGGTAAAATATCACATATCAAAGAGACGCTTTCACCTCGTCTAGAGCAAGACAAACAATTGAGACAACGTATAAATGAACTCTCACAGGAACTCGAAACGACACGATCTGAATTAGAACAGTGTAGATCTAATCTAATATTACTTGATGAAGAACATTCCAGCCAAGTACAACAATTAGAAAATACAATTAAAGAACTGTCAAGTAAACTAGAAAGTGTACATCGAGAAAGAGAAGAATATGAGATGACAGCAATGCAACTCGATGCACATTGCAACCAACTTCAGGAACAATTAAAGACAAGTACTTCGGAGATTGAACAAATGAAGACAAATATAGAAGTAGACAGCAAAAAGAGAGAGTCAGAAAGAGTCAGTCTTGCAAATTTACAAACAGTACTCGAAGAATTTCAAGCAAGTAAGTTGTTTTATTTTATTTCTGATATATTATTTAAATACTTATACTTGATTTAAATGATAAGCCAAGGATGCTGAGATACAAGCTGCTGTAGAGCATATTGAAAGACAACTAGATGTTGCAAAGAGATCCTGGGCAGAATATGAAGAAAGAACACGAATTGCAGAGGTAAAGAAGCTAACAAAAAGGAATGATCCAATTTGTAATATTACAAAATTCTAGGCATCATTAGAAAAATACCAACAAGATGCTGGCAAAACAGAAAAGTTCGAAAAAGAAATTAAAGAAAAGAATCTTTTAATTGGTAAACTAAGACATGAAGCCATCATTTTAAATGAACACCTTGTTGAAGCTATGAGAAAGTTAAAAGAAGAAACAAGCGAAAATAATGTAGACCGGTAACAAATTAGCATTTAACTATATTACTTTATTTCTTCTTCTTAAACATATAAACTCTAGTCAACTCATTACGAATTTGTTGGTTGGTTTCTTTAATGCTCCAAGAGGGGATCGTAAACGGTTTGATATTCTAACTATCATTTCCAATGTTTTACAACTAACAGAGGAACAAAAGGAGCAAATTGGCTTATTAAGGCCTAAAAATAACACTAGTTATAACGGGCAACCCACATCACCTATCGTAGAACAACCACAAAAAGAAGTATGTATTGAATTATATAAAGCAAATATGTATATATGTATACATACATACATATATATATATATTATGGTATATCTCATACGTGTATATTTATATGTATATAATAGTCTTTTACAGATGCTTGGATTTCATTTTTATTAAAGGAATCTAATCCTTTACGTCGTAACCGATCAGAAGCTTATTTACCATCTATTGATAATAGTAGTAAAACTCCTGAACTTTAATACTGCGTGTACATAATAAACTTATTGTAACATAATTTATACTTCTTTATAATGCAATAACGACAGATGCTATGATAGATAATTAGGTAACAGATCGAATTACTTCTGATCTATGGGTATCTGGTTCTTTAACATGACTTGAATGATTCGTTTCATCCTCTTTAATGACTGTTGTTTTCATTAAATGAATGCTATCAGTTGAATTTGAAGGATAACAAGAAGGTCTCCTTTTCTTTTCCTTTTCAGATAAACTGCAATCATGATGATTTATCGTATTGTTACTCTTATTCGTTATGGTATGATCGTTATTCTTCTTTGATATAGTATTCGAAGAAGAAGAATCTAAAGTATCTACGACTATTCATATAGAATGATTTGTTATTAACGTACAAGTATATTCTACATTATAAAAGTATACCATTTCCATTTGCATCTGGTGGTTCAATCCATTCTGTTGGTATAACACAGGGGAACATTGTACCTAACTTGGCTGCACGATTAATCCATCCTGGTGCTGTTTTCCCTGTTAGTCGTTTACAAAGATCTTCTGAAAAATGGTTACAATTTCTGTACTTATTATGTTAAAAAAAAAAAGAAAAAAGCATGATTGTTAAACATGTCTTGTACCTTGTTAATAATTTATAAGATGTCCCACTATATTCTTTGGAAATATCTTTTAGAATTTTATCAACTTGTTGTCGTGTCAAGTTAGTATAGCCCATGTTAATTGATTGTCTAATGATATCCTTTTTTTTTTAATGATTCTACTACTTTTTTATACTTTTATATACCATATTTTACTTGAATAAAAGTCCCTGAAGCCCAGATTTCGGTCGAACTATAAATACACCTGTAACTTTTTCATAATCATGACCTCCAAAACAGTATTCATGTTCTCCTATTTCGATGCCTGAATGATATATGCCTACACATGTATTAACACACATATGTCCATATTATTGGATTTTTTTTTTTTTTTTTTACCAATTCCTAAAACATGACCTAATTTTGTAATGAAACTTGGTTGTAGCTAATTTATCCAATATATATTTTTGTTAAATGTATATTGCATTTTATAACATATTTTTTATTCATATTGCTATCTTTTATACCATATCATAAACATTTAAAAAAACTGTCATTTGTAGACAGTTTGTTTTGAAAGATGAAGTTAATTAATGTCATTGATTTAATGTAGTGTATGTTACCTTTGAGTTTATCTTCATTAGTATTCGTTTCTGTTTTATGTAAAGTATTCCGAACCAAATCGAACATTATAATGACATGTGTAAAGTACCAAAAAAAAAAAAAAAAAAATGTATATGTATGTGTGTATACTTCTTTTTATTATTAATTTATTATGTATTTAAAAATCCAATCACTATTATGTACATGTGTACAATATTTATTTATATTCATGTGCAACAATTTTTTTTTTTTTTTTTTTTTTTTTTTTTTTTTTTTTTTTTTGGTTACATGTCGTCAACAAAACATTTATCGATTTTATTGCCTGCATGGTATCATCAAGAAGAGGAATCTAAAAAGAAGAGTAAACGACCTGCTTCTGTTTATTCTAGTACTTCTTCAACTTCATCTTTTAATCAATCATTTCAAAATGCTAAAAAGAATTTATACCACATGTTAACTCAACAAGAAGATAAAAAAGAACAAAGAATAGAACAAAGTACATGTATACAACACACTTTAGATATATAACTTGACATACATTTTTGGCTTACATTACATTACAATTTATGTAGACATTACTGAATTTAAACATATTTTATTATTATGCTTAAATGATTGTTCAATTGGTTACTACAGAATAACGGAGCATATTCATCGTAGAGTACCAAAAATAGTTGAAACTAAAAAGAAGATAAAAGAGACAAGTGAGAAAGTGAATATTGCAGTATCTAACATTATTGATGTTAAAAAAAGTTTAAATGATATTGAGCATATCGAGTCCTTTTACAATATAAACAAAATGATTCAAAAATCAATGAAACTAATAGATAAATAAGCAATAAAAAGTAGATGTGTGTATATATTTATATGTATTTTCTATCATATGCATTTGTGTGTATATATAAGATATTATTATAATTTCATTTTTTTAGTCTTGTTTTTGGTTGAACACGTCTTTTTGCTTTTTGTAGAAGAGTGTTCTTTGATTAATTTGCTATAATAGTCAATAGCCTTTTCAATGATCTTCTTTTCACTAATACGACAAGTTAAAGCATAATATTTTCTCATATTTTCACCAGCAGCCTAAAATAGAATAATTAAGTTCATTCTATATTTATTCGTACAATTAGTTCATTACCTTATCACGTTCTTTAATATCTTCAGCAATTGGTTTCCATTCATTCTCTTCAAGGTATTCTAAGCGTCTGTATTCAACGAGAGCAAGGCATACTTGGTATACATTATGTCTAACATCACTAGGTACTTTGCTCTTATTCTTTGCAAGGTTTTCAAAATAAGTCAAAGCATTATTGACGTCTTCAACAAAAGTAGCAAATGTAGTTTCTGGTACAAACATCACATAAAGTAGACACATTACTTTGTCCTCAAATAATCCTTCATAATTAATAAAATAGGGACGAGAACGACCTTGCATACCATGTTCATCATAATCGCTGCCACCACCACAGCATTCATCATTTTCATCATGTTCGTGTTCGTGTTCGTGTTCGTGTTCATGTCCATGCTCATGTTCATGTCCATCATCACTACAACAACCATCTTGATCATCTTCATAATCATCTATTTGCTCTTCTTCTTCATCACCTTCAGAAGGACATAATACATGTTCGTTCTGTAAAAAGAATTCCCAACGAGGTCGTGTACGTTCTAATGCTAATTTCTCGATTTCTTTTTCATCATTCCCATTTTCTTGTCTTAAAATCTCTGCAGAAATAGCAAGACAGCATTCAACAATCGAATCTTCACTGATAGAAATATAATCATTCTTATTATCATCATAACAGAAACCGTATTTGCTCAACAAAGCAATATTAGGATGATCGCCATAAGTATTAAACACTTCCTCACCCTTTTTAATATTATGATCAACTACCATATCACAAGTATCCTTTTTCTCATCATCGTCATTGTCTACATCATAAAAGTCAATCCCTGCTTTTTCTAATTCTTCTAAATCAGGTAATTCAGTATCCATTGGCATTTCTTCTTCTTCATCCTCCCAATCTTCTTCATCCTCTTCTATTTCTTCATCATCACCATCATCTTCTCCTTTCTCCTCCTTATCGTTTTCTTTTTCTTCTTCCTCTTGTTCGAGATATGTAAGATATTCATGTTCACAATATTCTGGAGCACCACAAGCATCACACACTTCAAACTCAGTTTCGAAGTGAACATGTTCATTTTCGCCACGATGATTAAATAAATCCGCAAAAGGTACGAGAGCGTTTTCATGATAAGCATCTACTTCAAAAGCACGTGATGAGATCAAGGTAGATACTTTGATGAATCTATCAAATGAATAAGGATCGTCATCTAAATTAGTACCACGATCAAAAATATAAGGATGCTCTTCTAAAATAGGTTCAATCAATTCTCCATAATCATCTTCTAAATCATCCTTTTTTTTAAAAAAAAAAAAAGAAAAAAAAAGCAAAACTTTAGTAAAAATATAATAAAAAGTATCATTCATATTATCCAAATTTACCAAGTCATTTTGTACTGCTGATTCCATCTCAGTACCTCTAAATATTGCTTGTTCTTCTTCATCCCAAAAAATAGGAAGATCTGCACCTTGATCTGGAAGAGCTTGAAGATAACCATACCAAGGTGAAGCCTCTTTTTGTGCCATTTCGTATAATACGGCTAAAGCAAGAGGACAACCCCCTTCAAGGTTAGCCTCATCCAAAATATTAGCAATGCCCGTTGTTTTGATAGATAGAATGCATTCTTTAGGGATCTTGACAACTAGTCGTAAAACAGCATCATGTTAATGATTAAGAAGAACAAAAAAAAAAAGATTAAAATCTAGCTACCTGTTTTGCCCTTTTTTACATTTTTTTTAGCATAAACACCAAAAGAACCATTGACTTCTCGAATTTCTAAAGCTTCTTTATTCCATTTAATCTTGTGATCATCAAACCATTTTACTAAAAGGTCTAATCTCTTTTGATTTGAAGACGATGACATGATCACTATTGTGTGGTATAAAAAGTATGGATGTTATGTGTGAATTATACCAAATATTTTTTAAGAAAAAAAAAATTAATTGTGATAGTGACTATTTCTTTTATTATTTTTTTGTAGTACACATTATAGCTCAGAAGAGAGCAGTTGATTTGACTATGCAAAAAAAAAAAAATATTATTGTTAATATGTATAACGCTAGAAATATATAGTGAATATCTTTAATGATGTTTTATGAGTATTTGAATGTAACGGATTTTCTGTTATTGAGGATATAGAATAAGCATGTGTGATATTATTGTACTTTTTTTGAGTTGAATTTCACGTTATTCATGTGCTTATGTAATATAATTCTAATGTTGTTTGGCCACTTTAATTAACTAGCTTTTATTCTCGATTTTACTAGTTTAGACTTGTATGTGTGTGTGATCATGTAGGCTTTCTCTAGTGTTATAAAGCATGGATTTATGGTTTCAGTAAAAGCATATTTTTAGATTGATTTCTTTTTCTTTTTTTTTTTTTTTTTTTTTTTTTTTTTTTTTTTTTTTTTTTGCAATCATATCCGGTACTAGTAGTAACTTTAGTATATTTTAAATAATACGCTGTGTTCAACAATAAGGATATGATGTTAGTTATTATTAAATCTCTGTCGTCAAACTTTAAAATTACGTCAATTTTAAAGTATTATTTAAAATAAGGTTTATTGACACATGGAAGAAAAGCATGCATTGCATAAAATTAAACTAGGTAAACTATTTCATGTAGATCAATGTATATATTCATATATGTGTATACATAACACGTGATTTTAATCATTCATGCTTATTTCTATGGAAACAAATAAACAAAGAAAAACATAGCTATTATGTATACCTGGTGAATTTATTGTTGTTGTTATTACTTCTTCTTATTGATGATATGAAACTAATTGGCTATTCTCTTTCTTTTTATTTTTCATAATGACATAGACAATACACAAGAATAAATTTCCATCAAGGGTTTCTTGATCCCAAATAGTCATGATTGGATTAGGAAAACATAGTTTCTTAATAGCCTGGGACGTTTTATATATTACGTAACAACACGACTATTATTCCTTTTAACATGTTTTAATCATCTTTTTTTCTCTCTCATTTTCTTTTCTTTTCTTTTTTTTGTTTTTTGTTTTTTTTACTTTATTGCTTATTACAACTGAACAAGTATGTGGCTCTTTCCTGCATTTACTACATTAGGCTCCTTTTTTCTTCTTTTTAGTTTTCTATTGGAGCTTTTTATAATTATTGGTCAGATATCAAATCGACATTTCCTAAGAAAAATTTTTTATGCACGAGCATGGAATAATCAAGGTCAATCTTATAATCTGGGCTTATGGTAAGTTTGAAAAGAAGAACATGAAATTAAACAGAATTAAATTCAGATATGTATATATATACTATTATTTATTAGGAATTATTGTACTGTAGATGGTAATGGGGATGCTACAAGCTGTGCACATCCTTATGCAGCTTACAATTGGGCACAAACACCCAATATTGTGGACACTGTCCCTAATTTAGCTAATAGTGGATATATCAAGAGTCTCTTCTTGGGTCTCTTTATCTTACTTTTCATTGGTCTAGGTTTCAGCTTTATCCTTTGGCTCATGAGTTTACCCATTTGTTGCTTGAAACGTCGTGGTTGGGGATACTCAATGTCCACTCTTACCTTTATTAATTTCTTGGTTACCTTGGTCGCTCTCATCTTGGCTCTCATTTTAGTTTTAGCAGGCATAAAGAATTTAACAAGTGGTGCAAGTCCATGGCAAGCACATGCCGGGAATGCTCTTTGGCTTCATATTGGTGCTGTTGTTTCTCTTTTATTAGCCTTTTTCTTTTATTCGGGTGGTTCTTGCTTTGGACGCAAAGGCTCTGACAATAGACATTATGATGTTGAAGATAACAGAGGATGGTTTTCTAGAAGAAGAAGAAAGAATAGATCACAGGTTAGTCCAGTCTATAGCAACGACAAGGATAATCAATACAAGTATGAAAATTATCATTCCAACTATAATAATACGCATGTCCCCTTGGATACAGATAGGGGAAATCAATCTACTTATATGACTACATCTGGTGTTCAACCCATAACAACTACTGCCACTACTACTTCCCCTTCTTCTTATGGTCAAAATGCGAATACCAGTAATAATATAACTGGCCAAAGGAATACAGATGTATTGCAACAACCTTATATGATGTCTCCTAATTTAGAACGTCAACGAACACCTACTGGTGGTATTTCGAACACGCTCGACAACAATCATGTTCAGTCTCACTATACTAACTATAACCAGCAGCCTACCCATTTAACTACTGGTGATAGCAGTGTACCTCATGATCAAAACGATAGCTCTATACGACCTGGTTATCAAACACCGGTTCTTCAATCTGCAAATATAATTCAGTAAAGCAATATGCTTATTTATTATATTATACGAGGAAGGACTTTTATATATATATATATATAAATATTAGTATTATTTTTTATTACTACAATTTTACATACTATTAAACACGCTCGCTCATTCATACATATAAATACATATAATTTATTAAAGGCTAAGCTATTTTGCATAGTTACATTTAAATAAAGCATAATAAGGAATACAGACAATTGTATTAATACTATTGGAACATGTATCTAATAAATCAATATAACATTGTGTGTGTGTATGTGTGTGTTATCTTATTCTATTCTTCAACTCTATTTATTTATTTTACTTTTAACATAAAGAATGAATCAGTATTATCCATTTGAAGATTTTATATAAAGTTAATTTCTCCATTTCTTGTATATATATATACACATATACATTATATATTTACAGCTTCTTTGCCACAACAAATTCTTTCCATATATGCAAAACTTGTTTGATTTCTAAACATGTCATATCTGCTTATATATAAATATATATATATGTATATATTTGTAATAAATGTGTATTAGATAAAGCACAAAAAAAAAAAAATTAATAACGCCCTTTGTTGGAAATAGGATGATATTCTTCTCATTCGTGTTAAAGTGGAGATTTGGGTCTGAAATCGGCCCTTTAAACATTAGACAAATGCTTATAAATTAAAATTTCTTCTTTATGAAAGTCATGAAGAACAGCCTTAATCATCCTATTCCTTTGATTATTATTGACCCCTTGACTTATATCCTGTATATATTATACACATGTATTTTATATACATATATTTATATATCTATCTATTCGCTAAATAATTTGATAAATCTGTACAATTATCCGATGATGTCAATCTCTCTGCTTCTGTAATCGACTCACTTTTTTGGAACAAACTCAGAAATTACAGAAAGTTCGCGTTTTATTAAAAAAAAAAATCGCGTTCTTCTATATACATGTATTTATATAATAAAATAAGACGTGTTTTTAAGACGCGAATTTTTTATCAGCATTTATAAAGTTATTTTTATTTTTGTTTTTTCCCTTTTTTTTTTTGTTTGTTTGTTTGTTTGTAATATTCATAAACAAGGAGAGATTTGTATAAAAATAATAGAAGATGTATGTTATAAAGAGAGGTAAGCAATATTCTGATAAGCATTTTGGTATTATATCTAAAAAAAAAACTCCTTTTTTTTTCTAGACGGTACTCAAGAAAAAGTCTTTTTCGATAAAATTAGTTCTCGTATAAATATCTTATGTGAAGGTCTCGATGAAAACTTTGTTGACCCACCAAAGATCTCTCAAAAGGTTTGCTTTTAAATAAATAAATAAATAAATATACATAAATGTATATATATTAATGTCAATTGACTAAAGAATATAACGCTCTGTAGGTCGTTTCAAGCATGTATCCTGGTATTACAACAGTTCAATTAGATAACTTGGCTGCAGAAATCGCCGCTGATATGACAGGCATTCATCCTGATTATGCTATCTTAGCTGCTCGTCTCTCAGTATCTAATCTTCAAAAGGAAACTCATGATAAATTTTCCAGAGTTATGCAAGATTTATATAATAATGTTCATCCCATCACAAAGGCTCATAATCCCTTAATCTCCAAAGAATTTTTGGATTTGGTTTTGAAACATGCCGATAAAATTGATGCCACCATCGATTACCAACGTGATTTCGATTTCAACTATTTTGGTTTCAAGACACTTGAACAAAATTTCCTCATGAAGATTGGTGAGAAGGTTGTAGAACGTCCTCAGCATATGATGATGCGTGTTGCTCTTGCCATTCATGGTGAAGATTTAGAAGCTGCTTTCAAGACTTATGATCTTACCTCACGTAAATTCTTTACTTTTGCTGCTACTACTCTTATGAATGCTGGTACTCCTAATAATCAACTTTCAAGCTTCTTTGATGTCCAAATGAAAGAAGACAGGTACGCTTAAAAAATAAAGAAAGAGAGAAAGAGAGAGAAAAAAAATATCTAAATTAATATTTCATATTTAGTATTGAGGGTATTTACGATACTGTTGCTACCTGTGCTCGTATCTCCAAAGCATCTGGTTATGTCGGTATGAGTTTCCAAAAGATTCGTGCTTCTGGTTCCTATATTGCTGGTACCAACGGTACCTCTAATGGTATTATTCCCATGTTACGTGTCTTTAATGATGCCGCTCGTTATATTACCCCTGGTGCCAAAAAGGTAAAGGGTACTTTTACGGTTTATGTTGAACCCTGGCATTATGATATCTTTGAATACATTGATCTTTCCAAGAATAGTGGTGAAGAAAACCTTCGTGCCCGTCACCTTCTTCTTGGTCTTTGGATCCCTGATCTCTTTATGAAACGTAAGTTATTATCTATTTTATACATGTGTGTGTATGGAGGGGGGTTTCTATGCCTTACTTACCTTTTAATAAACTATTATAGGTGTTGAAGAGAATGGTGAATGGTCTTTAATGTGTCCTAACGAATGCCCTGGTCTTGATACCACTTATGGTAAAGAATTTGAAGAACTTTATATTAAATATGAAAAAATGGGTAAGGCAAGAAAGACGGTTTCTGCTCAAAAGTTATGGTTTTCCATTTTGGATGCTCAAATTGAGAGTGGTATGCCATTCATGTGTTATAAGGGTAAGTTATATATATATATATATATATGAAAAATACACGTATAAAATGTTAACATTTATTTAATTATAGATGCTATTAATGAAAAGAGTAACCAAAAACATAATGGCGTTATTTCTGGTTCTAGCCATAATACGAACATTGTTCAATACGCTAATGGTAACGAAATTGCTTCTACCAACATTGCCTCTATCGCACTTACCAAATGTGTTGATGCTCATACACGTACCTTTAATTTTGATGTCCTTCATGACTTGGTCAATGCTGTTGTTAAAGATTTGGACAAGATGATTGATGTCAACCATTATATCATGGATGAAGTAAAGGAAAGTGCCCTTAAGCATCGTGCACTTGGTGTTGGTATTCAAGGTTTAGCCGATGTCTTCTTAATGATGCACTATCCTTTTGACTCTCCTGAAGCACGTCAATTAAACAAGGATATCTTTGAATCCATTTATTTTGCTGCTCTTAAGGCATCTAATGAATTAGCTCAAAAGTATGGTCCCTATTCTGCTTATGAAGGTTCCCCTATGAGTCAAGGCATTTTACAACACGACATGTGGGGGGTCAAGGGTTCTGATCGTCTCGAATGGGATCAGCTTCGTGCTGATATTAAGACGCATGGTGTTCGTAATGCTCTTTTAGTCGCACCTATGCCTACGACGATGACAAGTCAATTCTTTGGTAATAATGATAGTTTTGAACCTTATCAATCCATGATCTTCACCCATCGTTCAGTGACAGGTGAATGCCAAGCTGTCAATCCCCATCTCCTCAAAGACCTTATTGAGCGTGGTATGTGGAGTACTCAAGTAAAGGATATGTTAGCTAAGGCCAATGGTAGTGTTCAAAAGCTTCCTCTTATTTCTGATGACCTTAAGAAGCTCTACAAGACAGTTTGGGAAATTTCTCAACGTGTGATTATCGATATGGCCGCTGATCGTGCTGCCTTTATCGATCAATCCCAATCCATGAATTTGTTCTCTGCTGATCCTAATTATAGTCGTCTTTCTTCTATGCATTTCTATGCTTGGAAGAAGGGGTTAAAGACTGGTATGCAATTCCTTAAGACAAGTCCCCTTGATGCTATGAGAATGAATATGGGTGATGAATCAAAGGATGATCTTGAGGAAGAAGTTGAAAAGACTGCTGACCAATTAGCTGCTATTGCTTGTTCTCTTGAAAATCCTGAAGCTTGTGTTAGCTGTAGTGGATAAATAATATACAAGTTTTTTTTTTTTTTTAAAAAAAATATATATACATATATATATCATATATGTATATACATATACATACATACTGTAATATAGACTTCACCTCTCCCTTTTTCAAAAAAAAAAGAAAAAAAAAAGAAAAAATAAATTTATTCATAATTGCTCCCTTCTCTTTTATTTACATATATCAATTAGAACACATAATAAATTCATTTATAAATAAAGATTTTTTATTTCAAGTAGCACTCTGAGTAAACAAATTTTTTGCTATTAATATAAAATTATACATGTCCAGTTAATGAAGCTTAGGACACTTCTTTGCCTCTTCATTATTAGTTTGAATATGACCTTGATCGTCAATGATCATAGGTAGACCTGTAATTTTCTTATGAAGTTCACTTGCTTCATGGGCAAATGTCTTGCGTTCTTCGTCAGAAGCAGCCTATTCATATATAAAAAAAAAAGACGATGTTTATATAATTGTATATAATATCTATTTTTTTTTTACATACTTGGTGAGTCTTTTCAACTAGTTCTTCAAGTTTAGTACCAATAGAGTTCATTGTAAGGATAATAATAAAAAAGAAAAGATAATTATTTTCACAGGTTTATTAACTTTTCTTTTTTTTAATGTTTCAAAAAGAAAAAAAAATGCCGTCAACTTGTTTTCATTTGGATCAATAACAACAAAAAAAAAGCGCATAAATGATGAAAAAAAAAACTCATTTCTTCTTTATAGCTATATGACATATGTATTATGTAAAAAAATAAAATATAATAAAATAAATAAAATAAAAAAGACGTATTGTTAACGGTTAATAGAGAGCTTTAAATAGAAGGGAATTCTATGAACCTATTTAAAGAAAATATATGAAGCAAGTTAGTGACAAATTTAACTATTTTTTTTTTTTTTTGAGAAAAAGACTTACTCCAAATTATTTTTTTATTATCACCATTTAAATTTCTGAATTAGCCAATATTTACCAGCCTTACTGTATATGGTGGTGAAAACAAACAAAAAAAAAATCTACAACTTGTCTTTTATGCACTGAAAATAAACGATGCTTTTAAATGACTGCATACAAGCAGTAAATTTTAATATGAAATATAAGTTTTCTGTTACATACAAAATAATCATTTTACAGCAAAAGATATTTACAAATTTCATTTTATTTTAACGGGTGTCTTTAAATTATTATTATTATTATTAGTTAGTTAGTTAGTAGTAGTAGTTGATAAGGCTGTTGAAGAAGGATTGACTTCTTGTTCTTCCTCTTTTTCTTCTTGAGTACTTATCGATACATCTTCCATAGGTGTATCTGCAACCATAGGTGATGCCTTCTGTGATAACGAGTTTTCTTTATTAGACGGTAATCTTTGTGGCTTTTGATGTGATAATTTTTGAAGATGCTCTACTGATAAACCCATTGGATTAGAACTGTCTATAGTTTGTGCAGCGTGGGCTATAAGTTTATCATCCATCTTCAAAAACACTTCACTACCACTTTTTACAATGACAGGTGGTCTAAAATACTTCTTTCGATACTCATCTAATTGCCCTAAATTAATATCAGATCCACCTGTCACTAGTATGACTAAATTAGAATCCTGTTCTAATGAGGGTAATATATCACGAATCACTTGTGTATAACATAAGGATAAACCAGCTCCAGATGCAGCTTCCACAAGCATTTTGTTATCCTCTTTTTTTTTGGGAGGGGAGCAAAAATATACATATAAAAAAAAAGGAAGGACTGGTTAAAACAACTTACTCTATAGACATATACGACTACTATGTAAAAAATTTACCTGCAAAAAGCCTTACAGCGTCAGCAGCCATTGCATCGCTTACGGCAAAGGGGACAACAGGATGAACCAAACTTAGCTCCAAGGATTTAGAACTAATAGAACTAGATGCTAACCCTGATGCAATTGTAGATATTTTCGATAATTTGACGAGTTTACCAGCCACGACAGATGCCTGAAAGGCATTACTACCATGTGTCTCTACAGCGATCACTGGCACTTCTTTCCATCCTATTTCTTGTAATCCCATTATCACTCCATTTAATAAACCTCCTCCTCCTACTGGACAGACAATAGCTGCTGGTGGGTTATTGTCCCCTAATTGAGCTTTCAATTCATATATAATACTAGAATAACCATCCCAAATATGTTCATGATCTGCTGAAGGAACATAAATACTATCTCCATAAAAAAAAAGTATAAATACCCTTTGTGTTTATGAATAGTATATACATATGTACATTTACCCATTTCTCTTTACTAATTTTCTTGCATGTGATTCTGCTGCAGCCCAATTCTCTCCAAACAAAATCAATTGAGCTCCTTCTAGTCTTATAGCATCACAAATTGAACTTGGTGTCTCCTTCGGCATCACAATAATTGCATTTACATTCAACTGTCGTGCACAATACGCTACAGCTAAAGCAGTATTCATACTTGATCCACAAACTAAATGAATATCCGTTCCTCTTGATTCTACTGCTTTATAACAAAAGTTTCCAACACCCCTTTTTTTTTTAATAATAATAATAATCACAAATAAGATTTCTTCCTTTATCTTTATTTTATTCTAGCTATTTACCTCATCTTTACTGACCCTGAAGGTTGAAGGTTTTCCAGCTTATAATATATATTACTGTCACAAAAAAAAAATGCATATTTGTTGGTGCCCAGATACATTTTGTTATTTATTTATTTTTTCTTTATTTATTTTTTTTTTTTTTGTTTTTGTTTTTGTTGCTTTTTTTACCAGTCTAGTTTAACACTTAATTTTGGCGAATGAATAAGTGGAGTATATACATGGAGTGTTTGTGAATTAGGAAACCCATGCTGTTCATCGTCCGAGGAATCGTCCATTACAGAATAAATAAATGACAAACAATTTTATAAAAAAGAGTTTAAAAATAAATAATAGAAATCGAAAATAAATTTTAAAAATCAGGTCAGTTAAAAAAAAAAAAAGGCGCGTTATTTTTTTTTTTTTTTTTAGTTGGTCGCATTCAAAGTTTCTAAAAGTTGAAAAATACGTGTTTTTTTTCATTTCGCGTTTGCTTAAGGGTTTTCGAGAATAAAATTATGCGGAGTGAAAAAAATGAAAATAAAATAGAGTTTCTCCTTATTCATTTTATAAATAATGTTAGAGGAATTGCTTCAAGAATCAGGGTGTCAAGTTGATCCCTCCACAGTTGTTTTCGGTATGTATATATGTATATATACATATATGTATATACATTCGTAATTATATATGTAATGGGACTAATTTAAACCTATCAAGTTATTGAACCTGTTTTATTTCGTAGAAAACTTGAAATCAAATTACGTAGTCAGCCTAACCTACTTGATGAATTTCTTGAAGATTTACAAGTTTATACACAAGATCCTTTAGATTTTCGAAAATTTTTATTACCTTCTAGACTTGCAGATAGTGTTCCAAGAACGCATCGGTAGGTAAATGGTTAGATAAATAGGTTTAAAGATCACTCACGATCTTTGCTTTTTTTTTTTTTTTTTTTTTTTTTTAGTAATCATACTTCAAGTACAGAAAGTTTATTTAAAACACTATTAGCCATTGATTCACTTCAGCCTGAACTAATTACATATTTACTTGAAAGACTTCCTGAATTTTATGATGAATTAGAAAATAAGTAAAGTTTTGAAAGAAAAAAATAAATAAATAAAATAATATAAATATTGACTAAAATTATTTGTTTAGTAATAATTCTAGTTCTTGCACAGCACGCTTAATTCTACATCAATTACGTTGGCTAGACTATATTGCTCAACCTGAGGAATTAACTGGAAAATTAATAGAAGTAAGTTACAGACTTTTTTTTTTATTATTCTATTTAGCGTACTTAAATATTATTATAACAGATAATTCAAATCACACCAACTGTTATTCAACATGAAATTATTACTTCACTACCAGATATTATAAACGATTCAGAACATAAGGTATAGAGATTTGTTCTTTTTTTTTTTTTTTTAAAAAAAAGAAAAGAAAAGTTGAAGATTAAACTAATGATGATGTTTTTTTTCCCTCATCTATGAAGCCTATTGTTATTTTTTTAAAAGAATTAATGAATGATAACCCAGAGTTGACAGTGTCTGTTCTTGATGCCTTGTCCAACCTAACACTTCATTCAGAAAGCTTAGATGATGTTCGAGAAACAATTTTAGATCAACTAGAATCTGCTGAATTAGATGATTTAGCTGTCATAATCAAATTTATGCTTCAGACCGTGACACCAAATACAGTGGATACGATTATTTATGGTATTCGACAAAAGCTAGATTTTAGATCGTTGAGTAAAATTCATCCATCAACTCAAAGAGCAACAAAGCATGCGCCAGAAGCTTTTATTTTAGAATCCATTAAATTAGGATTACAGTTTCATAAATTTGTTTGTGATGCTTGGTTCAAATCTATTGTCGCTCTAGAATCCCAGGTAAAATTACTGTGAAGAGTGGGAGTAAAAAAAAAAAAATGTTTATTATTAACCTGACTTTTTTTTTTAATAATTAGCGTGAACATAAGGTGATTGATATGCTAGTTTTAATTATATTATACTCAATGACGTCCATAAAAAAGAAAGTGGAAGGTGTTATTAGAAAGAAAATAATAAAAGGACATATTACTGCTTCACTTATCCAAGAAACAATTATGTACCATTCAGATGGCCTTGCAGGGTAAAGCCATACATATACATATATAATACAAGTATTATTATTAATACCTGAAATAGATATTGGAATACCATATTATCATTATCAGAAAGCTTATTGCGTTCTTGTCAGCAGTTTAATGTAATATCGCCTTGTGCAAGTACTTTGTATACGAGTTCATTTAAATCTACGGATGCATATTTTAGACAGGTTTGTATTTATTAAAAGCTAAAAAAAAAGGCAACATAACTCATACATGAAATAGGAAATAATCGGCGCACTTGTTACACATATTGGTAGTGGTATAGAAGTAGAAATGAACATAGCTTTAGAAGTGTTATTACAATTAGTTAAAACAGACGTATGCAGTGTCATTGTTTACAATGTGTTTATAAAAGGAATTTTGGATTATTTGGATAATTTAAGTATATATCAAATTCGTACATTATTTGATATTTTTAGTCTTCTTGCATTAACTGTAAGTATTATATAGAATGATAGAGAATGATTGTTTAAACTTTTATATAGACAAGAAATCCAGGAGATGGGTCAGCTAATCTTTGGACCGAAATTCAAACCATTATTCGTAAGCAACTTTCAAGTCCTAGAGAAAAATATAAAAATATTGGTATTATTGCATGTTTATCAGCTGTCAAAGTACTTGGATCGAAAGAGTTATGCAACAATAGTTGTAGTATTCAGAACAATCAAGTAGGAGGATCATCAAGCTCACAAATGTCTTTAGCACTTAACATAACTGATGCTACACTTCGACACCCTCTTTTGACACAGGCAACTCAAATTTTAGAATTAGCCTTGAGATATTCAAAAGAGTATCCAAATTGTATTGCTCTCATTTATGATGAGTTAGCACATATGTTTAGTAGAGAAGAGAAGGGAGCACATATGGATGAAAGATTAGAATGGTGGGTAAAAGAGAATATGGCATCTGATTTTACAGAGTTCTACGTAGTAGCCATAGCGGATGCTCTTGAGTTTATTGAAGAAGCACAGAAGAATCACTATTTAAAATTAGAGCCTGCACGTCAAATGAATTTAGATGGTGAAGTATGTTTTATAATAATAATAACAATAATAGTCTATTTGAACTTACAAGTGTGTATGTAGGGAGAACAAATAGCTATCAAGATGTATGAATTAATCTACAACCCAGATTTAAAAAAGAAAAAGGCAATGGTAGTTCCCATGTGTTCCATCTTCAATTTAATTCAAAGTTGTGAAAAGCAATTAAATAATGGAAGCCTTGTAGAAATAGATGCTTTATTTGGTTGTAGTATAATTATGTTTAATCCTGAGAATTTAAATGACTTGTCAACAAATGAAATTGAATATGCTTGTGATATGTTATTTTATACAATGAATTGGTAATGATAAAGATACAAGTCAGATTTTATGAGTAAGCTATCCCTCTTATATTTTACTTGAAGGTTTAGAGAACTATTAAATGCATTCATGTTTACAAAAGAAGAAAATTACAGAGTAAGAATAATTTCCCGTTTAAGAAGTATTCTCAAAATGGAAACATTATTGAACCAATTAATGGAACAAGTACCCAACTATGCGCCCTTAGAATTCCATAACGTATCACCGACAAATTTGGATGAACATAGCAATCAAATTATATCCGCAGGAGTAGGAGAAGGAGAAGATAGTATGAATACCAAGTCAATTAAAAAAGAAAAAGCCCATACGATCAGATTTGGAACTGTGAATGAAATCAAGCCTTATATGAGAGCATTCTGTGTATGCTATTTTTTTTTTTATCATTCTATGTATTGTTTGAAACTATGCTTATCTTTTTTTTTTTTTTTGCATAGATTCATATTTTAGAAATATTCAAGTATAACGAAGAATTAGAGGATGAAAATGAAAAAATGACAGTAAGTAAAAAAGCTCCAAGAGTTATATAAAATAAATGATAAGCTTATTATTGATGTATTTAGTTTGAAGAAATCAATTATATTTTGGAAGACCTTAATCAGAAAATAGATATCAAGATTACCTATACATCTTCTTCTGTTAATCATCATTTTGGAAAAAAACCAGTCAATCTAATTGACGAAAAATATCCTTCTTGTAACTCAATTATGTTGGGTAGAATTGAGTCTCAAACATTTATGAAAAAGGTAAATATATATACATACATACAAACATACTGGTTCTCTCTCTATGTTAATCACTTTTATTTTAGGTTGTTCTTTATTTGCCATCTATTTTACAAACACTGGAAAATCTTTATGCTGAGTTACAAGCAAAGGTAAGAAAGAATGATACTAATAAAATACATAAAAGGAATCATTGATATTTAAATTGAATGTAGGATATTGAACCAGGGCGTATTCATGTAAGATTTTATTTTGTTTGTTCATCAGACATGAAAAAATGATTCTTTTTTTTTTTTTTTTTTTTTTTTTTTTTTTTTTTTTTTACTTTTATTTAGGGATCAGAGGAACTCGTTCAAGCTGTCTCACATATATTCAACATTTTATATAAACTATTATGTTGGAATGAACTTCAAAATTCAGATAATAATGACATCTTGAAAGAATTCGTACATATTCTCGCTAATCGTGTATCTGATCATGATACTATCAATGATTGTCAAATAGCATTCAAAGCTGAATTAATGGAAGCATTTCGATATTTATCAAATTATGGTGATGGAATACCTCAAGCAACAATGTCAGTTTTATTATTTAAAATCTTACAACGTTTAATGTCCTTTTCTGATGAAGAAGGAATTGAAAATTTAAAACAAGATGCATTAAAAGTAGTTGAGCAAATCATTACAACACCATGGTTTGACTGGCGTGATATTAAGAAAGAAATACCATTCTTATTTGAACAATTTATTGAATTAAATCAAGATCCTTTATCTATTCTTCATAACCTTGTTGATATTGTGTTGCCTGAATTTGAGGAAGAACAAAGTTTAGAGCAATATCCTTTATTAAAGGAAGAAACAATTGTTCAACACTATCAGGTAAATTCTCTCTCTTTTTATGCAGTATATCCTTTAACACGTATAAACATATACTTTTCTTTTTAGGCTATCATGAATCAAATAGTAAAAACACTGGATTTACTTAAAAATACTAATCAGGATTCTGAAATTATTCTAGTGCAAAATGCTCAAATTGTGAAAATATTCGAGAGAATTACAAATTATGTTAAAACAAAGGAGCATAAATCGTTATTTAGTATTTTATTGAAGACAGGCCGAGTATTTATTGAGCAATTTACAAAATATTCTATTCCTTATTTTACAAAAATATTTAAAACACATACGAATGAAGTAGTTAATATTTTTAAAGATTTTCAATCCAGTACTCGTATGCTACAGGTAAAAAATAGATGAATAATTATTTATATATACCATTTTAAGCATACTATTTCTATGAATAGATTATTTGTTCTCATGTCAAAGTATTAAAAGAAGTACAATTAGCTTCCTATGTACCACCCTTAAAGAAAGCTCTAGAAATTGTTATTTATCAAGTCAAAATGCTATTAACTGAAAATCGTATACCTTCGTCTGCATTTTTTATGGGTAGGTAGCTGGGGGAAAAAAGTGTAATTTCATCCTATAATTCTAATTTTTTTTGATAGGTGCATTGAAACATAGAGACATTAATGGGGTTGAAATATCATCTCAGGTAAAATTTTGAAATTTGTGTAACACAAATAGAAGGTATAATTTTGCAGTTTCTTTTTTTAGATTCCGCGTGAGGCCTATTATGATGAAGATAACAATGAAGTGGAGGAAGAAAGGAATGAAACCCCAATGTTATTAGCTGAAGATAATCATCAAATCCCAGCTAATAAAAAAAAGCATGCTGAAAAAGGTCTGAAACAAAAAAGAAATACGAATTCAAAAACAACGGGAAGAATAAACAAAAGGTCAGTATCAGTATCCGATGATTCTTCTACTGCTGCTGCTGCTGCTGCTGCTGCTGTTTCAGGTCAAACTTTTTATAGAACATCGAGTATTGTACCTTCTTCTTCTGAAGATGAGGATGAGGAAGTATCTGTTTATGAAGGAAAAAAACGTTCAATTGAAGCTGCTCAAAATGAAGAAGAAGAAATATTAGAATTCAATTTAAATTCTGAGGAGGATGAAGAAGAAGAAGAAGACGTACTTCCTACATCATTATCACCATCTCCGCCTCTTGATCCTTCATCAATTCAGGAAATGCCAATTAAGAAAAGACGTCTTGGTATTGGACGGTCTGCTATTCCTTCACAAAAAAAAGTTTTCAATCTCACTAAACGCCCTTGAGACAAAAAAATAAAAAAATAGAGTGTATACTTTTTTTTTTCTTTTGAAACAAAATAGGATTAACAATAATAAAGGCTATATTTTTGTTTATTTCTGAACTTTAAATAAATAAATAAAATGACAGTATTCTAAATATAAATTCCTTATTGATTTACAACATGTGAGTTCCATTTGAATTCCCCAACTGCAAAGAAGTTCCACAATTTCAAATTTTTACTATTATAGAAAGAAGCATAAATGTTTTAGATTTTTTTTTTAAAAAAAAAAATTAAAACCTTCTTTATTATATTAGTGTAGAAATGAATGGGGTTTTGAGAAAGGCTGGGTATAAAGGAATTTTTACCGTAAAAAAAAAAGAAAGAAAGAAAGAACGAGAAAGAAAAAGAGAGAAAGAAAAGAAAAGAAAAAGTAGAAATACAAACGTACTTCAAAAATATATTTCAAGTCTATAACGCTGTCTTTTTTTTTTTTTTTTTTTGTTAAACCTTCTTTTGAGTGACGATACGTCGAGATTGAGTATAGTAATGGAATAATGCAGTCATGACTAATAAGATAAATAAACCAGTCTTAATCAAGTACCTAAAAAATAAAAAAATAATTAGTGTTTTTTTTATTTTTATACACAAGTATAAAGTTGTATTTACCAGTAATTAGTAGATACAATTGTTGATGGTAAAGATCGGGCCACTATTTGTTGCTGTTGTTGTTGCTGTTGTTGTAGTTGAGAAATGACTCGAGCCCCATAATAGGGCTTTGCAGCAACGTTTTGAAAAGAGAAAGGTGAAACAATAGCTAGACATAAGAACATGGCCATAAAGACTTTATTACCATGATTACTATTATTGTTGTTATCTTCTAGTAGGGATCTTTCACTGCCAGCAGTATGAATATTACCATTTTTTAAATCTTTCTTAGAATGTTGGTTAATAGAGGGTAATGATGATGATGACTCTATCATGAAGACTTGTTGTTGTTGTTGTTGTTGTTGCTGTTGCTGTTGTTGTTGTTGCTGCTGCTGTTGCTTCTTCTTATTGTTAGTATTCTCTTGTTGTTGCCTTTTCGCTCTACGACGATAAGGTCTACGTTCAGGTTTAGGTAATAACTCAGCCAAGGCAGCCCTTTGAGCAGCACGTTCACGGAGTATTCTTTGACGTTCAGCCTTTTCACGTTCCTGTAATTCCTTGCGTTCCTGAAGCATACGTTGCTGTTCAGCCTGTTGAAAATCATATTTTTGAGATTGAAAGCGTGCTAGTACCTTGGCTCCACCTGGCATTTGAGCTAGGATTTGTTGAAGGACTTGATTTTCTTGTTCAGCCATTTCATTTTTATGTTTCAAGTAATAAATATATTCAGTGGCTTTTAATAGAATAGTTGCCTTATTCAGCTTTTTAGCTACTTCTACACCATCAATGATTTCGCCTGTATGATCACTATCAGTAGATGCATTATCTTCTTCTTCTTCTTCTTCTTCAGAGTCTGCACCTGCACCTGCACCTGTTGCTTCTCCTTCTGTTCCTCTTCCTCTTCCTCTTCCTACTTCTTCTTCTTCATTCCTGGACTTTTTCTTTTCTCTTATCTTTGCTTTATAGAGTGCAGGAACGACATTTTTTAAATCACGAATGCGGTCATTGATATTATTACGATACCGACGTTCAATTGCATTATGAGCTACTTTTTTCAATTGGCGACCTGTCTCAATGGGGGAACTGGAAGAAGAACGAGCGGCAACAGCTGCAACAGCTGCTGCTATTAAATTTGTTGTATTACTAGAAGTAGAATCATTACGTTTCGTTCTTCTCCAATAACGAGTTTCATGATAATCTTCTTTAAAGTAAACCATGAACAAAAAAAAAGAAAGAAAGAAAGAAAGAGAAGATATATGTGAATTTCAAGTTTTTTTTTTTTTTTTTCAATTTATATTTTTTTTACCTTCTTCATTTGCTGATTTGCCCCATTTTTCGATAGTAGCAAAGGCATTTGTAAGAGGCGGAGGAACATCGATAGGAGATATATGAGCGGGTTCAGATTGAGTAGAAGTTGAACTAGAGTCAGAGGAGTGGATTGAATTACGAGATTGAGGAGTACCAGGAAAGGCAATTTCTGATATTGGCGTAGCTAGACCATTATTAATAGGAACGGGAGCCATAGATGAATCTGATACAGTTGTAGTATTCACGGTCGTTGCTATCGTGGTATTGTTTGATAAGTTATAATGAGTGTTATGATACCCACCATAATCTTCTCTTTTTATGATTAATGGAGTAGGATGTTGTTGGCTTATATCATATCTAGTAGTAGAAACAGGTGAAGGGTTATTGGATTGTGGGGTAGAATAAAAATAATCCGTTCGAACCGGTGAGGGATGATTGTTATTTATACTTGGAGTTAAAATAGGGGTGTGTACATTGATTGTTTCTGTAGGCTGTTTTTGTTGTTGTGGCTGTTTCATACACCAGTCTAGCATTTCAAAGGAAGAGGAATCATTATGCTGTTGTGGCTGTTGGTGATGATGACGTTGATGTTGATGCTGATGCTGATGATGTTGTTGTTGATGATGATGATGATATGGATGTTGTTGCTGTTGCTGTTGCTGTTGTTGCTGATGTGGTATATAATAGGGCTGTTGGGCTGGGTTAAACTTTGGAAGGTTTAAAGGCTGTGTAGGATGAATGGGCTGCTGAGATGGATTTTGGTGTTGATTATAAAGTAATTGATGATGATGTTGCTGCTGCTGCTGTTGTTGTTGTTGTTGTTGCTGTTGTTGCTGTTGAGGCACCTGAATTGGATTTGGTGCAACATTAAAATAAGTGTCAAAATCCAAACCCGGAATCCCTTGTTGTAACATTATTAAAATAAAGGAAACAAAGACAAAAACAAAAAAAAAAAGATAGGGGAAAAAAAAGGAGGAGAAAAAAAAATTAAAATATAGTAAATAAAGTTTTTTTAAAATAAAATAAAAATAAAATAGAAACATGCCACTTTTTTTTAAGTTAGAAACAATAACTAGTTATTTCTGTCATTTAAAATTCGTGTTTTCTTATAATAGTTTTATTCGACGATCACGTCTTCAATAATGAAATATGTTGGCTAATCCTGTCGAGTCAATGCGCTAGTTCTCACTTTCGCTGTTATAGAATAACACAGGTAAATTTATATCTAATAGTAGTTGTGCATCTCACACAAAAAAAGAAAATATGTGTTTACATCTACAAACACAAACGCTACCATTAATACATGATAGAAAATAAAATAAAATTCCATGTTAATTTATTCTAAAATATATCTTTCATTCTTCTATACGCTTTTAGTTGGCAATTTTTTTTTTTTTTTTTTTTGACAATAATCATCAATTTACTTGCTTTTTTCTTTATTTATTTGAATATCAGCTTAATTCGGAACAGCTATCAGAAACATGAATCCCACTAAGTGACAAAAACATTCTTTTAAATAAATAACTAATCAAATATATACAAAAAATATTGATTTTTCTGTATTTGGTAGTTGTTCAAAGAAGATAATAAACCTGCTATCTCTATTCTAACAGTTCTAATTATTCTATAATGAATGAAAGTAATCAAACCCATTCATATATAAACACTAGCTAGTAATTTAACTTTTTAAAGTAAGACCTCCTCTATTTGGGATTCAATACAGATAATCTTGAAAAAAATGGTAAAAAATAATAATAATAAAAAAGTAGTAATAACGATATTCCTAATAAAGAAAGAATTTTTAGACTAATTTAAAATAGAAAAAGTTACTTTTTGTTATTTGCAATAAAGATAAATATTGAAATTTATTACCTTTTTTTGATTTGAATTAAATAAGAATTTGAAGTTTGTTTATTTTAAGCTTTGATAGACAGAAAATTTTAATTTTTTTAGACAAATTCAGATGGTACAGATTTGTTCTACTTTAAAATGTAAAGATCACACGCTATCTATTTTGCCATTTTTAGTAAAAAGAAAGCATAATTTTCTTTATTTGTTAATTAAAATCCTGATTTTCGGTAACTCATGTTACATATAATTGGTATATTTTGTTTTGTAATACAAAAATACATAGTATTTAAACACAAATATTGTTTAATAAACTATTTATATTTTCCTATTCGTAGATTGAAGTTTTAGAATATTTGCTGTAGCATAAACATGTATAATGTGTGTGTGTGTGTGTGTGTGTGTGTGTGTGTATGTATATGTATATGTATATGTATATATATATGTGTATGTATATGTATTATATATATGTGTATATCTATCTTAGTTGTAATATTCTCTTGTGAAATGATGACATTTGAATATTGGAATTATAGTATTAACGTGTGTCATTTCTATTCTATAAGCTTATCTTTTTCTTTCTTTCTTTTTAATCATATACACCAAACTCAGATTGATTTATATGAACTTTTTATTACGTAAAATCACACTCATATGTTAAGAGTTTTATACTTGTCATCTTATATGGTATGGCATAATAATTAAAACCCACATTTTTTTTTTATATATATGTATACGAAACATATCTTTGGCTCTTGTAACATGTTTATACTTGGTTAAAGTAGCTTTAATTATTATAACATTCGACTTGATATTATCTTTTGAAAATCTTAATTTACTCCTATCAAAAAAATTTGAACTTGGTAAAGGCATTCTTCACTACAATACTATTGAATCTATATGTATACATCTTTTCATTAAAATAAGCTCTTGGATTATATAAATAATATTGTATTTGACTCTATTTAAAGTCATTTGCCCTGATTCACCAACAATATAGGATTACCCTGAAGAATGATATCGGATATTTAAATGTCAATGTGAATTCAGTGAACTGGTTTGTATTATCAGTAGGATCCCTCATAGTTTATAATAATTAATCTTATTTGATATTTACGGTGGCAATCAAGGATTCCTGATATAATTGGAATGGAATTGTCTAACAAAAAAAAATTCTTTTCTACAATAAGAATCCAAGAGACTATTCATGTTGTAACACGTATTATTACGTAATATTAGTATTAATTTATTGTAGTAGTAAATAGAAGGATATAATAATGGCTATGTATACAAAATATATTTAAATTCTTATGGCTCCTTTCTACTAATCCCACTATATAATGAATGAATGAAAACTTGTTTAAATATATAATATTATTATTAGCTTCAAACTTACAACAAGACGATCATCTACTTCATTTCTAGGTGTTGATGGCTGATGTTGTTGTTTCTTTTGTTCTGCTAATTGTTTACTTAATTTTCCGCCTTCTTTTACTCCACGGTTTTCAGCCTATCAAGTTATAACATGTTACCATTTTATTTATATACATTTATATATATAGATATAAAAGATTACTTGAAGTCTTCTTTTTTCAGCTGCAATAAGCATAGCTTCCCTTGAATCTACATTTGTAGGAGATTCAAGAGAAGAACTACCTAATACATGCCCTTTGCTATTTAAATCTTTATTATTCTTTGTATTGTTCACATTTGTTGGTTTCAATTCATGACCATCATCAAGATCTTTTGAACTAAAGCAATTACCCTTTATTTTTGTTTATTTTTATTTATTTATTTATTTATTTTTTTGAAAAACACACACACACATCAGATTTACAATGTGCAATTTCATTTAGATAATATATTTACCATATTTACGACTTTAAAGAAAATAAAATTAAATAAAATAATCTTAAATTTGATTATTATAGTACATTTTTTATTTATTTATTCCTCATCTGGTTCAAATATTAAGCGATAATTTTCCAATATCGTTTGAATAACTTTCACTTGCCATTGTGTATCAGAAAAATTCTGACTTTCTTGTAAAGATGAAGACGACCGATTAGGACTTTGTTCTCCTCCCATTAACGTCATTGCAAATATAGTTGATAGATTTGCAACTGTCATTTTGTTATATTCTTGATTTTGTTGAATCCTTTTTTTTTTTTTTTTTTTTTTTTTTTTTTTTTTTTTTTTTAAAAAAAAAAGAAAAAAGAATGTTATTACAAATTTTATATGAGCATAGATAACACTTTATAATAACTTACAAATAAAGATGCCTCATAATATATTTTAAAGTTGCGTAATTTGCATCTGGTAAATCATTGATGATAGTATGGAGACCCAATACTCTCATTCGATCATTTTCAATCCCTAATGAATATGATATGTTAAAAAAACTCAACTTCTTCACAAGTCATATTCCCTTACTAGCAGCATTCATGAAATGATGATATGAGGAACGAGGAAATAATGGATCAGGTAATTCTCGAAACCATAGCTTTAATAGACTTGTAATGTTATTTATATCTAAACTGTTTTCTTCTGTTGTTAAATCTACAGATGCACAATCTATTTCACATGATTAATAGATACAGACTGGTCTATAGGTGTGTGTATAGTATTACCTCTATCGAATTCATTCTTTAATCTTTGAATTTGTGTATTTGTTCCTGAGATACGATAGAGTCCAACTGTTTTTACACCATTAGACTCTATTGCTTCAACACATTTACTAACTATAAGGGGAACTTCATATCCATCACGCTGCATCAATGTAGTTAAATCGATTCCAAATACTGGCTTGGGTCTTAATACGTTTAAAGCTGTTAAAGACTATAATATATTTCAATGAGCCATCTATATATACATATATATATGATTTGTAGGAAGATACCATTGAATATTCCTTATAGGGTATATCTGACTTTTTTATAGTATATGTACGATTACTGAAATCATTTACAACTTGTACAATATCTGTTGCAAAATCAATTTTCTCTGTTAAAGATCTTAGACCCTTGCCTTCATCATTATCTATCGCTAGTCCATCTAATGTCAAAGATTCTTCAAATAAATAACCATATCTTGCTAATTGATATCGAATAGCTGCACAACATTCATCACTTATACTTTTTAACGTAAGTAAGTTTGCGGGTAATTGAAGTTGAAAATATTCTTGACGTGTGGCATTAGTGGCATTTAATTGCTTTTTATAAACTGTTTGTGCCTGACTTGCTTTAACACATGACTCATCTAATTGACGCTTTAACTTGTATATAGTGTATAAGAAATACAATAGGCTTTTTATTATTATTATTATCATTTACCTGTGCAGGTGTTTTATTACTTTTAAAAAGACTATTTTTCTTTGGTAAATGCTCAGAATCTTGATGACTATTTGCTAATATAGCTCTTTCCCATTCTTCACTAAGAATATCATATTTTTGTCTACACTAAAAAAAAAAAGAAAAAGAAAAAGATAGCCAATATGTATATATACATACATACATACATTTACAATATAAGAAAAAAAAAAAGGGAATCCTTAATAGATTTACATAGTGTCTATTACTTTTTCTAACAAGTTTTCAGCATCTAATCGAGTTCGTTCATGTCGTATACCCATTTCTTTCACTTGCTTTCTACTCTTCTCGGTATCTTTATACATAATTTGTACATCGTCTGATACTTCAGATATATCATTCGAAAACTTCACTCGTTGGTCACCAATCTTTTCATGAACCCTTAAAAACTGACACCATGCTTGACCATAACTACATGAATAAAATAAGATGAAATAAAATAAAATAGTTTGCTATTCATTCATTTATTACCTTGATACTTTTGTGTGACTTTTATCGTAAGACTCTATCATAGATTGAGATAATTTAATCATCTGTTTCCCATACTCTTCTTCAATAGCAGCTCTTTTCTTTAAAAAATAGGCAACATCTTTTGCTGCTTGCATATCACATTTGACTTTATTTAGTAAGCATTGAAACCCACCCTAATCATATACAAGTATTTTTTACGAAAAATAATAAAATGAAAATAAAATGAAAATAAAAATAAAATAAAAAAATAAAATAAATATTCCACATGAATTTCTTTCTTTCCTTTTATTTTTTTTATTTTTTTTTTTTAATAAACGTACTTACATCGAGATCTGTTAATTTTGAAATGACATGTTGATCTTCTTGTAAATCAGGTTGATTCCCTGTTTTAGACTCATCATTATCATTATCGAGATTACTATTTAACATTTCGTCTGAAATGTTATTTTGAAGGTCATCAGAAGAAAGCATGATGAGTATAATAGACACAATGGTTTTGCGTTTAAAAATATAAATAAAATTATTACTTTTTTTTTTTTTTTTTTTTTTTTTTGTCCGACTAATAAAATAGATTAAAATGTTTTGTGTAATTTAATAAATTTTTTAGATTAATATAATATGACTTTTCCTCTACAGTCAGCATAAACATATTTATTTATTTACACTCAATATATAAACATACATATAAATATATACATATATAAATATTGATATTTATATTATCTAAATTTGTTTCAGTGCTTCCTACAAATAGATAAATTAGTGTTAATACATAATAATTGTATTATTGAATACTTTTATCACACCTCTGTTTTAATTTTACAAAGAAAGCAAAAGTCAAGTCTATAATTTATTAAAGAGTGCATAATACAAGGAGAACGACTAGTTGTATAAACGAGTATAATAGTGTGACTATTGCTTATTCATAGTGGTATGAATCGATAACAGTACTAAGTATTAAGATAGTATTATCATTAGAGCTGAAGGAATATGATGCTGTAAAGTATAATAAATAAACTAGTTTTTATTATATGGGGATAACCTCTTTCATTATGTAATAATACATGATGATTTAACTTCCATTATCTGTAAAAGGGTACGATGATAATGAAATGCTTTGGGTATTATCTGTATTCATTTAGTAAAGCGACTTTCAGCAAAAATTACTATTTACCTTATTGTAATTTAATCTACACCCTACATGTTGAACAAACATGACAGTTCTAAAGTACAATAATACAAGTCATCGTTTCCAACTTAATACCATTGAAAACATGAGGCCTATATATATATATTCATATAAAAGAAGACTTTGTCAAGAGAAATAACGATACAACCTTCAATCATTATTAGAATGGCTTTGATATTCACTAAAATAATTAAATTCATAAAAAAGAAAAAGGGAGAAAATACAAATTTACCCTACTCTTGAAGTAAAGCTTATTATTAAATTCGATAATATAGATTGAAAGAATCTTTTTTAATATGTTATAAGCCTTATAAATACAAACAATTGAATCATCATCATCATAATAAAAAGTATTTTACTTTACATAATAGTCTTATTAGAAATAGGCAACTTAAACCCTCCTCCCCCTTTTTTTTTTTTTTTTTTTTTTTTTCCTTTTTCTAATACATGACTGAGAGGAGTACGAGTGATTTTTGCTCTCTGTTTATTTTAAACTGAGGAATAGCTGTGTGTATTTGAAAAAAATAAAATAATAGGACAATTATTGATAATCATTACTTTCAAGAGGCTTAGTTGATAATACTACTAGTCATCAACAAAATAATAATTACCATCTCCTTTTATAATTAGTAGGTAAGGAGCTCTTTTTAACTCGAAATAACAGAACGATTCATACTACAGAACCTATTCATCTCACTTTCAAACTCGTTGCTGTAACAAATTATATAATGGAAATAAAAGTGTGTTATTATTTAGCACTTGCACACAACAAACGATGATATAGAAGATTCTCAAACATTTACTTTTTTGAAACTTACTGCATTTGGGAACTTTAGTAGCAAAATGGGGAGGTTGAAAATAACAAAAAAAAAAAAAAACCCTTTATTTAAACGTATTATTAAAAAAAATATAAAATAAAATAAGAAAAAAATAAAATAAAAATTTAAAAAAAAAGGTTTCAGTTTTATTTTATTTTATCTTATTTTTCTTATTTTTTCTTTAACCTTTTTATTTTTTTATTTATTTTTTTTTCTTATTTTTTTTTTTTATAGATTCAAAATCGCCGTCATTAGGCGATGAAGTCAAGAAAGAACAAGGGAAATACAACCTTACCTTCAGAAGAAGATTCCATCCATCGAAATGCATTTTCATTTCTAAAGAATCGCTTCTTTTCTTCAAGTAATAACAACAACAACAACAACAACAACAACAACAGCAACAACAACAACAACACTAATAATAACACTATACAACAGACTGAAAAAATAAATGGCCCACGTCCTTCTATTTCTTCTATTCGATCTGCTGTTATAAAACCTTGGTCAATAGAAACAAAAAATGAGTTTACAGAAGATAAACCTTTATCGAGATCCCTAGATGACAACTCTTTGATGGAATTTACCTCCAAAGTACGACCAATGTCCATGATGGGAATGGATTCTTTATCAACTGAATTACCAGCAACAATTCAAATTGCAAAACCTAAAGTAGACTCTGTCAATGTTGAAAAAAGAACGAGTCTAATTATAGTAAAAGAAGGTTATTTATTTAAAAAGACTGATTTTAGACCTTTTCATAAACAAAATGATCGTGGATGGAAATTATACCGAGTTGTTCTTAGAGGACATAAATTATACCTTTATAAACTAACATCTGAATCATCTCTTCGATCTTTATCTCCATCTTATAAGTCTACAAGTCATCACTCGTTATCAAATACAACAATGAAACTCGTAAAATCTGATTTTGATCGTGAAGCTCAACAACTCTTGTTTTTATCAAATTCGAAAGGTTGTGTATTTATGGAATTGAATCCAGTTACAATGCTGGCAAAACAAGAGGTCTATCTGGTACTCATGCACGACACACTTTATATCTGTATTCGTCCTGATATTGGCCAGTTATGGAAGATTGAAAAGAAAGTGCCTATTCAGGACTTGAAAATCGAAATCAATGATACCATCACACCTATCTCTCCTGCTTCCTTTAGTTCAATACAGTCGGATTATTCTAATGGTCTTTTCTTTAATCTCATTCATCGTCCCTCTACCTTCTTGGGTATGTACTCTACTCAATACCGTGAATTAGGCCAAGCTTGGATCAATGTCTTTCATCAGTTAGAAGAAGATCAGATTAATATGTGTGACGCTACACAAGATAACTTGACTTGCCGGAATCATCGGTCCGACGAAATCCAAGGAGGTAGTCTTCACGCCCTTGTACGCCAACTCTTTGAGGGAAATCATGAGTATTTAAATGTCTTTTTGTTAACTTATTCTCTATTTACATCGGGTTCACATGTTTTAAATGAAATCAAATCGATTTTGGAAGAAGGGGAACCTTCATTTCAATCACGTCTACTGGAGATCTTTACTGTTTGGTGTGAACGATATGCGTTAGATGTGATGGGGGATGTAGCAACTGTAATGATGGAGCTGTTAGATAAATATAGTAATACGAATCAAGTCAAAGAGCTGGTTCTCAAGACTGTAGCTGAAAATACAAAAAAGACATGTGTGCAAGCCATAGGCAAGTATTTAATATAAGTGTGGGTGATAGATAAATTTTCCCTCTCCCTTTTTTTTTTAATTCTTTTCTCTCTCTCTCTCTTTTTTTTTTCTTTTCTTTTCTTTTTAATTATTCAATAGTGCCTACAATGACAACAGCAAAGCCTTTATCGTTAGAAGATCATGATGATGATGATGATGATGATGAAATACAAAATACAAATGAAGTAGAAAATATCAATACATGTCAATTAGACAATAAACGTCGTGATTCTTCTATCAATCTATCTAATTTACTCATCACAGGACTTACAAGGGATATTTTCTTACAGATGGACCCCGCAAGTTTTGCACAACAAATTTATCTCTTTCATTTCTCAAAGTATAAACAGTTCCAACAAGACTTGTTAAATCCAATATCTTATTTGCCTCGACCTCAAACCTCTGCTCAGATGCTAAACTCATTACTCTTTACAACTACCTCTCCTCATTTCTTAACAAGACTTATACGAAATCAAATCTTAATTGATTCTCAAGATGATGCCGTCATACGATCTCAATTGTTGGAGCATTGGATACATATTGGATTAGAGTTAATCAAATTGGGCGATATGACGGGCTGGTGTGCTGTTGCAATCGGTGTTTGTTCAGTCGGTATTGTTCGTTTACGTGAAAGCTGGAAATGCGTGAATCGAGAGTTAGTCAATCATGTACAGACGGACTGGGTACGTCTATTGGCTGATTATGGATTATTTACGCTGGACGTATGGAATGAGAGTTGGGGGGAACCGCCCATGCTGATACAGTTTTGTAAAGTGTTAGATATACATGATGTCTTTGCCATCTATGAACTTTCACCTACCTTACTCAACCTAGAAATTCCTCAAAACCCTTTGCCCTTCTTTGGTACGATTCGTCAAGCCGTTGATCGCTTCAGAAAACACACAACAAAAAAATTAGAAACACCAACTGCAGTCAACTTTCTTCAGTGTCAATATATTTATGAAATGATTACAACAAGTTTAAATGAATGGATAAATGACCATCATCCTCAGGTGCTATCAGACAACAGTACCCCACTCATTAGTCCTTTACAATCTTTCTTTGAATATTCAGTGACTGAATTTATGTCGGTGCCGCATAGTTACAAATATCTTCAAGAATGCTCATTAGCTTGTGAACCTAAAGTATTTGGACAAATCTTTAATTGTACAACATTCAATAGACGATCACAGATACAACAAGCAACTAGTCCTTCAGAGCTCGCAACTCCTCCTTCAATGTCTTGCTTGGTATTCCCCAACATCTTGAACAGTTTTAGTTTATTAACAAATGAGCCTATCATAAAAAAAAGGTCAAACACGAGTACAAATCAGGGCTATTCAACTACACAACAGTCATTTAAAAAAACACATCCACACAAGAACAACAGCATTCGTTCTCTTCGGTCCCTTTTAGAAGATGATCGTAATAATAATAATAATAACAGTAGTAGTAGTAGTATTACTACTACTACTACTACTACTGCTACTACTGCTACTGCTACTGCTACTAAAAAACAAACAGGTATTACTACACAATCTAATTCAAGTGCCAGTTTGGTGAATACGTCTGATACAGATGCTCTTATCAGCAATTATCGTAAAGCATTCTGTCGTCGCACCTATAGTTTCCCACCAGGTAGTAGTAGTATGAATGAAAGTAGTAGTAGTGTACAGACCATTAGCACCAAGGCTACAACTACAACTACAACTACAGATCTATTAGAATCAGATGGTAATCGAACCTGGCTAGGCTCTTTACTTTCAAATCGATCCCATCGTACTTATTCAACACGAACTCTAATTGAAGCGCATCGTAAGAGTCGTGCTGTTCAATATGATATGGACGGTGATATTGTTCTTTTTGTACACGACTTGGTTTTTAAGGTCTCTGCTATTCTTAAAAATGAATCTGCTTTAATTCTATCAAAAGTTAAAGAGCCTAACCTTGATTTTCTTAAAGAAAAAGGTAGTTACGATCATTATAATTCATATTCATGTAGATTTTTATTATTATTATTATTATTGTATTAATTTAATTTATTTATTTTTTGTATTTAGGTGATTACGAAGGTACGAATGATGAAGATGTATTACTTGTCACAATCAAGTCTGGTAGTTTAGAGCAATTAGTAGATATTCTTGTATTCGGTCTATCAAATTATGAGTCAAGTCTTAGGGAACAATGGCAAATGAGTTTATTATCAGAAGGGCTTCAACAACGTAAATTAAAAAGAGTCATCATGGATGAAAAAGAATACGTTCAAACTTTTTTTATGACATATCGTATTTATTGCTCATCAAACGAATTGCTTAATATGTTTAGAAAACGATTTTTGGGAACTAAACAACGATGTAAGTCTACTTTGAAACGAACGAGCTCGATCAGTTTGTTAGAGACCTATTTTACGCCCATGGATACCAAGACAGATGACATACTGATGTATGATTGGAAAAAGGTAGCTAAGATTCAACTTCGTGTGCTCAATTTATTATTATATTGGGTTCAAATGTATCCATACGATTTTGCCGATGACATAGAGGTAACACATTATATAAGCCAATTCTTACGACAAGCACGGAGGGCGCTTGAAGAATGGTCAGTACCGCTTGCCAAATGTCATGATGAAGATATTAAACCAGAACATGCAGAGGCACTCAAGACAGCAGCAATGATTAAACAGCGCATCATCGATATTCGAGAACAGTTTGTGAACAAGAGTTTAGACCCTTGTTATGACATGAAGGCAGTTCACTTTGACCCTGAAGTGATTCGTACGGTTGAGTCCGTCTATAGTCAATTAAACCAAACCAAAGATCGCTATCATATTACACTTCAATTAGCAACTAACAAATCAATGCCTCTTTCAATCTCGACCCAAACACACAACGACATAGATACTACCACCAAGAGCCCTCTAGATCAATTTTCTTCTGATACTTTATTAGATCAAGTTAACCATGCTGTACATCAATTATTTAGTACCATTACTCTACAGGAATGGATACAGACATTTGGTATCTTGGAAGCACAACTAGAGGATATCCATGCATGGTTACCTCCTCGTAAGCCATCTCGAACCTCTCGTCTTAACGCTGCATTGGCCCCTGTCTTGTTTGCACCTACCTCCTTTTTATCTAGCCATCATGTCCTTCTCGAGGATGTGGTTGTGTCCGATATCTTTACAGCAATCGAAAGTGCCAAGCGATCATTGGTTGCTCCCTCCGCCTATACAGATGATGACCTCCTCTTGGCCTTTCCTAGTTCAATTCAATACCTTTACTACTTGCATTTTATTATTCGTAGTTGGGTTATAAGTGAAATCATAGCGACTCACATTGACTCCAAAACACGTTTCTCGCGTATTGAAAAGTTCTTGCAAATGATTATGTCTAGTAGATTAATGAGTCAGAGGATGACAGTTTCGACAGATAGTCACGTGGGTCGTATGCCCGGTTTCGTAGAGTACGCCATTGCAACTGCACTCGTCAGTCCTGAGGTTCGACTGTTTACAAAGGCATGGAGCGATATCGCTGTTCATTATGGCCATGCCAACTTGGACACCCTTGAAAACCTTTTAAGTCAAATTCAATTGATGAAGAATGTCGTCTCAACCACTGTGACTACTACAAATAATAATAATAATAATAGTACAACAGTTGTACCAAGTTTAGGTTGGATCTTTGAGCGTATCATTGAATTATGTACACATTCTCCTGATGCCCCTGCTGAGAACAGACAGATGATTCATTTCGACAAGCGACGTAGCCTTTATCAATTTATGCAATTCATCATGAATATCCAACAAGACCTCAATGAACAACCCGCTGAAGCAAAAGGTCTCAGTATGTCATTTTTGATTTCGCCAAATAAATCTACGAAAAGTTGGAAGGATCTCAAGGAATTTGCAATACGAGAAAATAAAAGGTCAGTCAATAGTCTTGTGGTCAGAACTACATCGAGCAAGGGCAGCATTCGACATATCGTCTTTAGCAAATTAGTGACAGAGCAATTAGAAAAATTAAAACGTGACTTTAAAGAACGAGACAGGATGGACAGGGAATGGCTTACATTGCAGCAAAAGTTACAAAAGAAGCAGCTTGAACAAGCTCGATTAGTGGAAAAACAAGACCGAAAAACAAGCCATAATAACAAGTCGTTACCAACAAGTCAACCACAGCATCATCATCATCATAATGGTGTTATGCCTCGTCTTAATTCCTTTTTACGTGGTTTGCGTCCACAGTCCATGGTGGGTACACATTCGATTGTTGATCGTGATGCAACTACTAAGGCCTCTACAGTCATCAACTTGATTCATGCTACAACATCAGTTGCCAGTACGTATACTAAACGAGATTTTGTGTTTCGTGTTGTAACCGAAGAAGGTGGGCAATATTTGTTTCAAGCCGTTCATCGTGAAGATATGCATGACTGGTTGCAAGAGATTAATAATGCATCTCGTGAGGCTGCAGCTAAACGACAATCCGTCTTGGCAGCCGAATCGATGGAACACGATAATCATGAGGCCTTTTTAATGGATAATAATAATAATAATAATAATCGTAATCAGCCAGCCTCTCGTACATCCGTTTATGGAGTTAAACTGGAAACACTTATGCATGACAACATGATTCCTATTGTTGTAGAGAAATGTATACGTGAAATTGAAAGACGTGGATTAGAAGAGGTGGGCATTTATCGTGTAGCTGGTACTGGATCTGTCGTTAGTGCACTTAAAGCAGAATTTAATAAGGATGCAACTAAAGTAGATTTAAGTCAACCTAAATGGATGGATATTAATGTCATTGCAGATGCTTTTAAACAATTCTTGAGAGAGTTGCCCGAGCCATTATTGACTTACACTTACTATAACGAGTTCATCATGGCATCAGGTAAGCTAAAACTAACAAAAAAAAAGTGAGAGAGATAAATATTTAATTTTTTATTTATTTATTTATATGTATAAAGCTTCTGAAGATCATGATGAACGTATTTATTTGCTCAAAAAGGTTTTAAAGAAACTGCCTCACTGTAATTATGTTTTATTAAAAAGAATTATTGAACATTTTGTCATGTAAGTAGTAAAAAAATAGAATTTTTTTTTTAAAAAAAAAGGAAAGGAAAGGAAACTGACTAATATGATATGTAGTGTCACTGATTTTGAAGCAACAAATCATATGTATGCAACTAATTTAGCCATTGTATTTGGACCCACACTATTACAGCCAGCACCAGGACCAGCATCATTTGCAACTACTATGTCTAATTTAGGTCATCATCAAAATATTGTAAAATATTTTATATTAAATTATCATTATTTGTTTGACATTGAATCTGAAGAAGTCTATCTGTCAACTAATAATAGCAAACCTGAAGAGCAAGTTCATAATGAAGTTTAATTTTTTTTAACGCACACACTCCATCTCCTTTAAGTAAATGGCTGGACCATCACTTTAAACGAAAAAAAAAAGTAATACGTCCTTTTTTTTTTCCTTTACTATTACTAAATATGAAAGATAAATTCTATTATACACTATTACAACTATAATATTAATAATAAAATATTTTACTATTATATACATACTATTAAAATCAGTATATCAATATAAATATGATCATGACATACAAGAATAATATACATGTTAAGAAATGGCGTTATTAAACGATTTAAAATATCCTGACGCATTACAGCTGCAGAAAAAAAAAATCCTTCAGGAAATCAAGAAAATAAAAAAGTCTCAAATAATCAGGCTTGTTTTTATAAATAACAATTATAGATAAATTACGGAAGAATTATTCATGTTATAAATAATAAACTTTTAACTGTGTTTTCTCTTTTTTTTTTTTTTTTTTTTTTTTTTTTTTTTTTTGATCGAAGATGATAAGCGTAAACTGTCGATTAAGAATACAAATTCAGCATAAAAGAAGAATTCCAAAGGTTTTATTTTATTTATGCTAAGCTAAACAAGATTATATTTTTGTTTGTTTGTTTGTTTATCGATACTTTATTTACGTTTCAAGTTTTTTTTTTTTTTTTTTTTTTTTTTTCTCGCTATATTCATTTATTTCCATATTCCGAAAAAGGTAAACACAATTCATAAACATAAAAAAAAAAAATAAATCTAGGATTTTTTTTTTCTTCTATTCATTTCCTTCTTTCTTTCTTTTTCTTTAATAATAGTTACATATAATGAACTGGACAGATCTATCCGAACCTACTAATATAAATTATCAAACTATGACTGCTTTAGTGCCTTCAATTGATTCAACTGACCTTAACTTTCAGACACTACCTATTACAGACCCTCATATAAAGTACCCAATATCCTATAACACAATACAAAATCCATCCACATTTCCACTTCAAACATCAACTCAACCTAGCTTAAACAGCAACTATCCTTATTCAAATTTTGATACAAGTTATAATATTTCTATCAATCACAGCAGTAGCAGTAGCAGTAGCAGTAGTAGTAGTAGTAGTAGTGCAGAAGAAGATGACACACAAATCCATAAAACAGCACGTCGCTCTGATACATCAAAACAAAAAAACACAACAACATCAGATACTGAAAAACGTAAAAACTTTCTTGAACGTAACCGGCAAGGTAAATAAATACATATACAGATCTATTCTTTATATGGTTGATCTAATTCTAGACTCTTTATAGCGGCATTAAAATGTAGACAGAGAAAGAAAGAATGGCTACGAAATCTTCAGGAAAGAGTTGAATTTCTAGTGAATGATAACGAACAATTACAATTACAAGCTAATGTGATGAAAGATGAAGTATTGAGTTTAAGAAGGATGCTGATGGCACATAACGAATGCCATTTTAGTAGGAATAAACCTGTTATTATGCCAACAACAATAGCAAATCCCTCTTTACAATCAACAATCAACTTTCCTCCAAATCATTATATTCCCTAGCCCATCATTTTATTTACTATAAAAAAAGAAAAAAAAACTGCACTACATCTTTATATTTAATATTATATAATTATTCCCTCTTTATATACGCGTATAAAATAAATCATAATACTTTTTATTTATTTTTTATTTTTTATTTTTACTTCTCAATTCAACATGATACTTAAATCCAGATCACCAGAGTGTAAACAATATAAGATATGAATATATAAATAAAATAAGTTATCTTTGTTCTATGTTGTTTACAAACTTCCTTTTTATTCTCTAGTGAATACAAAATATATGCATCATAAATGAAAAATACTATAAATGGAAAACAAAACAATAAAAAAAAATTGCTGATTCCGTTGTTACACCACCCAAAATAAAATCGTTGTATGTAAAAGCAGCCGCATCTAATAAATTATAGGTAGACCTTACTTTTAATCATGAAATAATAATCATAATAAAAGAGAGAGAGAGAAGTTCTCTTTTAAGCAATCACTAAAATTAGTTTATATGTAATTGACAGTTATTTTATCTATTAAAATCGTTTTTAAGATATAGCCCATAATTGGCTTTGTTTTTTCGTTTTTTTTTTATATCTCCTTCTGCGTGTCAGTATATATTTGTATAAACTAATTCTATAAGGAGCTAAACTATAATTAATCTTTGCTCTACAATGAAAACAGTTACTACAACTGAAGTGACGATCCTATCGTTTTGTTGTCTCAAGTATCTCTCTCTATTTAACAAAGAGTAGTAGTTTGCCAGAGCTGTCAGGTACCAAACATGGAATGAATTATTATTTTATAACATATTGATTTATGAGTAGTAATAGAAAGGTGACAAAAATCATCGTAAGAAGATTTCGGATAAATTATATAATCTGTTAGTTCGGTAAAAGAAAATTGCGGGGGGGGGAGGGAGGGAAAGTGAGGAAGGAGGAGTGGGAATGATAAAATGCAAAAGCGGAGAAATCACCAGCCTACTTTTTTATTCTCCTAGATAACCTGTCTTAAAAAAAAAAAAAAAAAAATTGTTTCCTGAATTGATTTAAGCTTTTGTTTTCTTTTTCTGTCTATTTTTATACATTATGTGTTGCATAGTTTGCTTTTGCAATAATGAAGAACAATATGAGTGAGACTCTTTATATTTATTTATATACATATATGTATGTATGTATGTATGTGAAAATCAGCTTCATTGAATATATCTGATGCACTCTCTACTCCTTCACCCTAATTATAGTTGTTGTATATTCGTAGACAACTACTACATGTATTCGGTGTCTTAATCTGTAATAATAACAGCAGCTTCTCAAAGTACGACGCGTCGCGTTTATTAGTTTGAATAAAAGCATTCTTATCGCGTTAATCCGTATGGAAGCTCACTAAATATTATACAGATTTGTTAAATAAAGCATTATAGTTGTATTATGGACCTTTTGACTCGAAAAATACAGTATCCTATTTTAAATTTTTTTTTCCCCTTGAAGAATTACGTTGAAAGACAATTTTGGTATAATTGTAATCAGTTTACTTTATCCTTATCAGTTTCTATAATGGAATTTATAATTTATTATCAATGATAAAGTTCATTAAATTGGAAACGCTATAATCTCCTGATATAAACAATTGATTGACCCCTTCTTGTTTTTCCCTCTTTTTTTTTTTTTTTTTTTTTTTTTTTAATATATATATGCATATAAATATATGAAAAAAGGGATAATTATATTCATTATTTTATTATAATAAAAATGACACTTTATTCCGCATGATTAAAGAGGTAACTTACACTTTCACCGTTATGCTATTTAGAAAAAGAAAAAGGCAGAGGAAATATTAATACGTAGTTAAATGTATGGAAAATGTACACTTACAGTTCTTCTAATTGCTTCAGCAAGTGTATAAGAAATATCAATAACAATCAATTTACTTGATTGATCCATCTTTTCTTTAGGAATGGGGAAGGTATTCGTGACAACCAACTAAATAATGTGAAAAAAAAAGAGAGAGAGAGAGAGTTAATTATTGATAGGAGCATATTTTGTTTGTAACTTACCTTATATACACTGTCACAAGCTTCAATCTTTTGAATTGCATTGCCACTCAAGACACCATGTGTAGCAATAATATAGACTTTATCTGCGCCACATTTCTTTACTAAATGTTCAGCTGCATCTAAGAAAGTTCCAACATTATCAATAATATCATCCTATAGATTACATAAGTATCATATATATATATATATACATATACATATAATATATTCCTCCCTACTTACAGTTAAGAACGCAATCTTGCCCTTAACATCACCAACCAAAGTAATTGTACTTTCACCATCTTTATCAGATACGACAGATACGGCAGCATTTAAGACATCCCCATTAATACCAGCATCATTTAATGAAGAAATAGAAGCAGTTAAATCTTCATCATGATTGTCTTCTTTTACAGCAAGTTCTTCTTCGTAAACACGAGCAGAGGAATCACCTTCGCCTGATTTAGGCATACCACTATAAGGACGATTTTGACCTTGAGGTCCCATACGAGAACGATCCTTATGAATTAAAGCAAAATCGAGTCGAAGAGCATCAGCCAAGGATGTAACTCTAAAATTCTGTAAAGTTAATATACATATCAATTTAGAAATAACACTATCTCCCTCTCTTTCTCCTTTTTTTTTTCTCTCTTCTTCCCTACCCTCCACTCACTTACCTCTTTGCACCACCTGCATTTTTTGAGACGATAACACCATTTTGCCAGTTGGGAACACTTTGTGTGATCCATCGAGCAATAACAGGTTCAGCATACAAGTTATCAACGGGGCGCTGAAAGAAACCTTGCATTTGTGAAGCATGAAGATCCATTGTCTAAGATACATATATATATGTATATGTATATATGTATATACATATAGATGAATAAAAAAAAAAAGTATAACGAACTGTGATACTAAAAAGTTCAACTTACAATAATATGATCAACACCAGCAACAGCCAACATATTTGCAATTACTATTCATAAAAAAATTTAATACAATAACTTGAGGTTATTGTTGTTGTTACTTACACTTGGCAGTAATGCTGGTTCTACCCTTACGCTTGCTTTGCTTACAATAAGGGAAGTAAGGCAAAACGGCAGTAATACGTTTGCTTGAACCAATACGAGCAGCTTGAATCATGATACAAAGCTCGATAATATTATCATTCATGTTGTTGGAACCAGATTGAATGATAAATACATCCTCATTACGAACAGAAACACCTAAATGAAGCAATTTAGATATTATTGATTTCTTAAATGCTTATGACCCATTTACCAATTTCAACGCTAGTTTCTTTATTGCTGAATTTCTTTAATGTACAGTTAGAAAGGGGTGTGCCGAGGCGTTTAGAGACAAGTTCAGCAAGCTCAGGATGTGAGGAACCAGCCAAGATTTTGGTATTACGCATGTTCGAAATTGTGAAATAAAACTATTGTATCGAGGTTTATCTATCTCGGACTGGAAGAAGTTAAAAAAAAAAATCTGAGGATACATTTTTTTTTTCACATTAGATGACAGTCACAAAGACTGTCGAAAAAGAGAAAAAAAAAATATTAATTTTTAAAAACAGTGAAAATTTTGATGTAAACAAAAAAGACTTTTCTATGAGTCATTGCTTACATAACTAAACCATACAACTCATTATAATTTGAGTCAACACTGAAGAAGAAGAAGGAAAAACAACAAGATGATTAAATAAACCCCATTTAGTATAATGTAAATATATTTTCTATAGCTGCTATCAAATGATAATTTATTCTATTCTATTTACATGTAGCAAATAATACCTGTTTATAACTTTTTTTTTTTTGTGATTATCTAAGTTGCATAACAATTGTTCTTTCTATTGATTGATAGTCGGTCTACAAAATTTTAATTATTATGTGAGGATTCTACTTCATCAGTTCTCCTCCTCTTTTTTTTTTTTTTTTTTTTTTTTTTTTTTTTTTTTTTTCTAAATATGATAAATTCAGTATTAGTCTATAATAAAGATAATAATTTAACAAAATTAATATTAGATAAAGACCAATTAAGAATAGAGACTGTTGATAATAATAGAGAGCAAATAGTACTAGTAGTTCAATTTGAATTTATCTATGGTATTGATTTTGATGAGGAGACGTTAATAATTCATTATGTTTCGTCAGGAAATATGAAAAGTGAACCGATTAGAAATGATAATAATCAACAACCAAATGATATCCGGCAATGGGAATTGAATACCTTACAATATAATTGTACAAAAGTGAAAGACAACAACAACGACGCATTATTATCCAGTTTTATAACATCACTTCGTGAAAGGGCTTTGCCTCATTATCGAACCTACTCAAAGACTAAAGTTTTCGTCATCTTAAATCCTACATCTGGTTCACAAAGAGCAGAAACAGATTTTATCAAGAGAATAAAACCTATGCTACTCCATGCCGGTTTCTTGGATACCAATATAACAAAGATCAATACGAAACGTAATGGTGAAACACGAGCCTTAGCCAAAGACTTGGGAAAACAACAAATCAAGCTAGAGTCAACTATTATAATTAGTATGGGCGGTGATGGTACTTTACATGAGGTTGTAAATGGTCTGGTTGATGCAATTACTATTCCAAAGGAAGGACAACAACAACAACAACGCCAACAGATCAGACTTGGTGTGATTCCAGCTGGCTCAGGAAATGCATTTGCTCTGGGTATGGGCATTCAAAGTATAGAACAAGCAACTCTAAAGATTATTAAACAAGAAAAGGAATCCCCATTTTATATGATAGAGGCCAAGATGGGATTTGCTAAAGATTGGCCAGAAAACTGTGTATACGACAATACAGATTCGATTCGTTTGTTGGTTGTCATGAGCTGGGGATTTCATGCCCAAGTCGTGTCTAAGTCCCGTTATTTACGCTACTTTATGGGTAACGCTCGATTCTCTTGGGTTGCTATGTATCTGTTAACATTCTTAAAACAATACCAAGGTGATTTACTGCTAAAAAATGCAAAGAAATATAATCGAGAGACACATCAGTTTGATGGACCCAAAACAACATGTATGTTGGACGATAAACAATTCACCTACTTTGTTGTGAGCAAGCAAGATTCATTAGAAAAAGGATTTCGAGTTGCACCTTTTGCCTCCCCACTGACTGAAGAAATGGACATCATCATGTTACGAAATGAAACTCGGGATAAATTAACAAAAGTCAGTTTAGCAGCATTTCAAAATGGCCAACATATAGATATAGAAGGAGTTGAATATTTCAAGGCATCTGAATTATTACTACGTGTGAAGGATAAAGCTGAATTATGTTTAGATGGTGAAATACATGAATTACAAGCAAATGGTATAATTCATTTACAAGCTGTTAGCTCTTCTACTGAACAAGCACAGTTTACGGTTTTTATTTAAATATAAATTATTATCCTAGTTTATTACAAAAAATAAAATAAAATAAATAAATAAATAAATAAATACATATGACTATAATACATGTTCATCTGTAGATCTCTTAAAGAAAACATTCCAAAAGGATTTACATGCTCTAACGAGTGTATTCAGTTTATCATTCACGTGAGGAGGAAAGCCATAGACAAGAAGATTAATTAATTGGGCTTTATCATAATTGTAAGGAGGGTATTTTACAGACGCGACTGGTTCTATTTTTAGGTCCTTTACCATTGTAGAACGAAGATGAGTAAAAGTATCAAAAGATTTTTCACCATGATAACATCCTGTTCCTGAAGGACCAATACCGCCGAAAGGTAATGAAAGTTCTTGGAGATGCATTAAAGTATCATTGATAAGAACACCGCCCGAAGATGTTCTGTTAAGAACTACATTATATGAAATTAATATGATATATATATTAAAAAAAATTATGTATGTGCTTACTTTTGTTATAATCATATTTGGAACTGGCAAAGATATAAAGTGCTAATGGATGGTCTCTATAGAAATGTAAAAAAAAAAAAAAAAAAAAGAAAAGTTGAAGAGGGCGGTTCATATAAAACATATAATATACATGAATACCTAGAATTAATAATAGCAATAGCTTCATCCATGTTTTCAACTGGTACAATAGGTAAGATAGGGCCAAAGATTTCTTGTTGCATCAAGGAATGTTTATAAGGATCAACAGGGGTAACGACTGTAGGAGCTATATAAAGGTTATCTCGGTCAGTTTCACCACCAATGACAATTGTATTTGGATGGCAGCTGTCTAATAAACCCTTTAAACGATCGAATTGACGTGTATTAATAATGCGACCGTAACTATTTGAAGTTTGAGGGTTTTCACCATAAAATTCCAAGATTGCTTTACGCATTGCAATTAAAAGAGGGGCTATTTGAGTCCTTTCACACAAGACATAATCTGGTGCAACACAAGTCTGCACAACAACAAGTTATTATTAATAGTTGCTTGTTGTACAAATTAATGTCGTACTTACTTGGCCATTGTTAAAGTACTTTCCCCATAAGAGGCGATGTGCAGTAATGTTTACATCTGCATCCTCAGTAATTAATGCAGGTCTATATTAAAAGGTTTTGATTAAGTCAACATACATACATATATTAAAGTTTACATGTATACTTTACGATTTGCCACCCAATTCAAGTGTAACAGGAGTTAAATACGTTGCAGCAGCAGTCATTACAATTTTGCCAACATGACCATTACCAGTATAAAAAATATGATCAAATCGATTTTCTAGTCATTTAATATGAGTCAATTTTTTTACACTATTGATGGTGTATATTTACATAATACTAACCTAAAACAGCAGTTGTTTCAGGAACTCCACCTGTGATAATAGAATAAGCACGAGGATCTAAATATTTTGGTAAAATAGTAGCAATTACATTGGATGTACTAGTAGATACTTCAGAAGGCTATAAAGAGATATTTTATTTATTTTTATTTTTATTTATTTATTTATTTTTTTTTAAAAAAAAAAGTTATACCTTTATAACAACACAGTTACCAGCAGCAATTGCACCAACAACAGGTGTAAGAAGTAGATTAATCTATATTATAAAATGAGATTTTTTTTTAACATGTATACTATTTCAATATATCTATATTTACTGGATAATTCCAAGAACCTGAATATAGAAAAAGTAAATAAACAGAAGATCAAGCTATTTAGAGTATTGTTGATGATTACCTATAACAAGAACAACTCCTTTTGGTTCCTTTCTTATAAACGTCTTATCAGTAACATTCATAAGAAATCTCTTTTTTGTATAAGTAGGCTTTATAAATTTATCTAAATTGTTGATCATAAATTTGCATTCTTCAATAACAATTGATATTTCACCGATATCAGATTCTAACTCATGCTTATGTAGATCATTCCATAAAGCTTGAAAAAGTATTGGTTTATTTTCCTCACAGAATCGAATTAAATTATTTAATTGCTGTTTACGAAAAGTAATATCTTTTGTTAAGCCTAATAATAACAATAAAAAAAAAACGCCTTCATAAATGTATACCATATATATAGAATGTATTATGTAATATAGAAACACACCTGTATTAAAATGAGTGCGAAGGGCTTCAATTTTACCGGGAATAGATTCGATTGATGTTGGATATTCAAAAGACATTAAGGACAGTATAAAGTATATGATGACCTGAAGAAAGAAGGAATTATTATATATTAAAGAAGAAAAGAAATCAAATAATAAATAAAGTTTGGTTACTTATTATAATGCATTGAGGCGGCGAAATTTAACTTTTCACAAAATTTAGTACACAATAAAAGAGAAGATATTAATTGGTTCGACATTTTATTTCAACAACTCAGAGAAGACGACAATGTTAGCGGAACATTTTTAGTAAGTATTGAAATAATGAATTAATATAAATTTCTGATTTTAGGAAGATTATATTTCCTATTCACTAGTTAAATGCTGAAATCATATTATTGATTAAATAACAACAGGAACGAAGATAGATCACACACGTATACTCATAATATACGTTTTCCGTTTAAAGCTAAATTATTCTATATTGCTTAGTTATACATAAGTTTAAAAGAATCGTGCTGTATTTTTTTTTTTTGTTTAAGAAAAAAAAGTGTACTAAGCATATTAGAACATGCATTCATATGTTACATAGACAAGTTTAAAAAGAAAGAGCTTGATTTAGCTATTATCTATTGATCAAAATCATGTGAAGCTTTTAATTTGATGGCAGTTCTATTCATTCTATCTTGGAATAAGATAATTACTTGACAAGTTCAGTTTAAGGGCCTCAAGGATAGTCAATTTATTAAATCATGACTTATTTTAATATGAGATAATTGTCTATATAACAATGCTATATAGATTTAAACAAGTCACTTTTTATATCATACTATTGTTGCTTGTACCTTTTTTTTTTTTGTACTTTATTTATACATTTATATGTCTCTGCTATTCCTATGATGATTACAACATATAAATTCGAGATTATTATGAACTTAATAGTATTTTTGGTTTGTTTGTCTCCTTCTCCCCTTTGATGTTTTTATATGGCGTTGATCCAAGGATAAATCTTATTATCCGCTGAGATAAAATACTTAGATGGTATGTGGTACAGCCTTTATGAACTTTTTTTTTTTTTTTTTTTTTAATTATCTCTAATGAATAATAATGAACAAATATATACAATAGATTCAAGTAGTTACCTTTGCAAATAGATACTTAAATATGTAAATGGCGTAATCATGTCATACATCTGTTGGAACAATACACTTTAAATGATCGGGCAATAAATTAACTTTTAAGATTTTGTTAGGTACGCAAAAAGTGGTGATTGTAGTCAACAACGGCTACTTAAGTTCATCTATGTTTGTAATTGTTAACAATTAACCATTTCTAACTGTTTTTACAATTGAAACAAACGTTATACGTATTCTTCTTTCTATTGAATTGAATAAAATCTTTAAACACTAAAATCAATAAAAAGATAATCTTTGTTTGTTTTTTTTTTCTTTACTAAAAACCAATCCACATGTATTTTATTATTCATTTCAAAATTTTGCAGTTAAATACAATTATGTATAAGTTAAATTGTAATGAAAATAAAATTGATGTAAAAGCTGTGTACTTATTGATGTAGTGAATAGCTATTCTCCCCCTTTTTTTTTCTTTAATTATTGTAATTGGTCTAGTACAATTAGCAGCTAATCAACTTGTGTTTGTTACTGTGACGTGAAGCAAGTACGGTCATTACTATACATGAAAGAATGAAGCCACTAAATTTAAAGAATGCTGATCGAGAAAATTGTCGCTCTTCTTCTGGTGTACGAAATGAAGAATATATCTTCCAAAGGTTAGGTAATGCCATTTTTATAAATGTATGTATATAAAGAAAAACATGTATAATCTTTTCTAAAATGAGAAAGCTTTTCAATAAACTGAGAAAAACTCTATTGGCTGATTGAGAAAATAAAATTTCTATAATCAGAAAGGCTTTCACTGTTTATTAAGGGGCAATGAGAACAATAGAAATGCATATGAAACACAATCTTTCAAGCACAAAGATATAAATAGCAGAGATTAATGATGCAAAGTACGAATAGAAACTCAAGAAAGTAATAGTAGACATCGAGGAAGAGATAATGAAGAATACCTAAAATTATAAATAATATAAAGGAAGACAATTATGACCAATATATGAACAGGGAATGAAAAAATTCAAATTTAGAGAATTCATCAGCAGTTTTTGCGAGCAATACCACAATGATTAAATGAAAAAAGAAAATATTACACTAAAAAGCAAGCTGTTGACTTTATCTCTTGGAGAGATAAAATGACTAACATTATTATTGTGCCAGCAAGAATAAGCGTTTCACTTTCTATTGTATATCGATTTCAAAAGACATAAAATGGAACACGCATTTCTACTAAAAAAAGAGAGAGAAAAATATTCGATAACAAAATAGATAAAACAATAGATAATTTTTGTATTATTTGACAACGTGATGGATGCTCTTAGTAAACATAAATTATCATACTTTTCTTTAAAATTATTGTTATAGATTCCTACTCTAGAAACTCAGATTTCCAACACATTAGAAGAAATCAAGGCCAGGATTTTGAGCAAGCCAGTATTCAAAATCTCTAATACCACCCTCCCCTTTTTTTATTTTAAGAATACTTTTTTTTTTTTTTTTTTTTTTTTTTTTTTTTTTTTTTTTACATAGCTTTATTAAATACCTATAATCTCAATCAATCCACAAATACTTGATGTAATAATTGTATTCTGTTTTACGAGCTTTTGTTTGTGATTAATTATTTACTACTCTGGTTTTTGTTACTAATAAAATACAAGCTTAGGTATTGATTTTATTTTATTTTTTTTTAAAGCAAAGGTATACTATCCTAGAAACAAATGCCCCTGGTTACTAGAAACAATCCTGTCAATAAGCCGTGGTAATGTAGATATAGATTATTGTCAATAAGACACACTTCTAAAGCCCTTTGGAAAATAGAAATAATAACTTTGCAACTTTGTATCTTTTTCATCCCTAGCGGTTACTGATTTATAATGAGTATAATGAACTTCTTATCAGGCGTCTTTATTATTGCTTCCTTGAGTTTCATTCGTACTCTGCATTATTAATCTCTGCTATTTATATCTTTGTGTTTGAAAGATAGTGTTTCATATGCGTTCCTATTGTTCTCATTGCCCCTTAGTAAACAGTGAAAGCCTTTCTCGTTTTTTTTTTATATTAATTTTTCTTTCTATTGCATAGCTTTCTTATTTATTTGGAAAAGACAAAATACCATGAAATGCTTTTTTTTTTGTTGTTATTACCAGTCACAAATAGGTAATGGGTGAAATGTAATTCCGAAAAGATCGAATCATAAATAACATTCAAATTTAGTTGTTTGTTGTATATCCAGGCTTTTTATTCTTTTTTTTTTTTTTTTTTTTTTTTTTTTTTTTTTTTTTTTTTTTTTTTTTTTGCTCTTCTTTTTCTTTTTCTTTTTTTCAATTATGACCCAAAGATTAAATTTAGTTTTGAATACCATTGGATTTTTATCCAATGTTTATGCTCTCCGAAATATGAATACAGGACCTTTTGAAAATCATTATGCTTTAGGTTTTGGTGGGCAATATCAGGTACATTTCAAAACGCCCTTTTTTTTTCTTTTTCATTCAATAAATTTTCTTACATAAAAGAAAACATATAGTATTTGACAATTCTAGGCTTAACTATTGCTACAATCGCTTTTACATTAAAGATTATCCGATACTTTATACCCAAGTTTTCTACAGGTAAAGTAAAAGTAATAGTATTTCAAGTAGTAGTTTATTTACATTATAGATACTAGTTATTTACGAAATTATAACAAATATTGCTACACCAGTAAGTGAAATTATATACATATTATTATTATTATTTTTTCTCTTTAAAAAATAAATAAATAATAGGGTTAATCATATCAAATATTATAGTTAGAAGGACTTATTAGCGTTCTATATTGGTCCATGATGCTTCTAGATCCTCATCTTTTAATTCCAAAGGATTTGCCTGGTATTCCTTTAATATTGGATTGTACATTACATTTATTTCCAGCTGTCTTTTTATGGATTGATTTCTTAGCATTTGATATTGATTTTAAACGTTCCAACACACATGTAGGTATGATTTCAGCATTTACTCTCTTTTATTTTGCATGGTCTTGGTATTGTCAGCATGTGAATGGCTACTGGGCCTATCCATTTTTAGCTGAATTTACTCTCTTCATGCGTATAGGTTTCTTTGTTGGTTCAGGACTCTTGTGTTGGGGAATGTATGAAATTGGAGCTAAAATCCATGATAAAATTCATACTAGTCATGATAAAGCTAAAAAAAAATTGACCGAAAAGAGTCTTTAAAAAATATATCGCATAAAACAATAATTTGTAATGTTAAATAAATAAGGTAGTTAATAAATATAAAGTATATACAAGTAATGCTTGATATTTATAAATCTTATTTCACTGTTCATATATTATGAGGAATTATATAAACTTGGTCCAAGTACTACATATAAAGAAATTCTGAAAAGATATGTTATTTTAATTCTATTATAATAATAACGGGCATGAATTGATAATTTTTTTTCTTTAATGGAATTAAAAAAAAAAAAAAAAGAGTTCGAATTTCGAAAGAACCTTATGTTAAATGGTTGAAAACCTTATACTAATATACAAGTTTAGATAGCAAATATGTGCATGTATATATAATTTGAAACAATAGCTCAGAAAAAATATATCGTATTTTTAATAATCTCTGCTTTATATATCTCCTAGTATTTCCTTTCCCTTAATTTAAAAGCTTATTATATGATAAAATAAAACAAAAAGAAACTTGTCAATTTCCCTCTTTTACACCTTTTTTTTATCAACATTAAACATAATATTATCAATGTGATTTTTTCTATCATCGGTGTAATATTTTAACCCCTTAATATAAAATATCATTTTTATCCTGAGAGCCTTTCAATATACCTGGAGAATCAATATGGCTTGTCCCTAATATTTAGGTTCTTTGAAGAAGTAGAGTTTCTTTTCATATTTTATGCACTTCTGTGGAATAGACTTATTTCTTGCATATTAATTTACATTGTGCTTGTTTATTTCTACTTTATTATCAGAACTTATCTTTCGTTGACAATTAGTCTCTAATGCCTTTGCTTTATTAATAATAAACTTTTTCCCTTTTAGGAATAAAAAATCAGAATATAATATGGTTAAGAAAGGAGGAGAAGTTCAGAGTATTACCTTGACAATAAAATTGCATAAAGCACATACACACACACACACACACACACACACACACACACACACACACACACACACACACACACACACACAGATTCATGAATTTTACTTTGAGTTGGTCACTAACCAGTGTCAGCTAAATTAATAAATTTAGGAAAAATAGAAAGCTATAATTTATTTGATACGATACAATTCAAATAAGTAACGCTTTTACAGTAATGATGTGATAGAAAAAAAAATTGTGGATTGGCTTCATAAAGCATGGTAACTTTTGTAATAGTTTGCAGCTTAGTCGATAGAATATTAGAAAATTTATAAATGTTTATTTTCTTGTAATGAAAATGTTCTTTTATTATTATTATAAAATATATTGGGACATTTATACTGATAAGTTCGGTTAATATGATATACAAGGAATATAGATAATATTTATATAATGTATGTGTAATGGTGGTATAATTATGTAGAAATAGTTGAAAATAGTATAAGAGAAAATTATCCACTAGCGTAATGCATTACGACTTCTTCGTTACTTGTAATGAGAAAAGATGACATGTAGTTTGCCACTTCTGTCAACACAATGTTTAATCCGACATTGTTCAAAAATATGAATGCCATTTGGTATACTGTAGTTCTCAAATCGAGCTTTTGATCTTCTGCATCCTAACAGGAAGTTTCCGTATATTTTGTGGGAATTGATTGTATATATATATATATATATATATATATATATATATAAACTTATTGTGATTTAACGCTGCTTTATATGACACATTATGAACGTTTATTGCAATTTGTGTGTGTGTGTGGGGGGAAACAACGAAACAACTTTGTCATCTGTCAATGGTTTAGTTCTGGAAGGTGAGTTTGTGTTCTAGTTGATGCTTTTTTTTTCGAGTTATTTGGGACTTTTTACATAATTCCAAAGGATGAATATTGCGATAGATTGATATTCAAGTTCATAAAGTTTTATAAAATAAATTTTGAGATTCCTGGTATGTTGTGAGTTACCCAAACTTGGAACGGATTTGACGCAGATTATAATTTGGTAAGGGTGTTATAGCTTTGCTCCTTAGCCGACTCATAGCTAACATTATTAATGATATGAACCTGAATTTGTGTTGAATCTTATACTATTAAACATACCGTTTTAGGTCCGATTTCAGTTATTATAAAAATGCTTATCTAAACATTCGCTTTCTGTTACTAGAATGTTAACCATGTTTGAATATATAATCCACTTTCTGGCCATCCGGGTCATTTAATTTAATAGGCTATAGATATTTCGTAATAATAGGCGGATAGAACTTATTATAAGTCTTACAATGAATGTACATGCCTATTATTCTACTTTATATTTCTACAGTATGTATTATTATGGACTTCACCAGTTTGTTTATTGAAGATATAGAATCAGAAAATAATCAAGTTGCATATTCTCTAAAGCGTTTATCGCATTACCATGGTAAGCATAAAAAATAGCATATATCCGCATCCAATTCAAAGAACAGAGGAAGAGTTGAAGATGACTAGGGAGCTATTCCATAAGAAATAAGTAGGGTGAAGGAGTATGAAGAATGCCGGAAGAGATAAAAGATTCGTGGTGTGTATGCATTTTTTTATGTGTGACTAGAATAGATAAAATGGAAGCAGTAGTGAATGGAACACTATGAAAGACGAAAGCCCAAATGTGAAGACGAGATCGTTTATAGAGTATAAAGAATATATTCAACAATATCAAGTGAGATAAAAGGAGAAGAAGAGTCAACACAAGTATGCAAGACAAGCCGTCAGATTTGAGGTTTAGAAGGATATATAAAAAAGGAAATGAAAACAAGGTTTAGAAGGTGTAAAGCAAATTGCATAGATGGAGGAAGGGTGAAAGTGATGAAAAGGCGATATCAAACATTAATGGCAAAATGAGAAAAAAAAAAAAGAATGCCATATTTTATGTATAAATCTAGTTGTATATTAAGAATAAGACGAAAATAAGAAAAATGATAATGGGTGGATTCATAGGTCAAAATAAAACTTATATTCAATTAGATAGTTACAATTCATGTCATTACGATGAAGCAGGTATCTATTATACACTATATAAGCAATTATTACTACTATCATTAAAATCTTTTTTAGGTTATAATGATATTTGTACATTGAAGTGAATGCAATCTAATTCGATACAACTCAGTAATAAAGCAAAGTACGACAGAGAAGACTCTAAAAGTTGGACCAAGAGAAAGAGGAATATAGAGAATATGGAATAGAAAGAATCAGTAATAAGTTGCCCTTCTATTGCTTTTGCAGAAAAAATTTTTTGAAGCTTTATTCTCTCACAGTTATTTTTACATATAGCATTAACTAGATGTTTATATAATGAAGTTCTTTGTACAAAAGAGAAATTACAACTAAAATGATAATTGAAGTTTTTTCATCTATCTTATAAAAGTATATATAGAGAGTATAATTAGAACTTCATTTCATTTTCAAATATTCGTTCATTGAGCCTTTAGTAGAATACAACAATTTTATATTAACATGATAATTACTAAAGTAGATGTTTCACGAACATGACTTTGGAATGTTACGTCTGCAGAGTTTGCAAACGAACCTTTATATTTATATATAAAGAAAAAATACATGATTTTTTTTTTGGCATAAGTTCTTTGATTAACAATATGTATAATTTCTGGAAAATCTATTATAATTTGAAAGGAATTCATGTAGATCAATACACGTCATATTTCCTTTAATGCCACACCCCTGAATTGTATGTTTCTTCCTATTTCCCTATATTACTATTATTATATGTTAAATTTTATCTCTACTTTTGACTCCTCTATTAATAATGATAATAATAATAAAAAATGTATCTGCATTTGTTAATTTAACTGTATGTATATATTTATAGTAAAACTAAAATATAAAATAGCATGTAGACAAATATAGTAACTATTATAAACTTTGCCATTTTTCTACTTGATGGTTAAATAAATAACGTCATTTCACGTATGAAATTCGATTTCCTTACTTCCTCCTCTTTCTCCTTCCTATCCTTATTTTTTTTCCCTTTTACAATCAGTACTAGTGATATACATATTGCTAATAAAATAATAATAAAAAAAACAAAGCGGATAAAATTATTAATAAATACATTTGATATTTAATTCCATATATGTATATATATATTGCTTCTTCTTCTTTAAAATATAATAGTTTATATACATTCTACAAGTATGAATAAAGATCTACACTGCCTACGATCATTATGATGATACGCGATTTATACCTGTTTAACACATATCTTACTCTCATTATACAGAGTTTCTTTCTTCATTCTATGCAAGAATAAGATGACATGCATATGTACAATCATAGATTTATTTGCATGTTATGATTTGAAGCTTAAATGTCTGTTGTGTGTTATTACTGTTTGATGTATATCTCCTAATATACAAACTCTGACTTTTTCCCTTTTCCCCTTATTAAACTTTATTTATATAAAATTGAATAAATTATCCCCTATTTTTTTTTTTTTTTTTTTTTTTTTTATTTTATTTTTTTTTCCTCCTGTTCATGTTTGTCTCCTCATTTTTATTTAACTCCATCATTCCAATTATAATTTAAAACCTATCAAACACGCATATAAAGTCACTTCTTATTCTTTTGTTATAAATATACGCATTTATTTTATTTTATTTATGCAAATTTAATTATATATACATATATATATATATATATATAACATATATTATATATTTTTATATATATATATATACCAACAATGATTTCAGATTTAATATCAAGTCAAAAAAGCGAAATAAATGATGTTAAAGAGAATGAACAAGAATTTAAAACTAATTTTTATAATCCATTCGAAGTAAAACATCGTAGAAGAACATCGCGTGCTCAATTTAAAGTGTTGGAAAAGACATTTTTGGATAATCCAAAGCCTAGTGCTCCTATGCGTCGTTGGCTTGCTCAAAAGCTTGCCATGTCTCCTCGTGGTGTTCAAGTCTGGTTTCAAAATCGTAGAGCTAAAGAAAAGAATAAAAAATCGAAAAGACAATCTCCAGAACTATTATCAAATCCATATTCAATGCAATACACTTCTTCACCTTTACTTTCACCCTGTGCTTGCTCTGATTGTTCTATTTTATCAGCTACACCTATCAGTCGAACTTTATCTTATCCTTCCTTCTATCATAGTGATGCCTCTTCTACTACAGCTGGAGAAGAAGAAAATTCTTTATTGCTCATGATGCCTATTGATCATGATAAGCCTCAATGCATGTATGAATATACCCCTATCATGAATAATCAACAAAAGATGCCATTTCACCCAGCTACTTCACCTACTCTTTGGTCTTTGAATGAAGAAGAAGAACCAGCAGGATTCATTGATAATCGTCGATACTCTCACTCAGTTATCGATCATAAATTAGGCCATTCAACTGAGGTAAATAATAAGGAAAAGACCTTTTTTTGTTTGTTTGTTTTAACATTTAAACTAATCTATTATTCTAAATAGCTATTTCGAAGACTTTCTGAACCTATCTTTAACACATATCCAAATTTTAACCTTCCTTTTAATTATTTAACAACAAGACCCACTACCTATTCGCCCATGTAGACATCTTTTGTAATACACAAAGCTTTCTTTTTTCTTTTTTATGCAAATTATGTATATATGTTCTTCGATTTCCTTCTATGCCATTTTTTTTTTTTATGTCCTAAAAAAAAATAATTTATGCTTTGATCGGCCGGTTCTGCTTCTTACTTACTTTCTCTGTGTCTGTCTCTCTCATTCATCAAACAAAAAAGAAAATTACTTTATCTTCAACTCCTCTCTCTTTATGTATATATATTATATATATTTATATGTATACATATTATATTATTTAATCCTCATCAGTAATAAATTATTCTTTACTTTATTAAAAGAATAAATCAGGGGGTATAAAATCTTGTTGATACTGTAACGGCTGTTGTATGGTTGGTTTTGGCAACCAAGACTTTTCTAATGACGGTTTTTTAGCTAATGTCGTCTGTTTCTTTGAAACATGTGTCTTTGCCTTTGCTTTTTTATTGATACGGATTGGAACTGGTTTATTAGTCTCAATGACTTGTGATTGATGCTTTATGAGTACTTCTTGTTCTTCTTTTGTCAATTGCTTGATATATTCTTTATTTTGAGTAACTTTATCTGTAAAAAAAATTTTACGGGTTAAATATGAATCATGAAAAAGATTTCCTCCAACTCCTACTTACCAGGTAATGGATGAACAGTAATGCCCTTTTTCAGTAATTGCTCCAAAAATGCTTCATCCTCAGGTCCAATCAAATTAACTGCTATACCTGAAGTACCAAATCGACCTGTACGTCCCACTCGATGTAAATAAGTCTCAATCTCCCAGGGAAAATCCACATTGATAACTAAATTCACTTTATCAATATCAATTCCACGAGCAATCTAGAAGTTGATATATATTAGTTCAATATCATGACTTCCTCCTTTATATATATTAACTTACCAGGTCACTACAGACAAGAATACGAATTTTGAAATCCCTCATATTTTCCATTACAGTCAATCGTTTTTCTTGTGTTAGACCTGCATGAATAAGTCCAGACTTCCATCCCATTTCATTTAGCCAAGCTGTAAGCTCCATTGATCTCGGAACACTATTCACAAAAATCATACATTGATAAAAGGGAACTTGACTCAACAGTTTTTCAAGAGCTTCAAATTTTGATTTGTAGATTGCCAATTTTGATGTGTTTTCGACTAATATCTTTAAATAGTATTGTTGAACCTCTTTTATTTGCAAAAAAAATAAAATAAAAGTATTATTAGTATTCATTTATAGAAATTATATGCTTCTCCATATATATTTACCAGCTAAAGTAGGGATACCATCTGTCAACTTTACAATTTGGGGTTCTTTCATAAATCCAGATAATGTCTGTAAAAGAGAATCATGAAATGTGGCAGAAAAGGCAACTGTTTGCAAAGTCTTTTTACCCTTGACATTCGAAATAATATACTCAACTTGCGGGAAGAAGGTGTCAGACATAAGTTTGTCTGCTTCATCCAAAACGATCAAACGCAGTTCTGATGTGATAAATTTCTTTGTTGCAATTAAAGCCATCAGTCTTCCTGGAGTGCCGACTACAATTTGACATTTAGATAAATGGTGTAAATCAGCTTGCATAGATAGACCTCCAATAAAGGCATGACAACTTACAGGTGGTTTATAATCAACAGCCAAGAGACGAATGACATCTCGGATTTGAATAGCAATTTCACGAGTAGGAGCCACAATGAGTGCTTGAGTAGACGTCACTTGAGATCGGATAGCTTCAAGCGTAATAACACCAAAGACAACCGTTTTACCCGTACCCGATTTAGCTTGTGCAATCAAATCAACACCAAGTCGACCTAAAGGTATTGCTTTAAGTTGAACAGGAGAAGGTTGATCATATCCAGCTCGTTTAAGACCCTGTAAAAGCTGTTTATTCTGAAGGAGTGCACTGAACTCTACTTTTTCATCAATGGCAACATCATGAGAACGTTTCATGTTGAAGAATAAGTTTGCTTTTTGTATTCGTATTTTGACTCAGCCACTTAAAAGAAAAAATGCAGACAGTAGCGGTGACTTATTTTTTTTTTTTTTCAATTAATAAAAAATAAAAAACTAATCATCCTTCCTATTTTTTTTTTTTTTTTTTTTTTTTAATTAGTTGATCTATTATTAATCTATACAATGGGAAGGTAAAACCAGACATACAAGTTGAAAAGTACCACTTTAACAATTTTTATTTTAGACTTCGCCGTAAGAGAACACATCATGGTATTCGAGATAATTATCGTAAACAACGTACAAGAGCATATACTCGTGATCTTGATCAGATCCATGGTGATTTGAAGCCTGAAAATTATGAAAAGCTGAAGCATCAAGAAATTGATACAGATTTACCCGGTCTTGGTCAACATTACTGTGTTCAGTGTGCGTAAGTGCCCTAAAAAAAAAAAAAGAATACAGACATAATTTGCATATATAATTTTATTAAACATATTATAGTCGTCATTTTATTTCTGAAAATCATTTAACAGAGCATTTGAAGAGTAAATTACACAAAAGAAGACTTAAGAAATTAGAAGAAGAACCATATACACAAGAAGAGGTAAGAGAATGATGAGAGAGTAATAGATAAGGACATTGAAACTAAATATCTGTCTATCTATATCTGTATCTATATCTGTATCTATATCTGTATCTATATACATATACATATAAATATATATATATATACAATTAGGCTGATCGTGCAGCAGGGCTTGGAAAACCAGATAACGGTAAAAGAGGTGGTAGAATTGTGACAGTAACTCAAGATGTGACAATGGAAGAATCATAAGTTATATTTGCTTTATTTTTTTTGTTTGATTTCACTGTAATATATTATATAAAGAAAGCTGGTTTATACTAATTAAAATAAGCTATACCTTTTCAAGGGAAAAGCCTATTTTAGCTTCTTTCTTTTCTTATAAATATTTTGGTTGTTTTATATAAATACACATGATATATAGTTCTCTTTTTTTTTTTTTTCTTTCTTTCCTTTGATTTCGTCAATGGATAACAACAATAGTGGACTAATATCAATTTCACAAAAGATTAAAAAGTTGATGACAATTAAAAAAAAGAAACATAGACAAGAAGAAGAGAATAAGACTGTTTTACATAGAAGACATAGTAGCTATATTTATCAATCAATAAAAGAAGAAGAGGAAGAAAGTAATTGTATTTAAAGAAAAATACGTCCTTTCACAATTACATGATTAATTTTGTTTATACACAGACATTAGTAAAGATAAAAGTGATTTATCAATCGTTATTACTTCAGTGCCCGTTGTATCATCTCCATTGCCACCACCTCCAAGACATCGTTCTACAATAAATCATCATCATGTACAGCATAAGCCATGTTTAAATCGAAGTAATACTTTAGGAAATTATTAATAAACATGATTATATATTTTATTATTATCATTATTTCTTTTGTTTTTCATCTTGAAGATAGTCTTGGATATAATTCTTTACACTAGCTACTACTTCCTCAGAAGAAGTATCTCTTGCATAACAATCTACAAATCGTCCCTTTGGATCTATTAAATAAATAAAGATGGAATGATCCACTAAATAATCATCTTCAGGGGTAACGTTAGGTGGAGTATAAGAATAAACACGGTATGATCTAGCTACTCTTTTCAATTCTTCTGCGTCTCCTATCAGTCCAATCATGTTTGGATGAAAGTCTTGTACATATTCTTTAACTAATTCCTCGGTATCACGTAAGGGGTCAACTGTAATAAAGATAGGGACTACTTCTTTAACTTCTTCCACAACCTCGGCCATTTTGTCTAATTCTTCAGGACAAATATCAGGACAATGTGTAAATCCAAAATAAACCAATGAAAAATGTCCTTGCAGGATTTCCTTAGATGTCATTCGTTTGCCCTGGTTGACATTAAAGAGTTCGAATGGTTCCTGACCAATAGCGGGTCGACCCAGTTTTCGAATCTTATCACGTTCACGTTTAGCACGTAGTGTTTTAAGTTTTTCTTTTTCGTTTTTAAAGTATATTACGAGACCTACAGCTGTTAAACCTAATACAACTGCTGACTTCCAAGTAAAGATCTAAATGGTTAAAAAAAAAAAAAAAAACGAAAGATAAATAGATAAAACAAATGTAGGTTATGATAATTTATTCATACCTTAGGAGAAGAAGAAGAAGAAGAAGGGGATCTCTGTGTAGAAGAATAATGACGTTTATTTTTTAATTGTGTTTGATATGCTCTATTTGTATTAGTTGTTAATGTCAACCATCTCTTTGTTGTTAATGTTACTTGTGGCTACCATATAAAACATTAGTTTTAAATAGCATTTCAATTTAATCTTACTTTAGTTGAACATTGTTTTGCGAGAATCGGTTTTGTTAATTTCGTTAATAGTGACATTTATTTCTTTTTCTTAAAAAAAAAAAAAAAAAAAAAAAAAAAAAAAAAAAAAGTTTGCATACTATACGTGCGGGGGGGTATATAATGTGTGGAGAATAAAAAAATTCAGTTTCTTTTTTTTCCTTTTTTTTTTTGTTGTGTGTGAAATCTTGCTTTTCTTTAATGATAATAATAATAAGCCTTTATTATTTATCAAGTCAAATGTCTTTTAGTTATTAACTGAACCAATGAAAAGCTTCTATTTGACTTGTACTTGTAAATTATGTATGTTTATATAAAAAAAATCGAGGTGTAACAGATTGTAAATATTTCAACCCCCCTTTTTTAAAAATGTTTATTTCTCTCCTTCTTTATTGCACATTTTAAATAATATTTCATTATCTTTTTTTCTTATAAAAAAAAAAAGAAAAAAAAAAAAGAAAGAAAGAAATATTAAAATTAATAGCATTTACTCTTTCTTTACTTGAAGAAAAGAGGAAGGAAAGATCATTGTTATAAAAATGGTAGATCTAAAGTCGAAATCTGAATTCAATGTACAATGTGAAAATAATACCTCAATAAAACAAAAACAACTAAATAGGCCTAGATTAGGTTTTCTTCATTCTGCCTGGACAACCTCTGACTTACTTCATCAAGATTCAAGTTTTAGTTGTATTTCACCATCTTCATCGGATCATAGTGAAAATGATATCACAAATTCATATAAAATTCAATTGTCTCAACTTCATTTATCGGCGGAGCAAGATGAAATACTGATAGAAATTCGTCGTATGATTTATATCGCTGATTTTCTTTGCTTATTCGAGTCACTTATTGAATTTATTATTATCATTTATTCTTTACCTTGGCTTGTTGATGATTGGATGGATTGGTTGCCTTATATTATCTTACCTGGTTACACTTTCTGGTGGTTATTCATGATTGTTATTTTAAATAATAAATCAACACCACTTCATTTATATTTAAACTGGGCTACAGCAAGTGCCCTTATCATGGCTACTACTAATCTTTATCTTGCAACTTCTTTACCTCTTCCTACACCTGTACGATTCTCTTCTTTAATTCAACCAGGACGTATCTTACTTATCGCTTTATCTATCTTGACTACTCTTTTGTTTAGATTTGCTAATCGTCTTCTTATCGCTAATCAAACTAAAACGGTTAGACTCAATCATACTTTAGTCAATGAACAAGCTAGACTTCAATACTTTGTAGATCAGTGTACTGAAGCATTTCATGAACACCAACTTGCCTTTTTGACAACTGTGTCACAGGAAATACAAGATGTAGCATTAATGGTCATCACAACCCTTGAACAATTTTCTCCTACTTCTATTTTATCTTCAGGTACTAATACAACACATGAATTACTAAATGCTTGCTCTTTAGCAGTTCCTATTGCTAGTATTTCAGCAATTGGTGTCATGATTCGACAAGTATGTCATATTAGTTCTCATTTGCATCTACTATCCGCTTTAACAGCTCAAGCATGGTCAAAGAGTCGACAAAACAATAATATACAACCATCATTACCTGAATTAAAACTGAATGAATTTGATATTGGTGAATTACTTCAAAATGTTGGTGATGCTTTAGCTGGTGTAGCATCCAAGTTGAATGTCAAGTTTGTTATTTACCACTATGATAATAGTTTACATCATACGTCAGTTATAGGTGATGAAGGAGCCATTCGACATGCTTTGTTAAATGTAATATATAATATAATGTAATATGTGTATAGTGTAATCAAATAAGATTACAATGATTTAACTGTATTTATTTTATTTTTATTTTTACTTTTACTTTTTCATTAGCATTTACGTAATGTGCTTGAATGCTGCGCACCAAGTACTTGCATTGAAGTCGGCTTGAATGTAACACCAAATAGAACAAAGAGAGAAAAGAAGTGTAAAATTACATTCTATATTACTCACACAAGCTCTGCTTCAAATACGGATGATCCTTCGCTTTTGCCCAATGCTAATTTGACAGCAGAATTGATATCCTATATTCATGCTACTTCATCTATACAACAAATCAATGAAGAGAAAACTGAATTTGAATTTTCAGTTGAATTGGATTATGGCGCCCAGAATGAAGATAATAGGACAATATTTGAATTAGATGACAATAATAAGAGTACGACTTTATTAAAACAATATTATTCAAATATTCAATTTTCTAATGAACCCAGTCTAAAAGAGCTAGGAGAGTTTATAAAATGCTTAAAAGGATTAAAGATGGTCTTACATGCGACAGAAAAATCTATCTTTGCCAAGCATTTAACAAGCTGTTTAGCTAGTTGGAATACGGATATTAGTCATGTACCTATTACAGACCAAAAACAGTCATTAAAGAAAGAGCCTAAAAGTCATGCAGAATCATCTAATCCACTACTACGAACAGCAGGTCCTATTCCTCCAACTGTTCCAACTCCATTGATTGAAGAAGAACAAATACATGCTATCCCGCCTGCTTTTATTCTTATTGACGATCATCTCCCCACACTTGAACGTAAACTTTCTGAATTTCGTTCTCAACCCCCTGCTTCAGCCTATGTCCTTCAACAAGCTGTTCATCATGGTCGTCGTCATAAGAAATCTTCACCCCATAATTTTTTTCATCATGGTTCCTCTGCCATTATTTATTTTAGTTCATTATCCCATTATAAAGCTGTTCGAGATCTGATTCAATGTTTTGTCTTATCATCTTCATCTCCACATCCTTTTAGTATGCCACGTGTTGTCGTTGTGCCTAAACCAGCGGGTCCTCGACGATTCTTGACTGCACTTCATACAGTTTGGCATCATGCAGTCGTTCAGCCTCATTTTTGTGCCATTGCGACCTCACCATTAAGTCCCATTCCACCTATTCTAAATCAAATCATTCAAAATAGTCCCCGTGGATCACCACCAGCACCAGCACCAGAGCAACACTTTATACGCAGAGAACAGGGAAATAGTCATTATTTTGGTGTTCGAAGACGATCATCACAACAACATGATCAGGACTATTTTGTAATCACAAATTCGGGAAATAATTCTTCGTTAATGAATGCTTTGTCTAGTAACACAGCAGTTATGACGGAAGAAACGGTAACCAATATAGAGAAGACGATAGCTGAAAAGGTAGTCGAAACTGGACTACAAACGACTGAAGCAGTTGATAATAAACCTTCAATCACCAACACTATGGATGAGATACCAGTAGCACCGAAAAAGAAAACTATATCAAAAATGATGACCAATTTTAAACTAAATAAAAAGAAAAAGAAGGTAAAGGGAACACCTTTTACAGATGTCATCAGTCCGCCTATCAATGTTTTGATTGTAGAAGGTATAATAGAAAGAAAAAAAGAGAAAGAGAAAGAGAAAGAAAAAGAAAAAGAGAGAGAGAGAGAGAAAAGTATATATTTATATATTTGCAGAGGAATATTAATCATATACATATACACATATATAGATAACATTATTAACCAAGCCATTTTATCTACTTGGATGAAGAAGCATCAAATCAAGTTTTCTGTTGCAAGTAATGGAAAAGAAGCAGTGGATAAATGGAAAATAGGTGGATTTCATTTAATATTAGTAAATAGAATAACAATAATTCAAGTTTTCTTTCTTTCTTTTTTTTTTTTAAACTTTTATACTATTATAGATGGATATTCAACTTCCAGTCATGGATGGTATTGAAGCAACCAAAATGATTCGTTCTATTGAAAAAGAACAAAAAATTGGTGTCTTACCTACCTCCTTTCGTCAACAACGAGGTTCAGAAGAAAGTTTAGAAAGCTCTCATGAAGAAGAAGAAGATTATAAAATATCCGTATTTCGATCACCTGTCATTATTGTTGCTTTAACAGCATCCTCACTAGAATCCGATCGACATGCTGCTTTAGCGGCAGGATGTAATGATTTCTTAACAAAGCCTGTAAGTCTTGAATGGCTGGAGAAAAAGATTATTGAATGGGGATGTATGCAAGCATTAATTGATTTTGAAGGATGGCGACGATGGAAAAAGTCAATTCATAATAACAGTGATAATAAGATAGCAAAACCTCAACAGCATGTGACAGCAACGAAAAAACCAACAGAAGAACCTAAGAATGAACAAAGATCTACAACTCAACAAGGACTCTTATTACCTGGTATAGGGCATTTAGTAAAAGCAAGACGGTCTGATGGGAATAAAAAGATGAGTCGATCTGTAATTGCCTTAAAGACTTCTAAAAGTGATTCTGATACCCCACAATGTAATAATAATGCAAAGTTAAGCAGTGATCATCATCATAGTAGACTAGCATCAACTAGTGATACAACAACAGCTATAAGTAAGAAATAACTTTCTTAAATACCCTTCCCCTCTTTCTTTCTTTCTTTCTTTTTTTTTCGAAATTATATATAAATAAATGAAAAAAGAAAAATTATTATGTAATGTTTACAGTGATAAATGTAAGGGATTTACTTTTTTCTCCTCTATAATAAATGCAGTTTTAAATCTAGCATACTCATCATGTATAAAAGTGTCACGACTTTTATTTAAAACAACCATCATTTCCCTTGAAAGTTTAAAGAAAAAAAAACTACTACTACTTGAATGAAGTTTCTCTTTTTTTTTTTGTTTTAGATAAAAAGCCAAGACTTTCTTAGATATGATGATGTATGCTTATTCTTATTATTATAATCAACCAATGAAAAGGCTTTATTTTGTGTAAAATCTCACAAAATAACAATGGTAGTTGTCATATTGGACATTACCTATCATTTATTAGAGGGAAAAAAAAATAGGATCGTCATTAAGATATACACATGTCTACAATTTCATTGTTTATCAACACACTATACTATTACCATGGTGAATCAGGAACAATGAATTCCAATCCCGACATTTTTTATGCAATTTTTTTTTTTTTTTTAAATTCAACAATAAAACCCTTTCATGATGACTTAAAACCTTTCCCCCCAAGTCTATTGTAATGACCTTTTTTTTTTGGTGATATCACAATTTCTTTTTTTTTTTTTAATTAATTTATTAATAAAAAAAAGTTATATAAAGGTAATCTTAAAAAAAAATAGAGTTTTAAAAAATTAGATACATAAAAAAAAAAAAATGAACTTTGATTCTACTTTTATAAGACAAGCCATCAATGATACAAAATTATTAAATATTCTAGGCTTAGAAGAAGAAGAAGAAAAAGAACAAGAGCAACCGTTAGTTGTATTTGATGATTGGGAAAATACATTGACAAAAGAAGAAGATAAAAAAGTGACAGCAAATAAAAAACGAAAACAAGAGGAAGTTGACGATCTGTTTGCTAAGCTGGATTTTATTAATATTGTAGAACCAGAAGAAGAAGACGATAATCTAAACATAAAAGAGCCCCTACTATTTTATTTGGCAACAGCAACAAATTCTTGAAAATCATGTATTATATGTATTTATTCGAAGAGAAAAAAAAAAGGGAATAGTCCTATTAGCAACAAATTAAAACACATAAAGCTCATTTTTCTCTTTCTTGCATTGTTATATAAATTTGCATTTAAAATCAATTATATTTGGTATATAAATAAATAAATAAATAAATATTTTTTTTTAATTGCTATTGATTATGACTTGTCGACGAGCATCAATTGCATGCATATCGGGGACTCCTAATTCAGCCTATACAATATCATACTATAAGTCTTTTTTTTTCTTTGTTTAATTTATTTAAAAAAAAAATTAAAAAATTAAAAAATAAACAAACCTTGGATGAAACATTCTCTTCTTGTTTCGCTTCTTCTAATAAACTAACTTCTTCACCACATTGATAAAATCCACATTTTTGCTTTTTATATGTTAAATAGTGGCATTACTTCAATTTATATATATATATTTATACATACTTGAGCCCAACTAGATCCACATCTCCAGCAGAAACGATATCCACATAATAAACAATCCACTCGATTACATCCTTCATCTCGATTGATCATGACTGAGCAATTGGGACAGGGTCTCCTATTTATTATAAATACATGCCAGTCAGCAAATATGAGTTGTAGGTACACAAATTATGTTATATTTACGTATGATTTAATTTCCATTGAATTGTCTCTGCAAGCTCATTATGGCAATTCTTTTTTAGTTTTAACTTTAAATTTTCTAAACAACTTGTACCTAAATGAGCCATTTCACCACATTGTAAACATATTTTATCACCGCAGTGTGAACTTTTAAGATATTAATATTATGATTAACATATATATATATACACATATATCTTACCATGTTTCTATGGGAAAATTAGCAATATGCCAAAACTGAGTTTGCTTCCATGCTTCCGGTATGACTTCTAAAGCTACCAACTGTTTTGAAATAGATGAAGATCTTTCATACAATTCCATATTATAATAATCTATCTTTCTAACAATCTTGCAAAGAATTGGAATAATTTGATTATAAATACCTTGAATACGGCCAATACGAAAGGAAGATCCACCTTTTTGACAAGCAGTCAAGAATGTCATGAGTGTTTCATCCACTAATTGAGTTAGATTTGGATTATTTTTTATAGATTTTGAAAAACCATTTAAATCACTCGCAATTTGTTCTAAACGACTAATGAGGAGAAGAGATAGAGGTTAATTAAAAAAAAAAAGGTTGTATACTCTTTTGTCTCTATTTTAACTATGAATTTACCTTTCCCGTGATAGACTCGCACTTTTTCTAGGTGATTGACATGGTGCAACAGGGGCTTGACAAGTATTGCAATAACGAGAAAAAGGACGATAAGGCTGATTATATTTATTGTATTTTTCAATAATATCTGATGAAACATATCTACTCCATTCATTTTGACTAATTACTTCCTGACAAACTTAGAAAAAAAAAAGTTAATAGAGAAAAAGGGGGAAAAAAGAGAGAAAGAGAGATGATTCATACCTGGACATTTAATACGAGTAACACCTAAACCCCAAGACTGGTTTACTGTTTCTTCAATATATCTAATAAATATGTATATATTGTAACGAAATGGTGAATCTACTATTTACATGTATATTTTTATCTAATTTACCTTGAAAAACATTCTTTACAGAATTGATCACGACAAGTCTCCAAGCATAAATTATAAGTTTGATCAAGACAAATCGAACATCTTTGTAACCAAAAATACATGTTATTCATTTCATCTTCAACTAACATATGACTATCCTGACTTATAGTTGCGTTATTATTATTAGTCGCAAGACCTTTATTTCCTTTTGTTGTTTGTTGTTGTTGAGGATGGTGGTGATAATGATGAGATGAAATAAGTTTATAAATCCAACCAATGATAAAAGATAAAAATCTTAGAAAGATAGCAGGCATTAAAAGGGTTGGATAAAATACATAAAATAAGGGAAGACAATAACAAAATAATAAATTAGCAATATTGTATTTTAAAAATAGTTCTTTTGTTTGTGGAGAAATCCAATTCATGAACTTGTTTTCTGATATTCTTGGACTGTTGTTATCATTCATAATAAATTAAAAAAATAAAATAAATAAAGAAAATAGAGAAAAAAAAAGGAAAGAAAGAAAGAAAGGAAACAAGAAAAATAATAGAATTTATACTACAGGATTTTTTTTCTTGCTGCTATATGCGGATTTTCAAAAAAAAAAAATCATTATAGATGTTTGTGAATTGGCTGCTGTCCTTGTACTTGTATAATTTGCATTTGATTAGCATTTTATTGGTACTGGTTTTATTATTATTATGCTTCTTCTGTAATTAACTAGATAAATGTTAACTTGAAAAAAAAAGAAAGGAAACCAACCCCCACAAATAATGAATAAAAGTAACTAAAAAAGATAAAGTTTATAGATCTATACTTTACAGCTAGATGTGATAACTTAGCAAAATTTAAATTTCTTGGAGTAGTATAGTTCTTTCTAAAACGTATATTATTATTTTTTTTTTGTTTGACGAAAATACTTTTAATAATAAAGAATATAGGTATAAATAACAAGAGTTTATATCTTGAATCAAATTCAGGCCTGTGAATTTGGGAGGTATTGTCTTGAATAAGATACCGACCCTGCATAATACTACACTCAACAAGAATATCTAATTAAATAATGCTCTTTATAGAGTTATGAATCCCCATGACCTGTGTGGTTACTTTTCTAATCTAGTTTGGTGTTTCGTGAAAGGCTCTCATCAATAAAACGAGACTATTATTATTTTATAAGAGTAAAGTCGAATTTTTTTTTCGTAAAGTGTTGACGGTATATCTATAAGAATATTATTAGACTAAATAAATCAGACAAGAATCAATTGAAGGTAAAAGAATACCTTATCAATAGCTTCCTATGCCAATATTTTATCATTGTTAGTATTAAAATGAATGTATTATTTGTCTTGATTATTTATTCTTCTTTATTTCTTTTAATATGCAGCTCGGTTAAAAAAAAAATTACAAATTTAATATGAAACTTCTTTCCCACTCCCCTCCCCCACAGTTTAGTATAAATGTATAATTTTAGGTTTTTTTTTCACATTGTTAATTTCTTAGAAATATATCTAAAAAGCTTGAATGTCTAGCATGCAACTGTTGGTAGATCCGCAGCTGCTCATGGTGTTAAACATCACAAAATACCACGAATAAAAGAAAACACATTTGCTAATATATACAGTAGGAATTAAAGTTGATTATAAGATAACTCTGTCCCGCTTGTAGAAAGAGTATGAAAATATAAATAATTATTAGTTCAATTTTGATAGTAAAGGACTTGGCCAGTATTCCATATATACATTTATATTTATATTGATATTTATATTTATTTATACAGTCTTTATAATTGATTTCTAGTATGTTAAGCTAGTTAATATCTTTATCAGTTTGAAGAATTTATATATTTCGTTACTTTTTAAAAGATTTGATTCTTTACATAATAATGTTATTTCAATTAAAATTAAGCTTAATATTACGAATATTTGCATCTGTTTGATTGATTTATATACAGCCTTTTCTTCTTTTTCATCTTCTTCATTTTATACTAGATGATGCTGATCAGTTTAATTGACGAGGTTTGTCAATTCCTATTGTATTCATTATCTTTTCAAGTTGTGAGAAGTAATAGTAACAATCTTTAAATTAAGCCAAGAAATAAAATATAAAGCCTTCATCCTTAGTCACTCTTATTCCTCGATTTACCTTTGCTTAATTCCACAAAAAAATGAATAAAGTGTGTGCTATTTATCCTTATCTTTATAAATTTTGAATTGAACTGCTTTGTATTTATATTCTTTAAAAATTAGATTCAATCTTCCGGGTTTTTGCTAATATATTCAATCGAGTATTATCATATCATATACACATACATATAAATGCTCCCTTTTTTTTTCTCTCTCTCTCTTTTTACATTCTTTTATTCGCAATGTTATATAGCTAGCAAAAAAAAAAAAGGATCATGATTGACGTATATTCTCAGACATAAAAGTTACATCATAATTTCAATAAATAAATAAAAGTTAAATAATAAGCTGTCAAATAAAAAAAAAACATTATGTAAGATCTTGATATTCTGTATAATAATATATATCATTACTTTTGTATGTAATTTATCATTATCCTTTCTTTTTTTAAACTTGTATAAAATAAAAAAAAAAAAGAGAAAATACATAATAATCACAACAAAAAAAAAGAGGTTTTAAAATCATATCATGATGTAATTGTCTTTTTTTTTTTTTTTTTTTTTTTTTTTTTTTTTTTTTTTTACCAAAAATGTTATATTTGAATAAAATGTACAACAAACTTTTTTATTTTATTTTTTTATATAAACATTTTCCTGTATAATAGAATATGCATGTATGTGTGTGTGTATGTATGTATGTGTGTATGTATGTATGTATAGCTTTCTTCTCCATTGAGGAGACAGAGACAGAGAGAGAAAGAAAAGGAGAAGAAAGAGGAAAAAGGTCTGTACAAATTAGATATACGTATATAATATATTTGTATACATAGTTAAGAGGCAAATAAACGAAATGTAATGCCAAAAAAAAAGAAGAAGAAAATATATACAATTCTTATTATTTAATAAAACTCATTTAATGACATGGTATTTGTTGGTATTTGAGTATATTGCGGTTGAAATGTAGTTGCATTAGGACGATACATAGAGTCATTACCATTTATCTGTTGTTGTGATATGACTGTATTATTGTCTATGTTATTTCGTTTTTTACTGGCCGCTTCTCTTGCTTTCTTTTGTCTACGCCATTCTTTTCTCATTTCTTTAAATTCAGAAGGATGTCGTTTAGGCCCCTAATAATGATAATGAAAAAGTTGTGTGTTAATAAATACAGATCACATACACATATTATACATCTAAATTTTTACTTACATGTTTTTGCATACTGACATGAGCATTAAGATGATTTAAAGTACCATATGCTTTACTGCATCCTGGCCAATTACAATGATATAATCTTTCAATCTCATCATAACGACGTCGTGGTCTTTTCTTTTGGTTTGTACCAGGGATAGCTACAAAGGAATAAACCTTCTCTGAACTATTTGATAATTGTCGAGGTCTTGTTGTTTGTTGATGTGATTGATTCATAGAATAAGGATTGTTAGTATAATATTGAGTGGTATTATTATGATAATTTGATTGACTAATAGCTGCTGCTGCTGCTGCTATCATGGCTGCAGTAGGATCTACAGATGTTGTTGGATTTAATTGATACATGTTTGGATTGATAGACATTATATCATTATTTGTAGTGGTAGGAAATGAAGATTGAGCCCCTGCTGTTGTTGTTGTTGTTGTTGCTGCTGCTGCTGCTGCTGTTTCTGCTGCTGCCGTTGTTGTTGTAGTAGTAGTAGTAGTAGCAGCAGCAGCAGCAGCAGCAGCAGCACTATTAGGATCCATTAATACTTCTGTAGTTACAGTATTATTCTGATTGTTATTATGATGACTATTGGTAGTATTATTTGGAATCAGGTTTGTAGATGTTACAGGATAAGTGATTGTGTTCTCATCATTATCATAATAAATAGGTTGTTGTTGTTGTTGTTGAACAGATGCTATATTTGAAGGATTAGCGGTGATGGTGGTGGTAGGGTAATTCATACGCATTGTAGAAACTCCTTCTTCGGCTATTGTTGTAGTGTTATTGTTTGTCAAGTGTTGCTTTTTATCAGATGGTAATAACTGAGAAAGAGGCGGTAAAGAAGGCAATTCTAATGGTTGAAAGAAAGCAGCAGCAGTCTGTTGCCTTCTATTCAATAAATTATTAGGCTTTGGTTTAGATGTTGAAAATAAAGCAGTTATCGTAGGCTCTGGTTTATTAATAATAGAGGGATTATTTAATGAAAAGTAACTACAATTATCATCTGTTTGTGTCATTTCTAAGTGTAAGTAATATATAATAATAATAATAAAAATAAAAAGGAATTCAAAAAGAAAAAAAAGATGAAATGTAATTTGTTCTCACCAGACATTACTTGTATATACTTTAAGGCACAGAAAAACGAGTCTTTTCCATTTTTAGAATTTCGATGTCGGAGTTATAGAACAATAACGTCATTGATTCAGGAATTCCAAATAAAGCTAGTCTTATAATTAAAATAATAATAATTGAGGATTTACATATTTTATATGTAGGATCAAACACACTTAATAAATACGATTCAAAGCCTTTTTTTTTTTGTAAATAAGGAGTAATAGACCATGCATATAAAGTTTAAATTATAAATCAATTGAATCAAGTATACATGTATACAAAGATCGTTTTTTTTTGTTCTTGTCCTTCAAAACGTATCTACGTCAAGTATAAAATAAGCTTTGACTTGTGTAACATAATGAAGACATATATTTGTGTGTATATGTCAGTAATTGATAATAAATCAGAGTCAATAAATATAAATAAAGAATGATATTTAACAGTAAGAAATTATTGCTCAAACCTGTTTAATTTTATTTATTTTTTTTTTTTTGTTTTATTTGCATATATAAAAGCGATCTTTGCTTCTCTATTTTATTTGTTGAAATCATCATTATATATTACATAAGAATTCCGTCGACAACGATAATGTCTTTAATATAAGTGATATCATAAGTAAATTGGTAAATCGTCATGATGAAGAAACTAGCTATTACTTCTTGAAATAATAATAATATGTGCATTAAAATTATTATTGCTTATTTACTACTGCTGTCACTGTCACTGTCACTGTCTCTTATTTGATTGCTACTTCTTCCTCTTCTATTAACTATGGCAATGTATCTACTGTGATTAAAGAGTCTTTTCTTTTGTAATAAGAAAGAATATGTCGATTTGTATTATATATTATTAAATAGTTTAAATTAAACATTGTTCTGAAACGAATTCACCTCTTTTATCTTTTCTTATCTATCAATTGATTTTTTTTTCCTCTTCCATTACTGTATGTTTGTTGAAGGTAGAGTTGTAGTAATAGTCAGCAATATATGCGCTGGTATTTTATGGGTCATCATTCTATATCTTGTCTCCAGTATACGATTTACTACTACATCATGTCATTAAATAAGGAACAATTAAAAGGTCTCTTTTAATTCATGCTAATTATTTATTAGACTTTTGTTTAAGAAATTGGTTCCTTATTTCCATTAATACAGCAATACTAAATCTGGATTTACCTATTCTTGACTTGCTTTGATAACTCTCTCTAATTTTCACATAATTCCTTTTTTTTTTTTTTTTGTATGTGTGTTTAGTCCTCTTTGACTTTTTGTTTGTTTACTTTTACTATTTTATTTATTGAAATAGCCTAGTAAACATATCTGATACACATTTCATGCCAAAAAAAAAGACAACTACTGTGTTACAAAACGAATAGAATCGACGTACATAGCAATTACTCTTATCATCATGACGATCATGCATGTTTCTTTGTAGCACTGTTTGTTTAAATATGTAAACTTTATTGATCATATATTGTCAAGTTGATTTATCATATTTACAATAGAATAAATCCTATTCATAAAATACATATACATGTATGGTTTATAATAAGAAAGGGAGTGTTAAACATGTTTGAACAAAGATTAAGAAGAGGAAATAGATTATTTTCAGGTAGAAACATTAAAATATCTTTGATAGCGTTGACGTGCATTTTCATTAGTAGCAACATTTAAGACAGCTTTACCAAGTCCTTTACCATCAAAATAATGAACATGATAGAGATCAGAGGCAGTATATTCCAATTTAAACTTGACTGTTCTCTTTTCATTAGCTTTAATAAGATCTACATAGTATTGATCCCAATCTCTAATTGTTCCTATAGGATACTTGCCATCATGTGTTGTTTCATAATCATAAACACGAACAGCAGGATTATTTGAAGGAATAATAGAGGGTGCATTAAAGAGGGGAACAATAGACATTTTTAAGTTTTCTTTTTGCTCTATAGCATATTGATCGTCAGCAGCTATAAATCCATAACTACCATTACCATTAGGAATAACAGCATTTAAAGTATCAGCTAATAACAGAGATTAGAATTCATAATAATACTGAATTTTAGAGTTACCATTTGTATGACCAGTAAAATGACCAGCAATATACTTGCCATATTTTCCAAGTAGAGCAAAATATTTTTCATAACAAGCGTCTTTCAAAATGCGAATACCATATTCATCAATAGGAGAAATATGTCCTATGATATATGCTTGATGTTTACCATCCTTCTTCTTCAATTTCTTTAATTGAGTCTCAAGCCATTCGAGTTGAATTGTACCAGGACTAGTTGAAGAAATACAATCTTCTACTGCAAGATTTGGATTATAAAAGAACATCGAATTTAGACTAATGATACTAAGCTTATTCTTGATAATTTCTTGAATGAAATAGCCACCCTTTGTGAAAGTCTCTGTCAAATCAAGTTTAAAAGGCTTCCAAATAGTTTCAAGTATTGGGAATAAGGGATCATTTTCTTCAAGTTGATTATACATGAAAGCATCATTATTACCAATAGTGGGAAACTAATTTAATAGATTTGTTATTCATATATGTATATATACATATTTATATAACTTTACAAAAAGTGTTCCCTTTGGAAAACTTTTCAAAACATATTCAGCAACTAGTGTGTGTCCTTTAATTACTTGATCGTGAGTTACAGGTAAATTAGCATCTCGATTCTATTTTTTTTTTCTTAAAAAAAAAAAAGACATTTGACAAATAAATACTAAAAATATTTACCTGTCTAACGGTGTCACCAGTATAAATGATAAAATCAATTTGATTTATCTCTTTTTTAAGAAATTTAAAAGTGGCATCAACAAGTGGCACTGGAGAAGCACATCGAGTCCCCAAGGCGCCAAATTTACCAGTAATTTCAGAACCATTACCAGTAATAGTATGGCATATTCTACTTGGATCAGAACCTTCAAGATACAATGGATCAATATGTATGTCTTATATTTGAAGAGGAAAAAAAAAACGCCTCAGATTAAATTGAGTATCAGTTGAACGATAAATTGTATTTTACCAGTGATATGAAGAAACTTGCCAAATAATTTATCATGCTTTTTCTGAGAGTTAAATTCTTTTGCAGCTACAGCATGAACAAAAGGCCCACATTGACACGATAAGAGACAAATAAAAATCCAGTTGAAAACTATCTTCAAATACATTTACAAAATTATGAAGTAAAATAGAATATAATTATAAATACATGTATTTTTTTTAAAAAAAAAAAAAAAAAAAAAAAAAAAAAAAAAAAAGAAAGCTAGCATGTTTATATACTATTACAATTAAATATTTATATAAATATACATATTACCATTGAATAAAATTTAAAACCTCCTCTGTTTGACCACATAATAAACTACTACTATATTCCCTTGGTTAGGTCAAGAATGGGAAAAATACGTTTGACAGTTAAAAGGGGAAAAAAAAGAATAACGAACTATATTAGAAATGTGATACGAGGTTAATCACTGCATAACTATTTGACCAAGTCAGCTCCAAGAGGATTTTATCATGCTAAAGGTAATCAAGTTAAATGAGCATGTGATATATCGTCAACTAAAAAATTGTCCATGCATAAGTGAAGGAGCTATTTTGGGCAATAAATAGCTTCCTACGTTTGTTAGGAATGTGATTGAATAGAAAAAGTGAAAGGGTCAGTCGCAGAACTAGTTATTTGCTGCCGGTAGTACATATTTAGACAAGCAGTAGCATAGAATCAGGTAAAATTATTATTTGGATGAAAAACATAATTTTTTTTTTGGGGGGGAGTACCATCAGGTAACTAACCTGTAAGATAGCATAAAGCACGATTATGTTCAGCCCGAGTCGTAGGCAATTAAAGAATAGAATCAATTGTGAGTGTTGGAAGACAGGTAGAAAAAAAAATAAAATTGAATAAGACAAATGGTATTGTATATCAAACTGTTCACCTAGGAACTTTTGACAAATTGATCAAAAAGCGTGATAAAAAAAATGTCCCATCAACCGACCCTGCGAATTATAGACCAATTAGACCAATTAGTTACATTTTAACTTTTACAAAAATTCTTATAGAGTTTAGTGCATATATCCCTATCTTTTAGTAGATAGTCCCCTATCAGATATTTCACAAAGCGAATTTTGTGCAGCTCGAGATTCTTTTGATCAAGCCCCATATTTAGTAGAAATATGTAATATTCTTAGATGTAAACGTAAGATCAATCCAGTATTAGCTTTTTTTTTCGACATTAAATCTGCATATAACACTGTGGATTGAAATTACATACGGTAGACGGTACAAAAAAACCATTTACTGGCCGCTCCTCTAAATATTCTACTTTGTAACCTGTTCGATTACGTCCCGATTGAAGCCCTTCTCAATAACGCAACCTCCACTAGGTTTTCTCCAAAAACTGAAGTGTTATTTTTTTTCTCACCTTTTCTTTATTCTAATTATATTAATAATCTACCTAATATATTAAAAAGATCGCAAGCTTTCACTGACGACCATCTAAACGATCTAGTCCAACTAGTTCTAAATTTAACATACTTACTTTAAGCTGATGATATAGTTCTTATAGCGAATCTCTCTTTGTTTCAGCCTTTACTTGACCTTTATGAAGAACATAGTTATACTTTAGAATATAGATGGAACTTACAAAGAATACGTTGCTACTTGCCCCTGACCTTTTATCACAGCTCTGCACTCTTTGTAACAACAACGTTACCTCAGAATAAATGTTTTTCTTATTTTGGCACACTTATCAATCCTGGAGGGTTTTTAGATCTGTATACTCTTGTTTGAAACGATCCTTGCTAGGCTCTCTCGCTCTCTCTATCTCTATCTCTACAATAAACATAATTACTTCGATTGCTATCTTCAACAAATCAAGATTTGACTAGTTAATTGCCTCTCGTCTCTATACACAAACTGTCCGCTCACAGTTGAAAAAATATGGCTTGGCTATCAACATATTTAACTCCAAAACGATCAAATCCCTTAAAGACCGTCAAAATAGCTGCTTCCACTGTACATTTGGTGGACATTATACATATTCCTTCTCCTCCTCTCTCCCCCCCCTCCTCCTGAGTTTATATATTGTATTTCGCTAAGCTATCTCATATGCATGAACGTATTAGTATACGACATGCTCAATTCATTCTTCGATTTCGCATTCTTCACCAATGATACACTACTTACTAAGCTGCTACCTTATCTTCAGCAATTATAAAAAAAAATCGCTCACTAAATGGTACTATCTTCATAAAATATTACTTTGAAAATAAGGCATCCCTTCTGTTGAAAGCCTCAATACACGTTTATTTCAGTTCACTTGTCTTTTTGACGATCCTGAATGAAAGATGTCTCTGCTTGTTATTCACCAGTACTTGTCTGCTTGTCGTAATACGTTAATAATTGATCCTATTCTTTGGTTACCTATCACACGATCTAACCGAAGCTGATATCTTTGTTAGTGCCTTGATTGGTTACCCCATGATCATCTTCCGTATTGCAACTCATTATAATATAGTCTCACCATATGTAAATACCACAAATAATTGAAGACCCTCTTTCCTTCCTCCTTAATAAGCTTCCTTTCAAAAAATAAATAAATAAATAATCAGTGTAACACCATTCTCATATCACTAAGAAAAAAATAAGTAGAAAGATGCTCAAACAGTTATCAAGACTCTCATTTCAGATATTGTACAATTATAAAAGAGATGTGTGTCACAGATGATCTTTATGTCACATTGAAAAGAAGGCCCTCTCCCCTTCCAGAATTCAAAGGATAAAATAGCAATGGAAAGTAAAATAAAACCTGAAAGATATAGAAGCATATAAGAAAAAGCAAGGAAAAAAAAGTCTTCTCCAAAGCTATGACAATTGCTCAATATGACAAACTTATAATAAATAATCCTTTTAATGTGAAAACTAAAGCTGATAATAAAAAAATTGATTATCTAATATAAACAATGCATCGTGTAATTAAAAATGAAGAGCAAAGATACACTTTCTACCGTACTCTTTTTTTTTTTTTTTTGACTTTTGAACAATTGATACCCATTTTAAAGTTCCTATTAACTATTTAAACGTCAAATCATGAAATACCTTAATCAAATTACTATTTTGAATATTCCTATATCTTTAATAATTTAATAATATACAAAACACTGGATAAAAGTAATAATGGCTTGGGGTAACTATAGCAAATTGAAGAAGTAAGGGGAGAAGAAGAAGAGGAAGAAAAAAAAAAACTGCAAACTTGTTTATATGGAAGTTCTTTTTTTTAAAAAAAAGTAGTAAAATGATTATAAGATGAATGTGTACACAGGATATATAATTTACACATAGAGTAGCCCTATTTTTATATAATACTCAACTAACTATTCTATCATTCCTTTTTCAATATACTTTTATTAAATGCTAAATTTCATGATACATTTTCCATCCGCCTCCTTTCTTTCCTTTTTTTATTTTATTTTGTTTTAATTTATAAATCAACACAAGTAGAACCATCTGTAACTACATCTAAAACTTTATAAAAGCATTCAAAGTTTCCATGTTGCTTGAATAATGCAATAGCTGCCTTGGCAATTTCATCGTAATTTTTAGTAGCTAAAGCTAAAATAGTAGGACCTGCACCAGAAAGACAAATACCTAAAAGTCCATCATATTTTTGATAAGTAATTGTCGACAAGATCTCTGGAAGTCCTGGAATCAATGTCTTTCGATAAGGTTGATGAACTTTGTCTTGCATTGCATTATAAATCAATTCAGGATTAGGTGGAACTTGACTTAATGCAGTTGTTAACACAGCTAATCTTTGGAAGTTGAAAATCTATAAAAGGAAAATAATAATAATAATAAAATCAGGCATTTTTTTTTATAGTTAGTTAGTTAGTTAGTTAATAAAGTAAATAATTTGAAATTCCTTACCATATCCTTTCTTTCATATTGTGTAGGTAACACAGCTCTTGCCTTTGCCGTAGCGACTTCAAATTGAGGCACAATAGCGATACATTTAATATCTGGATTCCAACCTAATCTAACATAATGTCCAATACCTACAGGAGGTTGAGGAACAGACTTTTGAGTAACGGCGATATCTAAAAGAGAAGTTTCGGATGCAGGTACATTTTTCATCTGTTCAGGACTTAACTCACGCAAATAAGAGGCAACAAAACCACCCATCAAGGCAGCTGCCACATTATCAGGATGTCTTTCGATCATTAAACAGTAATCGAGGAGTCTATCACGATCTAAATTTAACTGACCAAGGGCGTTACCTAACAGGACACCACCCACTACAGCAGCACCAGAAGAACCTAAACCACGACCCAGGGGGATAGGATTATCTACATGGATTTTGAGAGGTTGAGGTAAAGTATGAATGCCGTTAGCAGCAAGAACATATAATGCAGTCTTAGTGATTAGGTTCTTTTCGGCCGTTAGAGGAACATCTTTCGCTCCTTCTCCTGAATAAGTCATAACAAAGGAAGGTGTTTTATCGCTAGGAGGTAGTATTTCAACATCAATTGTTAAGTATAATGATAGGGAAATACCCAAGACATCAAAACCAGGACCGATATTAGCTGTTGAACATGGTGATTTAATGCGAAATTTTCTAGGTTCGTTATAGTTGAGCATAGTCATTGTTCTCACCTTCCTCCTTTTTTTTTTTTTTACTGACTGTATCTATAGATCTTTTCAGTAAATCTATAAAGGAAAGAGATTTATGTAAAAAAAAAAAAAAAAAAAAAAAAAAAAAAAAAAAAAAAAAAAAGAATTTAGTTACTGTTTGTCAAAGATGAAAATAATTAAAAAAAAAAAAAAAAAAAAAAAAAGTGACTGGCTAATATATGATTTACTTATTCTTGGTCATACAGCATGTTTAATCTAAAAAAAGATGATTGGAAAATGTTTTAAAGACCAGCTGTTTTAATATTCCGATTTAGTAAAATGGTTTCTTTTGATGAGCTTCTTTTGTGTTGCCCGGATCGGATCAAAAAGGGAAAAACAAAGAAAATAAAAAAGAATAGGGCAAAAGATAAAGAAGAAGAAGAAAAGGAATAGAAAACTTTAACTTCAAATGCTAGATTAATGACTGCATAAGCATTTGATCAAGTTAGTACCAAGAGAAGGGGAGGAATTTCAGGAGAAAATTTACCATGGCGAAAGTAATCAAGCTCAAAGAGTATGAGACATATTGTAGATCAGTAAATAATCCATACACGGAGAAAAGACACTGAAACTCTTATTAGAGACACAGGGTAAAAAAGAAAAGAGATAAAAAGAGTATATACTATTTTTGGATAGACAAAACGGATTGATTAAAACTAAGACTATCTTAAATCAACCTTTTTTTGCATAGCCATCTGTGTTAATCAATTCTAGCTTTTTTTTTTTTGAATCCATCTAAATAACTTGTTTTACTTATAATGTCTTTTACCAGCTTGACACTAAATAATTCTTAGAAGTAACAGTTATGCATACACTTTGATACATGGTGTACTTTCATTATTGGTTTCCTATTGGTTTCCTTTAACATATGCCGTCTAAGTTACTACTACTACTACTACTCCCTTTTCTTTTTGCGTTATATGATTAATTTCACTTGGTTAGTATGGATAATTATGTAAGAAATCAGCAGCCTTAATACTTTATCAGCTTTTGCTAAAATACCATTTCCAAAGATGTATGTAGAAGAAAATATAAAAAAGAAATGTTTTACAAAGTCTTTAATTTTAATGGATACGATTTTATACAGAGATAAACTTTTTATTAGAAGAGCATTTATATAATTTAATAATTTTAAATAGGATGAATTCTTAAAGAAAAAAAAGAAAAGAAAAGAAAAAATTCTTTTCCAAAGCCTAATTCGAACAGACAGGTTTGTTGCAGATGCTGTTATTGCTAACAAAGCTTCATATTCTATCAACTCTAGATAAAAACCAAGAATTTGATATATAAAATGATATCTGAATCAATCGATAAACATACAAAAAGTAGATCAATTTTCTCCATATAGGGTCAATCCTGGAAGGACAAATATGTTCACAGCTGCTTATGGTAGTGGCGAAATACCACAGCAGATTAGAAAATTAACTATTAAATAATATTATATTCTTACAAAATCTAAATGCCATGATAAAAAAAAACTATAAAAGTGAATAAAGCAGCAATAATAATAACAATAAATAGACTATATTTTCTTAAACATACTGACAGTAAAAACTATCAATCTATCATCCTATGTTGAATACACATGTCTATGTTATGCTTCCTTTAAAATAAATACTGTCTTTTGATGAATCAAACGTTTCATTTAGAGGTTTTTTCTGCTACCAAGGTATACAACATGCCAAGATGATGTGGAAACGTGATTGCAATGCCATGAAAGACATTCATTCATGATATACAAACTGTTTGTAATCAGCTTCTCTGCATTCTCTCGTCAGAAACAATAATATCAGTATTTCGGAAATAAGTTTTTTTTTTTCCTAATGGGAAATTTAGATTTCTATAGGTAAATATGTCTAAAAACTACTAGTAGTTTTATTTCGGCTAAATCTATTTTTGCTCCTTCCTAAATTTGTATACTTCTTTAATCTATTACAAAGTTTCTTTTAATTAGTCTCTATTTCATTTGAAAATAATATAGTCAGATCAATTCCTGATACAAACAAAGACGTTTTTCCATGATTTTCTATTAAAGTGTATAGGTGCTCATTCTTTGTTTTTGTTTTTATAATATATATGTATATATTTATATTTATATATATTTATGAATATGTGTTAGCATCTCTCTATATTCTTAGTATTACTTGTATAATTTTTTTTCTTCAATGCTTTCTATTATATTATGCCATAGCTATATGTTGATGCGTTGTTTATGCTTTGTATAGCCCAAGTTTGGCCGTAAGTTAATTAAAATTATTTCTCTTATTTCAGTAAAAATGAATAGCTGTTTTAGTCAAAATTTGATTTTATAATTGAAAAATCATTACATATACATGTATATATATAGAAAAAAAATTACTTAAAGTTATTCGATGATCTAATCATTATGAATTTACTCTTTTATGATATTATATTTGATTTTATATGTGCATACACTGTTCCTAGAGACAGCAGTAATAACATATAGTTTATAATATGGTTAGATTTATACTAAGAAAAAAACAAAAAAAAAAGGGGGGGAAGGATCACAGCCAATAGCCATCACCTCAACTTGGTCACAAATAACTTGGACATATTAGAAAAGTTTAAGGGCTTTAATGGGTATTCTGTTTTAAAGTATAACGGCCCAATCTATACAGCAAATAGTGTTAAGCAGTATATTACAATTTGTAGCTATAAGTGTATTTATTTGCCCGAGTTTAATCCAATTGAATAGTTTTAGTCCTTTGTTGAAAAAAAAAAACTTTTGGATAATAAAATACTCATCAATATAATTCCTGAAGCATGCAATCATACTTTTTCAAGTGTCTTAAAAATGCTTCCATCGTTATTGTTGTGCCGAAATACAGTTTTTACACTTCAGATCCACACAATGTTAGTTTTTTTTCTGGATGAATCAAAATTAATTTTCAGACGTCTAGCTTACCTTTTTTTTTTTTTTTTTTTGGAAAATGTAAAAACGGAAATCAGACCATGGGATAAATTAGTTGAGACAAGTTCAAGGTCAAAATTTAAATTTGGCTTTACCTGTAAGATCTTTAAGTCAACACCTCACCGAGATGGGATATGACAACTACATTAGAGGTGGTGCTTTGTCTTTTGAAGACATTGGGACGACCATTTCCGCTTCAGATTGATGTAGCAATGGTTAACATGTTCTTTGCAGCTAACACATCTCGATTCCAATAAATATAGCAACTTTTGCAGATGAATATTTGATGTATTCTATGTGCATCACCTCCCTTTCCATATATGAGGTTTTGAAGCTTGGTTTCAAGACAGGAATTGCATGTCTATACAATACAGGTGTAATATATTGTATTAATACGCTTATTATATTCACATGTATGTATTTTTCTACCTTGGATGTTTTGTATTCGTCTATGTCTAGAAGCAATAATCCCCCCAAGCTTTTCTTGTATTTTTAGCTGCCTATATATCTTTTCTGATATACCATGCTTTAGCCCTTTAAATCTTACCTGGCTTTTGTTTTTAAGACCATTGCCAAATACAACTAACGGCATCTTGCGGCTATCGCTCTCCTCAAACTTCTCCCAGTGTTCTCTTTCAAAAAAAAAAAAAAAAAAGTTATGAGTAACAAGAATACAAAGTATTCATGAATATGTATACTACCTAGTGGCATTCTTTCCTCGATTGGGATGAGTATCAGGAGGGTCTCTGTCATACTTGGCCTCTGTCTTTCTTCTTTTTCTCTTATTTCTTTTCGTCTTTCCTCTTCTTTTTTTTTTTTTTTTTTTTTTTTTTTTTTTTTTTGTAATATTTTTTTGAGCCGTTAATAAGAATGTTGATAGCATTTTCAACTGCGCACTGAGAACCGACATAACTGAGCCAGTAAATTCTGGCAGTTTCAAAGCTGTAAAAATCGAACAAAACTTCCATATGCTGTAGCATATAAGTGATGTACATTTTATAATGATCTATGAATGTGGTTTTCGATGAAGGAATTTGTGTTTCAACAGTCTCTACATTGGATCTTCTTTTATGCTCTTTTTCCATTTTTTGTCGATTTACATTTCCACTCATGTCATAGTATTCGGCTGAAGACAAACGCCTTATGTCTGTATTCTCATGATAAGAGACAAAAGCATCTTTTCTGTTTGGGTCTACAGCACAAGGTCTAAAATATCTATTTATTTCTTCACTGGTAAAATTGTGCAGTTCCAAAGAAGTCTTGCTTATACTAGGCGATGTTGCCTGTGTTTTTCTACAGAATGATATCCTGCATGTATATCCGTCTGTATACATGCTATTTAAAAAAAAACATCTTTCCTTTTCGATGAGACAAATCTATTAAGTCTTCAAGACTATTCAAATTCAAAATTAGTATGCTTATTTCTCGTAAACAATGTTAACATTTGCCTGTTAATGTTTAATTTCGAAAAATCAAAGTAGGCAAAGAAACATCTTTGTATCTGTTGGAAAGGAGTCTCTTCATCTTGTTTCTCCAAAAAAGCCCCAGGAAATATGCCACCTAAATTTCAGCTATCGATCTTTATAAAACGCCAACGAAAACTTGATTTTGGAAATAAACTAAAGAGCCTGAGTGGAACAAACTTCTTTTTATTGTCTTTGCTTGTCTTTTTATTCTTCTTAACCTTCTTTTTTTTTAGTCTTTTTCTATTTGGTGGATTTGTCTGCTCTGATTGTTCTAGTAAACCAGGCTGTGTTTGTGGGTTTTCCTCAATTAAGGCTTCGTATTTAACCAGAATATACCTTAATGCTGGTATTATACCAAAAGGTGCTTTATTGAGAGTTTCTTTTGTCATCGGAAACGAAGGTAATCGATTTCTAATTTCCCAAATCAATGGTTTTAAGAGGGCACGGATGTTGCCTTGGGCTTCTTCATTTAATGAAAAAGCAATATTGGCATCCATAGCTGGTCGTACCTCATGAGAAAGCACCGCATCTAAGACATGTTCGAATACTATATGTTTTATAATGGATATCTTCACCTCCTTTTGATAAAAAAAAATGTTAATGTTTGTAGTGGTATACAGTGCTACTTTTCTAAAAAAAAAAAAAAAAAAAGAACAAGGTTTTTCCTATGTATAGGTTGTTATATACGCTGCTCATTTTGATCCCCCCCTTTTTTTTTCAGAATTGAGCAGAGTTGCTTCCGCTTTCATTAAACAATAGAAACTTTGTTGGCCAAGTAAAAGTTATATACAAATGAATTTTGAGTTCCATTCTTAGATCGTGTAGTGATATAGTGGTACAAGTGTTAGAGAAGCTGACTATCTTTAAGAATTCCACTCCCAAATCGAAAAAAAAATCTCCATATTATCTCAGTAGTAAATCAGTTTCCCATTGTACAGTTAAATCAGCACCAAAAAATGGAATTTTTTTTTATAAATGCGCTAGCTAAACCTTCTTAAGGTTGTTCGCAAGTAACATCCATGTAAGAGACAAAAAAAAATAGCTGACCTGTTAGCCTACAGTTGCATTTTAGTTCATCCAACATTTTGTCTCAATTTAATTTCTCGAGTTCCTTTGTTTGATTTCCGTTTTTACATTTTCCAAAAAATGTAAGCTAGACGTTTGAACATTAATTTTGATTCGTCCAGAAAAAAAAACTAACATTGTCTGAATTTGAAGTGTAAAAACTGCAATAATAAGAATAATGATATGCCATGAAATAATTTTTTATTTGCGCTGATCTCAAAATTTAAAGCGTAGTGTGGTGTATGTGGTTATGATATTTTAAAAAGAATGCGAGTCATACTTTCGGATAATGATCCATAAAATCTAATTGGCAGATAGTTTACCCAGAAGAAAAAAAGAAAAGAAAAGAAAAGAAAAGGAAATACTGTTGATTGATTTGAGAAGTTTTGACTTGTGTTTCTAGATATTTACCAATAGATAATAAATATTTATAAAACAACAGATTGCTATTTCTTCTTTAAAAAGGATCATAATAAAAAAAAAAAGGAGAAAGATTTCGATACAAGCACACAAACACACACACACATATCATATTGAAAAGAAAAAAAGTGATAAACTAAGAAATTATCGCCTGATTTTTTATTTTTTCATTTTTATTATTATTATTTTATTTTATTTCCCTTTGCTATAGAATATAGTCTTACCAAGTGAATATGATTTTTAGTAGTAGTAGTCGATAAGCAGCAGTAAGAAGTGGAGGTTGAAAATTAGCATTTATTATTTATGTGTGTGTGTGTATATTTCTGCTTTTATATTTTTGGTTTTACATTTTTTATTGGTTTAACTTTAAAGTAAGCTTAAAGCTCGAGTATATAAAAATACAACTTTATTTTTTTTTTTTATTATTTTTTGTTTTTTATTATTCTTCTTCTTCTTTATTCTTGCATAATATGAGTCCTGCTAATAACTATATGTATTATAATCCCCATCATTTCTATCCTCAAAATATAAGTAAGTGTGTGTGTTATAGGGTTTAATCCTTGAAGAAATATAAATTAAAAACTTGTTATATTAGTTTCTCCTGTAAATACTACTCCAACTACTACTTCTTCATCTTCAGTGTCATCTCTTAATCGACTTGAACAAATTCAAGCACAACTTGAACTTGCTCGGAACTTTTATGATGATTTTGAATTTTGTCCTGTTCAGTGTTCTTCAGAGGTTTTAGAACATCGAGATCGTATTCATCAACGTCTATATTCTCCTCATACTTCTCCTCGTACTTCTCCTTCAATGTCACCAAATAATAGTCCTACAAAACGACGAGCTATTCCTATAATTAATCCTTCTAATATGACTCCTGTTATACCTCCTCAGCAACAACCATCACAGCAGCATCAAAACTTTATGTTACGTAATAATAGATATTCTCATTCTAACAGTGTCCTTGTTCAATAATTTATTTATATACCTTATATTCGCATTCATTCCTTATATTATATTTATAAACATATGCTGCATATATCTTTTATATATATACATACACATACACATATACATATACATATACATGTATATATATGTATATACACATATACAAATTTATATATTTAAAAATAATAATAATAACAATAAATAGGTTATTTAAAGTTTTAATTAGGTGGATAATTTGTAATCCGCATTATGTAACATACAATTTATAGCACTAGATTTTTTTTTTTCACTGCCGATAATAATATTCGTTTATGTAGGCTACTTTTTTTTTTCGTAGTAATGAATAAATGCTGTTATTTCATATACGCTTAAGAAAAACATGATAATCACCTTAATAAGCTCTAGAACAAAATATCATTTTTTCTTGGTAAAGCTCATTACATATTTTATTTATTAGTCTTTACATCAATCTTTAACAGTAATAATTCCTTTTATTGAAGAGGCGCCTATCAGTGTGATTATAGTACTTGTACATATGTATTTTATATACGCTTTGATGATAAATCAGCAATGTAATGAAAGGATATATTTTATTTCTTCATCTATTCATGTCTATTATTGCGTGTATATTATATTCATCTTTATCGAACCCCTTCAAAATAGTAATAATAATAATAATCGAAACCTTAGTATGTTAATTATCAGCTATTAAAATACAAGATAGAAAAGGGTCAATGTGAAAAAAAAGTAGACTATAGCAAAAGTAAAAGTGACAAGTTAAAAAAGCAACTAAAAATAATAATATCTATGTAAAGCAGGAAACAAATATAAAGTTGAGAAATGATAATACCAACAACTTAGTCCGTATCTTTTCAAGTAGATAATAGTAAAGTTCGATGGCTTCATAACGACAAGTAACCTTTTAGAAGAATGGTTACTAAAAATGCTATATAACTCATATAGAATTTGCAATTGTATATGACGTGAATGGGTTTCAAGAAGATGGCATTTATTACTATCAAGACTTGGAAAGATCATTAAAGATAACTTGTAAACTCTTCTTTCAACTTGATAGTCATCTTGTTCTATCTTCTTACCACTATTATCTAGAATAGAATGATAACCTGAAATTGTTTCATTTTTTTTTAAAACAGAAAAATAAATAAATATTATATTTATATTATATTAAATTATATTAGATTATTCTTCTTCGACTAAGAAGAGTCTTCTAGACTTTAGCTTCGATTCACTTTTTTTTTTTAACCTTGATAAATATATCTGTATTTGACCATTATAAATAAAATATAGCCAGTAATGATAGCATCATACAGTGCTTTGTGTTTAAAATCAAGATTTTGGAAAAACTCAACTTCGTTTTATAAAACAAAATATACGTAAAAACCTTGAATATTGATTTCCAATTTCTTGGTTTTTAAATGCAAAGCACTGTATGTGCTTATTCATAGATTGAGAAAAGTTGTGCAAAAATTAAGAATGAACCCTCCCTTTTTTTTTTTTTTTTTTTACGTATATTGCTTAGTACCAATTAAACAACAATAGCACCAAACACAGATATTAGAAGACTTCAAAGTATATGAAGAAGATAAAGAGAAAAATGCGACTTGAGAAAAAGTCTGACTGCTGTAAGTACGCTTTCTGATAGATATGCATGGGTAGTTGCTAGACCTCTTAATGAAATAATGAAAGGTCCACGCTATGAATGAATAGCAGAACAAGATATAAGTTTATTCAGACTGAATTAAAGGTAATTAAAGTAATTCAATGAGATGAATGTTTATTTATATAATGTTATCATAATAGTAAAAAAAAAAAAAAAAAAAAAAAAAAAAAAAAAAGAAAAAAGAAAAAAAGAAAAAAAAAAGAAAAGCCAAGAACATTCATTTCTTCAGCTTCTTGGTGGCACGGGAAAGAACAAAAGAATCTTTTGATAACCAATATAAGGGTGGGCAAGGAGCAGGGCGTTTCAGATTAGCACAAGTAGATAAAACAGCAGTTTCAATTTTAAACGCACTTTCATGGGCAATATTCTTCAGGCACATCAAATGTGTAAGGATGCTTGGGAGACAAGTGATCTGGGTTAAATTTCCAAAGAGCTTCAGCTTGGCAACACTGATCATTCTGTAGACCTTAGGAAAAACGAGATCCATAACATAAGTATGTAAATTATTACCTTCATAAAAATCCATCAAATACACTACTTTTTATATACCAGTTGCGATAAATGGAATCGGAATGAGTCTTCAATAGAGCTTTGGCCGAAATTATAAATGTCTGAGAGATACAATAACTAAGTTAGAAAAATGATGGCCAAGCAAAATAACCAATACCCAATAATTACAATGAAATAATATCAAGTTTTCTATGAAAGCTTCCAGGTGACATTGTAATACAGAGCATCAAGACGTTTTTAAGGACAAATATTAACCTGCGAGCGACTGACTAAATTCCGATTGCATAAAGAAGACGATTAAAGAAAACTGATGTCATCGGCATAGGAAACCAACATAGCTCGCATGGTTAATCTGACCAGTGAACATGCATCATAACAAAATCCTAAAGACATATGTAAACCTAGGGTTATCCCGTCTTCATATCCGGAACCAAGTCAGATCAAAATAAGGAACAGATTACAATGTCGATCTAGAGATGAGAAAACAATTTAATGCACCATTAATACTTGAAAAACGTCAACAAAAATACAACCTAAATTTAATTTTTTTTTTTTTTCAGTAGAGAATAACACATTGAATTAAAAGGAACAACCAAAAGTTAAAGCCGATAAGTGCAAGCAAACATGAGAGTGTAACACTGCAAATAAAGTTCTAATTTCATCATGGTGAAGCTTCGGTGAAAGATGGAATTATCTGCAGTACAATTGAGTAAGCTGCTTTTGTGGCGTTAAAGTCAAAGGTGATTCACCTCTTCTTTGTCTTTAACATGAAATCATTTAAATTAGACTATGATGGGGATGATTCTGTTATGAGATATTTTTCAGAGCATCCCGTTAGCAAATGGTCCTACTCTGAATTTAAAGCTGCAATCAATAAGAGCAAGTCTATAAAGCCAAACAAAATCAAAACAAAAAACGCGTATTTGAACGCTATGAAAATCCTCATAAATGACTATGATATACCAGAAGATGTGAAAACAGAAATGAATCATTTATTAGCCGTAGATGAAAAAAAAAAAGCCCTCTGGCATCATCTTTAATCTTTCAGCTAAAGATTCTTCCACCGTCAATGCTATTGGAAATAGCGTATTGGCTTCTACTCAAAAGCTGCAACCTCAAAAACCACAACCACAGCAAGGCTCCCATAACCACAAGCTCAACCACAAGATAAAAATGAGGAATACGATAGTGACGAATCTGAAATAAGAATTCCCTCAGACTTATCCATCGTCCTGTTGTGGTTTAGGTAAGTTTAAGAATTAAATATAAATAAAAGAAGTAAAAGAGAAATAAAATAAAATGGACAGAAGAAGTATGTTGAGACTTGTCAATAAGTTTTTATTAAGAGTTGAGTTAATTCAATTATAAGTTATGTTATACAAAATAAGGGTTAATAATGTAAGAGTATTTATATATTTTGTGGTTAAGGATGATGAGTACTAAGAAGATAAAAATATAACAAATTATATCTGATAATATAATTATAGAATGATTATTAAGAGTTATTATAGATCTATATCCATGTCTTTTGTATATAACTAATAGGTGTACTCTGAGTGGAATCAATTATTATGCGTACTTGCATTATTCTTAATTTACTCCAGTTTAACTTGTAAATTTATATCCTGAAGAATATTGTCCATGAAAGTGCGTTAAAAATTGAAACTGCTGTTTTATCTACTTGTGCTAATCTGAAACGTCCTGCTCCTTGCCCACCCTTATATTGGTTATCAAAAGATTCTTTTGTTCTTTCCCGTGCCACCAAGAAGCTGAAGAAATGAATGTTCTTGGCTTTTCTTTTCTTTTTTTTTGTTAATAGTAAAAGTGCCATCAGGAACTTGAATACAAATCAATAGAAAACGGCATTATTTTTGTGACAATTATAGAATTAGTTGCCACTTATTTCAACATTAATACTTTGTCTGTTTATATATAATTGGTCAGACTTTATCATTGCATTATGCATTACTTTAACACTAATGATATGCGCTTAGTATTATAAATATATATGTATATGTATATACAATCGTCACACTATCCTTACTCAGCATCATCAACTTGTCTAAAATATTCTAATAAATTAAAGTTTACCGGGAAAGCTTGAAACATAATATATTTAGCTTGCATAAATGCCCTTCTTTATGTCATATTCTTATCTTAAAAACGTATTAGTTAAGAACACTAAAATTATCTATTAATCTTGCTTTCCATTCGACATATATATATGGTAACTATGAATGACAGTTTCAACACTTTTATATCTTAATCATCTCTTGAATATCACAACCTTAACTATCAACACTTGAAAGGGGTTCATTTTCGTATTACTTTCATGTATATTGCCTTATTAATACTATTTTCAACTCTATTTATTTTTTTTCTAGTATGCTTAAAATATGGAATAAAATACGTTAAATATTATTATAAACTTTCTATGACATCTGTTTAATATTTACCAAAGACCTCTTACAATACGTATTTTATTTTAAGGTAAAATAGTACCCATACAGGTTAATTAATCTACTGTTAGTCAATACAATTTCATTTTTTTTTTTTTTTGCTGAATATTAAAGATAGTCATTTATCCAATCAAAACTTGTTATTACATTAAAAAAAAGTTTAAACAAAAAAAAAAAAAAAAAAAAAATCTGGACAACTTTTTTAAACCTTTCTTTTTTTTTTTTTATAAATATATACACACATATATATAAATAACACTTTATTTAATGCCCATTCGACATTTTGATAGTAAACTCATAGAAAAAAAAAAGAAATATATAATATAAGATTGTTACTAACATCAATTGTTTACCACGTTAGTATTCACAGCTGAACGGCGTCTTATACAAACATCAGCCCTGAGTCAACTAAAAGACACGAGACTGGGCATCGATGGTAACTACTGGATTCGTAAAATTGTCGCCAAAGAGAATGCAGTAGCTGCTATGGGGGGTTTACCTCTTCGACTTGCAGCTTCTATCGAAAAGGAACTTGAAGGATTCAAGTAAAGTAAAATATATATTTATATATATATCCTACAAATGCTTAACAATGAAAGCAATTCCATGTTAATTTGCTTTATTATTTTAGGTCAAGTGGAATTCAACCCATCTTTGTTTTTTCAGGATTATCCATTTTGAGAAAGGATAAACCATTTTCAACTGAAGATACTCGTCCAAGTCATCGTGCAGCTGCGTGGGATTTTTATGAACGTGGCAAGTTAGATTTAGCATTGAGTAACTGGGCAAGTAGTAGTAGTATACATTCAGCAGAACTCTTAAATAGCGTTTTTCATATTCTTTACAAGAATCAAGTTGAATTTATTCGTGCACCTTATTCATCATGGGCACAGGTAAAGTAAGGGCATATAATAATAATGTATAGTCATTGACGAATAAATGTATATATACATATATATACACATATATCTATCTGTACATGTGTATATATTTAGCTGGCTTATATGTATACACATCCTAAACAACTTGTTAATGCAGTCTATGGCGGGTCTGAATTATTAATGTGGGACATTGATAAAATGATGACAAGTATAGATTTTGAAAAGGGAAATTATCATTGGGTCAGTAAACGGACTGTTCTGCAAGATTTACATGTATCAGATGAACAATTTTTAGATATCTGTATTTTAGCAGGATTTGAATATTGTCCTACTTTTCCTCCTCTAAATACAACACAAGTCAGTTTTACATTCAATGGTAAAAAAAAAAAAAAAAAAAAAAAAAAGAAACGAAATTCCAGTGAATCATGTTAATCATTCTTGTTTGTATGTTAGGCGTTCATGATTTAATTAAACAACACAAGACAGGATTTAATGCAGTTCAAGCATTTTCAGATAATCCACTTGTTTCGAAAAGTAATTATATTGATATCTTTTGTCGTACACGTTGTGCTATTAAATATCATCTTGTCATTCACGATGATGGTGAAGTAAGGCCTATGCATATAGAGAAAGCACCCAATGATATACATGAGTTTATTGGCTATCGTTTACCTGATGAAATTTATTACTATTTAATGCGTGGATTAATTGGACCACAGGTAAATTTGTATTATGGATTTATATATAAAGATATCTATGACTCACTTACTTTATAGTCCATTAATAGTCTTATGTCTGGTGTACTCATCGAAAGTGCTCCTTTAGATAACGGGGAATCTACTGAATATCATCAATTTTTAGCACAACTTCTTAATATACGTACACAAACACTTAGTTTATTGACACAACCTTTACATCCATTTTACAAGGCACGTAAGATAGCCAGTTATTTTTGGTTTGAACCTACTGTAGAACAAATTATGTATCATCAACCAAGTATTGAAAATGGAAGCAAAACAAGCAAGATTGATGCTACACCTTTAAATACAGTTTATGAAAAGACAAGTTCTTGGAACGTTACGAAGGATGCATTTATTGATTTAGAATTAGAAAATCAAAAGGTATATACATATATAGAATGCAAGAAGTTGATTATTTAATATTGTATATAGACTTCAACGATTGATTTAAAATTCTGTATTAATGCTGTTGAAAATGAATCAAGGGCAGTTCAAACTATTACTCAGCCACATTCTAAAGAGGTAAAAAAAGAAGGAAAGAAAGAAAGAAAGAAAGAAATGGATTTTACTATACAAAAGTACATGTAATATTAAAACTATCTCATCTCTCTCTCTCTCTTAGCCTCTTGAAGATAAAGATGAAATTATTGCAAATGTATTATGGAAAACATTAGAAATTAGAGAGTAAAATATGGATAGATCATTACATGTATATTATTATCATTATTAATTCTATCATTGAGTAGCTTTTTAACATCCTCCAAGCATATTTATACTCCTTGGGGACAAGCATTATCAATTGCATTCAACTCAAAAAATATGAAACAATCAGAACAGGAAGCTATGTTGACAGCACTTGAATTAATTCGTTTTGAAATATTGACAAACAAAGAATATAGCAAAACATATACTCAACCTCTGGGCGATGGTAAAAAAAAAAAATAAAGAAAAAAAAAAAGTTCAAGATAGAATGGCCTGATAGATATTAAGATAGTTTATTTTAGAAACTCAAAAGAAACATACAATTTTACTTTCGCGTACATTTTCCTTGTTACCTATGGAACTCAAGGTAAAATAGATCCTATTTATAACGTATATTTTGTACTAAACAAGATAATGATTAGAGTACATCGTGGTCAGGTCCTTTGAATCGTGATTTATTAGTCTTTAATAGTTTTATGAAGGCCTTAAATCGTAGTTATCGAAATCTTTGTGAAATGTTGACATTGTCCTTTTTCTTGAATAATTTAGTTAAAAAGGAAAGAGACGATTATTATGAAATTGCTGACAGGTAAAATAGATGTACACCTTTTTCTTTGGAAAAAATATATTGATTATATCTATAGACTTCCTTATTTAGCAGATGTAAATGTTGCTTTGGGTTTAGTCTGCAAATATTATATTGAAAGAAGAATAGAAGGTAAATCACAAGAGGAAGGATTAAAGTTAACAGAGATAGCTTTCCCGACATGTATCAATATTCAATCTGATTTAAAGAAGGGATTCCAGTTTTGGGACCAATTATTTAAAGCAGTTGAATCACTTTATAAGACAGAATCTATTTCTTCAACTAGTTTTAACATGTTTTCTGAAGCAAATGAATGGCTTAAAAGAGAGAATATCAAGTTTTAATGAATAAAAGCTTGTTTACTCTAATATATGATAAACTCGTGTTAAATTACCTTCCCTGTGATGTTTATATGTAACATTTTTTCCCACCAAAAAGAATGTATGCAAAGATATCAAAATATTATGATTCGTAGTAGTAAAAAATTATTATTAAAAGAAGCTCGTGTTTTTTTTATCTCTCTTCTTGTACAACTTTAATAGAATGTGATTCCGTAAACGGAACGGATTATTTTCTACTTTGGTGTCTGTGCTCTCTCTCTCTAATAAGAAATGAAATTATTCGGTAAAGATAGATGAGTGAATGATTAATGTATTAACCAAAGTAGAAGTATATACGAGTATATAAACATATATATATATGTATGTGTATATATATATATATATATATATATGTGTGTGTGTGTGTATGTGTATATGGATATTAATATACATGGATATTACATAATATATAGAGAAAAAAAAATAAGGCTACTGTTTTTCTTTTTTTTAAAAAAAAAGCGTGGAACAGCCGAAAGCCGTAGCAAATTCCGATATTTGGACAATACATATTCTAAACTATACCAAATATTATAAACTGATTATTATTGTAATAGTTATGTAAAACGTTCTTCATATCCTACTTGAGTTCATTCGTATTCCCATTTTTTCACGTTTTCCTATTCATATATGTATGTATGGTACATATAAATTTACATATCTATTTTGTACCTTTTTCTTTTTCTTTTCAAATTATTAAAAGTATGAACAATACAAACCATTTTGTAATAACAGAAACAAAACGTAAAAGACTCAAGGTGGTCAGTGCTTGTAATGAATGTCGTCGAAAGAAAACAAAATGTAATGGAGAGAGTCCTTGTGCAAGTTGCATCAAGTCAAGTGTAAACTGTCTCTATTCCATCCATTCTTCTTCATCTATATTAAAAAAGACAGCTCATAACCAGTCAGTGGTTAAAGAAGATAATAACGTAATACAGTCTATTGAAAATCGTTTAAATAGAATTGAAGATATTTTACATCAATTATTACTTCGTCAGCATCAAGATATTATAAGCGAAACAAAGGACAGTTATCCTTCAGTTTTTAATAAAAAGCGAAAAAGGTGTGATGAAGAAATTCCCTTCATTTTACCTCCGCCTATCATTCATTCAGTCACTCGTCGTCCTTCTGCCTTTTTTAGGATTCGTCCTTCTAATCATATTGTTGCTGGTTCAACATCATTTTATTAACATACCCTAAAACCCTAATATATAATAAAATATAATATTAACATTTAACTTTTAACATTAAAAAAAAAGAACTCCTGTATAAGATTTATTTTAAATATGAAAGTAAACTAATTTTTCTTCTTCTTTCTCTCTCTCTCTTTTCTTTTCTTTTCCTTTTCAACACATTTTTTTCTTTTATTAACAAAAATAAAAGATCATGGATCGATTATCAAAAAATAGAGACAAACTAAAGCAATATAAATTAGATGAAGAAGATGCTATTCATTATCTCAACTCAGTCTTAAATTTATCTTTATTACCTCCTTTGCATCAAGCTTTACAAGATGGCATTTTATTATGCAAGTAAAGTGCATTTTTTTTATTATTATTATTTTATAATTTAAATCGATGAAATTAATGATTGAATGAATAGTCTTGTCAATAAAATTAAACCAGGAACAATTAAACAAATAGGGCAGAGAGATCTTGCGTTTGTAAAGGTTTGTTTGGTTTATAAATAAAAAATACCAGTATGTATATATATTCATTTATATGTGTTGTATTCTAGATGGATAATATAACTCGATTTCTGCAAGGTGCCAGAGAGGTATATAAGTCTATTCTTTTTTTTCCTAATACATGTAATAAAATCAGTTTATAGATTGGATTGAACAATACTCAACTCTTTGAAACAATTGATTTATTTGAGGCAAAAGATATGGCTGCAGTAAGTGTTCTATATCATAAAGTCTCCTATTTTATAACTCTCCTGAATTCTAGGTGGTGCATACGATATTGTTCCTTTCTAGGTTAACTAAAAGACATGAAGAGCATTCACTTGTTATAGACACAACAAGAAATCATAAACTACTTTTGCAAGAAGAAGAGAATGAAAAAACTCAATTCAATAAAGGTACGGTCTTTTTTTCTTTCTTTCTTTTTTTTTCTTTTAATATCAAAATACTAATAACAACTAGATGAGTTAATATGTTCAAATGGTCAAGACACGTTTGAGGCTCTAAACCCTCAACCCTCCTCACCAACTACTCATACCTTACTAAGACCACCAAAATCACCTTTGCGTTTATCTAACATTTTACAAGAAAAAGAAAATGGGGAGAAAAGGTTGAATAAACAATCTCGTCATACTTTTCCAAAGAATTATAAAAGTAATGACAGTTCTCCTTCTAATAATCGAAAATCAATGATGACCCTTCATAAGAATGAATACAATCATGATGACAATAATGACTTTGCCAAAAGAGGTGGCAGTTTAGGACATAAAATGGACTCTCATTTACGCGAACTAATAAAAAAGTCTAGACCTATTTCAATAGAAGACAAGAGTTTGATTTTACAAAATAAGAGTCCAGATGGTTTAACTACGACCTCACATTACGTAAATATATAGAAATACATATATGTATATATTATGAATACATTCAACTTTTTACTTTATAGCAACTGGGTAATTGTATAGGAAAAGGTCAGTTTAGTTCTGTTTATAGAGCTCTAGATCTTAACAAAGGGGAAACGGTAGCTATTAAAAGATTATATATAGACGGTGATCAACAAATAATGGTAAAAGAACTCTTTCTTTATCTCTCTTTCTCTCTCTCTCTCCCTCTCTCTCTAAATTGTTATATATACAATATATACATATATAGAAAGAAGTAACGTTGCTAAAAGCATTATCTCATCCAAATGTCATTCAATACTTGGGTTATATACAAACGTCACAAAGTATAAACATCGTTTTAGAGTATGCAGAGAATGGATCCTTATTAGCAACATTAAAGGCCTTTGGCGCCTTCCCCGAACGACTTGTAGCTTCCTTTTGTATTAAAATCTTGCATGGTCTTGAGTATTTACATGAAAACCACGTAGTACATTGTGATCTAAAAGCAGCCAATATTTTGACAACCAAGACAGGCGATGTCAAATTGTCTGATTTCGGTGTCTCACTTAATTTAAAGAAATTAAATCATAGTCAGAAGACAGGTCATCTTGTCTCCGGAACACCCAACTGGAGTAATTTATGATATTATAGATGTATATGTATATTGTTCTAAATATTTCTTCTATGTGTGTGTGTGTGTGTGTGTTTATGTATGGCTTTTCTTTTTTTTATATATATAGTGGCGCCAGAAGTGATTGAATTAAAAGGAGCATCCACTAAATCTGATATTTGGTCTTTAGGCTGTACACTCATCGAATTAGTGACAGGGAAACCACCTTACGCAGATATGTTGGCCATGTCTGCCATGTTTCATATAGTCGAGGATGAAAGCCCACCTTTACCTTGCTCAATATCAGAGGACATGAGATCCTTTTTATTAGCTTGTTTCCAAAAGGATCCTTTCAAGAGGCCTTCAGCAACAGAGCTTAAGCAACATTCCTGGATTTTGCAATATGATGGCCGATCAATTACAAGAAAAATAAAGTCCTCACCACAACAGCAAGAAGAAGAATCTATAAAAGAAGAAAAGAGGAAAACAGATTCAATAGAAGAGTCTTTAGTAGATAAAAATTTATCCCATCGATTTCTTTATACAACTTTTAGAAAAGGTAAAAAAAAGACATGAATGTACATACAACTATATTAAAGATGTATTATATCTATTTCAACTATTTCCTTCTATAGGCGTTATTTGTAAAGTATGTAATGAAATAGTAAATACACAGTTTATGATTTGTCAAGTATGTTTAATTATTTGTCATGAAGAATGTAAAAAAAGAGTATCTCCATGTTTGCTGAAAATCAATGGTCAACAACCTACTTTTAATGTAAGTGTATTACTTTGATTATTTTGTTACTATACTGTAAGTTTTTTTTTTTTTTTTTTTTTTTTTTTTTTTTTTTTTTATAGTTGGCTTTTTCAGCTAAAACTCAGAATGACGATATAAAGGACAGCCATCCGTTTTTACTTGAAAAAGCAAGGTTACTATCTAATAGAAGATATAGTACTATAAATACAACTATTAAGCCTAAAGTACTTTCAAAGAATAAATCAGCTACTATTCAAAGTGCACGTAAATCATTACCCATTCAATTACTAGATCCAAAGAATGAAGGAAATATACAACATTACGCTTTAACTCTAGGATCAAAAAAACAAAAGGACGAGAGTCTTAATACAGATTGTGCTTTATTATCACATAATTTATCGTTACAAAAGCCTATTCATCATAATCAGACATTGGCTGCAAAATCACTTAAAAAAAAGGCTCTCGTTTCATCTGCAAATGGAAAATCAGAAGAATGCATCATTTGTTAATTTTTAATTCCATAAATAATAATAGATAAAAGAGGGAAAAGGAGGGTATTATCATGAATAAGATAATCTATTTTTTTACTATTGACGTCTTTTCTTACTTGTATCCTACAATTAGAAACAATGTTAGTGTACTCCTCCTAATAAAAAAAAAATAAAATAAAAAAAAAAATGTTACTATTCATATTTACAATAGATGAATGAGATGGCTCATTTCCGCGTCCTCTCTTCCGATTATTGTTCTTATTGCTAGCAATCGTCACTGTTCTGTCATTGTTAGGATTAGTACGAATAATGATATTTCTTCCATTATGTGGCTTTTGTTTATTTAAAGAAGATATTGTAGGCTTGGTAAGGTTAGAGTGAATTGTGACAGTTCGATTACTAGTATTGAGTTGTTGTCTTTGCAATTTATTATTCAACGTATGTTGCTTTTCTGAATTATTCGTCTTTTTTGATAAAATTCTACCTTGTTTTACTTTACGAATAAATGGTTTCTTGGTTTCTTGTTTTTGTTGCTGATTCCTCTTTCGTTGTAAGCTTTTATCTTGTTGTTTTTTATTCTGCTGTTGTTTATTCTCTTCTTTAGAAACACCAAATCGTTCCGCACGCTTCTTTAACTTGTCCTCATTCTTAGTTGAAACTTTCTCTTTTTTATTATTGTTCTTATCATCAAGGCTCATGCCGAAACGAGCCGCACGAATCTTTCTCATTTCATCTTCAGTTAATTTGACACCAAATCGCTTTGATCTTTCTAAACGACGTTCAGCTTCTAAACGTAATTTTTCTGTCTTTGGATCCTTTATAGCTTTATTCATAGTTGGATTCTTGCTAATAGAATTTTTCTTCTCACTATTAGAATCCTTCTTATTGAATGTAATAGGTGTATATTTAAAGGGTGATTTTTTTATCATTGTAGAATTGTCTATAGCCGCAGCAGTCTTTTTAGCTGTTGTGTCACTTTCCTTTAATTTTTTAGTTTCATCTTCAAGTACATCAGGTTTTTCCAATGCAATAGGTGCGAAGATATCAGAAGAGATGTCATTACTAAAGAATTATTATTATTGTTGTTCTATTCAAGTAGTTTATTTTTTTTTTCTTACAGATTAATTTTTGAATCATCAAAATCGGCATCCAGTTCAAATTCTTTTTCAATTCTTTCTAATTCCACCTTTTCATCATGTCTCACTAATCTTTCAATTAATTCTTCTTTTTTACCAGAATGAGGAAGATTATACTTTTGTAATAATTCTATAATATAAAAATTAGACCTTGTTTCTCTCTCTCTCTCTTAGGGAAACAAAGTTAAATAGCATGTCTGTATATATTTTACCTTGAAGTTCTTTAACTTTTAAATTCTTGTATTTTTCTGACATAGTAAGGAAAAAGCAGAAGAAAATAATATTATAAATGAGAAAAAAAAAAAACTTATGTAACAAAATTGAGTTTAATTTTTATTACTTATTTATGAAAGTTTAATTCCCTTCTTGATAAGAGTTTAGATATTTACTAGTTGTTTTGTCCAAATTGGACATACATATACACATATATTGGATCTTTCTAAAAGGTTATTATATATTCTCCTGAATTCTATTTTTACTTTGTCCAAATTCGTTGTGATATGTATTATTCACAATTTTTGTTTCTATGCGTCTCAAAAAAAAAGTCAAAGAGAGATACTAATAAAAGAAAAAAAAAAAGTCATAGTCAAAAAGTTAAAAAGGATCAAATCATAAAAATAAAAAGTAATAAAAGACATAGTGTTTTGAGTAGTTGAAAGAGAAAGAAAGAGATGATACGTCTAAAGACAAGACTGTGAAAAGTTGATAATACAGACTTTTGTCAGTCATAATCTAAAACATTGAACAGAACATTCTTTCTGTCAAAATTCCTTTGTACCTTATCAAAGCTCCTGAATAATTAACAAAGATCAAGATACATATTTTGATCCAATCAAATATAAACTATATCTTACACACACACACACACAAAGAATATTATTTAGTAGTAACTAAAATATATAAAAGACTCCCAGTATTTTATTTTATTTTTTATTTTTTATTTTTTTTGTATTTCAATTTAATATAAAATCAAGTTTTGATTTTTGACTATTCTTCCTCTTCGGTAACTCTGGTTGTGGCATATTATCAGTCCGTAAAGTGTGTTGCTGATCACTATTAGTTTCACTACGAATAATTAAGACATGATCTCCCATTGCTGTTTGCCTATTCTCTGCATGGAAATTAATGAAATGAACAGGCTGTGATTGCCGCGATAGATGATGTATGGAAGGTTCAACAGAGGTGGTTAATAAGTTATGGATACTAGATGATGAGTTCTTTTTTGGTGGCTGAGGTATATTATTCATTACGGGTATTTCGTTGACACTAGCAGTTTTCACTTTCTTTCGTTCTTCTTCTTCTTCTTCTATTTTAACTGAGGATGCCTTTCTTTTGATTGTTATTGTCTCCTCTGAAATTGAATTATTTCTTAATGAACTGTTATGAAAATAGTCATTAACAACAGGTGTACTTGTTGTTGAAGTAGAATGTTGATCAGATAATATACTACTTGTTGATGTTCTTTTAGGAAATGATGGCATAGGTAATCCCTTTTCTCTTGCTTTCCATGCTGCACGAACTCTATCCATACATAATAATAATTGCTCTTTTGTAACTCCATCACGTATACTATTTAGTATCTTTTTTACAACTGTTTCATCATTAGCTGTACTTTTATCATCTCTAAATCTTACAAATCTAACAAAAAAAAAGTGAATAAACATAGGATAGACTCTATCTTTCATCATACCTCCAGCCGCCTTTTCTTATAGTAGGCGCATATCCTGGTTCAACAATCGTTATTTCACACTCAGGATCATATCTATAATATATGCATATATTTATTTTCTATGTAGATATTATTATATATTGAATATACCTAAATTCAGCTATACGTCCATCTGGTAAATGATTTCTCCATCTAAATAAATAAATCGTTCATAAAAATAGCTCCTGATTATATAATAACAATTCTTACTCTGCAGCTAATGAAGGCTCTGGTTGGAAATAATCATAAAATTTATATGTCACTCCATTCGATAAAACTTCAATTGTATAAATCGGCTTATGTTCTTTACTCCATCTAGCTGCTATTCTAAAATCGACTGTATTTAATTCTGGTGGTTTCCATTTTAATCTATCATAATTGAGTTAGTGATAAAATTATGTATCAATATCAATAAATATTACAGTTTTTCACAGGTGCCAGGCGTGTATGGATATTTAACAGGTGTCCAAATGATACCATCCGATTTATGCTTTAGTTTCGGTATTTGATCGAATACAACATGTAATCCATAAGACCTTTCCATTTTCTTAAGCTCAACACTATAATATAGAAAATAAATAAATAGCTACCACTTATAATCCTAGTGGGAGATAATTACGTAAAGGGAGGTGTCTTGGTTGGATCTAATACTGATTTCATTCTTGATTCAAATGGCTGAATAACATCTTGTTGTAGCATCTAAAATATAATTCAAGTAAAATATAACAAATATAGAAATATATTTAGAAACTTACACCAAGTCTCGTATTGAATGATCTTTGAATGACAGGTGAACCATTAATCACCATTAAATCAAATATAAGGTATCTCCAAGTTTTCTACAATATCATTTTACATGAATATCTATTTACATAAATATACGCAACTACTTTACCTTATTTACGTCAATATCTAACACTAGTTCGCCATCCATTAAAGTATCTTTTAAATATTCATTTTCTCTACCTCTTACAGGAAACAATAAATTAGGAACATAATACCAATACTTATCTCTACCAAACTGTGTAATTATAAGTACATTATACACACATTGCATCTTCGTCTTTGGCTTACTAGAAATGAAGCAGGTCCTTTTGGTGAATGTAGAAAAAATAACAAATAACGTACACCATCTGACTTTTCACAAACAAAATAATCTTCACGTTCAATATCAATTAGATGTTTTGATTCAAAGCTAACAGGTTGAGTTCCTGGAAAACTGTAATAACACAATTTAATAAATATTGAACAAGCTTTGATAATATTACCTATCAGAGGGACTATGCAATAGTTCGTTTAATCTCGCATGTAAAACTTTACTATAAACTGGATCTACGCGTTTCCCAATAGATTCAGGAAGTAGAGTAGATTCTGTATTAGACATTTTCAAATATATGGATATGAAAAAAAAAAATGAAGCTTCCCTTTTTTGTAAAAAAGGAAAACAATAAAAAAGAGAATACGTGTAAAAAAAAAAAAAAAAAAAAAAAAAAAAAAAAAAAAAAAAAAAAAATGAGAAAAGAGGGGGTGGGTGTCATATAGAAGTTACTATTATTTTTTTTTTAAAAAAAAAATCAGGAGTTTGTTATTTTGAAGAATCACAGGGTAAGGATGCTTTCAACATTATAAAACTGAATTCCTTTTTCTTTATATAGAATTAGGAAGAATTTAATGCAATTACCAGATTACTTCAAACTTTCTATCATTTCATAATAGTTTTGATAAATAATAATAAATAACTCCAATAATTCTAACAGAAAATATCATCTCTTATCACGTTTTTCTTTTTTTTTAATTATGGCTATATTACGGATTCATATTGAGAGATGGAATAATTTTCTGAATACATCATTAAAAAATATTTTACAATAAATCCAACCACCTTTGATATTAAATACCAACTATAATATTAAAGTTGATAAAAAGTTCTAATTACTGCAAATAAATGTTTCGATATGGGTTGGATATTAGACAAAAAGAAAAATTTTTTTCCTTCTAATAAAAGGATTTTTTCTAATTTCATTGTAAAATAAAAAGAGCCATTGTTTATATTCAGTACAAGAAGAAAAAGATGTACATGAAAAAAAAAAAAAAAAAAAAAAAAAAAAAAAAAAAATACAACAAATTTAATGCCAGTTAAGAATTTTATTAATAAAGTAACCCGAACGAGCACATGGTCATCAACTTTACCACAGAAAAGAAACTAAAAACCTCCTTAAGAAATAAGAGAAAACACACAAGCTGGATCAAACAATATTATACGCTGGTGTTTAATTCGGCTGAATCAAGGTTGTATCTTAGATGTCAAATACAGATTGGTTACTATTATTTCCCTTGGATCAAGGATGGCTAATATCGATAAAAGATGCTTGTTAAAAAATTATAAAAGAAGCTGGTTGTTCTGAATGGTTTTAATAATAACAGAAATTCTCGCAGAATTTTTTCTTGTCTTTGTTGTTTTTCACCAAGCTAACCACTCTAATTACCTGTGCTCAATTACACAGTGCCATTATCTATATTATTTTCATTAAGCCTATTGATCATGATAGAAAGTAATATCTTGGATTAACTAATAACAAACAATATCAGTGATCCAATTGATGCATGTTATGCTATCTCTACATTGAATAAACTTCCTATAGATTTTATCTTTCTGCGCGACATATCATAAATTAGCTTTAAAACAAATTATTAAATATAAACCACATGTCTCTATCATAGACTCTCTTTTCTAATATAATTGTATACCAAATAAAGACCATATCAAACTTATACAAGTAAAATAAAATAAGGTATTTATTCAATCAAATATATACAATTATCATTTCTATTTAACAAACAGCTGCCCTAATCTTTTGTAATCCATTACATTTTGTCTGCATTCCTACGCCTTCCTTAAGCAGTAACAGTTCTTCAACCAGAGGATTTAAATAATTATTCATTTCTGTTGTTGATGGTTCTGTGGGCCCAGGAAGTAATCCAACCAAGATAACATTTTTCCGAAGATTTCTTTCTTCTCTGGGCAAATTTTGTATTGTTAAATAAACTGCACCACAGGAATATTGGCTGTAGGAATACAGCTGAAACCAATCTACGTTCATTGTCAGCAGAAGATTGTAGTTTGATGAGTGAACAAAAGGAATGCTGTCACTATCATCCATTTTGAACTCATTCCAGACACGCCCATCTCAAATATCAAACAAGCGGTCTGGTACTGCTGCTCTCGACTTCTATTTGTTGATTTTGTTGACGAAGTTGTCGCGAAGGAAGAAAGTCTTGAGAGTATTTATTACTGAATTGTAATAAAATGAACAAAGTGGTTTCATCAAGTTGCCAAATAATGGAGTGTGACACCTACCAGCTGAATTCAAGAGAAGAATTTCTTGAAGAACATTTTCTCTTGCTCATAGTTCTTTCCTTCTCTTCGTCAGTTTGAAACGGGTATATTGCATGACATGTAATACAACTGACGAAATGCTGTAGTCCTCCACATACGAACTTGCTAATTTGGCACCAATCACGAAATGTATTTGCACGAGTAGGGAAACGATACTCACACTTGGCAATCTTTAATGCCTCATTAAAGCATTGCATCAAAATCTCAATGCCTTCTTCATTCAAGTATTTGCCTTGAAAGATTAATAGAGTCATAAAGAATACCAAGGCTAAGGGCTCCGTTGGATGACATGATTCATATGTAAATCTCGTGAAGGGATCCTCTATATATATAAATCATACATTTATATAATTGATAATATTTATTGATTTTTAAAATTTCATTTTATCTTACCTCCTTCATTCGATTCCTCTTCATTAGAATCATCGTAAACTTGAGAGAACTCTATATATTTAAAAATATTGAGACGTATAAAATAGGCAATGAATATCTATTTTTTAAGATATATTACAGAAAAAAAAAGGCAAAATTACCAAATTCATCATAAGCATCCTCGTAGCTATCATCGACATCCATGTTGTCTTCAACAAATGAAGAATCTAAATATTTAAAAGTAAATTTTAAAAGTAAAAGATTTTAGTTGGATGTATGAAATCATCAAAATTTGACAAAAATAATTCATATACCAATGTTGTCCTCATTGGACAAAGGAATGTCGTTGTTCATGTGGTTGTAGTAACTGGCTCTTGAAATTACATCAAAACCGTTAGGGTTTTTCGAACAGATTGCAGAACATTTGCATTTGTAGACGTTGTTAATGTTGGTCATAATTAAATAAAAATCAAAAAGTAAAAAGAATAAAATAATTTTACTGGGGTAAACTTCATTGTTTATCTTATTTAAATCAATCTCCTCAGTTAACCCTGTTATACAATACGCTCGGTAAATGATTGGTGGATTTTATTTATTTATTTTTTTGTCGATTTCTGCCCGTTAAATTGGCGCTTTCGATTTAATAAATTGACGAGTTTGATTGTATAAATTGTCGGTCTATCCAGACTTAAAATGTCACCCTTAAATTTGTCGTGATAAATTTCTTAGTTTGCCACTTTCTTTCCTATTGCAATAAATATGAGTACAAATACAAGAACAGCTTGGCAATCTGTATTAAGACTAATCCGTAAGAATCGTATAGTTTATACAAGTAAGGTCCTTGTAGTCAGTCTTAGCCTAATATGAACAAAGAACATTTACCCATTATAGCAAGATAAACCACAAGATGATATTTTTGAAAAGATTTGAATGTTTCAACTAGTTGAATTTCATTGACATGTCCTAAATTAATGTTGTTTATATTTTCATCACTTATTTCTTTATTAGTATATGCTTTGAAGCTCAATAGTGTGCTTCAAGTTGCATGAACATCTACCGAATCGTAGATAGCACGAATTAGTAGTTGGCTTTCAATCTAATAATAACTTAATGTTGTGCTCTATGAGGGTAGTTAGAGATTAAATCATCAGAGGGCATTTTAATTCAATTTTTTTTTTTTTTTTTTTTAAGGAAAAACCAAAACAATAGGTATAACTAACGTTTAAGTTCTTATTCTCTGAACGAAGCAACGTTTTTTTCAAGCAACTACGATTTTATTTAATTGGGATGCCGCTGAAGAAAAAAACAAAAAAATTCGTCATCATCCCAAATAAGAATTTTCTCTCTTTTTTTTTTTTTTTTTTTTTTTTTTTTTCTAAAAATATTTTTTATTTGAACATCAATACAATGGGCAGCTTTAGTGTCTGTGTTTCTCTTAACAGATTCACCAGATGTTGAAAACCAGCGTGATATTCTCTTGGGGTACCATATTTTGTATAAAATGTGGGCGGGAGAATCATTGCCATGGCGCTGAACATTCTTCTAACGTGCATTCCCTTGCCTCATGGGTCTGGACAACTACTTGTCGCTGTAGTATTCAACAAAGCGTTTGCGGCCGGTAGGGTTAGAATAATGATATTACCATTGTATTTAGATGGAACTGGCTTTAGTGTCTGTGTTTCTCTTAACAGATTCACCAGATGTTGAAAACCAGCGTGATATTCTCTTGGGGTACCATATTTTGTATGAAATGTGGGCGGGTGAATCATTGCCATGGCGCCAGACCATTCTGCTGACTTCCATTCCCTTGCCTCATGGGTCTGGACAACTACTTGTCGCTGTAGTATTCAACAAAGCGTTTGTGGCCGGTAGGGTTGGCAGAGTGGGTTTGTCCATTTTTTAAAGAGCATTTAACGATTGAAAAATTTTGGGTATGTTTTAGTTCAAGTATGGGTTGATATTCAATTATTTGTTTATTATTATTAGATTTTCCTATGAATATGGAAGACTGGATTTTCCCTCAGGTATGTCGACTCTGCCGAAAAGGGTTCAGATAAGGTTGTTAAGAGAGTTTACTTACAGGTGTAAGTGCTTTATTTGAACAGTGAACGATCTGTTACAAGCTTGTTAATTACTTGTATTGATAGGGACGATTCAAGAAGCGATGTCTGTTTAGCGACTGGTACTCAATTAAGATTAAACTTACGAGTTACTTCCCAGCGTAATAAAAAAAAAGCTGCAGATCTTTTAATCGGTAAATTTACGAAACAGCCACAATCCTGGAAATATTACACAGACAAAAAATAGCTGTTATGTATAGCTGACTGCACTTGAAGGATGGCCAGTTAAACTTACAAGAAGCTCAAACTTTAATAGTTTCTTTTGTATTATGCGGGGGTATTGAAACAGATATATATAGAGTAAGTTTAGTAGATGAGACCTGAACCGTCGTCGAGAAAGTAAAAGATATGTATAATCCTTCGTCAACAATTAAAATTAAAGATGGTGGAATACATGACTTCTTCTTGGGGGGCCTTAAGCTAGTTTAAGGTTTGCATTCAAATTTCAAAAGAGTCAGATTTTATACTAATAGTTACGTTATGTAGGAGAGCTGTGTTGTTGTGAGCGAAATATCAAGAAGAAATCAAAGAAGAAAGACAAACATGTGAGAAATATACAACAAGTAGCCCAACACTACTAGCAATTTGGAAAGGCTCATTTGAGGATGAAGAATAAATATTGAGGCGTTTTTTATAGTTTTTTTCTTAATGAATCATACACAATTTTTTTTTCTTTACTTTGTCGTTATGAATTTTTTAATTTGTCGCTTTTAAAATTTCATTGAAGTAAGCTAAATACATCTTTATTCGAATATAAAACAGTCAACAATATTCAGAAAGGTTCTTTATTATAGCATTTTATAATTTAACGCCTAGAATGACCAACAGTACCTTGCAAATCGCTTGTATAAACTCGACTGCAGCCCTTACTAATTCTTTCTACTAAAGTTTCAATTTTTGCTTCACATGATACCAGAATTGTTCAATAGGGTTCAATCCTAGTGAATAAGGTGGAAGGTACATGTTATAGTAGCCTCTGCTTTCTATCTTTTTTTTTTTTTTTTTGCATAAGGGGAAATTTATGGATTGAGGCGTTGTCCATAACAAGGTAATAACCTTTCATATCTTTATTCATTATAACAAGAAGTTCGTTTATGAACTTTATAAAACTAGCAATAATCGTGCCTTTTGGTGCAGGTTTTTATTTTTCTTCAACTATTTCCCTATGACAAGCCATTCTTTTCTTACCTTTATTTGTCTTCTGAACCTTTTTTTTTATTTTTGGTTTTTATCGATTTCAGGTGCTGGTATTTTCAATACAATATGAAGAACTGCAGTAGTTGAAATGGCACCTATGATCGTGTATAAGATACAGAGCGTGTTTGAGGGGATTTTAACAATAGCTTATGTGCATTTTTTAGACCATGTGTAGTTATTTTTTTTATGATAATATGAAAATCAGCTTCGTCAATAAAAACGCAATTACGATAGTAGTTGATACCTGTATCTTTGTAATACTGAAACCACTCCTATCTTTTTTCCAAATTTTTTATAGTCATTTTGTACTACTGCGTCAAAACTGGATATTTTACTGTCAAGTCCATGTGCGAATGCAGTTGTGACTTTGTGATACGGAAATATTCAAACTTATCTGTAATACACTCTAGAACCTTGTCAATATTTGCTTAAGGATCGTCCTGAACTAATTGCTTCACAAAATCTTGGTGATTTTCCGTAAATTTACTTTTACACCCAGTCATTCTAGTTGCTTATGTTATGGAATAAGCTCTGGATATAAGCATAAGTAATATTATAATAGATGAATTACATAATAAAGAATAAAGGATAAACAATAAGCCTGAATATAAAATAAAAATCTGTAGATAGCATCTTGTAAATAATATAAAACCTATTGACATCCAATTGTCTAGATGTATCAATTATAAGACATCGTATCAGTTCCAAGTATTTATTTTTATAACCTTGATAAAGGATTCAGGTCGTCTTTGATCCAATTAAATAAAAATATAAGAAATATCAGGAACATATACTCAGATCAAACAATTTAAAACTTGAATAAAATCATTATAACACCCAATAGATAACCCATAGAAATCAGTCTCTTGAATCAACAAGATGTATATCCGAATACTAACGATGTTTCGTGACTCATGTTCTTTGTCGGTTATTTTTATTTCTTTGATTCAGGATTCATTAATATAAATACAAACAGTTGTGTAGACACAAAATAATCTTTAACCTTCAATTCTTATTTTTATTTTAATTTTCTTTATTGAATAAAACACAGTCTCAAACTATACTTCCTTTTGTTCTCTTTTCATTTTTCTTTTTTTTTTATTTTTCTTTATTATAATACGTACCATCACACGAGGTACCCAATCTAGATCATTGAAGTCACTAAAATCTAGTCTATGAGCGTCATTTGGCAAGTGATCAAATTTCTTATCACACTTGTGACAGGCAAAGGCAGAAGAGTGGCCGGCAAAGCCAACACACTTTCTCAAAGCGGGCATATCCATGGTCACCAACGTCAAGGCAGCTTTCACCACTTGCTTACCATTGACTCTTGTCTGAAGTTCTATTCCATTCTGCAACAACAACAAATCTTCTACCAGGGGATTCAGATAATGATTGATTTGATATGTTGAGGGTTCAGAAGGACCAGGCAATAAACCAACTAAAATTAAATTCTTCTTTGTTTCTTTCTTCACGAGGTAAGTTTTGAATAGTCATGTAGATAGCACCACAAGAATATTGAGCGTTATCATAGAGCTGGAACCAGTCGAGATTCAAGGTCAACATCAAATTGTAATCTGAAGCCATTACAAAAGGTGTGTCATCCCTTTCATCCAACTTGAAATTGTTCCAAACTCTACCATCCCAGATGTCAAACAAACGGTTGGCAACGGTAGCTCTTGATTTCCACTGTTTAATTTTTTCAACAAAGTGGTCACGGAGGAAAAAGGTTTTGATGGTGTTAATGATTGAATTGTAAAAAAAGGAGCGGAATGGTTTAAATCTAGCGTCTAACAAAGGAGTACCACACTTTTCTCCAGCAGGAAGGTAGTCTTTACAGGCAGTACATTTCTTATTTCGTAATCTAAATTTTTCTTCAACCGTCTCAAAGGGGTATATGGCATGACAATTTGGATATACTACATAATGCTTTAAGCCATTATAACAAGTCTTGCCAATTTCACACCAAGACTTAAATGTTTTGGCAGAGCGAGGAAAACGGTACTCGTTACCAGCGAGAGCAAGAACACGGTTTAAAAAAAACATAACTATAACAAGACCCTTATCTGTAAGATACTTGCCTTGAAGCATGACAAGCATCAGGAATAAAGTTAAAGCTATTGGCTCTTTGGGGAAAAATGTACCATCCAAATAACGAATATATGGATCTAATATATAAAAATAAAATATTAATAAAATGTTTGTATTTTTTGTTTTTTTATTTTTATTATTACCTTCTTGAGGTACTTTTTCCCTTTCTTCAGATTCATCATCATCGGCAATGTCAGGGAAAGCCCCATTAAAAATGTCAGAATCATCTAATGACAGAAAATGCAAAAAAAAAGAATAAATTTAATCTGTTAAAATGTATATACATATCTAAAAAAGGAAATTTACTGAGATCATTGTCATCAATGTCCATTGCATCATAACATTGTCGAGAATCAGCTAAATTGCAATATAATTTATTAATAAAATATAAATTGAAACTATTTAAATATTCAGAAAAAAAAAGTACCTTCTTCAGGACAATTGTTTTCATAATTGACCTTGTGATTATACAATGTGGTTCTGGATACCAAGTCAAAACCATCAGGCTTTGTAATGCATTTGGAGCATTTACAAATGTATCTGCTTTCGATATTGTTATCGTTGTAAGTGTCCATTGCGAATTAAATATTTTTCAAAGTTCAAATAGTTATAGTTAAATAAGAAGAAAAGTAATTTTTAGAAAGAAACAAAGGCAATAACTTTGTAAATAAATGAGTTTGAAATTTTACTGTTTTATTTTTACTAAAATATATTACATAAAAATAATTTACATTTTAGTAAATGTTTTCTTCCTGAATTAAATAGCCGCTGTTGATAAGACAAAGATAACAAAAGAATAAGACAGAATAAATCTGTGAAAACTTTGTATAAAACTTTTATTATCAATAAAAATAAAAAATAAACTAAATTTCTCCAAGATGAGTGTAAAATGAATCCATATTTATATCTTGTAGAGAATGGGTTACTTTGCGACAGGAACAGAATGAAGATAACTTGAAAGAAGAATATTTTCCCATAGAATGATTAAAGTTATTGTGTTTGAGCTCTAGTCTTTGCCCTGACTGAGAATTAATCTCAGTTAACTCTAATAAATATTAAATTATTGGTGTTTGGTCTAGCCGGTTATTTTTCTCGATACCAAATAATGAAATCTCGTTTGTTCATACTTGTGAATGATATAGGGAAGCTGCTTTGTATTATATTCATTCCTTACTATACTACTTGAATGAATGTCATTATATTGTATAGTGTATAGATAGTATATGATTATATTTATAAATTAGTATATAAGACAATATTATAATAATAATGTGTATATATAACTAATAAGTATAATCTGTAATTCATATATCTTTATCAGTAATAACTCCTTATACTATTTATTATTATATTATTTTTCTCATCACAAGA